GCCTTCGCTATTGTCTCAATTAGCCCAGCCACAGGAAAAAGGTGGTCTTTCCCGTGAACCGACATTGTTCAGCCACCTCCGGAGCTCTTCAAGGCTCCACGTTTCGGGATCTACCAATGGTTGATGAGCTCAACATCACGATGTAGAACCAGCATTTAGATGTAACTTACCGCCCTTGGGATCCGGTTCCTTTGGGAACATGCTCTCGGTCCCCCTGCGCATGGATCAGGTCAGGCCTGATCAGGCCAAGCAACGTTGCTGGACAGGTGAGCTTCTTACCATATCGACCATGCTGCGACTGCTGTGATTATTCCTGCGAAGCCAAAAAAGGCAGATTTGGACTGCAACGCCCGGTCGAGTGGCGTCGGCATGACGACAAATGATGCGATGGGAGCTGTTCGATTCGCCGAGGGTATATTTGTGTTCGAGACCTCACTTAGATCGCACAAGACTTGAAGAGTGTGTAGGGGAAATTTCAAAGCTGGATCCCAGAGTGTGGTGAAAGTGGACAGGTAATAACTCTTTCTTTGCTGCCTCGTCGATCCTTGTCCTGCCCTGGCTTCCCTTGCTCTGAGCACTAGCATATCCATTTTCGCCTTGTTGCCTGAGCTTCCCGGCTCGCACACTATGCATGCGATATTCGCACACAAAAGTACCAACCAGCCGTCCAAGCATTACGTGCCGCACCACAAACCGCCAAAATGCCTAAGCAGGTCTCAGACATCAAGCAATTCATCGAAATCGCTCGCCGAAAGGATGCGTCCTGTACGTCCACGCACAATAGCCCCGCAGCAGGCTTCACGTTGAATTGGGCAGCGCTAATGGGAGATTGGCAGCGGCGAGAATAAAGAAGAACAAGAAGACCAACCAGGTCAAGTTCAAGATTCGATGCCACCGCAACCTGTACACTCTCGTTCTGAAGGACTCTGACCGCGCGGAGAAGCTGAAGCAGAGCCTGCCGCCAGGTACGTGAACGAACGTCGAAGCCACTTTGGAAAATCTGGGCATGTTGTGAAGAGAGACGGAATTGCTAACGAGCTTGTGCGCTTGTAGGTCTGCAGATCGGTGAGACCCCAAAGAAGAACGTCAAGGGCAAGCGCGTCGCCAAGGCATAGAGCGCAGCGAGGAGATGACGGGCGTGGAAATGGAATAGCATTCTGCACATGGCGTTTGTATGTTCACGGGACATGGCATTGTCACGATAGATTACCGTATCGTGTTTTGCAATCGACTGCGACACGAAGAAAAAGTCAAGGTCACAAGGAATCAATACTATTTTGAGCCGTCACTCTTGATCTGGCTGCCAAAGCAATACTGTGAATCTCGCATCCCTTTACATTCGTCCGCATAGTGTGTGTCTGAAGATTTTGGAATGGACATTTCGCTCGTCCAGTCTGCTCTCTTCTTATACGAGCTTTTCTCAAGGACTTCACGACATGATTGACTTCACAAGCTGTGTCAACAGATATACCTATCTTTTCTTGCATCGTTGAAGAGCGCGAAACTTGATGCAGGGCCTTGCGTACAATCCAGTAACTCAATACATATCCTCATAAAGACGGCCGTTTTCCCTAATCCAGAGGATGCGCGGACAATTCGTAAAGCGACGATATCTACTGGCTTGGCATAGAAAGGCAACAAGAGGTCATTCTGCGCCACAGAGTCGACAGATACTGAGCAAAGTGCTCTCGTCCGACCGTCTCTTGACCGGAATTACAGATTCTCGGGATGTGATTGTGGGCTTCGCGTCGATCTTGATCCCGTTGCCCAAGAACCTCGCGCTACATGTCAGAGGAACGGCAGTGAAGCCTTGATTCATCGTCGTAAATGTATGTCCAGCCATTGCGCTCGTCCCCATGGCTACGCAAGGAGACAACCGCACCCAAAGCCGGGCAATCATACAAGATACTCTTCACTCAGCAGACGGTTTTCGTTGTCATGGAAGCCACACGCCCTTTCGAGCGGGCATCTCTGTTCCGAAAATGCTTTTAAGCGAGTGGTGATTATTGCGTTGTTCATAATATGAAGAAAAAAAAAAAGAAACTCTTGACGAGGAATTTTTCACGGCTCTTTTTAAAGAAGAGCGAAGTAGTTCGCTTTAAGGTCGATGAGTCAATTTTACGCTCAGCCGGGGGGGCAAGTGTTGCCGACGGGGGCAATTCTTAGCTAGCGCGGGACATTTTGAGCATCGCACTTTTGCATACAATATCGAAAGCGCCAGAGACGCAAATCCGACCGTTCAGCCGCGACCGCCTCGAAATCAGCATGCCGGCTCCGTCGAATACCCTCCTGATCGAGGGCTCTTTCGAGGAGCTCTCAGACGAACTCGCACAGTACATCGACAGTCTGCGAAAGGCCCAAAATGTGGAGGGCGGCCCCATACAACCGGAAGTGAGCAGCCTGGTGCAGGAGAAGAAGACGGAGGATGCGCTCAAGAAGCTGGTCGGCGCCGCTTCGATACTCAATGCAGCGCCGGAAAAGGGTCAGATTATGCGTCTGTGAAAGTGAGGTGGAAGCCTCGAGGCTAACATCGGACAGACATTGTCGCGGCGTACAATCTACTTATACACATTATACGACAAGCACCAAAGCCGGAGATGTTCCTTAACAGAATATGTCAATACCTGTCGAAGCCAATCACTTCATCGCCGCAGAACGGCACCGGTCTCGCACTTTCCATCCTTAGCACCATCTTCAACACCGTACCAGCGGACAACGAGGCGCGTTTCCACATTTTCCGGGCTATACTCTCGGTCGTTAAGAATTCAGGTAACTTTGAGACGCTTAAGCCGCAACTGAAGAATCTGGATCAGTGGATCGCGCAATGGGACATCGACGCTGAAGAGCAGAGACAGTTGTTTTTGGAAATTTCCGAAACAGCGGAGGCCTCGGGGGAGACCGATGATAGCTACGAGTACCTCATCAGGGCACTGCGGACAATACCTGCGGACGAGGCGTCGAGCGAAGAGGCGCAAAAGTTGTCACAACAGGCGTTGAAGGCCGCTTTGCTTCATCCCGCACATTTCGACTTTGAAGATCTCAATTCGCTGGACGCCGTCCAGGCGCTCAAGAACTCTGACGCCGTCGCCTTCGAACTGCTCGAAATCTTCACGGCCGACAATCTGGAAAGTTTCAACGACTTCAAGACCGAGCATGACGGCTGGCTAGAATCGCACGGTCTTGACGAGGCTGTCCTAGACAGGAAAATGCGCCTTCTTACGTTGGCGTCCCTTGCGGCACACGAGAACCAGAAACGCACGCTCTCGTACACGCAGATTGCAAAGGCTCTGCAAGTGCCTGAGGACGAAGTGGAGATGTGGGTCATCGACGTGATCCGCGCCGGTCTCGTCGAGGGCAAGCTTTCGCAGCTGAACCAACAGTTCCTCATCCACCGCAGCACATATCGAGTGTTTGGCGAGAAGCAGTGGCAGGAGGTCTCGGCCAGGTTAGACATGTGGCGGTCCAGTCTCACGGAGATCCTAGGCGTGATTCGCGCTGAGAAGGAAAATTTCCTTCAGCAAAAGGAGCAGGAGCTGAAAGAGGCGGAGGCGAAGGCTAGCGGCGCCGGCGAGGGAGAGAAAGAGCGAGGTGGCCGTGGCGAGGGTCGCGGAGGCTTCCGAGGTGGTCGAGGCAGAGGTGGAGGTGCGGCTGGCAATCGGGAAGCCGCTGCGCCTCCCCCCGCAGCAACTGAGATTGAATCGGAGGCATGAGGAAGCGGGAGATGATCGTTGACGATTGTTGCGTTCGCATGGCATTCTACGGTTGGGTTATGCGGAAATATGAAAAGCTACCATAACATTCATACAAGGACAGGATTCTAGATTGCCTGGTAACGGCGTGAATATCATGGTAGATACAATAACTATGCAAAGTAAATTATGTGCCAAGGGGATTTGAGGACCATGATAGCATCAACCAAAACCGCAATGGAAATACATCCATATTCGAAGCAGCTCTAACGTGCTTTGCTTGGGCTTGCATATTTCTGCAATCCAGACTGAATTTTCGCTGTACGTGGAACGATTTTTTATATTTCAGTAGGCGTACTTTGTTTACAGTTTTTGATCTGATGTTCGCGTACAAGGATTGCTGAACTCGCCCGCTGCTCCCAATCTTGCTGGATATTGAATGATACAACTTATCGCGCGCATTCTCTGTGTATCGTGGGACCATTGACTAGCTCGAGTCGTCGAAAACTTACAAGCAGAACCCAAGGCTGAAAGTTTTGACGTTGCGAGGAGCAAACCGGGAAGAATTCCTGAGGCAAACTTCGAGCGACGATTATCAGTCGTGTTGCAATGGGACTCCGCGGTTCAAGACTGTATTAAGCCGCCGTGCTTCGCGCTCTTCCGATAACCACGAGACGAGGCTGTTGAAGTGCACCGGCCAAAAACTATCCGAAACACTGGATCTCGAAGCCGAATCATGGAGCTCAAACTGTAGGGGTAACGTAGGCTGTGCAGCTCCCCATCGTGGAAGAAGTTGAGTACGAACAACGCAACATCGTCGCCCTCTCCGATACTCTCAGCCCATGGACGCCTCGCCCCCATGAAATCGCCTTATTTGGAGTGAGCTCGGCGTCATTGGACGACGGAGCACGTCGCAGTCCAGTTCCCGCCGCTTTCGACTTGCCCATTGAAGCACGAGATCGCCGCTGGCCAAGAGAAATTGAATTTTTTTTTAAAAAAAAAAAAAAAAAATAGAAAGTAGGCCCACGGTGTCAGCACGTCTGCGGATGCGGGTTAAGCGGTGCAGGCCACCTATGGCTCTTTTCACGTCGCGAGCCGCTGTGGTTGATAAACAGGTGGCTGAGTGGTTATGACGAAAGAGCCTGGGATTCAGATCAAGAGAGAGAAAAGAGGTCTAACCTTCCTTTTTTTTTCTTTTCTCTCGCGTGGGTTCTGTTTTTTTTTTTCCTTTTTCTGCTCTGCTTCCTCAATGCATCGGTTGTGCTGTCGTCGACTTTGTGCTTTGCGTTGCGTCGACTCGTCTCCCCCCCAATGGCTCTCGCAAGACCGTCTCTTCACCTCACGCTTTACATTCTGGCCTTCCTGTGCATCCGTGGATCGAATTGCAATTGCTTTTTGCCTAATGGAACGGACGTCAACCGTCTTTTCGACCTTGACGGCGACGTGTGGGTTCCATGCTCGACAGCGGGCGACGACAGCATGTGCTGCAGAACGAATGTGACAAAGGGCGCGGACACGTGCGTCAGTAACGGCCTCTGTCACAGCAACGGAGGCCCCATGTTGTGGAGGGAGAGTTGCACAGATCCAACGTGGACGTCGCCGGCATGTCTGCAGCTGTGCGTGGCGGCTGGCCGCAAGGTGCAGAACAGCACGAGTGCACGCTGGCCGAACGGAACGTCGTTCCAGGACGCGAACGTAGCCGTCACGGAATGCAATGATGGAAGCTTTTGCTGCAACCGAGGCAACACCGACTGCTGTGCCAAGGGCAACGGTTTGTTCGTCGTGGACGGAAAGGTACAGTCGTCGACGGGAACGCCAACCGCTTCGTTGCCCAACGCTTCTTCCACACCAAAAGGCTCGGACGCATCTCACGTCGGTGGGAGGACCGGCGGAAATGTAGGCGCAATCGCCGGCGGCGTAGTAGGGGGCATCATAGCGCTGGTAGCTGTGGTAGGCGGCGTTGTACATCGTCTCAGGCGAAGAAAAGGCGCGGCTGCCCCCCTCAATTCCGAGATGACACATGAGCTGAACTCTACACAGCGCCTCGAAGCGTCAGGCGAGGGACTGGAAACTTACAAGTATGCCAAACATGGCGCGGTTACACCGCAACAGCAGCAAGGTTTGGTCGAAGTCCCGGGCATTCATGAAATAGACAATTCTTCGGAAATATAAATAGATATTGTACGAAAGCTATATATAGAGCACGCGATTCTGCAGTTATCATTCATCATGTCGTCGTTCGTGCGGTATTTGAAACGAAAAACTTGATACTTCTTAGGAGCAGCTCTCTTCGGCATCTTTTTGCTTCACTCTCTCTTCGCTCAACAGCAAAAACTTCTTGTCGCAACAGGATCTTAACATGGGCGGAATACTTTCGAAGCCTACGCCATTAGTAATTAATATTCAAGGATCGTGTTCTATATACATGGTATCGTCTAGTATGTGCTACTCATCTCATCATCATGCCTTTATGATAAACCGTCGCCTTCCTCTTCTTTGTCATCGCACTTCAATCCATTTAGTGGCTAGACGGTTTCAATCCCTTGCCGCTAAGACCAAAACATTCCGCCATGCGGTAGAAGACATCGGTAGCGGAATAGACGCCGCCAAATTTTGCTTGGCAAGGTCCTGTAATATATGTTAGCTTTCTATTCACGTAACCACCAGGACCATATTTCCACATCGGATACCCGCCGGGCACGTATTCTATCTGCGTTTGAAGATTGAATGTTTCCATAGGTTCTCAAAGTGACAAACTTACCCTGCGCAAAGACAGGCACATCGGTTAATGAGTGCACACCTTGAGGCTCATCCAAACTCAAGGTACCATTGTAAACGATTCCGTTGGGATTGTCCTTAGGGTTGACATAGTAGTCAGCCGCGGCACTTATATTCACAGCTGGTGTGCGCGGACCGTTCTTGTTGACTTGGTAGTCCTCACGGTAATCTGGATTGGCCTTAAGACCCTGGAAGAGAGTGTATCGTGGATCCCAGTTTGAGGGGAAGTGGACGCCCCTTACGATTCTTAGCGAAGTGTTGGATAAGCATGAGTGTAACAAACTTACTCAGTGTATGTCAGATTGCCAGTCAGAATGTACTGTGATTGGCCGGAGTTCTGGTAAACACCGACAGCATTGCGCTTTTTACGTTGATCCTTCTGCTCGTTCAGATACTTAGTGTCAACAGAACCCATGACATCAAAGCCATGTCCATGGTCAGCAGTGACAAGGACAAGAGTATTGTTGAGCTCCCCAATCTTCTCTAGGTGTTGGATGGTTGCCTTGACAGTGTCATCAAGCTCAAGAAGCTCACCAAGCGCGCGCTCGTAGTCTGGAAGGTTTTAGCATTAAGTTATAGGAACATCTCCTGCTTGGATGGGGAACGCGAAACTCACCCAAAACATGCATCATCTTGTCAATAGAAGCGGCTTCTGACATGATAAACCAGCCCTTACCCTGAGAACGAGCCTGAACAATGTCAATAGCCTTTAAGGTCATTTCCTTCAAGCCTGGCTGGTTAAGGGCGTCTTTCTTTAGACCATCGGCAGAGTTGTTCTGATTTTTCAGGTTGTCGGTGTAGACATTGCGGTCGAGCCATTTGGCCATGTTGCTAACACTGAATATTCCAAGAGCTTTCTTATCATTAGAAAGAGAGTTAAGTTGATTAGCATCCTGAGCAAGCTGGTAACCAGCTTTCTTAAACTCTGCGTAGTCTAGTACGAACTAGTTAGTCAATGAAATCAATAGACAAAGTAAGAGAAGTTGTGAGCAGCTAGTCGAAGTTTTGGGATGTGGCCAAAATTCTACGGTTGCTGATAAACTGCGCAATTACCAGACATCAAAAAAAAAAAAAAAATACTTACAGTCCTTGTCTTGGTAAGTCTTACCACCTAGGCTGGAGTTGAAGAAGTTCTCAGCTCCGCCACCGAACAAGACATCTGGCCCAGTCCAGTTGGTCCACGTGTAGTTCGTGATTCCATGCAGAAAAGAATCAATGACAGCGCCATATTGATTGCGGTCGCGAGTGTGGGCAGTAAGAGCCGCTGGGGTAGCATCCGCAATGAATGCAGTGCTGACAATGCCAACTGCGCCTCCGACGAGGCGGCGGAAAAGCTCTGCAATAGTCTCGACTTTGGGGTCGTCAAAGGCATTCTTGCTGCTGTCAGCGTAGACTCCTAAGCAATTAACAGTCGATTTGTGACCGGTATAGAGCGCAGTAGCACTGTTTGCTGAGTCGGTGATAAAAGAGTCAATGGAGTGGGTCATTTGATGGCTAGAGAAGTTAGCTTCGTGATGCACTTGCTATTTTTTTGATGAATGGTGATCATTACCCGAGAACTGGAAACTTGTCTAGCTGCATTTTGGTCTGGTACTTGCCGTTGATGCTCTTGTGGCCAATCAAACGGGCAGCAGTGATCATGTTTGTAGTCATGCCATCGCCAATGAACAAAATAATGTTCTTAGCCTTGCGCTCAGTCTCCAGATCACGAACTTCCCACGTTGCAACCGTGGTGCTACCTCCATAGTAGGTCAAGGTCGCATTGTAGATACCAGGAGTGCTCAGGAAGACCCGTCTATACGCCTTCGCAGCCACATTGACAACAGATGGAGTGCCAGCATCCTTAGCGAAAAGGTCCTCATACCAGGTGAAGTTCCACTTCTCAAGTTTTGGAGCTTCGACTTTGAAGAAGTCCTCAGCAGACGCAGTCTTACCATCTGGGCTTGTGATGGTGAAGGTGAAGGCTTCATCAGGCTTTCCGTTATGGGCAGCTTCGCTACCATTGACCGGAGCATGGACTTCAAGACGGATGTCAAAGTACTGGCCAGCCAGGAACTCGGCCTGATCAGGAGGGAAGATGCATCCCAGCTTTGGACAAGTTCCAAGTCTACACGGCGAGTCAGTATTTCAAACTCTAGGATCGCGATTTCAAACTGGCTAAGTGCTGAAAGAAGTCACTAGGCACGGCAAACGTGGTGCGGAAAGGGAACTGACGTTGCCCACGTAATTTCTCTCTAGCAATTTTCGACATCGTCACGGTGCCTTGCAGCTCTGACAGCGAAGAGATGTTCTACGTACCTTTGGAAAGTTTGTGACGAGACCACTTGCAGCAGCAGGGCTCCTGCCGTGATAAGACGTTTGAAACCCATCGTGCCTGAAGATCAGAGAAGCTCCAGACGCTTAACGCAGGGGAAAATACCTTGATGGTAGGAGAAAGCACGTTCCTGGACAGTTCAAGTACATATATCCGGTGCTTTCGGCAAGATGCTACCTAAGAGCTGTTGCGCCAGGCCCACGTTTGGAGCGACAAAGATGCCGTGCTCTTGACGAAGCTTAGCGACCTACATCCTGAATTGAGCAATCACAGTCGATCTCTTCATCATGCCCTTCGCTCTCAAGGCACGTCAGCCGGAGCCTCCCCACGCTGACTACCGACCTTGCCTCCTTCGTCATGAAATTTCGTACCAACCGGCGGCTTTGCAGGAACAGGCGTGTCCAAGGCAGATCTGTGCTGTGCCCGGGCGAGCTGCACAACCCGCAGATGGTTCATCGGCCCAGTATTGTCGATTACAGATGCTGGACGCAACGTGCTAGACATTGAGCTTCGATTCGACGACCGAGACCGTTACCAAGACTTCGCCCAGACTTGCTCAAGCCCGCTCCGAGCCTTGGCGGGCACTTTATCGTTCTGTATGAGGCAGCTTCGTGCCAGTCAACGTCGCCGTGAAAGCGTAAGTGGCTATGCTGCCAAATGACGCCAATGAGTTACTCAATTATATTCTCAATGGAAAAGCGGGAAGGAATCGACCTGGTGGTGTCGTCAGCTTCGAGGCTTTTGGGCCAGGATAGGGCTGCCAAGACATGTTCCAAGTACGGAAGGTCGTTCAGCCTTGCAGAAAGGTCACGCGATTAGGACCGCACGGAGATTCAAAGACTATGCATATCATGGATGCGCAACAATGCAAAACTCCAATTCTGCTCGCAAACATCGAATACGAAACTTGGGCATGGGATTCATATAAAACTTCGAGTGTACAGTATTACGGCAGTTATCAAACAGAGAGAAAACGAGTCCCAAGGGGGCAAGAAAGGTATGATTTAGTATAGCTCTTGCTGAATCCGCGACAAGATATGGAGACCAATGGTAGACTAGTCGAGCACCCTGCCAGCCACAGCACTCCCACTTCGGTCCTTTGTCTGCACCTTTCTCAGTGTTTTTCCGGCTTGGATACTTCCCAGCAATGCACTTCTATCCGGTGCGCCAGCTGGTCGTGCAGAGCCCGCACCCGGTAATGGAGGCGGGGGAGGTGCGCCACTATTTGGCATTGGCGGAGGCGGCGGAGCATTACCCGTAGGCAAAGGCGGAGGTGGTGGAGCACCTCCAGTTGGCAATGGAGGGGCGGGAGGGGCATTTGTTCCTGGCATTGGTGGTGCAGGAGGCGGGCTACCAGCTGTGACTGGACTCTGTACTGATGGACTTGCAGTGGCGGATCTGTTGCCATCCATCGCTGAGAGCGGGCGAGGTGGAGCCATCGTGCCGAACAGCAAAGACGCCAATTGTTTGGCACCTCCACCAACAGGTGCTTCATCGTCGGAAGACTCATTATCCGACTCCAGTACAGACCAGTCGTCACTATTGGAGCGAACACGAGCCGCACGCGTCGCCGCACTTGGTGCTTCAGCCTGCTGCTGGACCAGTCGATGGAATGGATTCGTCGACTGAGTAGAGGCCTCCGAAGGTGTCGGTGTCTGCGCCGCAGCAGCTTCACTACTCTGACTGCTCGCTTGCATCTTCTTCAAGAACGGATTGTTAGTAGATTGCTCTGCTGGTGCTGTAGCGGTAGGAACAGGAGGTCTTGGCGGGCTTGCGACATTGACAGTGGGTACAGGAGCAGCCGGTTGGGGCGGTGGCGATGTCACGGGTGTGGCCGCTTTCGGCAGTTCTTGACTGGCAGTGGGAGTCGTCTCTTGTGGAGTGACCTGTTCAGGACCCTCCTCGTCAGACGAGCTGTCTTCAGCAAGGCTCTCAAGCTGCCTCTGTAGTTCACGTTCTCGCTCCTTAGCAGCTTCAATTTCGGCCTGACGTGCAGCAGCTTGAGCCTGACGTTGAGCTTCAGCTTCCTTGGCTTCTCGAGCGGCAGCTTGTTTGCGCTTCTTCTCCTCTTCTTTGCGAAGCTTGCCTTGGCGAACTTGTTCCTCGAGCTCTCGGATGCGAGCTTCCTGGGCCTCCTTTTCGCGTTGAGCCTCTTCTTCTTGCCTGCGAGCCTCATCCCTATTCGCAAATTAGCTCAGTCTTCTGATTCACAAAAAATAAATATACTTACTGCATGCGTTTTGTCTCTTCCTCTTGCTCACGCAAAGCTTGCTCCTGAATAACCAAACTAGCGCGCTTCTGCTCAGCTGCTGCCTCTCTTCCTGCTTTGCGAGACGGAGGTGGTGGAGGCTTCTTTGCGACTGCCTTTGTCGGCGGAGCAATTGTTTCGTCCTCAAGCCTACGTTGACGCTCTGCATCCTTTCGAGCATCTTCTTCCTCAGCTTTACGTCTTCGTTCTTCTGCTTCTCTCCTTTCACGTTCTGCACGTTGAGCAGGTGTCTCACCAGGCTTGGATGGTGCCTTGATGCCCAGGGCGGCGAGACGCTCGGCCATGCGCTGTTCAGCCTGTTGTTTAATATAAGCGGCGCGTTCTTCAGCAGTCTTGTAAGTCGAATATGAAGAGCCATTAGTCGCCGATGCAGAAACAGGTGCGGACGAAGCTTCGGCAGATCTTGCTGGCTCTTCGGATCGTGTAGTAGCTCTCGCAGGCTCTGTGCGCGTTGTTGATGGTGTCGAACGACTGCCTGCCCTGCTTTCCTTTTTGCGATCCTGTGCCAATCTGCTCTCACGCTGCAACTCGAAGATGAAATCCTTGACCTCGTCTTCGACACCAAGACCTTCTTCCCAACGTCGTCGCTCATGCTCACTGGCAGATGATGCGGCGCCTTCTTTGAGCCTGTCTTCCAGGCTTTTACCGAACTCACGCACGCTCTCTTCCACATCTTGAACCATGCGTTCGTGATTCTCACGTTCAATACGAATACGCGCAGTCTCTGCCTCCAGTCTGCGGGCAGCTGCTTCTGCGTCGTCACCACTGGTGGGAATCGGCTTTCCACGCAAAGCGGCTGATCTCTGTTCCATCATAGCCTTGGCGCGAGCCCTCAGTCGATCAGATTCAGTTACTGCACCCCCGGGTCCGGTACCAACAATCGGTGTTGACGAATTCGGGTGTGCCTTAGCGTCCTTCAAACGAAACAGCTCGAGCTGAGCATCAGCGATTGCGCGTTCGCATCTTCGCACTTGAGACGCCAGATCAGGGAGGCGGTCGTTCAAGCTCTGCAACTGACGTCTAAGAATCCTCTTCTCAGCTTCCGAGTCGCCATCACTCGCGTGGGAGTTTGGATGGTTGTCAATTTCCTCCTGTATGCGTCTGATTCTGCGATATAAATCATCCGCATCCCTGCGATCTCTCCTATCCAACGCGTCCTCCTCTTCCGCGGCATTCTCATCTCTGAAGTCAATAGCATCGAGCAGAACCTGCTTCTCAGCAATCAATTTCCGCAGCTGATCAAGAGTTAATTCATCACGCTCAGATGCAGGGCTGCCTGGCTGTGCTGGAGAAGGCGTCCTTCCACCACCTCCTATACGATGTCTGGCGCTGGATTTGTATCCAATATCATCATCGTTATTTCGGAAGACAGTGGCATCGCCTCTCTGCCCATGTAAGGGACTGCCTTGGCGGAAGGAATGCGATTTCATATAGCTCACGCCAGTCCTTTGTGGCTGCAAAAAAGCACCAGATGACTTTCGCTCTTCAGCGTCTCTTGAGAGCAAAGACTTCACGCTGCTCATTGCATCGCCGAGATTGCGTGTAGATGGTGGAATGAGCTCCGGAGGCAGGCGATTCGGAACCGGGTAGCCGTTTAACTTGCGGTAGACCAAATGCATAGCCACAGCGAATTCGTCCATGTTAAGCTTGCCACGATTATTGGGATCAGATAAAGTCCAAATACGTTCCAAATCCGACTTTGCGAGGCCCGACTGGCTGAAAATCTCGATAGCTTCAGGTCCAGCGATATAGCCCTTACCAAATCCGTCCCATGATCTGAAAACATCGTCGTACAACTTCTTTTCCTCCTTCGTAATAGCCCACGGCACTTTAGCATTTCCCTGCAAATTTTGCATAGAGAACCCGCCCTCGCGGCCAGGTTGCGGCATGAGCTGTTGCTTGAATGCATCAAGGTTGGGCAGACCGCCCGCTGGCGCATTCACAAGTCCCCACTGACCTGGAACACCTGTGGGCTGACTATTAAGTGGTGCGACCATGCCAGTAGGTTGAGGTTGGAGACCAGCTACCAGGCCCTGATTTCCAAAGCCAGTGGGCATGGGTGGCATGGGTGGTCTTGGGCCAGTGTATCCACCACCTTGAGATCCGCCAAAGCCAGTAGCCTGTGGTTGAAGATTTTGCTGCTGACTGCCAAATCCGCCCGGTCCTGCAAACCCCGTCGGCTGGGGCTGCTGGTAACCTGTGATCTGCGGCATCATACCCGTAGGTTGGCTTGTGAGCTGGCTAAGCAGTTGTTGGTTATTCTGTTGTGGTTGGGGTTGCTGAATAACGGGAGGAGAGGCTGCCGACTGACGTGATGGGGCTGTATCGGCCGCGTTGAACGAAATGATGTCAACCATGCTTGACACCTCATTCTTGATTTGTTCTGGCAGAACAGACGGCAGGCTCTTCCCATTCATTCTCAAGTTACACAGGTACATAGCAAGAGCAAACTCAGGAAACATAAGCTGTCCGGACTTGGTGGTATCGGAAAGGACCCTGGTATAGGGTTAGTTAGTGATATAAGCAAGAGATCGCAATGCTCACCATATGTCAGACAAGTCGTTGCCACTTAGTTTCGAGCGCAACAGAATGTCGCGTGCTTGCTCACCAGACAAAGCAGCATTGTTTCCGGCGGCGGATTTGAAGAGCTGCTCAAATTTTGCTTGATCTTGCGCTGTAATGAAGGATAATCTGATGTTGGGTATCTTACTTCCCGAAGTTGACGGACGTGCTGTCGACGAGGATGCAGGCGTTGTCCTGAACGAATCAGCCATTTGAGCACTCGTCTTTTGCTGCTGTAATGGCTGAGCTGGGGCCTGCTGCGACGGCTGCTGTTGCAGTGGTTGCGGTATTCCGGTCGGCTGGCTGTATTGGAACGAGGGCTGCTGCGAAGCCATCGGCGGTTGCATTTGCTGACCATAGTTACTGGTTTGCTGCCCAAACTGGCCCGGATAGCCAGTAGCTTGCGCATTCAGAGGCTGCTGTCCGCTTGTCTGCTGCTGCCCGTACTGAGATTGCGGAGCCACATATCCGGTATACTGGTTTTGTAGCGCTGGTGGTTGGCCATAACCCGGCTGCTGCTGCAGCGTTGGGTTGAGAAAGGAGGATGAGCCATAACTTGGCTGCGCACCAGGGCGAGCAGAATTGCCTCCGCCGAGGTAGCTGGAGGAATTACTGAACATCGCGGAGGCAGTTCCAATGCTTTCGGCGACGATGAGGTCTAAAGGAAATGTGGTCGAAGTTGAAGATGGGGGTTCTGCTGGCTCGTCGAAACAGCTCAAGCCTCATGCCTGACGACGCGTGCTCTGTGCTTTCGCTTAGACTTGCCCAAGCTGCGTCTGACGTAGCAGTACGCGAACAAGTTAGCTGCAGCTACACTGCTACGACTCACTGCTGCAAGGACGCTGAACGCTTACATTGTGGGACGGAAAGTCATATCCATGAGGGACTGCTTTCTTCCCAACAAGCTGACATAATGGCACAACAAAACGGCGCTTCTGGTGACGTTGTCAACCCAGCCGAATTCGCGACGGTGATTCCTCTTTGTTCGTGTCGCCTTCAAGGTAGCTAATATTAGCAGACTCTTCGAGAGATCCGCGAAGGCGAACAACAGGCAGCTATGATGGAAAAGAACCTCACAGCGCTCGAGAAAAAGATAGACGCTATGCTAGTGATGGCTGAGAAGACTGAACGCGAGGTGAAAGCGAGGCAGGCAAGCCAAGCTGGGGCAGCGCAAACTCAACTAGAAAATGCTGCTCCAACCGTCGCAAAGGAAAATACCCGCGAATAAATAGAGCAGATCCATGAAAATGTCTTTGCATAAGATCCTTAAGTATAGAGGCATAGAAAGAGAAAGGCAGATCGCAAAAGACATCCGAAAGATGAGATTTTGATAACATCGATGAAGCCTCTGTCTCTAGCACTGCGTGGAGTTATTCTTCGCATCTATTTGTTGAAATCACTGGCCGCGGGTAGTCCTTCAAGGCAGTCCGCTATTGAACAACTCAGAAAGATTGAATCTGCCATTAGCATCTTTCTCCGCCACCCCTACTTCGGTAATGATACCATCAATCAGCTCAGCAGGAGTCACGTCAAATGCCGGATTCCAGATATCGATTCCTTGGGCCGCGATGGCTATAGTCTCAATCTTGTCCTTCTCGAGCTCTCTACCCAATACGCGAGGTCCTTTGATGGTAGCGACCTCCGAACTGGCGCGTTCCTCGATAGTGATATGCTCACCGTTGGGAGTTTGCAAGTCAATAGTCGTTCTTGGGGCCGCAACGAGGAACTTGATGCCATGATGCTTTGCTAGGATGGACTGTGGTGAAGTTAGTGCTTTGGACTCAAGACACAATGTGTGACAATAATTACCAAAGCATAAGTCCCAATTTTGTTTGCTGTGTCGCCATTTGCTGCAACTCTGTCGGCACCGACTACGACTGCGACAAGCTTATCAGCTGGCCCCTTCAATCTCATAAGGGCTGCAGCCATTGAATCTGTCACCAAAGTCGCAGGGATAGCATCATGTACCAGCTCATACGCTGTCAATCTTGAGCCTTGATTATACGGTCTTGTCTCCGTGCAGAAGGCTTGCTTGAGAGCTCCTTTCTCATGTAGCGACCTAATCACTCCTAGAGCTGTTCCATACCCTGCTGTAGCTAACGAACCCGTGTTACAATGCGTAAGAATGCTAACAGGCCCGCTTTGCGCTGCTTCTGTATGCTCCAAAATCCATTTCGCGCCGTAATCACCAATCCCCCGATTATCCTTCACGTCATCTTCTAGCATTCTTTCGGCGGCAGCCACATACGCATCCCTAACACTTTCTCCTGTAGCCCCCTCCGCGCTCTTTGCTTCCTCAACAATGGCCTCTAATTTCCTTGCTGCATCTGCCAAATTCACAGCGGTAGGTCTCGAAGTAACGAGGTACTCCAATTTCTCAATTATGAATGCGGCTACCTCTTCAGGAATTGTCGACAGCGTTTCATGAGTGAGCTCTACGGCGAGCGAAAGGGCCGCCACAATGGCTATGGCGGGAGCACCCCGCGTGCGCATGGATTTGATGGCATGCCATCCTTCAGTTGCCGTTCTCACAGAATCAAAATGTGTAGTGTAAGGTAACTGAAGTTGATCAAGCACTAGGAGGGAACCCCTCTCATATCTGATGGCTTGTAGAACCATTTATACTTGTTTACTCCCAAGCTCTTTCGACTCTGCCAGATTATTAGACTTTGAATCTGCCTTGTTGAATTGAATTGTTTCTATGCCCAGGCTCACCTACAATAAAACAATTCACACAACCAGGCGCCGAAGATCTTAATCTCAATATGCCTCGAAAGAAACCAACCAGTATTCTCTAAACTGAAAAAGATGCTTACATATGCCGACACCTGAAATTTTTTGTGTTCAAAGGATATTCTCTTACGTGAATATATTTCGGGCGACTTCGGAGATTGGCCCAGCAAGGAATTCCAATCGCACTCTTCACTTTCAACTCGTGGGTGGAAGCAATAAAGCTTCTCTTGCATAGTTCTCCCTGGCAGATACATTTCACAGGATCTTTCCGCTGAGCAATCTCGCCTCGAATCAGCATTATTTGGTCACGTGACTTCAGGTACTACAACTGAGTCAGATCTATCTTATCCAACGCCTTGTCATAGACTGTGGGATCGATCTTTGAATCAAGCCGTGTGGATTACGAGCTCCAAAATGGGAAGACTCATCACTGTATGTATTTCTTCTGAAAATGTAGGATCCCTCTGACTATGAACAGGTTGCTACCTGTTCACTTAATCAGCATGTTCTCGACTATGAGGGCAATCTCGCTAGAATTGTACAGTCTATTAAAGAGGCCAAGGCTAAAGGTGCCCGGCTTCGTGTTGGACCAGAACTTGAAATCACTGGTTATGGTTGTCTCGACCATTTCCTAGAAAGTGATGTTTACCAGCACTCATGGGAAATGATGGAGAAGCTGCTCGCTAACAAAGACTGCTACGACATCCTTCTCGATGTGGGAATGCCAGTCATGCACCAAAACAATCGCTTTAACTGCCGTATTATTGCTCTGAATGGCCAAATATTATTCATCCGACCAAAAATGTATTTAGCCAATGATGGCAACTACCGCGAGATGCGGTATTTCATTCCGTGGATGCGTCCGCGCCATGTTGAGCAATATGATCTTCGCGGCAAAATGAAGAACATCAAAGGCCCGCATATGATACCCATTGGTGATGCTGTTATCAGCACACCGGACACGTGCTTTGGTGCTGAGACTTGTGAGGAGCTTTTCACACCACGAGCACCACATACGGACATGTCCCTAAATGGCGTTGAAGTCATTACAAACTCTTCCGGCTCACATCACACCCTAAGGAAGCTCAATGTGCGTTTGAACTTGATTCTTGAAGCTACGCGCAAGAGTGGCGGTGTCTACTTGTATGCAAACCAAATGGGCTGCGATGGAGATCGCTTGATGTACGACGGATCTGCGCTAATTGCAGTCAACGGGCAGCTTGTCGCTCAAGGCTCACAGTTCTCTCTGAGGGAAGTGGAAGTGATCACTGCCACAGTTGATCTCGAGGAAGTGCGCTCGTACCGCTTTGCGCCCTCCCGCGGTTTACAGTCTATGCAAGCTCCCACGTACCAGAGGATTGAGACCCAATTTTCACTTTCATCAGATGAGTTGGAGAAAAATCCTTTCCTGGCACCCGATCAGCCTTTTGAGCCACGTTATCACCGACCAGAAGAAGAGATAGCCATGTCAGCAGGATGTTACTTGTGGGATTACTTGCGACGATCTGGAGCAGCTGGCTACCTAGTGCCGCTTTCAGGCGGAATCGATTCCTGTTCAACAGCTGTTCTCGTTTTTTCCATGGCAAGGCTCGTCATGGCTGCAGTCAAGGAGGGCAATGAACAGGTTATTGCGGATGTCAAACGAATCTGCAAATACTCCGACGAACTACCCAGCACGCCACAGGAGCTTACAAACCAGGTATTCCACACAGTGTACATGGGGATGTCGAAACAATCGAGCGCAGAGACCAGAGGCAGAGCAAGGACTTTGGCTGAAGCCATAGGCTCGTATCATATTAATCTCGATATCGACGAAATTTTCGAAGCACAGCGGAATTTGATTGTTAAGCATCTAAACTTTGAACCAAAGTTCAAGACCCAAGGTGGATCGCCAGCGGAGAATATATGTCTGCAAAATATTCAAGCTCGCACGCGACTCGTCACCGCCTATGAATTCGCGCAGATGCTCCCTACAACTCGCAAGCGACCTGGAGGAGGTGGTCTTCTCGTTCTTGGAAGTGCGAATGTAGGGGAAGCATTACGTGGCTATTACACGAAATACGACTGCAGCAGCGCGGATATTAATCCAATAGGAAGCATTGACAAAGACGACCTCAAGCGATTTATCGCTTATGCAAAGACTGAGTTCGGCATTCCCGTGTTGCAGGAATTCCTCGACGCAACACCGACTGCCGAGTTGGAGCCTATTGAGGAGGATTACGTTCAAAGTGATGAGGTTGACATGGGCATGTCATATGCGCAATTGAGCGTTATGGGCAGGCTACGGAAAGTGAACAAACTTGGTCCACTGGGCATGTTCAAGAGGCTAGTTCATGACTGGAAGGATCATATGGAGCCAAAGGACGTTGCCGACCTTGTCAAACGTACGCGTCTTCTTTTCCTTTGACTTCTTTGGTATTAACGACGTCGCACTAGGTTTCTATCATTTCTACGCGATCAATCGTCACAAGATGACCACGCTCACACCCGCGCTACATAGTAACGATTATTCACCTGACGATAACCGTTACGATTTAAGACCTTTCTTGTACCCAAGCTTTTGGAAGAACTGGAGTTTCAAGAAGATTGATGAGGAACTTGCGGAAATTGAGAAGAAAATAAAGGCCAACGGGTACAAATAGAAACGTATCGACGTAACATTCTTGTCGTGCAAGTAGGGCGGGGCTTCAAGAGATGCCTTCCTCTTCCTGTCAGAATCTCGAAATTAGATTGCATTTGTGGATGACTACCCTATATTCTAGATTCTGCAAGCTCATGCACCTGCAATCGTGTGCAATAAGCTGCCGTGAAGGCTATCAAGCATACCCGGACATCATCAACGTACCGAAATGGGCTCGTAACCCCTTTTTTACTTCACATGGTTTCAGTCTGTTCAAACTATCATGGCATTCTTTACCATCTGTACATAGATGGGCCAGAGTTTCGGTAGGTAAATCGCAACACAGGTCGATATATTCTCCGAATCCATCAACACGGCCGGCATGTGTTTATTATGACATGCCTAAGGGTGGATGTTGTGGCTTGCTTTTGGTCTAGAAGCTGCGGGAGCTGCAAAGTAGTCAAAATATGCATTTCTTGCCCCTATCTTCCCTGCCCCCCCCCCCCCCCCTCCCTGCGCATTTCTAACCGCATAGTGCGTTCAAAAAGACAAGATTGGCTATGTCACGGGGCTTCTGAGCACTTTATGTTCCTGTAAAGGCGGGAAGGCTCCAGATTGTCCTCAAAACGCCCGGAATCGTCACATATAGTCCTTGATTTCCTTCGGGCTGCACAGACGTCACTGATATTGAATAGACGCCGTTTTGAACTAATTAAGGGATATTAGGAGAACAAATTCTCGTTCGTGCACGTGCTGAATGACCATATAGTTTCTCCCTGGGCAATTCTCATGGTCGGTTTGTGCCTTCCCGCGCTCGTTCTCTGTCGGCCAGATAGCTCCTTCCGTGAAGAATACTCCTTGAGCTTTGCTTAGCATTACTTCATTTGATTATTCTGAGTGGAAGGTGCAATATGCCACGTTGCTTCGCTCTCAAAGGTCGTTGAATAGTCACTTGTAGTCCTGCAACGTTCCTTTCATCCCTTGTTCTTTCATACTCACAACAATAATCTCGACGTTTTATACCTCTAGATTTGTCTCCCTTTGCTTGCCTGCACATTCGTATCGCATTTCTACTTCGTCCTAGCTGAAGCTGATGTGACGGTTGCCAATATTAGGCGCACCTTCTGTGATGCCATACAGCAAGACCAAACTCCTCCACTAATTTTGAGTGGCGAAATGGACGAACGAATTGCAAAGGCATTGAAATCCGCACCAGCGGATGCAAACATGTATTTGCACGACGTTGTTGTTAGTTCTAAGTCAGCAGCGGTGCAAGTCACGATTTAACTCTGAGCAGAGTGCAACGAAAGTGAAGCAAGAGAAACAGCAAAGAAAGCAAATTCCAAAACCTTCGACCATCTACAGGCTTCTATGCTACTTCATCGACAACAAAAGTCCTGAAAGGACGCGTCGATGGGTAATCTGCACTGTTTGGCTCAATGAGCACATGCTAACAGGTAAATGACACAGGCAGCAGTAGTGCTCTTACGATTTATCCATATGTGGAGCGACGTTCGTAAACAGTTAAGGAATTTGACAAAAAAACACCGGCAACTCGGCAGACTAGCTCTATATGGGACTGAGGAGTTACGGATATTGAGTGCAGCCATAATTAGCTCTATCACGACTACGTCACGTCAGTTGACAATGTTTTGGCCAGAAAAGTCTTTCTCTCACCTTGATGTATCGAAGTTTCCTTTGAGTTTGAAATCAAAGTCATGGGCCAAGAAGCTGAGAAAATTTGTCAACGAGGCGTACCCGCAAGGTAAAATCTCAAGGTACAGTCAGTTAACCTGTAGCTCTTAAGCCGATCTAAGATATTTGAGCAGCCGTCCATCGACAGTCGAGATCGACGCAATTGAGGTTAATTTAGTTACAGACGACAATCCCCAGATTCTGCTCAGCTCAAGGAGCTCCCTTGAATGCATCGTAGATGACCGCCTCGTCATAACTTTGGTACCTCCTCGGGAAAACGAACCCTTATTCATCGACATTGCATATTCCATGATCGAACGCCTCGAGGCACAGGAAGATCCGGTAAAAACAAATGAAAAACACAAGAATTTAACATGTACAAGTCTTATAGTGTACTTGCTCGGCACCAAGAATAATTTCGTTATGAACGCCGAAAAGAGAAGTGGCAGAAGTATTAAACTGATCTTCCAAAATCATGAAGCAGTACGTGCCGCACAGGAAGTAATTCACTCGGCATGGGTACAAGGGTGTACATTGCCTTCACAGGTTGCGGATGTTCTAAGATGCAGATCCGGGGAGCATAACGTAGCAGAGAAATTTGGGAAAACTAGACGACGAAATGGCAACTTCGGTGGTAACTCGTGTTTACTCACCGCGGTAAAAGATGGGGAAAAGTCGAGAGCGGGTGTTGAAAATAATTTCATTGTAAAGCATAAGGCTCGAGAAGCCGCCTCTGGCTTGGCGAGTAAGGATACAAGCCATGAGCAAGATCGTGCGTTACTCGAGTCATCACCGTCAAGCAAGTCTATTTCTGCGGTGGAAAAGCGTGTGCGACTGCAAACCGCTGTTTCAAAAAATCCAGTCGAGCTGACTGAGACATCGATGACTACTAGTGGGAGTAAATCAATGTTTACCTCAAAAGAATCTGCAATACGACCAGCCCAGCCAGTCACGGAAGCGTTAGATTCATATGTTACACAAGCAAAGCAAGATACGACAAGATCTGGGGACAAACCCCCAGCCCCTCGAAAGTGGTTCGGAGCAAGGAAGTCGAAATCCAAACAGGCACAGGATAAAATTATTTCAGACATCTTTTGCTTTCCTTCTTCGGATGACGAAATACCTTGCAAAAGAATGAAGAAAACTGGCAAGTTGGGAACGGAGAAAGACATTAAACAAAGCCGCAGCATATCACAGGTTCAATTACGAGCTGGTGTGGACCTGGAAAAGAACCAAGCCTCCCAGAAGACTGATAGAAGTTACGGGGTCCTTACATCTGGACCGCAAAGCCATATAGCAGAGAAGGCAAAGTTGGCGCCTAGCACTCCGCAGACTGAAACGCTTGCCAGCACAGTCGCTGAAGGAGCTTCACAAACCAAGTTTGAAGGAAAACAGCAGAAATTGCCCAGAAATGTTGCTTCTGTCGATTTGTTCAAAAATAAAGACTCAAAGCAGCCACGATGCACCAAGCCCGGTCCAAAAAATTTCAACGAGGAGTCTACCACAACTGATTCAGAGCTCAGCAGGCTGTTTGAATCATCAAAGCACAGCGACAGTAACGAAAGCAACAGAATATTTCTTGGTATTGACCGAAAAAAGAACGGCGAAGAGAACACTGGCCAGTCTACTACTACTATTAAATCGTCCAAAGCGATGATATACTTCAGCCACCGTTCGCCATCGATATATGATTGGTATGCCACCAAAACAAACGTGCAAAGGCTCAGAAAGAACATTTTATTGAATCAAATTCCAAGCTTCACAAAAGCAGAGACAAGCATGAAAGCAACAAAGAATGGTCTTTCCTTGATGCCACCATCCTCTAGACCGTCTGAACTGCTAAAAAGTCAGTTCGATCCGGCGCAAAAGCACAAGGAAATGGACTTCGAGATGAAGACTTCGACGAGTATGTTGAAGCTCAAAGATAGAAGTAGCACTCAGATAGTACCCAGAAACAACGCGAGTAAGCGCCAGATAAAAGCCTCCTTAAGTCAAAGGGCAGCAAAACGTCTCAAAATTTCTGCAGAAGGCCTCGATGACGAGGAGTTCATCCCCATTGATCGATGGGATTGTACTCAATTGAATATTGACTCGTCTGGGAAGCGCGAAATATCGCGAAACACATCGTATACAGACAGGTCGTCTCCGTCATTACGGAAAGAGAGGCCTATGCTTCGCACTTCTAGAGGCGGACATGGCGTCATGAAGTCCATCCAAACGTTGGCACGTCGAGGTATTAGCTGCGCTGATCAAGTCGAACGAGGGGTTCTCTCGATGACTCCAGTTTGTAAACCATATAAATCCGAGGATCCTTTCGTGGAGTCCGAGGCAGCCCACAAACGAGAGGTCAAGCTCCATAAGGCGAAAAACCACGGTAAATACAAAAAGGCACCAGTAGTGACAGCGTCTGAGGCCAAGAGAAAAAAAGGGTGTAGCGCGAAATCCCGATTGCTCAATGGTGAAGCAAACATACATACCAACAGCCTGGAAACAATCGAAGCGAATCCATTTATCGGCATCAGTTCGACTCTTAGCATGAACTCAAGTTTCGTGCAGAGACTTATGGGCGTTTTGCCACATAAATTCGCCGAAGAGAAATCAGGCGGAATGGAGCACGTCAGAGAAAATAGCGGAGAAGCAGGACCTGGGAGCTTGACGGGCGTGGAGCCAGATAGCGTTGAGAGTCAGAACGCACAAACAGAAGCCATGTGGGAGTCTGAACTAGAGGAGAGGCACCGCATGATTCTTAAAGAGATGTACGATATCTCGCATCGTTTCGTGCGTCATGTTGTAGAGTGTGAGACTGCGCTCATTGGTTGCATCAAGAACTTATTGTGGAGCGTGGGCAAGAATCCATCCGGGCTTGGTTGAGACGGTTTGGAGAGTGGTGGAAGGCATGAGAGGTTCTTCGTGGGCAGGAGTGGTGGCACGAGCGATGCAACGACGCATGTTTGAAGGGTCGGGCAACTCCATGTGATGCGTTTAGGCATGAAAACGAGCGTAGATCAAGAGCGGATACGTTCTTAGCTTCCGAGGGGGCAGTTTGGAGCGGGAGATGTTATTGCTGAAACAACAGTTCAAGCTCGTGCAAAGAATGTTTTTGGTAGACGATGGGCCCCATCAGTGTGTCAGGGAAAAGCACGCCACAGACAAATCGAAGACGTGATTGTGCCGCTGTTCATATCAAGAGCCTCGACTGGCAACGGTTCTTCGACACACGGCCGTTCGAAGACAGGCGAGACACAAGCGGAGTATTTACATGTGCATGTATGTATGTGTGTGTGTGCGTGTGTCTCTTGTGGTACCGCAACTTAAGTTGACTGAACTTTCCGTACCGCAACAGCGGCCGGGGTCCCGCAATTTTTAGACGGCTTGATTTGGCTAAGGCCATGACGTTCACTCCCTCCGCTTCCAAAGCATGTCAAGATTGATGAAGCGTCTTGTCCTAAGATTGCGCGCGGCTCTGGGCATTGAACCTTGCGATTTTATTCTTTTCATTCTTCAATAAGTACTGTTGCGAAGCCTACTACGCGAAGAACGCTCCCCATCACGTTTCACGTTGCTACCGCCTTCTCCACTTCACGAACTCGCAAACAACATCTGCGCGATTGGAAAATAAAAACGCCGGCGGGAGAAAGATCAATAGAGAATGCCAGAGTTCCACCCTTTTGGTGGAAGGGTGAGCAGGCATTTTGGAGATCACGTAAGTCGGCGTTGAGTACTTGTGCAAAGATGTGCTGCCTCTTGTCGCGATCAACTCTGCGGGTATATCGGATGCCTGCAACCTGGAGGTTGAAGGCCAGAAAGATGGCTTGGATGTATACAATGGGGTCGCACGACCAGTCGTGAAAAGCCGGGGCAGTAGATTCCCAGCTTCATGCCTCGCAATACGTTTCGTGGACGCAAGCTTCGTTCAGTCAATTGGATAGGACGACGTGCTTGCGACCCACGGCACTTGCATCATTGCTTTACAAGATGAAGTACATGCTGACATGCCAGTAGCTGAGTCCAGATGATGCGTATCTGAGCTACCACGACGTGCGGTGTGCGTGCACTTTCCGATGCGATACTGCACCGTGCTGATCCTGCCTAGTAACGAAACTCGATGTCGACGCAATACGAGATGATTGGTTGACCGACAACGTAAGCTGTTCAAACTACTTCGACCTACAAAGGTTAACAAGGATAGGACATTGCCTTTTGGCAGGAGTACGATTACATGCACTGCCTGCGCCCCCAGAGTCTGACCTTGTATGTAGATATCTCGAACATGAAAAGCTGAAGAAGTATCCACGCGCAAACATCGTGCTCTTGCGCCCTTCGATGTGTTTTATGCTTCTTCAAACACGAGACCCCTTGAGTCTCAAGTCAGCTCTTCCCGATTTCTCAAAAACCACGCACATCTTCCTCCCGGTGAATGATGCTACATCCGTTACCATAGCAGAGAGTGGATCTCACTGGTCTCTGTTACTTGTTTCCGAGATTGATGGAGTTGCTTTCCACTACGACTCACTAGGTGGGGACAATAACGCGCCTGCGCATAACGTATGTCAGAAACTGTCAATCCTTCTAGGCAAACACTTGAGATTTGTAAGCATGCGGGACACCCCTCAGCAAGAGAATGGAAGCGACTGCGGCGTCTTTGTGTGCATGATCATGGAGAAGCTCTTGCTGGACAAGTTGCTGCAGGCGGATAGTACGGACAAGATCTCCATGAGCTTGCGAAACGAACATTTCGATGCGAAAGAAGGGAGAAAGAGGATGTTACGGACTATTGAAATGTTCCGAAAAGAGGGCGAGAGGCGAAGAAGCATGAGCAGAGACCGTTCCAGGAGTAAGGATCCACCACGCATTGGGGATGAGAACGAACGTACCAAGATGGCCCGCTGATATACGGCTTTGAAAGACCAATATCAATGCTATCGGGACCGCATTTTAGGCGTAACTTTGCGTGGGCTTCCCTGTGACCTGCTCTAGGTGACGCTCCGCTGTCCTTCACTTGATATGGGGCTTAAATATCATGGGTTACGGATCCACGACATCCTCTAGTAGGGGCGAGGAATCGCTATTATGATTATTGCGCGATGCATACCATTATTATGAAACTGAGAGGTATTTCTGGTTCTCTCCCACTTCCCATTTGCATTGTTTGTGAAACTATGCCTTGAATAATTGGGATTCTGGTGCCTAGCTTTGAAGCTCTGAATATTCGAGCTGCTTAAATTTTGCTTCTCAGTGCAATCACAGCTACGGAGTGATTGCAACATGAAACTAAGGTTGCTAAATTGATTGACTTTGTCTCCTTTCTAGACCCAAGCTCGATCTGAATAACGAAAGCATGTGGTTTGGAATGGTTACCCGGCATACGGCCACGTCGGCCTCCTTCTCGGACCTTCGATTGCGCAACATGAGCATTGTTCGTACAGTTGACGAATTACAATGCTTTGAAAATTCTCGTTCGCCTGCAACCGTCAACCGGTGGAAGAATCCTATTCGAACCTTTCGTCCAAGTTCTTCCCTTGGTCACTTATTCCCGAACAATTTCTCCGATTCGCTGCGCAATCGGCCGGCCGTTGGCAAGCTGGAGCCACGAGTGCCGCGATCGGCATTTTCTCACAGTCATTTGTACAGCTGCGGTTTTACCATTGCGTGTCGCACAAATCTCTTGACCTTTCAAACTTTCTCCTGGCTCGCCATATCCGCGTGTTGGCATTTGGATTTTGCGGACCGCGACCAACGTTCCACTTCGTTCTGGGAGGTTTCGTAGGTCATGGCGGTCGTTCTCGACAAGGCGAAATGGCTTTATCGCGAGTTCGGTCTTAATTCCGTCGTCGAGACGGGCAAGGACGCCTGGATTATCATCTGTCAGCGGTCGCTACGGATGTTTGCGTACGGCACAAACTCGTTGATCCTAGGTGCGCGAGCGATTTCAAGGAGCAAAGCTGACGAGCACGGCTAAATAGAGTTCGCAGCTCTCTTTTTCGCCTCGTTAAATTTTTCAGACTATCAGATTGGCTTGTTCATGACCTTGACATTGGCTGGAGACGTGGTTCTCGGCACGCTTCTCACGCTGGTCGCAGACAAATATGGACGACGGAAGATACTGCTGGGCGGTTCGTGTCTCATGGTTTTCTCCGGCGCTGTGTTCGCCTACTTTGAGAACTTCTGGATCCTGCTGTTCGCGGCCGTCGTTGGCGTGATCAGCGCAACGGGAGGCGACTTTGGTCCCTTTAGAAGCGTAGAAGAGTCGATTCTTAGCCACCTAACCACGCCGAACATGAGATCGGACGTCCTTTCTTGGTACGTCACGTTTTCGAGTCTTGGGTCGTCACTAGGAGCGGAGCTTTCTGGTAGACTGGTCCACTACTTGCAGTCTCGAGGCGACTGGACGCTCAAAGATGCTTATCATGCCATGTTCTTCATGTACATCGCAATGGGAATGCTGAACTGTCTGCTCGTATTGTGTCTCAGTAAGAAGTGCGAACTGTTGCATCTGCCACTTGAAAGCGAGGAAACTCTGGTGGAAGAGACGGAAATGATGCTTGCATCAGACAGCGAGAGCGATACGCTTGAGGGAATGGAAGAAGAGGAGTCCAATGCAGCTGCAAAGAGGAGATCACCAAATGGGAAGCCTCAGTCGAAGCTGATAGCCGCTTTGACTTTCTTTCCACGAAGACTTGCGGAAATCTCCCCGCCAACGAGATCCGTCATGTATAAGCTCTGGCTTCTGCTGGCTCTTGACTCGGCCGCAGATGGGATGGTGCCATACACACTCACAAACTACTATATGGACGAGAAATTTCATCTGCCGAAATCGACTCTTGGTGACATCACCTCCGTCTCCTATCTCTTGGCGTCGTTCTCGACAATTTTCGCAGCTCCGCTGGCGAGGAGGCTGGGACTTGTGAATACGATGGTGTTCACCCACGTACCATCCTCGACAGCAGTTCTCCTCTTCCCATTTCCGAACAGCGTCATTTTGACGGTGGGCTTGTTTTTCCTGCGCACCGGATTGAACAACATGGACCAGGCACCGCGAGCGGCATTTATCGCCGCGGTAGTCAAGCCAGAAGAGAGAACGGCGGTTCTGGGTATAACGGCCATGCTGCGAACGTTGGCGTCCACGGCCGGTCCAAGCATTACGGGAATTCTGGCGGGCAACAAACGGTTCTGGATCGCTTTTGTCGTGGCCGGAAGTTTCCGCCTCATGTACGACTTTGGTCTTTACGCACTGTTCATCAACATGCGACTGCATCAGCATGAGGATGCCCAAGAGGACCCGGGGAGGGCGGCAACAGCAACAAAACCGCCAGATGAGGAGGAGGGTGGGGAAGTCGAGCTGCAGAAGTTGTAATGAGAAATGTGTGCCACGATTTTTGTTTTGTCTTTTTTTTGGGTGCATAGCAGGCAAATGAAATTCCCAATGCTTTAGAAAGGTGAGGCGCAAACCAGAAGTGCGAAAGCCTGTACCACCTTTGTCGAAAAGTACCTTAAGTCCGGAGGCGAAGATCATTGTTTTGTAGGTAACGCATCAACTAGATGATCACAGACTAGCTTTTTTTTTTGTTTTCGAAGCCTTTTCATCACCGCGGCACTCGGGAGCTGTGAGACCGTGAAAGAAGAGAGGAAATCAGTTGTATAAACGTTGTCGCGTCTGCTTTGCGGCCAACTTTACTTGTCTTCAGGCCACTTACCACCGTTGACACCGTATCTCCAGCCCACGTATCCCAAGGTGCCTCCGACATTTCCTAAGCCGACGCCTGCAAGCACCCTCTGACTGAGGCTCAGCGGGATCAGCCCTCTCCTCGCACCTAGAAGTCCCCCAATAGCTCCACCGATCAAAGTCCAGTTATCCACCTCGATCTGGCCTTTGTTAGCCAGTAATCGGTAGCTCCTGTCCTTCCATTCGATGTCGCTGCGGCCAAACATGCGGCCTTCGACGGCGACGGCGCCAAAGACCAGACCGGCGACCGTGCCTCGGAACGAGTGAACCAAAAGCCGGTTGTTGAACACAGGTAGACTTGTAGGGCCCCAGATCAAAGTCGACGCCGCGGCCGTAGGGACCGCTACGATTGCGCCCGTGGTCAGGCCGCGAAGCCAGCAGTGGAAGCGAAGAATGGTTTTGGCATACTGCTGGTCTTCAGCGTACTCACTTCTTGGAAATAACGAGGTCATCGTGTCCGGGTTGAGCGACAGGACAAAGAAAAAAACTAGCAACAATAATGTGATCTTGCTTTTCGCGGGTCAGCGCTTTGTAGGACGCTCAAAACGCACGAGCAGCTGAGGCGGCCAGTCCAAAAAGGCTGCAGATCAGCTAGAGCAGGACAATGCGATGCTGAAGAAAGCTGTCCAGAGTCAAACGAAGCCGTGGTAGGACTGAATGTGAGATGACGTTGAAGCTTGATGAGCAAACTCGGCATCTACGATTTGACAAACTTTAAGGACGCTAGCTACATTGAGTGATGCTCGTGTTCCCAAGTTCCTCCTTGCATCAGGTGGTGGAACGACGCACTCGGCGAAATAATCCTCCCGGCCCAGCTGAGACCGCTCTGCATATCTGGGTTCTACGGCACAGAAAATTAAGCTTCGATATCCCGGCCAAAAGCGGGGCATCGGACACCGAATCCTGTGGCATCTGTTTGCAATCGACGCATTCTGACCTCAGAGAATGTCGTTGAATACGAACATCTGTTTTGGTAAGGCCGGATAACGTCATTTATTGGAGCCATGGTCCCTGAAAGACTGGTTTGACCAAAACACGTCAATAAATAGCATACAAGAGGAGTGGAAATCTTCACAGGTCCGAAGATAATGCTGTGCTAGCGCTGAGCTTTGGTCATCGATAGGGATGTTCTTAGTTCTATTGGTCTGAATTGGGAAGCTCTGCCGCCACTAAATGCATGCTTTAAGACTATTAGGTCTCGCAAAAACCAGATCTGGCGTAATATATTCCTGAAGAGCATCCGGCAACGTTGACATGTATATATCTTTGCTCCCAGCCAGATACCTGTAGAACTGATCCGAATTCAGATTCGGAATAGCGTTCTCGCGACGTCAAGCCTTGCGCGCCAACGCCTCCGAGCGAGTCTCCACATCTGTAAATCTTGCTCAGGATCGGTACTCCATTCTTCTGGAGCGGTAAGCAAACAGGACAAAAAGAGACGTCAGGGGAAAAGAATAGAAGAGAACGAGAAAGGGGAGTTTCGGAAAGGGCACGAGCGGAGAGGAAAGAAAAATAAAAGAGAAGAAAAGGCCGGACGAGAAGGAAGACGACCATGCCGTCGCTGAACGTGACGAAGCCGATCCACTTTGGCAAGTTCGTGGTGACCAACTCGGTCTTCCACCTGACGCCGCTCAGCTTCGCGATCGTGAACCTGAAGCCGATTCTGCCGGGCCACGTGCTGGTGTCTCCGCGGCGGGTGGTGGCGCGATTCGCGGACCTGACGCCGGACGAGGTGTGCGACCTGTTTCTGACGGCGCAGAGGGTGTCGCGTACGGTGGGGCGGGTGTACGGCGCGAGCGCGCTCAACATCGCCATCCAGGACGGCGCCGACGCGGGCCAGACGGTGCCGCACGTGCACGCGCACATCATCCCTCGGCGCCGCGCGGACCTGGACCACCGCGGCGGTGCCGACAAGATCTACGAGATGATGGACGGGCCAGAGGGCGACGTCGGCGCGCACCTGAGGGAGAGCGAGGAGGCCGCCGCCGCCGCCGACGGTCGGGCGAGGCTGAAAGTCGACGCGGACGAGGATCGGAAGCCGAGGAGCGAGGACGAGATGAAGAGAGAGGCCGAATGGCTTGCCAGCGAGATCGAAGCCGACGAGGCGAGAGAGGCACTCGAGCCGTGATATCTCGTCGTCAATGGCTGCGTGCTTGCGTCTCCAAGCCCACGCGCTCGAACCATGGGCGAGTACGGCCAGCGCGGTTGCATCGTAGTGACGCAGTTGAAGTGCAGAATTGCCGCGCAAGGCACGAGTTGGTTTGTCTCGGGACTGGATTGAACCAAGTTCTATCAAGGTCGCAAAGGCAGAAGGGCGGCATCGTGGACGACATGGAGCGGAGGATAATCCTTGGGTCGAGACGGGTCTGTGAGAGGACCAGGATCACTTTTGCGTGTCATAGAAAACTGCTAGCACAGAGGAAAAACATTCAATGAAAATGCAAGAAATGTGACATGGTGGCGCCGAACTCAGCGCCTAAGCAAGCGGACGCCAAAGTTGTACATTCTCCACGCCTCAACGCTATCACCTACACACCGTACACGCGCACGCACACACGCACACTCGCACACATCATAAAGACCAACAGAAAATTCCCCCCATGCATCCTCAACGTCTTTCAACGCTCTATATAGCTCATCATCCGCCCAGAAGCTCACATCAAGCTCGTGTCTTAAGTCTCCAAAACGGAATGTGTCCACGCGCTGTCTACATACAAATAGATAATGCATATGAGTTAAATGAAAAGGAAAGAAGGGAAGCTGGTTCTGGGGCGACGCAAAAGGAAGAAGAGAAAGCAGTTACAATGAAAAAAGGGGATGCGATTCAGATTACAAATTTCCAGAGCTAGCTGTTCGTACAAACCGCCGCACAAAGACAAGGCGCCATGACCAAATAAAAAGGATGTAAAAGATGGAAGTATGGAAGTGTCTGTGCAGGGAGGGATTGGTAGAACAGCCAGAAGGGAAGACGGATGAGATAAGGAACCCATATTCGTATGCCACCATAGATGTCGAAAAACAGCGGGAGAAATGGTAGTGAGGGAGCCTTTTTGACCGAAGCTTTCGCACACAACATGGAAGACTTGCGCTCGTTATGCGCAAGTTCACAGGAGTGAAAAAAATGGAAGAAAAGAAAAATCCAAGCCCATGTCCAGTTCAACAGCTTGGAAGGTGGCTACATAGACAAGTGAAGCGTCATGATGGTAGTATTATGTACATTCTCTTGTTCGTACAGAGATGGTGGCATACACAAAGAAACAGCAATGGAGGCGGAAGCATGGAAGGTTGGTTCAATCATCGTAGCCGAGCGCTTAGGCCCGAGAAAGCGTCCGGGCTGTGCCGCCCGCTCATCATGGCCAAACCAGCGAAGTCCACGCTCTCGCGCGACGGGCCCGTCAAGCCGAAGGCACTGCTGTTCTGCACCGCCGTGGGCTTCGTCATCGACGCGAGCGAAGCGAACGGATTTGGCGCCCCCGTCGCTGTGTTGGTCACCGGCATCGTGACCGATCGCTGAGGCGTGTTCATGACCGGCCGTGCCTGGTTCTGCTGGCTCCCGAAATCTTGAACGGCCGTTCCACCCCCTAAACCGTTCTGCTGCGCCTGCTGAGGCGGCTCTTGCTGTGGCTGCTGTGGTGTTGCTTGGGGTATGTTATACAGCGCAAGAATCGAGTTCTTGTCATGGCGCGGCGGTAAATGCGTAGACGGCGAGGTCCCTTGCTGAGTCTGCTGCGCGGGTGCTGGAAACATGCTTTGTTGCTGTGGTGGCGCGGAAGCTGGGGTTTGGAATGGTGGCTGGCCGAATGGGGACTGGGGTGTCTGATACTGCGTATCTGGAGGCGAATGAGGGTAGCCCTGCTGCATCTGCACAGGCCCAGCAGATGCGAAGGGAGACGCATTCGTGTTGACCTGACTAAACGGTGACGAGCTGGTAGCTGCTTGCTGGCCGAAGGGTGTGGGCGCGCTGCTGCTCGTGGACGGACCGAATGGAGAAGAGCTGCCGGTTTGCTGTGGGAACGGAAAGTTACTGCTTGTAGACTGCGCCAAAGGTGACGATGTAGATGCGGGCTGTCCAAAGGGATAGGAATTTCCGGTCATCTGACCACCAGGCTGACCAAAGGGGGTACCGGCGGGTGAAGACGTAACTGGTCCTCCAAATACAGATTGCCCTGGAGGATTCGAGGCCTGGAACGGATTGAAGCTGTTCGTGCCTGTACGCTGGGGGAAGATCTGTGCCACAGGGGGTTGCTGGGGCTGGGGGTACGTCGCGGTCGTACTGTACGCATTGAAAGGGCCTTGGGTGTCGAACGGATTGCTCGGATTGAAGTTTTGCGACCGCGAGGTGCGAAGGAAAGGGTTCGGCGTAGGATCAGCATGTTGTGTCGTTTGAGGTTGCTGTTGAGGGAAGCCTTGCTGGGGAACGTGCGTGGAGGTTGGAGGAGTGAACTGGCTGTACTGCTGTGGTACCTGTGGCACGGGAGGTGCGTGTGGGGATTGCATGAACGGATTGTAGGCGGCCTGTTGTGGGCTTCCGTAGCCACCAGTAGCATTCGGAAAGAGCGGTGCGGCAGGAGCAGCCTGTTGCTGTGAAGGCTGCTGACCTAGGGACATGTTGCTGAAAGCTTGATCTATCGAGGGCTGCTGTTGGGGCTGCGAAACCTGTTGCTGCGCTGGCTGCGCGAATGGGTTGTACGCCTGTGGCGGGGACATGCTTCGATCTGTCGATGCCGTTGGAGGCGGCGGGAGCGACTTGTTCGTATCTGGTCGGTCGAACGGGTTGTTGTTCTGGGCTGGAATTGAATTTTGACGAGTCTTTTCGATCGTGATACCGTTAACAGGCGTTCCTCGCGGAGTGGGGAGCTGGTTGCGCATAGTATCAATTCCGCCACCCTCGCCGAGTCGGATCAGAGTCTCGACTGCCTTGTCTACATTGCCGTTCAGTCCTTTGAGCACTTGCGCATTCCGCTTCTCGTCAGGAAAGCCCATGTCCTTTAGGTATTGAATCTTGCGCTCCAGACCGTCATCCCTCGAACTGGCCACCGATGCTCCGAGGAATTTCGAGTGTTTTCTGTTTTCCTTTGCTGAAGGCGACGATTCACCGTTGCCGTACTGATCGTAGCCGGGCGATGTGGGCGGACTCATCGCGCCTTGGCGTGGAACGGTGGACGAAGTAGACCTTAGGCCGGAGAAGAAAAAACGCTTACTCGGCTTGGGAGGGAGCGCTGGAGGTCGGTCATCCGAACTCGTGCTTCCTGTGTTGTGTCGAGAGCCGGGCGAGGTCGTGTTGGAACCCGTCGAGCCAGCTTGGAAGATTCTGTGCTCATACTTCTGCCGGATGAAGCGCTCCATGGCGCCATCCACCTCGTCTGCGTCAATTGGGATCGCCGGCCGCACATTTTTCGGGTTGTACAGCTTGTTACTCGCCACATTGCCCACTCGCTTCATGTTCTGCACCAGCACGTCAGTTTTGTACTTTTCGGCTTTGCCCAGCTCGCGGTCTTCGTGGTGGTGCTCCGGCTAACCTCGACTTGTTCGTTTGACCAACTGTCCATGCTCAACGACTTGACCTTGGAAATGTGCGTGCCGAGCTTGCGGTGCAAGGCGGCGCATCGTATGCAGAGAAAGATGCCCAACTGCGCAAAACGTCAGCGAATTCGTGCTTTCTCCATCTGCCAGCCATCGGACACATCGGCGGGCACGGGCGAAGGGCCCAACTCACGCTCCAGCTCGCCCATCCTATCTGCAGGTCAGCACAGCAAACTCTTCCATATGAGGACTTTGCGCGACGTTCGTACCTGGGTTCTTGGCGCCGCACTCGGCACACTTGTCGTTGCCGGGAACGGTTTTGATCAGTTCCTGCAGCGCGCGCTCGTTGCGCACCTGCTGCCTCTTATTAATAACACCTGCCATGGCCGAACGAGGAGCCCGTGCGTGACGAGCGACGAGGACGGGGACGAGGAGAAGGAGAAGGGGGAAGGGGAAGGGAGCCCCGAAGATGGCGATGAGGGAGAGGGCAGATCCGGGGGCAGGATAAGCAAGACGCCGCGTTGAGGTGTTCGAGTTAAGACGGCAGACGACGACGGCGACGAAGAAGATGTCTAGCCAGGGACGGAGGTTCTTTGACTTTGACGCGAAATGCGGGAAAGCTACCACCTGTTGCGACAGGGGGTCGGGGTGGGTTTGGAGCGCCAGGCAGGGCCTGTCGTGTGCTTTTTTAAATCAGTGGATGCTCCGCTGCGGCGACATGGGGCATGACGGCGAGAAAAGGGGAGCCATGCAGGATCGCCGCCTGGGTACAGCGTAATCGCAGCGTGCGCCGATGGGACGATGGTCGTCGGCGGCGGCGGCGCGGCTCACGGGCAAAACGAGCCAGAGACGAGCGGAGCGCCGCTGGAGAGGCGCAACTCGGGTGAAAAAAACCGGCGAAGAACCTCGGCGACGGCGGTGAGGTGAAGAAGACCACGAAGAGAGAAGAGAATCGCGAGCAGAGAAAACAAGAGTGAGGAGACGAGGCGAGGTAACAAGCAGCAGCAGCAGCAGCAGCCGTTGCACCAAGCAGGCAGAACGCAGGCCAGCGTTGGTTCGGATGCCGCTGGTGTTGCCATCGTCGCCGTCGCCGTCGTCGTTCTTCACCGCACTTCGGGCCGCCTCCCGCCGTCGTCTTCTCTTCTCTTCTCTTCTCTTCTCTTCGCTCCTCGCTCTCTCACTGCATCGCTCGCTTCTGACACTCGTCTCTGCTACTTGGACAACCACTCACCTGCGCTAGACAAGCACTCTCTCCCGCCTTCTTTGGCTGAGCCTCACGCCCAAGTCCTTCGTTCACTTGTTCTTCCGCGTCCTCTTTGTCCTGCTGTGGTCCTCCGCGTCCGGCTGGCCTGTATGCTCTATGTGTTTTCCCAGCTTGCTTTCCCGTTTCTTCTGCCCTCGATTTTCCCCCGCGTAATCTGCACCAGCTTTGAAATGCGCAACGCCTGTTAGCAGCCAATCAGCGCGTGCGTGGCGGTGTTCGAGTAAGGGCAGAGCAAGCCTCTTTGTTTCTTCGCTTGCAAAGGACACCTTGGAACGTCTTGTGCTTGAGACGCAGGTGTAAAAATAAGAGACGTGATGGCGGAGGTGCAATTCTACCAACAGGATCTTAAGGTCTACACTGGATGTGCTCATATGCACGTGTGGTTGAATGCACACAGTCTGATCTACGGCTGGAACCAATTCCCGACTCATACAGGGACCGCGCGGTCGGCACCGAATCCGACGCCCAACTTTTCTCTTGCTTTGTGTCCTCTTCGTTATGCTACCCTTCTCGCTGCTTTGCAGACGGCCTAGAACGTTGGTGCACAGCTGGTTGGCCGTTCCAGCGCACCGTGTGCGACGAGGCCAAGCCGTGCCCGAAACGCCAGACCGAGTGAACCCAACCAAACAATCGCCAACTCAGAACGAGAGCGCAGTGAAGGATTCAATGCAGGACGTCAAGCACGTCAGATAGACAGACGGCACTTTTTACGCTTGTCAGAAGATGTCAGGCACGCAGGTGGCTTCAGCATCTTGGGACAACGGTATACGTCGTCGTCGACGCCAAAGCCTAAAAAGCGCCTGCAAAGCAAGGAGCATGCTCTAGTACGCCAATATGACCGACCAGCCCACGGGATAAGAATGGAATTGACGGTTGATTATGCGTTCATTGAAAGTGTTTTATGAATGAGAAGAGAAAAGGGAAAAGATTCAGCTCCGGCTGGGGTGCAAAGAAATTTCGCGCGCATGGACATCACGTGACCCCCAATTTCGGCGTGGATTTCGTCTGTGTCTTGACCTACACAGGAAATCTTTGTTTGAGCCGAAAACGGTTTTGTCGTCCTGCATTATCGAAACGTTGCAAGAGTTCGACGAGAACCCTCATCGCACCCTGCACTGGCCTTTAAGACTGACCGTTTGTTTCAACTCCAATTCAAATCCCCATGTGCACCCAAGACGACGAGGCCGGATGTGAGCTGATGCCGGGCTTCGTTGGCAGCCTGCAGTCGACTCCCTGCTGGTGTTTTACGGAAGCAATGGGTGTATACGGGTATCCCAGATGACACGTATAACAACAGCGGCGATTACAACAGTAAGAAAAACAGCAGCTACAGTATCGACAAGCCCCGCTGCTCCCGCAATCGCAACGACAGAAGAAGCTGCAGCTGCAGCTGCCGTAGAAACACATCAGACATCAACAATAATAACCACCTCGGATCCCACGGGGGGGATGCCTCTCGCGTCTTTGTATCATGACCTTGAAGCTGACCCGGACCGGCTTGTGCTTCGGCTCATGTCGATCTCGCTACCAGTGGCAGAGCAAACAGGGAATCGCAACCCGCGTCTCCTCCACCCTGCCTTTCTGATCTTCCTCCAGAACTGCGGGACTAGCAAAAGGACACACATCGCCATCTTCCTGCTTTTTCATCCCTCTCCCCTTTTGTCTGCTGCCATCTAACAAAATCACATAAGTGTACGTACTAGCTTGGTTCTCTAGCTCGACTAGATACGCTACCGGACCAGATCTTGACCACCTCGATTCGTTGGCGCTACTCCCACCATGCGTCCAGCAGCTCGTTACTCTGCTCGCTTTCCTCGTCCATAACTTTCCGAACGCTCTCCGCCCCTGCCACCGGCAGCCTGTCCAGCTTGCCCTTCAGGCCGGACGACTCTGGTATGAGCTTGGGATCCAGTAGCCCAATCTGCACCAGGACCGACGCCTGGTCCCAGTATATGTGTTCATGGTACAACTTGCCACCCCGGATACATACCACACTGACCAGCGCTACCTCCACCGTCTTGTTGGTCGGCGGCACGTTAGGCAGCATCCACGGCACCTCTTGTGTGTGCTCGAACGCAAAGTACATCTCGTCCACCACTTTGTCTGCCCCTATCGTCCGCGACAGGAGTTTCATGCGCGTCGATGGTGGGTTGTTTGGGATGAAAAATTCGTCGTAGAAGCGCAGCAGATCCTTCCTGCCGATGCCGCCCGTCAGCGTTGGCACGTGGTTCACGTACGGGTTGGCGACCATGGTTGCCATGGTCTTGTGCGCATCCTTGGTCACAAACTCAACTAGCGCGTGAGAACGAGGGCAAGAGTCAGCCGCCTTTCTGTGTTGCCCGATGATGTTTATTGACTAAATACTTACGCTCCGTGTGTGCCTCCCACACCCGCTCTAGGTCAACCTCGACCTTGAACGCCTTGCGTATCGTATCCAGACTCCGTCCCCAACTCAGCCGCCCGGCTATCTTGTTGTACTCAGGCAGGTCGTGCTCCGCGAACCCCGGTTCGGCGCCCTCGTACGAATAACTTGGATACGCGAGTTGCAGGCGTCCCCCAGGGATGCTGCCCTTGGGCACTGCACGCGTTACCGTCCGTCGTTTGCCTTGGATACCCAGCACCTCTGGCGCGCGGGTGACGCCGACCTCCTCGCCGGCGAGGTGCACGAGGACCTTGGTGCCGATAGGAAACTGGTTGTTGGGGTCCGGGATGGAGGAGGGGTAATATGCAACGAGGCCACAGAGTTTATTGGACGGCCGGCGGAAGTGCTCTAGCACAATGGCCGCTGCGTCGCCGTACGCTGGGAGTATGAGTGTCAGTGTACGACATAGACAAAATCCGGTTCATGTAGAGGCTGAACGAAATGAGGAAAACAATGTACCAATGATGGCAAAATATTCTCCGAGCGGCAGCCTATTCGGGATGCTCTTTAGTTCTTCGATGTATGCCTTGCCTCCCTTTCCCATGGGCACATATGTGACATCAAACCCTTCTTCGCGCCAGTGCTTGAGCGTGACCTGGTCAAATTCGGTCACGTCGTCCGTCTCAGCAGTGATAAACAGCTTAGGAACCGTGGTGTTAAAGCTGGTCAGAAAGTTGTTCCCCGCGATACCTGTGTTGACCGCCATTGCGAAAGCAAGCTACAGATCCGAGCGGAAGTTCACACGATCCAAGCGGTACGGGGAGGGCAGAAGAGAAGGGCAAACTTCCACGACGACTTCAACACAATGGACTGTCTGCGGCTGTGTGAAAGGCGATTAAGTTCGAGGACTCTGTCCCACACGGAAAGACCTTTGCTTGACGAACTGCTTCCTCGTCGTGCCATGCTTTTGTTCCTCCCCCCGGCTGCGCTCACTCGTCTGGCGTCATCGGCAGGGATCGTAAAGCAGCGTGGAGCCGCAAACACCTGCTCACCTCTTTTAACGTCCTCACTCCCATCCGCACGTCCGCCGCTCTCCCGGCGCCACAACGACAGCTGGAAATCCTCCCACGCTCCGCATCGGTTGTCGTCGGTTCCGGCTCCGGCTACGCCAGGCCGTGGCCGCGCTTGTTCGCGCGACGCCTCAGGCTCGCCCCACGTGTGTGTGAGCGTGCCTTGGACGTGCCGTTTGCACGGTTCGCTGCGCGCATGCCGCCACCCGCTTTGCGTTTCGAAGTTGACGTGAGATAGCCCAGCGTGCTCAGAGACGAAAGGATCGCGGTGTGAAGGCACGCGTGCGGCGTGCGCAATGGTCTTTGAATCCAGCTCCGTTTCCTCTGCATGCTGCATCCTACTTCCCACCGCCCCCTCATCCTGCTCGCCTCGGCCGTGTCGTTCTCGAACAGTCGCGAACTCTGTTGGCCGTCCCCTTATTCGGTGGTGAGCATAGGCTCCATCATTCCTCTTGGCGTGAATCCTGTTCATGGGGGATGGCGATGGCGGAGGATCTGCCTCTTGCGGCGCGAACAATGGCACACCACGTTCGTTGCGCTGATCTTTGCTCCGTCAAGCGAGATCATCGAGTGCATTGTAGGAATTGAGCTCCCCTGCATGTAGAAGACAATGATCTACCGTATATGTATACCTTGGAGCTCTTCACCACTCCTTCTTTGCCTCCGTCCAGCTTTCTCTCATTGCCCCTGAAACCTCAGGATTCCCATTGTCATTGTTCTCCCTCCAGTTTCGTACTACGTTCCTTACTCATCGTCCAGTTTGGCAGCTGATTTGTACCACGGAGATGACAACCAACGACCTCAGATCGTGCAGCTCGCAAACCAGCCAGAAGTCGGTGCCGGAAATGAACCGGTTTGGAGAGAAGGACATCTATGCGCGAGCACGGGCGGTATCGCCATATTCTCGAGGTCTCATACTCGCTCCCGATGGCAAGACGGTGCTTGATCCCCAGCCGTCCAACCACCCAAATGACCCCCTCAATTGGAGTCGCAGCAAGAAGCACATCACTCTCTTCACGATCACGCTGATCTCGTGCCTCACTGACTTCGGCTCCGCCATTGGCATTCCCACCGTCATCCCTCAGTCTTACGAGTGGCAGAGGCCTCCGGCAGAAGTCCAGCACAGCCTGAGCGCCAACATTTTCTGCCTGGGCGCCGGCGGCTTTGTCGCCATCCAACTGTCGGAATACTTTGGCCGCCTGCCCGTCCTGCTCGTCTTCCACACGCTCGGCTTGGCCACAGGCATCTGGTCCGGCGCCGCCACCAGCTACGACTCGTATCTTGCGGCCAGAGTGCTCAATGGCTTGTTCTCCGGCGTCGCCCAGTCCGGCGGCCTAATGTGGATCAAGGAAATCTACTTCTCCCACGAACACCCTCGCATGATCAATGCTTGGGCCGGCCCTGTCATCGTCTCTCCCTTCATAGGCCCCATGCTGGCGTCGTTCATGATGACCACCACGTCCTGGAGGTGGCCGTTCTGGCTTTATACAATCCTGAACGCCATTGCGCTTGTTCTGGCTGTGCTCTTCCTCGACGAGCCGCTGTTTGATCGTGAGACGCCCAACGCCGAGCGTCTGGACTGTGGATCAAGATGGCAGCGGCTGCTTGGCATCCCGCAATGGAGATCGCGACACCTGAGACCTGGCCTTCTCTCATGCCTTGCACGTCCGCTCGTCATCCTCAACAAGATCCCGCTATTGCTGATCCTGCTCTGGGGCTACTTCAACTACGCCTGGGTCATCGGCGTCAACACCACCACAGCTATCTGGCTCACTACAATCTACCACTTTCAGCCCGTGTCTCTGGGCTGCTTCTACTTCGCCGCCCTCGTTGGCGTCGGTCTCGGTCAGATCGGAGGCCACTGGCTCCACGACGCTATTGGACGATGGTTTGCCGCACGACACAACGGCAAGATCGAGCCAGAGGCGCGCCTACTCTTGTCCTATCCCGCTAGCGCACTCATGTTCGTCAGCTTGGTCATCCTGGGCCTCGCACTGCAGAACACGTGGCATTACATGGTCATCGCGGTGCGTTTTTAATCCCTCCCTTCCTCCTTCGCGTCTCGCCAGCGTATCTAACCCATGAAACGCGCAGGTCTTCTACGGCGCGCAGCTGTGCGGCCTCGAAGTCGCGATCACGGCCATCTCGGCCTTCATCGTCGACGCGTACCCAGAAGTCCCGGGCGAAACTGGCGCCTGGCTCATTCTTGTGCGCACCACGGGAGGTTTCATGGCGAGCTACATTCAGCTGCCATGGGTCCAGCGTGACGGCGCCGCCGTAGCCCTGGGCGTCCAAGCAGCCATTGGCGGCTTCACCACATTGCTCTTCCTCGTACTCTCCTTCTTCGGCAAGCAGATCAGGCAATGGCAAGGCCCGGTCAATGTCTGAGACTGTTGAACCTCCGCACGATGAGGCACGCGTTCTACTTTCTGCAGTCTTGGATTCAGGAGGTCTGATCCACGCTTTGAGACCTTCCTCTTTTATCAAGGGGAGGAACATTCCGGCACGTCGCTACATGTCTTTTTCATTTCTCATTTCTTGCATGTTCGATACCTCATAATTATCGCTTACTCTTGTAAGCAAGAAATAGCATTTAAAATACAGCGGAACTCCCTGTTTTCTCGCCCGATTCCGTAATCTGTACACGCGCGCAGCTGAAGGCTGGACAGAGCCAAGTGTAACGCTGCCCTTTGAACTTCATAAACTATCCCGCATTCCAACACCTGACCAAAACTATCGCCCAAAAACGCAGACCATGAAGAAGTAAGAAGAGCGCGCTCAAAAGTTCTACGCCGGGCTCTTTTTTCTCAGCATGTTCCTCAGCCCCAAAGACCTCTTCTCCTTACCCACATTGTCGATCGAGCCCTCCGACGCCTCTGAAATAGGGGTCGGGCGTTTGACGAACTGTCCCGTCTCAATCTCTCGGCGGCCACGCTCAGCGATGGCGTCGTACTGCGCGATCTCGTCCGAGGAGCCTCCTATTCTGCGAGCGATGCTCGAGTTGAGCGCGCCTCTGAGGGTTTCGCCGGCACCCTGGACATGTCCGCGTCAGCATCTGGCACGTTCAAAAGGAACCACGGGGGAAAAGAAAACGGAACCGAACACGCGGGGCTGCGCCGTACGTCGTGGGGGTACTTACGTGTATTCCCGCCGCGGCGGTCCTGATGCTCTGCGCCGTGCTCTGACGCGGCTGGTGACCTGTGTGTTCTCCTGGCGAGGAAGACGCGCTCCCCGGCTGAAGCGGCGGGGGCACAAGATGAGCGTCGTGTGAGGTCGTAGAGTTCGCGCTCAGCGGCGGCTGTCCGTACGACGGATCTATCGGCGGTCGTGGCCTATTTTCAGTCTGGGGCATCCGGTACGCGGGATGCTGTTGCTGGTGGTCCCAAGACGTCCTCCTCCCCCCATTTGGGGTGGCTACCGATTGTCTCCCGGGATACGAGAAGTTCTGGAGCGTCGGACTCGCGGGCGCCTCTACCGGTTGCTGAGTTTGCGGGACCGGGTAGGCGCCGTTGGGGCTTTTGTTGCGTGTCTCGCTCTTTGTAGGTATTGGAGGTGTTTTCGGCCCGGTGTTTGTCCAGGACTGCGCGGGCACTGCATGCTCTTCTTTTCGTACAATGACTTCTTCACCCGGTGGTATCTGAATGGGTTCGCCCTCCGTTGTCTAGTTTCATCTCAGTAAAAATAGTCGTTCTCATTGTGGTATACGTACTGTAGTTGTCGTTGTCACGGTCGTGGTCGTCGTCGTGATCACTCTTCCCCTAGCATCGGTCCTGGTCTGCACGGGTGCCCCTTGCATCTCTGCTTGACCCTGAGATATGGTTGGAACGGTCTGAGAGCTCACCGCAGGGCTTGCATCCGATGTCGTCTCGCTGCCGCCGTACGCAGAGTCTCTTGCATTATTCGGCACCAGACCTGATTGTCCAATGCTAGCTTCCTTGTCCTTGTTGAATGGGTTCGAGAGCCGCCATTTGGAACGCTTGTCCTTCGAAGTCTCGTCGGAGGGTGTAACAAATGACGTAGACATTATATCTATACTTCTAACGAAGCAAACAGTGGTCGACAGGTACAATCACAAATAATTTTATGTAGCACTAACTGCGAAGCATCAGCGTGGCCAAGAAGAAGAATTGAGCAGGCTGAAGTGCGCAGTTGTATTAAATCGACAACATAGACCTTGATTACCGTCATAGTCGCACATCCCAGAACATGACGCAAGGCTGCGTGAAGGGGAGGCTTTGACCCAACTCTATCTGGCTTCGGCCCAGATCGCTAAAGCTTGGGTGCGCGAGCCCCACACGTGCGGCCCTATCACAAGCAGCAACAATGTTTGCTGGGGGAAACAAGTGAACGGGCTCTGTTTGCACGGGTGTTGCATGTCGAGTATTCGCATTTGATACGTCAGCGGCACAAGTGACCCGACCCCAGCGCCAAGACCGCGCATGTGATCGGCCTCTCCGATGCTGGTCTTGGCATTATGTGGCTGTGAACGCATCCAGTGCCTCAGCTCATAAATCCCTACTGCTCACGCCAACTTGTCCCTTCCTGCCTAAAATTCTGTCAACTGCGCGCCACGACGATCGCCGCCAAAATGGTCCTTCTTGGTGGACTAGAAGTCCTCGCTGCGGGCTACCTCGTGCACCAACACCACAAAAACAAGGAAGAGAGACGAAGGCTCGAGCAGGAGGAGTGGGAAGCCGAGCGACGGAGAGCAGCCCGCCGCCACGAACGCAGGAGCGGAAGAAGAGACAAGCGTTCGGAATCTGTGCCGCCAAACGAGTATAGGCCTTCAAAAGATACGAAATACACATGCTGCTCACCGCCGCCAACGAAGTCGCGACCCGCATCGCGGCCTGCGCCGGGACAATACTGGATACCACAAGGACCTCCGCCTCCATTTCAGTACGTGCCACGGCCAGCAGCACCACAGCCAGGATTTCAATCGCAACAGCCGCTTAGAACTACGCAAAGCATGTCTCCTCTGCCACAGAAAGCGCAACCATACTTCCCACCACCGCCTACCGTGCCAGTGGCGTCACCTCCGCATCAGGCTGCCACACCGGCCGGACCGTCGACTTCGCCGGTTTCGTATGACCTTCCAGAAGACGCATACGAAATGAGTGGAGGAGAAGTTCCCGAGCAGTACCTGTATTCGAACACCCACACTCCTGAACTTCGCTCATCTTCACCGCCCCTAGGTGAGCGACCACCCGCTCGGTCAGGTCAACGCCGGGCTCGGTCAACCTCGCGCGTCAGATTCGAAGTCCCTTGGGGCGAAAATGGAGAGATGGTTCAAGTTCCAACCGGCGAAATACCGAGCTCACCGCCTCCTCCATATAGGCCATGAGAGAAGCAACGCGCTGCGTAATGGGACGGTCGGCCGGAGCTCCTAATGATGGCATTTTCTGGATCTGGATTGGGGAAGGATTCTGCTGGCAGTCTCCTTTGGAAAATCATTGTAGAGATACCCACAGGGCTTATGACATACGATTACATACAACTAGCGTACTAATAATGATATTTCGATTAATGATATCTACTTTTTTGTCAATCACGTTTGATGAACGTCGGCGTTGTGAGCAAGCGAGACCTGCAAAAAAAACTCCTCTCGTATGTGACGCAAAAATGCTGCAGTATCGTTGGAAATTCATTCGTCTCTAGAATCAAGGTGAAGCACATGCCTCATCTTCGCCGACGATAGCTCTGAGCGACCACGCGCAAGCACCTGCTTGCCTCACCGGAGCCATGATTTGATCGGGACTATACTCCTGCGTTGTTCCATTCCACAGTTCGGTCACATTTCGGTTACTCGTTTTGACGTTTACGAAGACGACGACGCTCATGTTGCGACCTTTTGCGAACGCTTTCATTAGGGTCGAAACCCAGCTTTCCACCGCCCTGTCACCGCGCGCTGAACCCGCTTTTTCGTGGCCAGATTGCACAACCTCGCACAGCTTGACGTATCTGACGAAGTCTTTTGCAATCGGAAAGGGCTCGTTCATTGCCTCGTAAGTATAGAAAGTGCCACCCCCAGCGTGCAACAGATTACGCGGAATCGCCTGGCTAAAGTTGAATTTGAAGTGATTCTGTCTATAGAACAGGTACGAGGCATCCTCGTAAATGGTCCTGCTCACTCGGAACAGGCATAACACGTTCGCGAGATCCAGCCAGGCTCCACGGACAAAGATTTTAGGAAGGTAGCAGCACAGCGGCCGATTCGTTCTTCTGTGGAGTGGCCAGATTTCAAATTTTTGGTTATGGGGAACTATCTGTAGAGACGATCAGCCCTTCCTCATCGGTCTTTGAGCTCCAGGAACCACCTACTTGTCTCAAGATGTAATGTCTAATCTCTGCCGGCAGCCTCTCAAGGGTAGACACCTCTCTCCGAATCTCTGCTCTCGACACGCTGCTTTCGTAACAGCCCTCTGTTTGATTTAGCCAATGGGGACATGAGAGTCTGGAAAACCCATACCTGACTCAATTTCGCATACCGGATCACTCGATTTCGCCAAGCTCCCATGTCGCAACTTGGGCTTCTTCGTATATGTTTTCCTAAAGGAATGATCGAATATTTCAACCGTATGCTTCTCCATTCATAAATTTTAAGGAAAGGAAGCCTCGAAACGATTGAGTGAAGTCATGGTCTCATGATTCACAAGTCCTGAACTTCGACCGGTCTGAAAGCAAGGCTGAACTTCCCCACTTGTACGACGCTAACCTTATTTGGGACTGCTGACACTATCTTTAAACCCAGCTGCTTGATTGTTCCTGAGATCAATCTCCTGTGTCTGTCATGACTTCGAAGAGGCCGCACACTCCTCAATGCCTCCAAAGCGGCCGGTACCTTCAGATGATAGCGTTGTAACTCCCGCGAAAGTCTTCATATCAGAATCGATTCACGATCGTAAATCCGTCTTTGTGGGCTACTTCGCGCCTGATCATGTAACACCAAAGGACCTTCAGGCTCGTGATGATGTGAAATCTGCTTCTCACAGGGTAGTGGCATGGCGTCTCCCGTCGAATCAAAAGACGCTCTTTTCGAGCTCACGGCCTATCTTCAAATCGGGCCATGATGACGACGGGGAGCAATGGGCCGGTCGGAAGATCGAGAACCTGATGGAACAGCTGGATATTCAGGGGGTAATTATGGTTGCGAGGTGGTATGGTGGTGCGCTTCTCGGCCCCGTTCGATTCAAGCATATCGAAGACGTTGCTAGGGGTGCTGTGGATGCATGGCGTAGTGAAATAAACGGCGGCCCCCTAAAAAAGTCAAGACTCGACAGCGAAGCCGGTGCGGCTGTGGGAGCGACAGCCTCAAACCAAACTATGAGACCAGAGGAGCTTCAACGGCGTAAGAAGGAAATCATTGAGACCCTGCGGCGTAGAGATGAGAGCATTGTCACCCTACGACAGCTCCTGGAAGAGAAGAGGGGAGTGAACAAGCCCAAGTCATCAGCAGGCAGAGGTAATGCTTCGCCGAGTACATCTGTGAATTACGAATCCATGCCGTACAACAGACTTCATGCGCTGGAGAACGCACGCGACATGACAATCGGTTTCCTGCTCAAGGAGATTGACAAGGCTGAAGCTGAAGCTAAAATTCGAAAGGAGGAAGAAACTCAGAAGCAGGAACAAACAGAAGCAGCTCTGAGGGCTGAAGAAAAAGAGGAGCTTGAGCTGGACGAAGCGTGGGCGGAGATGGAAAGTGCATTAAATGCAGTCAACGCTTCGAAACACGACACATAAGTTTACGAATATTGCATTGACATGGATCATGTCATCGGCTCATCTAGTCAAGTCAATTGACATGATTCAATGATTGTTTGACCAGAGCATTGAAGTGATCCCTGCGGACAGAACTCTCAGCTTTGTATTCGTGGTTTTTCTCGGCCTCTTCCCTGTTCCGCTACATTCATGTATACCGGAAAGAGATGTTGGAGCCTTGAGTATTTTCTTTGACGTCAATTCTGCTGCGGTAATAGGCTCTTATATCCTCATGTTGCATTCAGCATGTGACTGAGCTTTGTTGACCAAAAAAGGTTTCGCAACAATTGAAGGGAAGTCTCGCACTAAGCATGGGACTTTAGGCAGTTCCTATTGTCCAGAGAAGATGATTCTAATGTACTCGTACCCTTTCATTCCGATAAGTTTGTCATCTGCTGAGGCGTATGGTCCTGGGAAGCTAAGCATTCTTCTATTCCAACACTATAGAAAATGGTCCTTCTCATCCAATATTTTCAGTCAGTGTAGCTATTTGTCACTATTGAACAGAGCCCGAATCTGTTGCTTCACGAGAACGCCGATTAAATATTGGCTTAATTGCTGGCGCCATGATGAGAGTTGTGGCGCAACTACATAGTTTGGAGAAGTACAATTTAGTATAGCGACTCATGACAGCTACGAGATATTTAAGAATCGAGATATGAGTTCGTTTCGCCTCAATTGACTATGCAGATGTCTTTCCCAATGATACTATTTGGTGGAAGTGGTAATCTTAAGAATCTCAAGGGCGAGTTAGCGGTGACCGTGCTAGTGCAGTTCTACATGTACAGTAATGCATGGGCGTGCCAAGACTTCCGCCCCGGTCTCCACAAAAATTTCATAGTCAACGCTTGGATGCTTGGAGTCATAGCCATAGCTGAGCAAAGATAGTTTTCGTGTATATAAATCCCGCACACGGTATTCTGCTCTCTTGACGTTCATTATTCGGTCAATTGGCTTGTATGCTCTGTATTCTGATCTGAAAGGGCGTCCTTTACTTCACAAATTGCATCAACTGATACCGCGCCCGTTTAATTAAATCCAATCCACTACCCCGCAAGCGGACACTGGCAATATGTCTAAAAAGACTGTACTTCACCTGCGGAGTGAAACCAAGTTGTACGAGCATAGATCATGTTTGACACCGTCCACCACCAAGGCCCTTATTGACAGCGGCCGTTTTGAAGTTCACGTCGAACGCTCGCCCTCGAACCCAGACCTCAAGCGCATTTTCGATGACGAGGAGTTCGAAAAGGTCGGCGCTAAGCTGGTGGAGAACAATTCATGGCCTAAAGCGCCGAAAGACCATATCATAATTGGCTTGAAGGAGCTCGACCCAGAGTCGTGGCCGCTGATTCACACACACGTTCAATTCAGTCATTGCTACAAGGGACAGGCTGGGTGGCAGGAAGTGCTGTCTCGCTTCCCCAGGGGCGGTGGCACGTTGCTTGACCTTGAGTTCCTCGAAGTGAATAAGCGCCGAGTAGCGGCATTCGGATTCCATGCTGGTTATGCTGGAAGCGCTCTGGCGTTGAAGGCTTACGTTCACCAGCTGGAACACAACGGCGAGCTACTTCCGTCCGTCGCAACATTCACCGACGGAAGAGGGTACTACGAAGATGAGGGGCAGATGCTCAGCCAGCTGCGAAGCGAGCTGAAGCGGGCAACCGAGATCAAGGGTCGTCCGCCTACTGTGTTTGTCATGGGTGCACTCGGTCGTTGTGGTCGTGGAGCAGTCAGTTTGTTCGAGAAGGCTGGTCTGCCAACAGAGAACATCATCAAGTGGGATATCCAGGAGACGAGCCAGAAGCAGGGACCGTACCAAGAGATTGTGGACAGTGACATTTTGTGAGTCCTATCAACTAGTCAATCGCAATGAGTCCTTACTAACGAGTTGCAGCGTAAACTGCATCTACCTCTCCCAGCCTATACCTCCATTCATCAACAAGGAGATCCTCTCGCAGCCGTCTCGCAAGCTGTCGGTAATCTGTGATGTCTCTTGCGACACCACAAACCCTCATAATCCTATTCCGGTCTACACAGTCAACACAGTCTTTACTGCCCCAACAGTGCCAGTAGAGCTGCCTAACAACGAAGGATCACCATTAAGTGTCATCTCCATCGATCACTTACCCTCGCTGCTGCCAAGAGAGTCGAGCGAGGCTTTCTCGAATGACTTGTTGCCTTATCTATTGCAGCTCGACAACTGGCAGAGTTCTGATGCGCCGGTATGGCAAGGCGCAAATGAATTGTTCAAGGCCAAGGTTGCAACCTTGCCAGAAAACATGCGGCAGCTCGAGGTTACCGAGGCGTAGGGTCAAGGTCATGTTGCAAAACTTCATGATTAGGTACGCAAGCAGTGATCAAACAGTGTTCTAGACAAAATTTAGCCAGTATCGCAAGATAACAAAAAAAAATATGAATTATGAAGGTTCCGAGTACGGTATTGGGCACCCTCATGTCATAAAGTCTGTGCCTAATTCTTCCATACAACTTTACAATGTACTGTCGAAGCATAAAATGATATCGAAAGTCCTACGCATGGCCTTCACGTGTATCCGTCCCTCATAACTTTTTGAAGGGTAGGGGGCACAGCTGTGTACAACAATACTGCGTTCGCTAGGCTGTAGATTATATCTTATTTTTTGCAAGGCATTCAAACGGCTTACGGGAAATTACACCTCTTCATCAACACGAGAAATTCTTCTCAGCTTTGCGGGAGACATCAACTGGACTTGCACCCAAGGCGTTGCAGATACTTGAAGCTAATGTCTTGCTGAGTTGTCAGTCTCTATATCGCAGGCTTTTCACCCTTCAGTGCCTTCTTTAGCATCTCAATCTGCTCCCTCACCGCACTTCGGCTCGTTCCACCGATGCTTGTCCTCTGCTCAACGCTGCGTTGGTAGTCAAACACAGATTTGACGTCGTCTCCAAATCTCTTATCAACGTTTTGCAACTCCTGGACGGTCAGCTGATCCATCGGTCGCTTTTCTCGCTCTGCAAGTGCGACCACGCGGCCGGAGATGTGATGCGTTTCCCTGAATGGCACGCCCTTTCGGACTAGATACTCTGCAAGATCAGTTGCCAGCATGTCTGGCGTGAGCGCCGCCTCCATCTTTTCCGGGAAGATTGTGAGGGTGCTAAGCACGCCCGTTGCGATCTGTATGCTGTCGCCAACAGTCTTCACATGATCGAGCATGAGCTCCCACGATTCCTGCAAATCCTTGTCGTAGGTGGAGGGAATGCCTTTGCAGACCATCATCAGGCCAGCCAGCTGACCAAATGCGCGACCTGCTTTACCTCGCAACAGCTCGAGCGAGTCTGAGTTCTTCTTTTGAGGCATCAGAGATGAGCCTGTGGAGTATGCGTCCGCTAGCTGAACGAATCCAAACTCTGCAGTGCCGTAGATGATGAGATCCTCCGACATGCGAGATAGATGGATCATGAGCATGGAGCCCCACTGCAGAGTCTCGATGATGAAGTCTCGATCTGCTACTCCAGCCATGGAGTTAGGCAGCACGGCATCAAAGCCGAGTTCTTTCGCCATGGAGACGCGATCGATGCCAAATGGGTTACCTGCTAGTGCACCGAATCCCAGGGGTGATCTGTTCACCCGCTTCCTCGTTTCTCGCAGCCGCTCCAGGTCCGTCGCCAGCTGCGAACCATATGACATAAGCCAATGCGACCATCTCACAGGCTGAGCTCGCTGCAGATGCGTGTAGCCTGGCATGACATGCTCGATCTCGGCCTCGGCCCTCTGCGCTATAACCTCGAGGAGATCGACCAACCAGCCCTCCAGCTGTAGCAGCTGCACATTCAACCACATGCGCATGTCTGTTGCGACCTGGTCATTCCTGCTCCTCCCCGTGTGCAGCTTACCCCCGATTTCTTTGCCGATGATCTCGCCAAGTCGCCGCTCGTTAGCGGTGTGTATGTCTTCGTCTCCGGGCTTCACCTGGAAGGTGCCATTTTCCCATTCTGCCTTGACTGCCAGAAGGCCCTCCTCGATCTTCTTAAATTCTTCTTGCGTGAGGATTCCGGTCTTTGTGTTCGCGCGGGCGTACGCTATGCTTCCCGCTATGTCTTGAGCATAGAGGGCACGATCGAATCGTAGCGATTCATTGTACTGCTCCATCAGAGGGTCGAGGCCGCCTAATGAGCAGTTATTAGCAAGATGAACGACAGTGCTAATCGATAGTGCCTACCCGTGAAGCGACCTCCCCACAATTTCGTCTCAATTGGTTTCGATCCACTGGAAGCCATATTGCGATCGTAAAAGAGCGCAAAGTCGTTAAGCAATTGCGATGACGATAATGATGCCTCGAAAATGTGTTATCACAAACTATGAGGCAACCTTCTACCTTCCGCAGGTGTTATTAGTCAATCGACGGCGAATTGGGTTAGACAGGCATGTGCAAACTCTGTTCTTCAGCCTGATTGAGAAAAAGTATAGAGTCATTTTTCTGTGCAGGGATCCGGAGCTCTTCCCGTTTGATAGCGCTGGGCTGAATTGTGGCTGGACCAGATCCTGGTGAGGGAAACGGACCAAGGTGGGGATTTTGCTACGAGTGACGAAGGATTGTCTCACGCCGCCGTGGTCATTTTCTTCCGGGTTACGTTCGGAGTGGCTCTTTTTCTGATCCTGATTTCTATAGCACACTTAAAATGCAATTGATCGAGTGAGAGTGAGTCAGTCCATTCTATTGCCCGCTTCGATTAGGATTTGTTTGAATCAAAGTTGAAAGAGCTTGGGGCGGCTTAAGTCCAACACGGGAAGAATTTTTTTCTCGACCACAATCACACCTTGCTTCGCTTCTCAACACCCGCCGTAATCAGCTCTCTGACGAAGGAATTTGCAGGATCACAATGGCAAATCGTGTGGTTGGTGTTCTAGGTGGTGGTCAGCTTGGCCGCATGCTGGCTGAGGCTGCCAACCGAATGAACATACGTGTCGTTGTTCTGGACAAAGAGGCTGCGCCTGCTAAGAAAATCACAAATCATGATGCCCATATCACAGGCTCGTTCAAGAGCGAAGCCGACATCCAAAAATTGGCCGACATCAGCGATGTCTTGACGATTGAGATCGAGCACGTGGACGCATCCATGTTGGAGAGAATGGAGCAAAAGGGGATGAAAGTGGAGCCGAGAGCCAGAACGATTGCGACCATTCAGGACAAATATTTACAGAAATTGCATCTGATCAACGCTGGTGTGAGCGTCGCTGAAAGCATACCTTTGAAGGCAGGATCGGAGGATGAGCTGAAGCACATTGGCGGCGTTTTTGGCTATCCGTTTATGCTCAAAACTCGAAAAGACGCATACGATGGCCGGGGAAATTTCCCAGTCAAGGATATCAAGGATATTCCGGCTGCTGTCAAGGCCTTGGGTGGTCGAGGAGAAGGCTCGCTCTACGCGGAGAGATGGGCCCCTTTTGTGAAGGAGCTTGCTGTGATGGTGATCAACACCCAAAGTGGCTCCAAGGCCTTCCCCGTTGTAGAAACGATTCATGAGAACAGCATTTGTAAACTTGTGTATGCCCCTGCTCGTGGAGTGTCCAATGCGGTCCTACGAGCAGCGCAGGATCTGGCACGGAAGGCTGTCTCGAGCTTCCAGGGCAAGGGGGTCTATGGTGTTGAAATGTTTCTTCTCCCCAACAATTCGTTGCTGATCAATGAGATTGCTCCTCGACCGCACAACTCCGGGCATTACACCATCGAGGCCTGTCCCCTATCTCAGTATGACGCACATTTGCGAGCTATCCTCGATCTGCCGATCCCAGATGAGAGTCTTCAGTTACGCGAACCGGCTATAATGTTGAACATTCTAGGAGGAAAGACAAAAGATGCTCATGTTAAGCTGACCTACGATTTTGCTCTCGCAAATCCAAGAACCTCAGTCCATCTTTACGATAAAGGCGACGGTACTTCAGGTCGAAAGATGGGTCACGTTACCGTCACAGCGAAAACGATGAGCGAATGTGAAGCTCTTATTGCGCCGTTAATACATCAGGTTGATATCCTCTCCGGCGTTGCACATCCTGCCCCTGAATCAATCAAGCGGAGCCCCCTTGTCGCCGTGATTATGGGCTCTGACAGTGATCTACCTACTTTGAAGCCTGGACTTCAGCTGTTAAAGGACTGGCAAATTCCATTCACGACACAAATCACAAGTGCTCATCGCACGCCTGAATACATGGCATCTTTCACTGCTGAGGCTGCGGCGAAGGGAATACAAGTCATAATTGCTGCGGCGGGAGGTGCGGCGCATTTGCCTGGTATGGCAGCCGCACATACATCTTTGCCTGTGATTGGTGTCCCAGTGAAGGGCAGCTCCTTAGACGGTGTGGACTCTCTATACAGCATTGTTCAGATGCCGAGGGGGGTACCTGTGGCGACGGTCGCTATCAACAACAGTCTCAACGCTGCCCTGCTAGCCGCGAGAATACTTGGAGTTGGAGATATTCGGATCAGAGAAAAAGTGGAGGCCTACGCAGCGGCAGCGAAGATTGAAGTCGGAGGGAAAGATAAGAAATTGATGGAGATTGGATGGGAACAATATCTCAAAGAGATGGGTAAATAAAATCCAGCAAATTTTTGTGCTACCTGCATACCCCCAACAACTGGCTGACGAGATGTTTCGGCTGAAAGCCTGTCAAAGATCATAGAGATACGTATCACTCAACGAATGCAGCGGTGCTAAATATTTCAAATATGAACCAGGCGTCTTTTGCTGTTTCCTACGGATATGCGCCTCTACTGCACATCTTTAGTTCTTCGGTCACTTTTGCAGATTCGGAAGGGGATGCTCGGACCAAAGTGTTTAAAGAATTTCATACACAAAGGTTTCGTCTTTGTCACATCGCTTCCCGTCGAGAGCTTTTGGCGGGGTCTGCAAAAATCCATGGATTTGGCCGTCTTTCTCGTCTCGAAGTGTCGGCCAGGGAACATCTCTCCGTCGTTTGGAATTTGGGGTCTGCCATAAATACATCGCGACCGGGAGATCTAGACCAATGGTGAAACATTGAAATTCTGAAGTGATTTGTTAACAGTCCTCCATAGGCGAACGAGACACCACATGAATACAGCCGGGAAATATTGTTGACCCCTTGGGGGTACGGGTCAAAATTTGGACTACACAAATGGCAAAATCAATGTACGCAAATTTAGGTACACTTTACTAGTCACTCCCGCCTGGTAGTCAGTGACTGAGCCAAACTCAAAGCCAGTGCTTTGGTTTCTAGTGTGTGCTTCTTCGCTTGTGGAGAAAATCTCCGCCTGCATTAGCAGAGTGTGTATATTGCAGCGGCAAGGCTCATCATGGAAGCTGCTGCTAAGTCGGGGATTGAAAATTATCATAGGTGATGAGAATTTCAGCACAAGGGGGCGCTATAGCAGATTTACCATCCGATGCATGATAGAGATCTCAAATGCACAGAGACTTATATCATCTCCTGGGAATCGAGACAGCTCTGTTCAATAAGATACGATAAAATGTATTGGCACATCACACCTTCTTGTCATACAAGCTTACACTCGTCAGCAAGGACGAGAGAAGGAAATGAGGTTTAAGACTTTGAAGTAAAGAGAACAAGACAAGAAAAAGCACGTTGGGCATATATTCTGAACACCTTCTGGTCATCACGAAGATAATATTAACGACATGTACTTGCGTCCAATATTTGGTTGAGTCTAAGTTTCTGCATAATAGAATGTAGGAAATCGGTAATATGCACATGTTGGAGGTTAGATTCGACTGCGGAAGCCACACTATACTTTCTCAAAGCGGTTAGCGGCATCTGGCCTCCAGGCGGACGGAGCTTCATCATCGCTTTCAGTATCCTCGCCACGTCCAGCATCCTTTCAAACACATTTCTTTGACTTATCCGTCCCTTGCACGCTCCTTTATACACATAACGTATTTTCAAAATGAGCTCCAGCGACCCAGAGAGAGATCACGCGCTGCAAGAATACAAGGCCAAACTTCTAGAATCAAGAGAATGGGAAAGTAAACTGAAGGCGCTACGGCTAGAGATCAAAGCCTTACAGCGTGAATACGATGTGAGCGAGGAAAACATCAAAGCATTACAATCAGTGGGCCAGATAATAGGAGAGGTGCTCAAACAGCTGGATGATGAGAGATGTATGACGCTCGTTCTACCCATTATTCAAAAGCCGAAGCAACTAACTCATCCCACAGTTATTGTGAAGGCGTCGTCTGGCCCGCGTTACGTTGTAGGATGTCGCTCTAAACTGGACAAGACCAAACTCAAACAAGGAGTTCGCGTCGCCCTCGACATGACCACTCTCACGATAATGCGAATGCTGCCTCGAGAGGTCGATCCGCTTGTTTACAACATGTCGCTGGAAGACCCTGGTCAGGTAAGCTTCGGCGGTATCGGTGGCTTGAACGAACAGATCCGCGAGTTAAGAGAAGTCATTGAACTGCCTCTCAAAAACCCAGAGTTGTTCTTAAGAGTAGGCATCAAGCCGCCAAAGGGCGTACTGCTATATGGGCCGCCGGGCACAGGCAAAACACTATTAGCCAGGGCAGTCGCAAGCAGTCTCGAGACGAACTTCCTTAAAGTTGTCTCGTCAGCTATCGTGGACAAGTATATCGGAGAGTCAGCTCGGCTGATTAGAGAAATGTTCGGCTATGCGAAAGAGCACGAACCTTGCATCATCTTCATGGACGAAATCGATGCAATCGGTGGCAGAAGGTTTTCTGAGGGCACATCTGCAGATCGTGAGATCCAGAGAACGCTCATGGAGCTGCTCAATCAGCTAGATGGTTTCGATTACTTGGGCAAGACGAAGATCATCATGGCAACGAATCGTCCGGATACCCTTGATCCAGCGTTACTTCGTGCCGGTCGTTTGGACAGGAAAATCGAGATCCCGCTGCCAAATGAAGTCGGACGGTTGGAGATTCTGAAGATTCATGCTAGGAATGTGGTGACGGAAGGCGAGATTGATTTTGAGAGCGTGGTGAAGATGAGTGATGGCTTTAACGGTGCCGACTTGCGAAACGTGGTGACTGAAGCGTAAGTCTAAGTCCGTTCCTAACCATGCACTTTCTAGTGCTAACGGGGATTAGTGGTCTCTTCGCTATCAAAGAGTATCGAGATGCAATCAGCCAAGACGACTTTAACAAGGCTGTACGTAAAATGGCAGAGACGAAGAAGCTGGAAGGCAAGCTCGAATACCAGAAGTTATGAGTGGTTAAAACTGGAGCAGGACATTCAATCTGCCCATATTCGAGGCTGGGATGGTTTGATCTCTGGCTTGGCTTGCTACATAACCACCACAAAAAGACAGTCATGTCTGTGACAGCATCAATGAAATGCTTGATAAGAGCATTTTTGCATTGTGTGGCGTATCATATTCGAAAAGCAAGAGCAAGGCGCAGGCTTGTATACTATGTATGAGCGAACCATGCAGAACTATCATAGTTTTAAGAGCTAGACAAATGATATAATGCTACTTTTGGCTCATCTATCCCTAGGTTCTGTGCAATTTTCTGACTAGCTCTTATGCTAGGTACATTGTACCTTAGTTCAAGCTCGTTGAAGAAATTGGGTGATTCAGACATCTTTCTGAACCCTGCCTTTTCAAATAGCTTGATACTTTTGTCATTGCCAGCATCGATTTTAACTCGTAAGTATTTCATCGCTCTTTTCGTACTTCTCGAGGACTTGGAATACTCGCTTATTATCTCGTCCAAATGAACGAATAGATACCACAAAAACGTACGCAAGATCGTCGTCCCAATGCCTTGCCCATGCATGTCTTTTCTTGCGACCATTATTTCTACCTCCCCAACGCACAAGTCGCATTCTCCATCTTCCTCGCTCTCGAATATAAACAAATTTACGTCTCCCACCATCTTCTGATCCCCATCCACGTCCGCCTTCCCACCAGCTAATTCAAGGCGTCCGTCATCATTCCGGAGCAAGCCGTCCGGTGGCAAGCAGGCGATAAAGGTAAGCTTATCAGCGTCCTCACGCCAGGATTTCTGCATAGAGTATTCCTGAGCTAAGGTAAGCGGCTCAGAGGCAGTAGCCTGCTGCAATGAAGTATCTTGCATCCACTCATGATACGTGGGCACATGATGAGCGCTGTACGGGACGAGGCAAATGCGCGAAGTCAGAATTGCTAAGTTCACATCAACAACTCGATTCTTGAGATTTTTGCAGTTTGTATTTACCAACTTGCTCGTTCAGTTTCATCTTCGTGCTCGATTGGTCGAACTTTCCTTTTAGCTCTTAGAACTACACGGCGTCTAGAAAAAAAGTGGACAAAGTCAATCCATCAAATACCATACACGGAGAGCTTGTGTAGCGTATAGTAATTGCATTGAATCAGTGTGTCAAAGGAACGTGAATTTCACCTTTGTTTTGTTCCACACCGAGGTGGACTAATTTTCATTCCTCTCGTTCAACCGACTCACGTGACAGTGCATTATAATTCGTAAAGGTTAATGATTGTTTTCGCTTAAAATTTAACTTATGCTTCCTTAAAGATAGATGTCATAAGCAGTAACTTATATCGTATCTCTGAAATGCTCTGGTCGCAAAAGTGCTGAAGCATGATCGGGTTATCCTTGGCTTAGACCAAGACTTTGGAATGTAGTTGTCACCACGGACAGCCTGATTCCAATGTTGTTTGCATTTTTGTTTCGCGGCATCTTGGATCTTTGAAGAATGGGATATCAGCTCAGAGAACCGAGAATGCACAATCTTTTGAGAAGAAATCGAGAATGTAGCTGATCCCCGAGGCCTTGTGGTGATCAGGAAACGATGGATCCTTCAATATTCCCACCTACCTGAGAACCTCAAACAGTCGATATGATGACCTTGATTCTTCATGCTTTTAAAATTTCTCCTGGATCCACATTTTGGCTTTCCATACTTCCGGCTTCTAGTCTGCCTTTTTCTACGGTTCGTCCAAAAGGCCTTTATTTGTTCTTTTCCATCTTGATCTACAGCCAGAACGCTCCAGATGCATCGTCACTATGAAGCCAAAACCGTTGGTCTATAGGCGTAATTACCAGCATAACCCAGCGCTTTCTGGCTCTAGGAGATTAGCTCAATTGTTACATAATTTTCTTGCATTCGTTGTAGAAGTCGGTTTGGCTAGTCCAACTTTTGGCATTGCCTTCATGTTCACTGTCTTGCAACTTATGTGTGTCACAAACTCGGGCTAACACTAATTCGAAGGACTCTGTGAGCACCACTGAACGCAGAGATAATTGCGCGCTACGAAATCCGTGATTAGGGTTTGCATCAACGAAGACATGGCTGGAGAGGAAACCATTCCTACCTGATACAAGACAAAAAAGTGGGGCCGACATGTGGATGGCGTCGCATGGCAGACATACTTTCAGCCGTAGCTTCTACCTCTATCGCGTTGAAGACGGCATGATTAGATTCACAGGCTGATTTTCCGCGCTCATTCAAATGCGTGACGGCTTCTGTGCATTTTTTGATCAGAAAACTCTTGTTGTTTTCGTTAAAGGCTTTCCTTCATGTGAAAGCAGCAACACTCCCTTATGTTAGAGGAGAAGCGAACAATCCTAGTGACAGGCGGTGCCGGTTTTGTTGGAAGATGGATCGTCAAAGCTCTTTGTGATCAGCTACCGGAATTCAAGGTCGTAGTACTAGATCGACAGAGGAACAATGATTGGAATGCAGCTATCGAACTTGTCCAAGTCGACATCACTGACCCGGCTACGGTCCTTAGCTGCTTCAACACTGTCAAACCTATGGCAGTTATCCATTCAGCAGGCAGTGTACCAAATGTTGCGAAACGCTACGATAAGAGCAGAAAGGCTTTCGAGTGCATGTATGCCGTCAATGTCGGCGGAACGAAGAACGTCTTGGAAGCAGCCCGCGCTGTTGGTGTCCGTTATTTCATATACACAAGCAGCGTCACCGTGTTGGTTGACGACCTCTCAGTTGATCATCCAAATATGACAGAAGATCTTCCGACTGGGCATGCCACATTGCCATATGGGAGGACGAAGGGTATTGCTGAGAAGATGGTCCTTGACGCAAACAGAGATGATTTCAAAACATGCGCCTTAAGGCCATCCGTAGTATTTGGCCCCGGGGATGAGAACTGCATACCTACGATTCACTCATGCATTGCAAAGGGTGAAACTCCATTCGTCATCGGCGATCCTTCCAAGTCACTCTACGATTTCACATATGTCAGCAACGTTGCTGATGCCCATGTTCTGGCATTGAAGAACCTTACCTCAACAGGCACGGCTGCGGGACGGCCATTTTTCATTACAAACGGGGAATCCATCTCGTTTCGTGGATTTTGCCTTGCTATCTGGCGCGAGTTCGGACATGTGCCTAAATGTGAACTAAAGATACCATTGCCTCTTGCTTGGTCCGCTGGATTGGTGGCTGAGATTACTACGTGGATAACGGGCGGAGCGTCCTCTATAAGCAGAGGCAGTGTGAGGGAGTTAACCATGACCGCGTATAGCAGTATTGAAAATGCAAAGAGAATTCTGGGATACGAGCCGAGAGTCAAGCTTGAAGAAGGAATCAGGCTCAGTTGTGAGGTGTGTTGTCCATGCTCTGAATATGATCTGACGATCTGGAACTGATTAACACGGTGTTAGGACTTCGCCCGTCGTATCGCTACGTCAACGAAAAGTGAAGGGAAAAAATGAGTACAGACGCATACAATGCAGCACTCTCCGACGGTAATTTGTCCTGCTACTTACGACCGTCGCGATACATTTATTGATTTGAGGCCAACGATAAGAGACATATTCGCTCGTCGAATATGAATGCAAATTTGTGTGAAATGAAACAGCCTATCTATTAGCTTGATGGGTCATAAAATCTATCTTGTATATGCTGTGGTAAGAATATACAGACTAAATTTATGTGGTTTTGATCTAAGACACTCGAGTCCATGTATTTGTAAACAAGCATAACCATCACCTGCGTTCGGTAGAACTTAGGCAACAATTCACGAAATCCTCTGCTTTTCCATAGTTTCGAAGCCGTCAATCAAGCCATTGGCAAATGTTTGCATTTGCAACATTTCTGTACTACATAATTTGAAGGTCAACGCCCATAAGCCTATTTCTTATGAGAGTCGTAGATGACCTAGCGGCTCTGGATCTGCTTGTATTGTCTCGTAACGGTGTGATCAAGATCGATCGAGGGTAACACAATGCCGCAGTATATCACGCGCGTACAGTTGTTCGTATGGATCCTTCGGCGAGAATTAAGATAAAGCCAATGGTAATATGTAGCCCTTTCCGGAGGTGCCTCAGGCCAGGAAAGAACCGCAACTGCCTTCAGAAAGCTTGCAAGACAATCACATGTCTCAGCCAACGCCAGCACTTCTTTCCCACACTTTAGCACTCCCGTCTGTCTTGACTAAGTACAACAGTTCTTGCTCCTTCCACTCTTTGAATCCTTCGTTCTCATCCTCGTACGCCCCACCCTTCGTAACCCTCAGCACACCCCCAACGTCACCCGCAGCACCAGTGTCTAGGCCTCTTGCGCTGATGACTAGATCGGCAGAGTGGGCCATCCCCACAAGAAATGCCTGACTGTCGGTCTCTAGCTGAGAGGGTATGTGCTGTTCAGGTCTGGCAGAAGGCAGGGGGACTACGTCGGAGGAGAGATTTAGGACCGTAGCGTGGACACGGGAGTTGAGACGCAGGGAGAGGATCATCGACTGCAGTGCAGAGGATAAAGAGGAGCTTGAGGCACACGACGTGGAACTCCGAAGCGCGAGGATCATGTCTGGTGCGTCCAGGATGAGCAGCGTAGAGGATGTGTTAAGAGAAGCTATCGCGGACTCGATCGCAGCGCGGACGTTTTTCAGGTCTGTAGAAGGTAAATTTATGGCGAGTTTGGTAGCCGGCAGAGTTGACTGTGTCGCTGAAGCAGCCTGCACCGGTGTCTGCACTGGAGGTGGAGGACCTCTCGCTGGAAGTGTGGTTCGAACTGATGGGAAAGGCTGCTTCAGTACGTGTGTATCCCGGATTTGAGTCGCCGGGCTCGTAGAGACCGTCGGCATCGACGAGGACAGCCCATCTATATAGATGAATTTCTTTTTTTGCGACAGAGAGGCTAGATCAAGTCCCTAGATATGTCTGGTTAAGCTCTTGTTTCGTCCAAACACATGCAATGCTGCAACGTACTCCTGTCCTACGGGTTTCGGCTTTCCAGAAGTCAAAGTCCCGCATCCAGCTCACAAGTATCACACCTACATCTTGCCTATCTTGCGCGTCCGCAGCGGTGGGATTTCCCGACTCTACTTGAGAAAGGGATCTCCCCAGGTTCGATGCGTCATTGCTCAATGCACCACAAAGGTAGCGCACCACAAGCCAATTCGTGCTGTTGCTCAGTGTGTTTGTGAGCAATATTAAACTATCATTAGGCACATTATTAATGTACGGTGCAAGGTGTTGCGGAATCCGCGAAGTTGATGTCATGGTCTGTGTGAAAATACTATGGAACGACAATTTTGATAGGTGAGATTCCAATACCAAAAAAGTGTTCCACATACACTTGGCCCTTCACCAAATCTCCAACAGGCACACCAAACTTAGAATTGCGGCATAACATTCGCGGATAATTTCTCTACAAATGCCTCTAAACGCATATACACTTATTCAAAAGTTCTCTTCTTCAATCCCCCACCCGCAGGCGAGCAAGATTAACGAAAAGAAGTCTGCGAAAAGCCAGTCAGACCACCATCGTCGCCCGTCCAGAGTGGCCGCGCGAACGCAAGGCGCCAGCACTGGACAAAGATCATTTCCACAATCCGCCGAAGCAGACGCAAAAGGGCATTCCCGTGAAGGAACAGTCCATATTTCATCACCCTAGGGCAACGAGGCCAGCAGTCATCAGCCAGGTTGTGGATACTGTGGCTCTGGTAAGAACCTTAGTAAGGGACGTTTACTATAGAAATGATTCTATGAACTATTGCAAGACTCTTGTTAGCCATTACTCCACGCAGCTTACATGCTAGAGCGGCTTTGCGGATGCCGCTTGGGGATGGGGATCACTCACGTAAAGTCGACTAAAGAAGAGAAAAGAAGATACAAGCAAAGCCAGAAGTTTATGCGGATGGTGCACGGATCACCAGGGATGCTGATGATATCACGTGACGATGATACACCTTTGCCGACCTCCGCAGCCAATGAGGAGTGGGCAGTCTTTTGACCGGCGATGTCGTGAAGATTCCCGCTTGACGGTCGGCTACCTTTGGCTCTCAGACGAGCACGGCTCGTATCGGCATTGCCAGTCCAATTAACTGCCTGTGGCTATGATTGTGTACCCTTCTGTCTGATTTCTTGCGGGCATTGCAGCACCATCCACCATGGCGCCCGCCAAGGGGAGTAACCTTAAGCGAGGATTGGTGAGGACCATTATTTCAACAAGAATCGGATTTATACAAGAACAGAAGACTGACGCTCAACACCGATTCCACGCAGCCCCCTTCAGTCGGCGAAGAAGCGAGTGACCTGAAGAAGGTGCGGCGATCTGAACGATTGTCGTCACAGAATGATGATCGCACGCCTGTTACGAAGGGTGCTCTCCCGTCGCCATTGACGCACCAAGACTCGACCACGACCGAGGCTTATGATCACAGCAAGGAGGCAACAGCGACTCCCCCAAGCCAGACGGATGTCATTCCCAGCTCGCAGTACATATCACCCTCAAGGAGCACTGGCTTCAATCGACTTTTTCAGTACAGTCCTCAGCACGACACACAGACGCAGCCCTTCTCGCAGTTCTTACCACCATTAGCCCTCACTTACGAAGTCGAAGATGAGGAGGCAGAGGGCGTCTGGGGTTACATGGTGCCGATCGACAGAAACGGCGGTGACCCGTTGGTCCTAAAACATCGCGACGCCTGCCCAAAGACAGAGATGTCGCTCCCTAGCAAGAAAGAAAAGAAAAAGGTACCTAAGAGTCAGTACACGAAGCAAGAAGACGAGTACGAGAAAAAGAAGGTCACTGGCCTTGCCTCGAGTGGATATCTGATAGGCAGACATCCTGAATGCGGTAAGTTCATTCGTGATGAGCACCTCAGGCATCGTAGAGACCGTGAGCTAATCCAGGCCATATGGGCTAGACCGTATCATCGGAAGTCCCACAGTCAGTAATAGACATTGCCTGCTGTTCCCGGAAACGACGAGCGGCACTACCACAGCTATCCTAGAAGACCTCTCTGGAAACGGCACGTTTGTCAACGACCAGCTCGTAGGTCGCAACAAGAGACGACAGTTGCAAGATGGTGACGAGATCAGCATACTAGGCGAGGCCAGGTATTGCTTCAGATATCCTCGCAACAGGGAGTCAAATGGCTTCAGACAGCAATATACAATCCAAGAACAGCTTGGAAAGGGTCACTTTGCCAGCGTTTACCTATGCGTGGAGAAGAGTACGGGAATGCGCTATGCCGTCAAGAAATTTGAAAAGAGAGCCGGGCCTGGTGAGCGCAGTAAAATCGAGGGTCTTCAGCAAGAGATCGCAGTGCTCATGGGCGTAAGCCATCCAAATTTGTTGTGCTTGAAAGACACCTTTGATGAAGATGACGGTGTATATCTCGTTCTGGAACTTGCGCCCGAGGGCGAGTTGTTCAACTACATTGTCATGAAGCAAAAGCTTTCGGAAGCGGAGGCTCGGAAGGTATTTGTCCAACTGTTTCAAGCTGTTAAATATCTTGTAAGGCTTCTCGCACCCCCTTATTTTTCCAGCCAAGTTCTGACCTTTGTATAGCACGAGCGAAACATCGTTCACAGGGATATAAAACCGGAAAACATTCTTTTGTGCGACAAGGAACTCACTGTAAAGCTTGCAGACTTTGGCTTAGCAAAGATCATCGGTGAGGAGTCTTTCACGACCACATTATGTGGAACACCTTCCTACGTGGCTCCAGAGATTTTGCAATCTTCAAATCATCGCCGATATACCCGAGCTGTTGATATATGGTCTCTTGGAGTGGTTTTGTACATATGCCTCTGTGGCTTTCCTCCGTTCTCAGACGAACTATACGACCCAGTTAATAACCCATATACGCTCGCGCAACAGATATTGGGTGGACGCTTCGATTATCCTTCCCCGTACTGGGACAGCGTTGGTGACCCAGCACTTGATCTCATCGACCGCATGCTCACCGTCGATCCGGACAAGCGAATTACCATTGATGGCTGTCTGGAGCACCCCTGGACAACGGGCCGCGAAATCCCACCTACCCAGCTAATGAATAGCATGGACAGCACGGACGGGCTTGTCGGACAACTTACGCAGCTTGACTTCAGTCGCCGCAAGCCCGTTCGTGAACGCACGTTGCTCAGCGCCATCAACGACATCACTGTTTCACGCGTCGTCGATGCTGTGGAGGACCAAGATGGAAATACCCAGGCCCCCGTCAAAATTTTCGAAAAGAACAAGGGCGGACATGCGGGTCCTAGCGTGATGTCGACTAATGGTTTGGCTGCTGGCACTGGCGGTAAAACTCAGAAGAACGCGGTAGTAGCGAAAGAAGAGACTCCTGCACATCACCGTAATCCAGATGAGTTCATGGCAATGGGCGGGAAGGGCGATCAGGTCCTATTTGCAGAGGATGAAGGCAGTAACTATGTCAGTCCGGAGAAGCTGAAGGATGTAAATCGGGCTGTTGCCGAAAAGGCAGGCACTCCTGCTGGTGGTCAGAAGAAAAAGGGAAAAAAATAATCGCATCCTCGACGCGATTGTCTTTAAGAGGATGATTCTAGTACATTTTTCGTATTAAAGATGCGTTGGTGACCTAACTGCTTGGGGCTTTTCATAAGGTCAGTGGCCTAGGCGCTCTTGGGAGACAAAAATATGGTAAACTTTTAATGATGTGTAGATAACTCACGATCATGCGTGGGACACTCACTGGGACCAAATTTAGGTAGTCTAGGTAGTGTAATCGAATACAAACCCGCCCAGGAACCTCTGGCTGTTTAAAAGTCTCTACTTCGATTCAGAGCAAGAGTATAGTAAAAGGACTTCTAGATACACTTAGTATACAGGCTCACGCACTAAATGTTGTTCATATCCGGCACTATTCTGCGAAGAGACGAGACCTTCGAAAAGAAGCCGAGAACAAAGACAATAGTAAACTCATGCTATGTGTAGTAACAAGGTTCTCCCTGGTCAGAAAACATGGTAGATTGCATCTTTAGCAATGCCCTCCTTCCATATTTCTATTGAAAAAAAAGATAGGGTTCATTATTTGGACACCAGTGAAAACACATCACATGAATGTTCTAGGCCCTAAATGCGAGCGTTGATACACGACGACGATGTGGTCTGGAAGGGGTTTTGATCAACATTCAGATCGGGAAGGAATGGATACAGATGGAACGAGCAGAATACGTCTCCCTCGTGATTGTCGACTTAGAGCCATGCAAATCTGTTCAGCAGAGACAAACTGAAGTTCCCTTCTTTAGAGCACGTTTAACCTAGCCAAGTTGGTGAGTGTGGTCATTAGGGAAGACGATTCTGGCTCGACGGGTGTTTAAAAAGGCCCAAAAGAGCCGCTAGTCTATATTCATCGCAAATGCTATTCGACGAACCTATTCCTCTTCTTCCATATCATCTAGACCCATCTCCTCCATGTCTTCCAACAGCTGTTCCATCGGGATTCTCAAGCCTCCATCCTCGCTGCCATCAACCGAGCTCTCCACATCCATCTCATCAGCTCCCTTCTTCCTTTCATTCTTATACAGATTCATAGCCTGTCTCAGGTTCTCATCCTCCTCCACATCTCTTAGGAACATCTCGAAGTCCCGCTCAATGCGTTCTTGATCCTGTTTCTTGGGTGCTAGTTCACCTTCTTCCTTGTTCATACGCTTGAGTCGCCAGTTACGGTGCTTCTCGCCCTTCTTCTTGCCTCTGTTGTAGAATTTCTTGACTAAAATGACGTCCGGAATTGTACTGGAGTATTGGCGTGATGACTCAAGCTCTTCAAACTGTGGATTGTTGAAATTCGTACCAGTAATATGATAGCCAAGAACCTCATCGCCTTCATGAAGAAGGTGACCTAAGTGCGTGCGCACGTAGTAGGTAGTGCTCATATCGTTTGAGGGTGATATTGTAGCTTCCGCAAGCATGAAGTGACCGTTCTGTGTACCAAGTGGCTCAATCTCTAAGATGATGAACTGCTGCAGCTCCTTTACATCTGCTAAGTTACCGAACGGCGCGTGCCAAAATTCTTTGGGTGAAATGTCCGCGGTCTGAAGCGTGGATGGGTCGATGATCTGAACTGTGGTTCCTACACGGTAGACTAGTGCAAGTGGAGATATGTTCCCGATGCTCTTTGACAACTTGATAGGCAGAGCGAGCAAGTCGTCCTTGCAGAGGGGTACAATCTCGACACTAAAAGTGAACTTGTATTGTCGTTTGCTCGTGTGCGTGTCCATGCTAATCAACTCAGAAGACTTCTTTACGTGCACAGGCACAACAGACGTCAAAAAATCAACAAATTTCTCAGCACCATTCTTAGCAGAGAAAAAGAAGTCTATGCCATCGTGGACTTCCTTGATGTTGATCGTCTCACGGTGTGCATTATGCTTGAGGATCAACTGTTCCAAAAACAAAAATGTCCTTTTGTGAGGCACTTTCTGCCGTACTTGCACGCACGCTCGCCATGTGTGATGTGTGTAGCTCTTCCTGCAATCCGGGCATTGCTGATTTGCAATCACAAATTCGACCTCGAAGGTCTGCTGAACAATCGTGCCTGCAAATGCTTCTTGTTGTATCGTTATCTTGACTTTGACTCTTCTCGAATGCGGCTCTGTCCATATGAAGCTCGCGTCTATGATCCGAACCTTGGTCAAGCCTCTCAGCTTGCGAAGGCAAATAGCGAGAAGTTCCCGGGATTCTGGTTGTGCGACAATCCATGACGCGGGAGGCGAAAGCCAGCGATCGCAGTCTACACACTGGTGCAGCACGCCTTCTCTCTGGATACCTTCCGAAACGTCGACTGTTAAACGAACGCACTCCTGACAAAGAGCACCGACAGCGGTTGTTCCGTCTATGGGAGTGCCGCAGTTGCAACAAAGTATGGTAGCGTTCGTTGCCTGCTGGGGCAGGCTTTGGAAAGGTACGCTGTCGACCTCCATGTTTTCGTCTTTGCCGTTAATATTTCTCCAGAAAGAGGGTGTCTGGAATGGAGAAATATGTCAACCGAAGAGAGGTTTCAAAATTATTATGCTTTTCGTCCTGGGCCGCCACTTTTCGACCTCAAAGATCTAGATTGATTAGATCTTGCACTAGTCCGCATTTAGAAATCTTCCATTACTTATCCTCTCATAATACACAGCTTCGAGCACTTTGCACCCTATCATATATTTTCTTAACCATGGCTCTAGCTAGAGTCTTCTGTCGCCCACTCTGGACCTGCAAGTCTTGTCGAACGAGTTGCGTGAGGGCCTTTGCAACCACAAACACCAATGAATTGCCTCGTCGCCCGCGAAGATGGCAAGATCTAGCTCCGTACAAGGCAGACACGGAGAGATCCTATGATCCTACCTCAGTTGCCGAACTATCTAATTTTGAAGAAGATGCCTTCGACAAAAGGTCCGAGTCTAGTCAAGCCCCGACAAAGAGCGCAAGAACGAGCGGAGAGACCGATTTGTTGAGGGCGAATGTGAGCAAACCCTTCCGAACCGATGGAATCTCGAATCTATCAAACAAGACTCCTCCACAACAACTGAGTATACCGCCGGAATTTGTGGATGAAACGGAGTCGAATAATGCTTTTGAGCATCAGCGGCATCAGCCTTCTATCGATTTCCAAGAGCAACAGAACGCAACTCAAGACGATCCCGTCGAGAAGCCTATGTCAGACCTGCCGTGGTATCTTCAACCTCAACATCAGAGGCCAATCTCCACAGAACCCAGTGGGTCAATGGCAGATCGGCAAAAGGTACCCGACCTACCAATTCATGCTCCGCCGCAGCTTGAGCCAATACTCCAGAACTTGTCCGTCGAGATAGGTCTTGATTTCCTGAAAATACTAGACCTTCGTGAACTCGATCCGCCGCCAGCGTTAGGCAGAAATTTGATAATGGTTATTGGCACGGTCAGAAGTGAGAAGCACCTCACAGTAGCCGCGACTCGCTTCTGTGCCTGGTTGAGGAGGGAGTACAACATGACACCCTCTGCAGATGGACTATTGGGTCGAAACGAGCTCAAGATCAAGCAGAAGAGGAAGGCAAAGAAAGCAAGAGCTTTTGCAAATGCAGGAGCGTTGGCTAGTTCAATCGAAGACCTGGATGACGGAATTAGCACAGGCTGGATCTGTGTCCATTCGGGGTTCCTGGAGCCGCATCCTGATGCCCCTTTAAAGGAGGTTAAACGGGTTAATGGCATGATTGGCTTTGGAGAAGAAAATAATAAAGTCACCCTTGTGGTGCAAATGTTCACCGAGGAGAGGAGAGCGCAGATCGACCTTGAAGGCCTGTGGGAAGGCGTTCTGGAACGCAATCTACGTAAACGGCAACAGTCTACTACAGCCACCGTTGAAAGTGACGTGGACAGTGAAAAATTGAAAGAGAATGAAGACGAAGACGAAGCCTTGACCTTGCAAGAGTTGGAAGCAAGGAAGAAATTCAAGCTAGGAGATAAGACAGTTCTTGACAATATCAATCTCGAGTCACAGGAGGCTGTTCGCTCTGCCCCGCAGGCTGCCTGAACAATTGTTCTATTCTAACATGCCGAATAATGGGCGACTTATGTACAAACAAATCGATTACAGACGAGCCTTTTCCAGCTCTTCAACAGCTGGAGACGATGCCACTCCTATTCTGTCTCGAACCCAGGACTCAATACTTCGAACAAGGCGGTCAACCTCATCCACAGTGTTACCTGCGTGTAAGCATACCCTTACCCGCCGTGTCGGCACAGTGGGTGGGACAACCGCTCTTACAACAAAGCCTGCGTTTTGACAATGCGCTGCAAGCGAACGTGGATGTTTTGTCAGCAGGGCGAATATTGGTGACTGTGGACGTAATGGTGACACGTGTAAAGTGTCGTTGATAGACTCGTAGGGCCGAGTGTAGCGGATCAACATTCTCAACAATTGTGTGTGAAGATGGGATGTCAACATCTGCAAATGCGAGACAAGCTTTGATGCTTTTGTCAGCTGAAATCAGTAAAGACACTGTCAAATAGGAAACGTACAGGCTCTGTCACGCCGGATTGAAGGAGAGAGTAGGATGCTTTGATAGCTGCAAGGTTGATGAAGGGCATGGATGTTGTAAATATCAATGGCCTGGCGTAATTGATCAAATATGATCGCACAATAGGCGAGCATAGAAGGATAGCTGTTGTAACTTCGTCAGCCAATGCTTTGGAAAAATCTCAACTCTGCTGTCAACTTGCCTCCGCTTGTTCCGAGTCCTTTGCCAAATGTGTGCAGTCTCGCAAATACTTTCTTCTCAAGTCCCAATTGAGAAACGAGGCCTCTTCCGAGCGGACCAATTACTCCAGTAGCATGTGCTTCGTCTACGACGATATGGCCATTCCCATAAGGAAGCGCCTCTTCTATGCATTCTACCAGTTCTTTTAAAGGGCAAAGATCTCCATCCATGCTGTACACGCTCTCTACAGCCACAAAAACATTCTTCGGCCCCTTGCCCACGTACACATCTTCCTCCTTTAGAGCCTGCACAGTCTTTCTCAGATGGTCCACGGAGTTGTGCTTGAACGCGATTTTCCTTCCCGCACGTGACAATTTCATCCCGTCGTGCACCGAAGCGTGTATCAATTCGTCGTATAGGATGATGTCGCCCGGCTGCGGCACGCACGCAAAAAATCCAGAATTCGCATCGAACCCCGAGTTCCAGAGCAGGCCCGCAGAAGCTCCGTGAAAAGAAACGATCTCATTTTCAAGGTCCAGAGCGTATTGGGAGTTTCCGTCCAGCAAGCGCGAGCCACCAGAGCCGAGTGGGAAGTTGGGATGCCGGGAAAGTTCATCAACAAATGCCGATCGCAGTGTCGAAGACGTCGACAACGACAAAAAGTCATTAGATGAGAAGTCGACGGAGCCCGGAGCGGCGACGGTGAGTTTTCGGAACTTGGAGTTGGCGAGTCTCTCCTCCAAGCGCTTAGCCAGCGCTTTTTCCAAGCTATTTTGCGGAGAAACTTCATCCATTGTGTAGGAAGTATTCTGCGAAGACGGAATCCTATGTATGTTTGACTCTCGATATTCGTCAAGTATAATTGAAACCACGCTTGCCCAAGAGATTTAACGAGTCTCAACGCCGAGAAATGAATAAGTTCTGCGCGTACAGAATGCCACAGCGTCCGGCTAGCGGTTCAGTAAACCCAAGCCGAGGTCTTACCCACACCTCTGTACTGTCTGCGTGCAGACCCAGTCTAAGTCTGAGAGACCCTGAAGACCAATTCTCATGAACCGTCTAGTTAGCCGTAAGGTCATGCGGTCGTTTTACAGCATGTTGAGGCGCTGTTGAGTCGATCATGGGGAACAAAGCCCGTGCAGTCGGCTTGCCGAGCTCGTCCGTGTTCGGAATCCGGGGAAGCTTGAAGAAAAAAGTGGATTAGGCTTTCTACCTCCTCCGCAGAACTGTCGAGCCTCCCCTGTTTTGACTGCTCTTGAATGAAGGTGGTTGTCTTGGGCAATCGTCAGGAGTACGATAGCCGCTTGCTGTAGCCGTGCTCTAGCTTTGAAGGGAATGTTGGTGAGTTGAACGTGTCTCTTGACGTGATCGCGATTGTTGTGACTAGCACGACGACTTGCGATGCAGCGAATTGGCTCGACCCTATATAACAACCTGCCAGTTGTGCAGGTGTATGGCGCCAACACGAATGTTGGGAAGACAATCGTGTCGACCTTGCTGTGCCGTAGCTTTGAGAAGGATAAGAAGGTCAAGAGCAATGTCCACTACATCAAACCTGTTTCGACAGGACCGTTAAGCGAAGCTGATGACAGGTAAGGATCCCCAATCTTTTATTTGTTGAAACGCGAAATCTACAAGTTTCATTCGACCCAAAATCTTCTTATAAATCACCCTAGTTCACTGACGACTTTGTCAGCCATGTTTCTAGATATGCGAAGAATACGGCTTCGGCTACGCTATTTCAGTTCTCCCAGCCATTGAGCCCTCATCTGGCCGCTCGCTATGATGGAAAGTCACTCCCGGACGTTAAGATTCAGCAAGCATTGTGCGCAGAACTGCGAGCTCGAGCCGCACAGGGTATTGGAAGAGCAGTCGTCGAGACAGCGGGAGGAGTTTTATCCCCTGCCCCTTCCGGTACAGCGCAAGCCGACCTGTATCGACCATTGCGTCTTCCCGTGGTCTTGGTGGGCGATCACAAACTGGGTGGCATAGCTACAACAATTTCAGCTTATGAATCTCTTCGGATTCGAGGCTATGACCTTGACGCATTGGTCTTGTTTCAAGATGAGCAGTATCGGAATTTTGAGTATCTTCGCGACTATTTCAGCAAGCACAATCTGCTGACGCTGAGCATACCCCCTCCACCACCTGTGGATACTTCTCCGGAACGTGATCATAAAAATTTGCGGGAATACTACGAGAACGTAAGCGCCTCGGATCCCTTGAATACCATGAAAGGCCACATTGTGAATGCGCATGCAACCCGTATAAATGAGCTTCTTAAGATGGCTAAGGACGCCCACGATCATGTCTGGTACCCCTTCACTCAGCACAAAGGTCGAAGCGAGAAAGACATACTTACTATTGACTCCGCCTTCGGTGACGACTTTCAGGCACTCAAATCCCCTGAACACCAAAACATTGTAAATACCGAGGAGAACATTTTGGCTCCTGCTGTAGATGGTTCGGCTTCTTGGTGGACGCAGGGACTTGGCCACGGCAATACAGACCTCACACTAGCAGCGGCATACGCCTCAGGAAGATATGGACATGTCATGTTTGCAAGTGCCATCAATGAACCGGCATTGAACGTTGTCAAGAAATTATTAGATGGGCATCAAAACCCACGACTCGATAAGGTCTTCTATACAGACAACGGAAGTACTGGCATGGAAGTTGCAATTAAGATGGCGTTGCGAGCATCTTGCGTGAGATACGGATGGGATCACCGGAAAAACGACATTTCTATCTTAGGCTTACGCGGCAGCTATCATGGTGATACGATGGGTGTCGTGGATGCTGCAGAGCCCTCTGTGTACAACGACACCCTTGAGTGGTACAAACCTCGAGGATGTAAGCTGTTCCGTTGTTCACATCCATCATATACTAACACAAGTTGAAGTCTGGTTTGAATATCCGGAAGTGAGAATGCGGAAAGGAAAGTGGTATGTGGAACCGCCAGCCGGTTTAGAACACGTCCTCGGCGAGTCCCAAGAGTTTTTGTCACTAGACGATGTTCTATCCGGAAAGCGCGACGAAGTAGTTGGGCCGATCTATGAGCACTATATCAAAGGCGTCTTGTCACACCTCGTTCAAAACAGGGGCTACAAATTTGGCGGTCTTGTGCTGGAGCCACTTATTCTTGGAGCAGGCGGCATGCACTTTTGGTCAGTCTCATTTTTCCTCTGTCTGGTGTCTCTACTGATGAAAGTACAGTGACCCCGCCTTCCAGAGAGCTCTGATACAAACAATTCGTCAAAACCCGGAGTTGATCGATCCTTCTGCTGAGCACGCGAGGAGCGCACCCGATTGGTCGGGCTTGCCTGTCGTGTTTGATGAAGTATTCACTGGACTCTACAGACTGGGACAGTTCAATTGTAACAAGTTTCTGCATGCCCAACCGGACATTGTTGTCAACGCGAAGCTGCTTACAGGTGGTCTGGTTCCGTTATGCACCACATCTGCGAGCCGCGCAATCTTCGACGCGTTTCTCAGTGATTCAAAAGCAGACAGCCTGCTTCATGGGCATAGCTACACAGCGCATGCTGTAGGGTGCAGTGTTGCGTCAGCGTCCCTATCTGCCATGCAAAATTTGGAGAAGACGAATGCCTGGGATTCTTTCAAGGAGTCTTGGAAGACCAGCGGTCAGGAACCGACGGCTTGGAGTATGTGGTCCAAGGACTTCGTAGAAGCGGTCTCCTTCAAGGCGCCCATAGACCACGTTTTCGCGCTAGGAAGTGTGCTGGCCATTGCTTACAAGGATTCGGCAGGCTCTGGATACACTTCAGTGGCTTCGCAAAAACTTCACAAGCAGCTCTTGCAGGAGCAAGATGGCTGGATGATCCACAATCGTGTGCTCGGCAACGTTATCTACTTTATGACTGGGCAGACGTCGACTCCTGAGCACATCAAGCAGGTGGAGGAAAGGATTTTACATTCCATCCAGTAGGGTCACCCCTATCCTTCGCGAGTCCAAAAGAGATTCGACATAAGCAAGTTATACAGATTCAAAAGAATTCCTGATTTTGGCATGGTCCGCCCTCTTTCGGAACCGAGGATGGCGGCCAGCCTATGTAAATAGCGGACCACAGATAGAAGTGCACACATCGGCAAGCGAGAGATGGTGGCAGACAGCTTTGATTCCCCTGCAGTTAAGCAAGGATATACTTGTCGATGCTCGACTTGACAGAGCCTGGGGCATGCAAAATCGAATCGCTAAGCACGTGATTTTCTCCTCGCATTGGCCTCTAGGCAACAAGATATTCTGGTCGAAATTAGCCTCCCGGACGAAACGCCCCGCCAGCAGCCAATTTCGAACGTTTCTTTGAACGTCAAGCCAATTTTATGCTGGTTATGCATGATTCCAGAATGGCCATCTCAGCCTCAAAGCGCAATTTGCCATCACAATCACCCCGTCTCTTCGGCGCAACGTTAGGCAGGCTGCGCACGCGTCTCGCGAGGCACTGCTGGTTTCGCGCCTGTCATACCCAAAGATAGACACTACGGTGGGGAAGCTCTCCTGATGCTGGCCTAAGCACGAGCAGCGTTACTTACAACGACGTCCGAGAGCATATCGTAGGACGGCAGAGAGCTGCCTCCTGTCATTTCAACGATTCCGCTTCTGGCAAACACCCACTGCACTCCGATTGAGCACCAATGCAAAGGAGTGAGAGCGCCTAGCTATCCGCACTGTCTCCTCAGTCGGAACTTCCCAAAGTCAAATTCGTTGAGAGAATACTACCCGTCAATGCAGAGATCGCAAGTTACGTATTCGCCGTTTGGCAAAAGCTACAGTGATGTGAAGGGCCCTCCCGCCGTTTGAAGACGGGAAGTTCTTGAATGAGCATCACCGACTACAGCCAGGCCATTAAAGACATGCGCGATGATATTAATCCGTCGAATTAAGAGCTGATGACAAATGTACAGTCCAAAGCATCGTGGCTGCAGTGTGCGGCATTTCGGCTTTGCGGCTCAGGGGATGGCAGGAAGTATGCCTCCATTTCTTGGAACGAGGGCCTTGAACAAAATCAAGATCTAGATAATCGATGGATCCATCACGAAAAGGATGGCGTACTGGCCAACCATCCGTTATTCCATGACCGTGAGTTGTCGCAGGCCTCCTGCTTTTGCCCTGACAGGCAATCCCTGAAACTCGAGTCTCATCTTGGCCTTTTTTTCGCACCCGGTCACAGCACGTCCGACGCTCTGCACGCGATATGGATACACGCCAGCTTACCGCTCACAGCGCTTTCTTCCTACAAGCCAATCAAAACATTCTTGCGAGCCTCCTGAGCCACATGTCAGACTCACCAGGCTTGGTCCCAGTTTTCGCGCTAAAATAGAGCCAGGAAAAGTCGGAAGTGGCTATACTGTACTGTGTCGTGCATGTAGCCATCTCCATCACGGCCCTAGAAACCCCATTCTGTTGTCTGTTTCATGCTTGCTACCGTACCTGCACGTAGATAAATATGTCTCTCATCGCTGTCTCGCTCCCGTGGAACATGAATTTACCGGTCTCAGTATCTCGCATTCTGATCATTATTCGTTCCAGATACCTCACGCATATCCGTATGTATAGGTAGCACTGAGCCCGAGCCTTCGCCTACTAGCCCAGGATTCGCACATCTTTCATATTCTTTGTTCCACGAGACTTTCAGTTTCACTTTACACCTTGCTGTCTAATTTGTTGGCCCTTTCAACTGTACATTGGAAATGCGTCCTTTGAAATCATGGCCCTTACCCTTGGCACTATTAATATCTCTCTCCCATGCAGCACCTATGAAGAGACAGGCGAGCTCGCCAGCTATTCCTCAAGATTTCCCTGACCCATCTATCATCCATTCGAACAGCAATTGGTATGCCTATGCAACAACGAATAATCAGTACAATGTTCAACTTGCAAAGTCTCCCACCTTCAATGGTCCCTGGTCGGTTCTAGCCCAAGATGCACTCCCAACTCTTGCTCCGTGGGCTCAAGGACCAGTTTGGGGGCCTGACGTAAGCCAAAGGGTGGGTTACATGATTGCTCTTGCCAGCTTTCTTGACTGAGTTGATTTAGGATGACGGACAGTACATCATGTACTACAGTGCTGCACTGAAAGAATTCACAAGTCATCATTGCGTAGGCGCAGCACTCTCAAGCACCCCGGAGGGACCTTTTCAGCCAGTAGGAGACGTGCCCTTGATCTGCCCAGATCCAACCGGCCAGGGCACAAACGTTAACCCAACCATCGCTTCAGCTGGCATTGGAGGTGCGATCGATGCCTCGGGATTCACGGACATAGACGGCCAGCGCTATATCGTTTACAAGGTCGATGGCAACTCTCTCGGTTCGGGTGGCTCATGTGGAAACAGTAATCCCGGTGCTACACCCACTCCCATCATGCTTGTAGCTGTCGACTCTGATGGAATCACGCCTCAAGGCTCCCCCATCCAGCTCCTTGACAGAACGAGTGCTGATGGTCCTCTCATTGAGGCCCCTAATCTGGTTCGAAATCGCGACGGCACCTATGCCTTGTTCTTTAGCTCCAATTGCTATTCTACGCCATTCTACGATGTCACATGGGCGACGGCAGACTCGGTTACGGGACCCTATACGCGAGCTGGACCGCTCATCACGACTGGCGTTGATGGCCTCACAGCACCTGGTGGTGCGTCCATTGCAATTGACGGAGTCCATATGGCTTTCCATGCCGACTATGGGAATGGCCGCGCCATGTTCATTAATCGCATTGCCGGTGGTGGCGACGCCATACGACTGACGAACTGATTTCTTTCTTTTTTCCTGTCCGCATATCTAAAACAACATATTTTGCCTCCCGGCTTGCCATGCTTGCCGCTCGCATTTTTGCCCCCTTAGGTCTGGTTTTCCTAAGCATTCAGCGAAGGTGTTGGGATCAACTGCCAAATTTTTGATAGACCATGCAATGTTTGAGCGCGTAGAATATACCCTCTATGAGCTGACGAGATTTGTACATTGAATAATAATGTTTCAATTAATACCGTTTTAACAACTTCTCGGCCCGGGTTAAACCAGTTCAAGTTTCTTTCAGCATAGACATGTTCATTTGAAAACGTTATGCGAAAGCTAGGTATGTGTTTGTTCAGATACGTGCTCCTGTGAAAGGTTGGTAGTTAAGGTGATGTGGTGCACCGTAGGGCTAGCTCAAACGACAATCCGAGAACAGCCTACTTTTTCGTCGCGTGATCCACATCTGTTCAGCTTTAACGTCGCAAGGATATACGTGAGCACTTTTAATGAGGATGTGCGGATCTTGTTTCGTTGACCAGATCTACCGTAGCGCACGCCACGCAAGCTACCAACATTCGGGGTATTTCAGTCGAAAAGCAGCTACTTTTGTTTCAGTCCTTCTGGAACGGACAATGCGGAATGACTTGAGTCCCTCGAAACCGCACACATGCTAGAGATTTACGGATCTTCAAAACGTGTTTTGTCCCGACCATCCGGGCTTCCGACGACTGTTTTAACATGTAACTGCTGAAGGAGGCAATTGTCCTTGTAGGATGCTGCATCGGTGCTTGAACCCCCTTCGTTCCCCCGACGCGTAGCAACGAAAGCTCCGAGGTTGACGATACGAATTTTGTTCCGCTTCCGAAACGCGAGATAGAGAAGGGAGGGCTTTCTCAGGTACGACGAGTACTGCCCTGACAGTCCCTGCGTTGCTCTTCGACAGGGCACGAGCGGACGCAGTGTCGATCCGTGGCCTTAACCACATCGGAAAATCTCCTGCGACACTGATCAGGCAGATCACAGTCCTGCACAGCTAACTTTAACGAGTCACATTTTTGTTTAAAAGCGAGACGTTCAAATGTATATGACGGGAATGGTCTAGCAGAATTCTTATCTCTCTTTCGATTTCCATTTCATCAAGTCTCCTCCCTTCGTGGTACCTTTTCTTGTTCGATGGGCTCCCTCGGCTCAAGAACAACGAGGAGGGTAGAGTCGACTTGCAAGATTTTTACTATTTTAGGGCATTAAATGGCATTTAATAGCCATCAGACCCCCATTCCTCAAATCATGTGTTCTGCAACGTGAGGTACAGCCCGCTAGGGCGACCATACCTGAAGAAACGCGAACGTTTGTCTCGCCACGCAGAAGATAAAAGACATGAATTATTCTTGGTCAAGAATATTTATGCAAAGGTATCCAATCCGAGGGCCTCCTGCTTTTAACAGTGGCACAATTTGACCCAGGACTACTATACAATTTTGCGGGATGCTTTGACAATAGCAGATGCTGTATGCTCCTGGGGTCCGAAAGCAAGAAAAAGATCTCGTAGCGAATATCCCTAGCAAGGGAATACATCATTTTTTTTTTAAAAAAAAACTAGAGGACCTGCAACGCAAGTTAGTTCTTTCATTCTCGTCCTACGTTGTCACCCTACTTCGAGTTTAGCATTCTTCAGCCTTGACTTGGGCTCTGGATGTCCTCTCTTTGACAACTTAAAATCGCAACTCTTAGATCTTCTCCCAAGGAAAGTCGAGAATCCCTTGGTTTGAGGAGTTCTAACACTCATCCAAGTGCAAAGCTATGGTTCGAAGCCACACAGGTTTCCTGGCTCCATGTCTTGTCTCATTGTGCTATCTTACACATCCATTCTTCGAGGACGTAGATCTGAACTGAAGGCGGTTGGTTTATGGATCCAAAGTAGATGAAGTGATCGTTTGCGGAGTTGCGAGGGTTTATTTATTCCTGACCTATGTCACGCTGACCCGTGGACATTGAAGGTATGCCTGGTTGCTTCTAGCATTTGGGGCACATCGCTTGCCAACACAAGGCCTCATGAGACCAAAGATAGGCCAACGCCGACTTCTTAAGCACTCAGAAACAATATCTAGTAATCCTTTCTTTTAAATTTTGGTGCAATTCAGCTGTGGAACCGATTAGAACGCACCCGTTTTAAGCCCACATAAGCCGTCATCGTATATTTGGACCACGAGGCATGTCAAATGGTCTTCAAAGGATGGCTATAAAGTACCACAGATTTGAGATATTATGAATGGATTGCAAAACCGTCCGGTATCCCTTTCACATCAGATTTCCTGCAGGTAAAGGTTTAGATTCGATGTTCCTTAATTCAAGCTTATTTGGTCAAACATTTGGATGTCCTGTTCTTGTGGAGCAATCCGTGTTTTTTACGGGAAGGACTGATCCACGCTTTGCCACAGATTTACACCAAAGAAATAGTAGTGAAAAAAGTATGCTTTAAATCTAGTGATTGTATCCGCAGAGCGGCAAGACTATTTCTGCTTGAGAAATGGGGGCATGACAACTGCGAGAACATGTGAGCCCGTGAATAGCTTCTTGGACTGGCTACGGAGTATGTTTTACCGGTATTAAAAACATGGGAAGGACGAGGAATGGATAGCGAATACTGGAACTTTTTCTACTATAAAAAAGTAACTGCGGCACTAGTTTATAAACGATAGGCCTAAAGCTTGCTTTCCGGGGGAGGGTTAGGAGGTGTTAAATCCTGGTTCGCGATGATCGAAGATTAGCAAAGATCATTGGCAAACGTATAGATCATCAGGGCGAGTGCACAGTTTGTTGCACGGGGCTCAGACCGTGGAATACGCCTTCCGAGCGGCCTCGTGCCTGAAAGTACGCACGGCAATCCGAAAACCCTTTTTAACCACGCGGGGAAAGAAAAAATTTGGAACATCGTCCACGGCACCGCTCAGATGCCCGCGGTCTCCTAATGTCCAGAGCGTACAAACAGCCCCGCTGCTATCTGTCATGATGCGCAGTTCGAGACTCTCCCCGTCGCAGGCAGCATTCAGCGAAGATTACGGCGTCAGAATATCACCATGATCGACCACTACCGGACTCTGGATCTGCCTACTCCCCGGGAAAGTCGTGCCTGCCTCACGGCAGAGGACATCAAACAGGCCTACCGACTGGCGCTTCTCAAGCACCACCCGGACAAGCAAGGACCCGCGCAGGCGACGAAGGACAAGCCGTCCATCGACACGATCAAAGCCGCGTACGGCGTGCTCTCGGACGCAAAACTCCGCACCGACTACGACCGTGAGCTCCTCCTGTCGAACGATCCGAGCGCAAAGGAAAAGTCCTTTCACACGGGCGAAGAGGTCGTGGACCTAGACGATCTGGAATTCGACGAGAAGCTTGGAAGCTGGTACCGAGGTTGCAGATGTGGCGAGGACAGAGGGTACGTCGTTACGGAGCAGCATCTCGAGAATGAGGAGCAGAGAGGCGGAAGAGAAGTTGTGGTCGGTTGCAAAGGATGCAGTCTTTGGATTATAGTTGGTTTCAGTTCAGTCGAAGAGGACGAAGTCGACGAACGTAACGGCTCTCAAAAAGCATAGCCCGCTCGAGACGTTGTTCGCATGGCTGGTTTGAGCAGAAACACGCATCTAGCAGATAGAATGACGGGGAGGACGTTTGGGTGTATCTTAGTATATGATCAAGCTTATCACGAACGTCAAAAGAAATTGAAGGCGAACTTCCAAATAAGAATTGTGGGAAAATTTTTTTTCTTAAAGTCTCTTAACTGATCTGCTAACTTGAGGAGCTCCCTATCGTTCTTACCATACGCCATCGTCGGAGAAGAGCATGCACAGAGCCAGCCGCATGCAACCCATGGCTGCAGACTCTGCTTCTCATGCATGACGATTTCACCGCCAAAAGACAGCATAGCTACGAACCACAACAAAGCGCACAACGCGGGGGGATTGGTATCCGGGGGATGATATTTGACGAAAGGGGGGGCTGGGGGACGTAAGACGTGACACATAGTCATGAGTAAATTCCAGAGGGGAAGACCGCTTGCTAAATAAGCCACACAAGTAATTTTGCCCGCCAGATCGTACTGATAAGGCTCTCGCTCCGTAAGGTAGTGCTCTTAAGGAAAGGATTGTTGTAAAAAGTTCGAGAGCGTCGCAGAGAGCTCAGAGTTAGACCATGGCGTAATCTATCACACGTCTAGCCTCTTAAGAAGCAGGGGCCGCCTCCTCGGCAGACTTCTCCGGCTCCGGTTCGGCAGCAGGGGCTTCAGCAGGCTTCTCCTCCTTTGGAGGCTCAGCTGCTGGAGCCTCGGGTTCATTTCCATCGGACGATGTCCACAGCGTGAGGTTGTCACGCAGAAGCTGCATGATCAAAGTGCTGTCGCGGTAGGACTCTTCAGACAACGAGTCAAGCTCAGCGATGGCGTCATCGAAGGCTTGCTTAGCCAAGTGGCAGGCACGATCGGGCGAGTTAAGGATCTCGTAGTAGAAGACGGAGAAGTTGAGCGCAAGACCGAGGCGGATCGGGTGCGTTGGAGTCAATTCCGTCTGTGCAATGTCGGTGGCGCTCTGTTAAGGGCATGTCAGCGACTATAACATAATTGCGTCTACAAAGATAAAGCCTACCTTGTATGCGTCGTGCGCAGCGGTCGCAGCATTCTTGCGCTTCTCGCCAGAGGCGAACTCAGCAAGATAGCGATGGTAGTCACCCTTCCTGTTCGCTCGGTGTCAGCGTGGTGCGCAGCAAAATGGCTTCTTGCTGCACGCACATCTTGTGGTAGAAGACCTTGGACTCGCCAGACTCGGCTTTGGGGATCAAGTGCTCGTCAAGAACATCCAGGACGTCCTGGCAGACCTTTTCGAGCTCTCCCTCGATCTTCTGGCGGTATTCACGGATGGTGGCGACGTGCTTCTCCGAGCCCTTTGACTCCTCCTTTTGCTCGATGGAGCTAATGATGCGCCACGACGCGCGCCGTGTGCCGACGACGTTCTTGTATGCAACAGATAGAAGGTTGCGCTCGTCAACGGAAAGCTCGCCGCCGAGCTTAGCGACTTCCTACGGTGCGTTTGTCAACGAACTGCTGTCAGTTTTGAGGGGGGAGGAGGTGCGAACCTTCATGTACGTAACCATCTCTGCACACGCCTGACGTTAGCAAAATTTTTCCTCCTTCTGTGACCCAGTGCAGATGAAGGCATGCTCACCATCGTAGCGTTCGGCTTGCTCGCACAGCCGTGCAAGGAAGGTTTTGCTACAAACAATTAAGCCTATATTTCCAAAGCGCTCACCGAAGTAGCCACGTACTTTTCACGCTGCGGAGGCAAACATCAGAATCAGCACGCGAACCTTGAACCAAAATCGGTTATGACGCCGGGACTGCTCCCACGATCTCGCCCAAAAGCAAAGCTCTCAGATCGTGTGAGACCCCACAGCGGACGGCGCGGGGCGGCAAACTCACCTCCTTGTTGTCTGTCATTGTGATTGTCGGTTCAAGACGAGTGGGGAAGATGTGAAGGGCGACGGGGTTTGTGGATGGGGGCTGCTGGGGCTGGGAAAATGGGATGAGGGCTTGGGTTGGTTGTCAGAAGGCGAGTTGCGAAGGTGATTAAAGGAAGAGAGGCGCGGACGTTAGATAGTTGGCAAAGGGAGACGAATATTGCCAGGGTCCAGCAAGTGGCACCTCTGGACCGTGAACGCTATTGATTCAGGTTCAGGAGCGGTTTGTGTCATTCTCGGGGCAACGTTAATGCTCGCCTTGTCTTTTGCCTTGTCCTTTGGGAACTCTCTTCCTCTCTCTCCCACACTCTCGCTGCGCTGTCACTGCTCACACGGCCACGATCCTTTCGGAATCTGCTGATTCACATGCCGGTGCGCCTTTGCTACGAGGCTACAACGTGTCACTTTCTTGGAGCGCCCAAAACAAACGACGAAGCCCAACACGCTTGAAATTTTCTCTACAAACGAAAGACATCACGTTGTGGTCTTTTTGCCGGCTAGCGGGACCTATCGTGCCATATGTCGCCGTCTGCAAGCCGTCGACGCACCCCACGGCAGCCCTCGTGAGGTCGCGAGCGACGTGTCCGGGATCATGAGCTCATCCAGCGTCTCGTTGAGCTGGCATCCTGCACTCCAATCCTATTTTGGCCCTCCCCGTTGTGATTTCGCTTTGCTGTGCTTAACTGGCTCTTATATCGTGGCTTGTTGCCCAAAAGTCTCTTCCTCGCGGCACGAGATTGGACGTTGGCCATGTTTCATATGCAGATTGGCAAGGTCCGGGGCTGATTTAGCGCCTCATCGACGTGTGATCCAACTAAACCGCCCCCAGCCTAGGCGGCCATCAACGGTGACACCCAGCAGATCTTCGCTGAACCTTGGCTAGATTACAGACCAAAGCCTCTCCTCCGCTACGCATAAACAATTCGTCGCGCGGACGCGACGGTTTCATATCAAGAGCCTCCACGCAGCGAGGATCAGAGCCGCTGTGCCAGTGCATACACCACTGCGCGAATATTAGCATCCCCCAGCTGTTGAATCTCCCACGCAGCACGACGGGCACTTACATCAGCCACTGCAGAGTTTGGAACTTGACCGCCTCCAGTCTTTCCCGCAGCACCGCAGTTTCTTGCTCTATTCTCGTCTCCGTCTCCTTGATCTTCAATTCCTGCACATTCGCTTCCTCCCTTATGCGGCCTTTCTCGAGATTCAAGTCCAGCCTGAGCGAAGCTTGCGTCCGCTGCACCTCGTCTCTCAGCCTAGAGTTGAGCTTCGCGAGCTCGTTTGTCAGCCTTTCGTGTGACGCCCTTGTCAGCGATGATTCCGTTGAATCTGCAGTCAGCAGTTCAGAGCGTAGTTTTGCAAAGTCAACCTTCTGCGTGTATGTTACTCGTTCTTGGTCCTCCCGAAGGACCATGGTTCGGGTCAAGTTTTGTATGCTGTCGCTGCCTGTTACACGTGGCAATGAACAAAGCCTCATTCAAGCGCTCACCTCTCCTCAATAACGTCGCTGAGCACTTTCATCATTGCCTCCGCTTGCTCTTCAGTGAAGCCCTCATCCTTCAACCTCTGCACGAACTTTAGCGTATCGAAGTGGTGATCGCGTGGCCGAATCGGCGTCGCAGAAAATCTTCTATGCTGCGCGATGCTCGAGGCATGAGAAGCTGGGACTGCAAGATCCAAGGCCTTGTGTTGAGGAGCACTCTTCTCCGTTCTTCTCGTCCGTCCAGCAGCAACGACGGAGTGCGTGGTGAGCTGTCTTGGCCCCACGCTGGTTAGGCGCCGCGATATTTGCGGCAACACATAGCGTGGAGCTACAGCCATGATGGCTGTTCTGGCCTCTATCGATCAATGAAGCTTCAGGTCTTGAAAGGTTTACTATGGACGAAAAGCTGCGATGAATGCTCGGCACGAACTGTCGACTTGCCGATATCGGAGGTCGGAGCCAAGGTTGAATATCCCAGGTGATCCTGACCCTTTTGTGCGCTTTCTTAATTGAACTCACGAAGACTTTGTTAACAGTTTGAAGGCTCACATATTCATTACAAGTATGGCGTAGCTCGAAATTTCTTTGTCTTCTTCATTTGATGCGCAGCAACTTTGCTCTATGCGCTACGGCTTTTTGCTGTCAGGATAAAGTCGACGATTGTGCGAGAATGCTGCGATGCTCCTTAATGCAATAGCATCATAAGAGCGTCAATTTATATGATATATCTTACGATTAGATAGCTCACTGATTTGGCAACGGATTTCATTCCCATGCGAGAATCAAATTCGCATAGTCAGCGTTTTCATGAGAAGCATATCACATCAGTCACCCGACTGGTCTATTCCAAACCCAAATCAAGAATATCTGCAAAAATTCATGGTTTTTACTTCGTGGTCATGCTCAAGTGATTGCGGTCTAAAAGTTTACAGTAGTGAAAAAAAATCAGATCTCATCAAGTTTCTGCCAGATTGTGATCGTGAGGAAGTTCACTACACTGTTAACTTGTTGATCAAAATGGTTAAGCGATTTCCGTATCTGGAGGCCAGACACTAACCCGGTAAACGTACTGCTGCCTCCCAGCCAAGCATTCAATCTTGTCTCAAGTCTTATCCACTGGCCACTTCACCAATAATTAATCAACGGCGGCTCCATCTCTACCTTTGTAACATGTCTGGTTCGGAGTTGAGAATTAAGAAGTATCATGGAGTCGTCTGCCTCCGCCTCCGTTCAACCGTCCTGGGGAGTGAAACCCAATCACTCAAGCATTGCGGACTATATCCCGTTAGGCTGTTTATGCCTCTTTCCAAGTGGCCACACTAGTCAAAGAGGCAATCGAGTATGGCTTGAAGTCCTTACTTGCGACTCTTTTTTACCCCCCGATCTTCATTTTGTAGTGAAGCTCCATGCCGCTCGATGGATCAAGCTCTTCCGGCAAGAATACGATGAAAACATATGCTTGCGAGTGTATCTCCTACCTGACGATATTCGCCTATCAAGCGTGGATAGACAGAGCAAGACGCTGAGAGCAGACTTGGGGCATTTATGCTCGAGACTTGACACAAGCATCGAGGCTTGGAATGGAAGCCCAAACCCTGCCACGTGCAAAAAGTTTGACCTTTGGGCAACTGGAGTCAACCGCTCCCTGTTCTGGCTTTTCAATTCGCTGCCTTCGCCAAATCCAAATCCGTATCGGATTCCGGATCGGTACTCGAGGAGTGCCGCCGAAAACGTGCTGTCAAAATCTGGAGTCCCTTGCTCCTCTGGTACTCCGTCGTCGGACTCTGTCGAGAGCATACCTGATCTAAAGGCAACACTCTACCCGTACCAAGCAAGAACAGCTGCTGCAATGATTGAACGAGAGACGCTGCCAAGTACAAATCTAGACCCTCGCTTTGAGGAGCGCACGTGTCCGACTGGTTCAAAATACTATTACAATCCACGAGCTTTGCAATTCCGTTTGTCGCCTCCTCAGTATGAGGGGAGTAGAGGAGGGATACTCGCAGAGAGTATGGGAGTAGGCAAGACTGTCATCATTATTGCGCTAATTCTAGCTACGAGATATCATCTACCACGCATCCCACCACAATACTCAACGTCGACCACAACTCGACCCAGAATTTGTCGATTGGCGGATATGGTCATTGCATGCGCAGGGAGATCAAATGTTCCGCTCAAATCGCATATGCATTTTTTTCGCCGAGGTTTGTACCCTCATCTTGAGGCCAAGATTGATGCTATTCCTACAACATATGAGATTCCATATTCGACGAGGCGGTCGAGCAGGACGAGCATCGTTGTTCCGCCACCGAAGAGAGTCCGACTTTGCTCGACCTCTATCGTGGTAGTACCTCGAAATTTATTCCGACAGTGGCAGGCTGAATTGAACAAGCACGCCAATCTGTCGTCTGGAGGCTTGCGAGTTCTATTTCTCGAGAAGAGCAAAGACCGTTTGCCTGATGCCGATGAGATTGCAACTTACGACATCCTCCTTTTCAGCAAAACAAGGTTTGAGCAGGAAGCAAAAGACGGCCAGGATGACAAGGTTTGCTCCTCCCGTCTTCTCGAATCCATCCGTTCTAACCTGATTCTAGGGCAGGACCACTTCAAATGTCCGAGCTGGCTGCCAGTGTCCTTACATAGGAGCAACTCGAATCAGAGATTGCAGTTGTCTTCGTCCCGAAGATATCTATCAATCTCCCCTGAAAAAGCTGCATTTTCTGCGCATAGTCATTGATGAAGGTCACGAGTTTACGTCTTCATCATCCAATGCCGTCAGAGTTGCGACGACTTTGGTCCAAGCCGAACGAAGGTGGATAGTCTCCGGAACTCCAGCCAAGGAACGCCTTTTTGGGGTGGATGTTGAACTGGCTGGGAATTTGTTCGCAAATGATGAGGAACAGATGCCTGAGTTCACTCCGGTTCATTCGGGACGCTTTGGACTCGCCTTACAGAGTCGCAAAAGCTACATTCGACAAGAGGAACTGAACGGAGCTTCAAAGTCGATTGGTGTTTTGCTTTCAAACTTCCTCCAAGTCCGACCATGGGCTGGGAATGAACTGGAGCCTAAATCAGAGTGGGAAGACTTTGCATTTCGACATGAGACTTTCAAGGGCAGAACACATTCAGCATTTTCGCAGTGCATGGTCTCTACGCTTAACACATTGGTCTTGAAGACAAGACCAGAGGATATCGAGCGAGACGTGCTTCTTCCACCCCTGCACGCTTCTGTGAAGATGTTGAAGCCGTGTTATTACGATATTATCACTCTCAATCTTTTCAACTTCTTCATATTGGCTAACGCTGTCACGAGCGAACGGACGGACGTGGACTACCTTTTCCACAAGAACAGCACAGCGTCTAGACATTCGTTAGTTCGAAATCTTAGAGCCTCACCCTTCTTTTGGACAGGTTGGACGGAAAGTGACGTCGTCTCGGCAATAGGACATTCCGAGAGATATTTATGCAAAGAAGGCACCTCGTGCTCCATGGAAGATCGCGAGCAGTTATCAGAAGGCATAAGATTCGCAAGAAGGGTGCTGGAAAGTCCAGGATGGAAGGCTATGTCTCAGACGCACGAAATAGCTTTGTATGTTGAGAATTGGCCAGACGAGTATCGTGAACCTTGGTCGTTGGATGGAGGCAGTGATCCAATAATGGTTGGAGCTAGTCAGCTTCATGCAGCGCAAAGGTTCGTGAACGAGAAACTATTTGACCCAAATCCTATTGAAAATCTCGCCGCGCTTGGCAGCGTTGAACGGAAAAAGGCTTTTACCGTTGAAGAGGATGAAAGGAGGACAAAGGCCAAGGAAGGCACAATGACTAAGATGGGCGTTCCGGTGTCCGGCATGCGCGAGAAACAGTTCGACAGTCGACAGCATGCTTCTCCTAAAAAAGGTCTATCAAAGACCGTAAAAGTTTCCGATGTCCAGGGTGCCGATGATCTTGTTGAGACAAATTTCAAACGTAAACGGTTGAACGCATTTGATGATCGAGAGCTACCGTCCGACTCGCCTTTAGCAGCAGCGTCGGTCATAGGCACAGTCTCAAGCAAGCTCTCATATCTTCTGGGACGGGTGATTGAGTTGCATGTTGACGAGAAGATTTTGATCTTCTATGACGCTGACAACGCAGCGTGGTACATCTCGCAGGTGCTAGATCTTTTCCACGTAAAGCATCTCATTTACGCACGCCATCTCAATGTTGAGCAGCGTTCGAAGTATATTGTGGCCTTCGACACAGATGACAGCATCAGAGTACTTCTCATGGATATCACACATGGAGCTTGGGGTCTCAACGTCAACAAGGCGTCTCGTGTATTCTTCCTCAATCCACCTATGTCGCCGCATACAGAAGCCCAAGCCATAAAACGTGCACATCGAATCGGACAGACTAAAGCTGTGTATGTTGAGACACTGGTCCTGGAGGGTACCATCGAGGAAGCTATGTTCAAGCGCAGCAAGGCCATGACGAGAGAAGAGCATGACAATGCGGGAAAGGAAATTTCGAATGATTCTGGTGTGGCTAAGATCATCCAATCGGCTAGGAGCATACCACTGCCGGATGATGCTCGAACAGCAAAGTCGCACATGGCTCCGCTTAAAGTACCATTGCAGGTCTTTGGACGAAAGGGTCGACACGACATCAAGATCAAGGGCATTGATGCGGAAGAGGGTGAAGACCAAGCTCGACCGAAACGCAAGAAGGCGAAAAAGTCGGGGTTCACCAGCCCTGAAACAGAACGAAGCGAGAGTATGAGTTTGAGCGAATCAACAGCACTGCAGCCTTCTCTAAATCTTGGAAGTATATTCGGGTAGATGCCGCATGGTCCATACTCTAGTTCTAGTTTTGGACGCGGCCAGGAGTTCTCGGAAACACGCACTTAGTTTCGCGGCCTCTTGACTCTATCATAGAAGGATACCCAAGCAAATTCTTAATCTTAGAAATAGCTTTCAGTGTCGCATGCTTCCAATTATTTCTTCACCTCCTCTCATCGAGAATGAATCCATGACGATCACGTGCTTTCTTCTGCCCGTTAATTTCAGGGTTGCCATTCCAATCTTAGCGTTTAACTTACGACCCAAAAAGTTCAGTTCTTCTAGTCCATTGGTCTCACGCTTGCATTTTCTTGCTTACGACGACCTCTTCGCACTTCTACTTTCGAAGCTTCGTACTGCCAATTGTAGTCGGATAGCTTGAGATTGGTACACCAATCTTGCCTCAGCTGCAAGCTCAAAATTGGAGAGCGAGCTTCAAGCACGATGTCATTAGCTCCGTTGAAGGACTACATAAACAGTGCGTGCTTTATTTTCTAGCGCTGGTGTTGCTTCGGATATTAATAGCCTCATTCAGATGTGGTGCGTGTGATCACAATCGACGGTCGCACATACCAAGGCACCCTTCTTGCAGTGGACAATTCCACAAATTTGATTCTCACTGGAGCTGAGGAACGCGTCATACAACCACCGGACAGCGACGAGCCGAATACTATATCTGAGCCTCAAGTCCTCCTTGTGAGGGGCGATCTGGTTCTTGTTTGCGCTTTGGTGGACGAGGACGTGGATAGCGAGATCGATTGGCTGAAGGTACGCGGAGGTCCAATAGGCAGTACGAAACACGTGTGAAGAGAGGGAACATAGGTGGGGGGAAAGGAACTCATGACGTACAACGACATTGAAGTCAGAAGTGTCGGCGCACGGGTCCAAGAACGAGAACGACACGCGAGGCCACGGACCTGTGAATCAATTGCTCCAAGAAAGAAGCCTAATGCGCGATCCGCGAGCTCAAAGACAGTATGTATACACGTACTTTTTCTTGAAGAATGGGAGATAACATTGACTGTCTAAAGCCCAGAGTCCACCGACATGCTCTGTTTCCTTTACAGGCACCGTAACTTCCGGGTGTCTAGTCCAGTGCACCTACACAGGCTGCTCGTCTATTCTAATTACACTGTCCAAGGAGACCCTCCCAAGGCTTCAGCGAGACGATGTCGGATGATTGCTTTTGCAGCACGCCGTTTATGTAATTACCTGCGATCCACTGCTTGATTTGGACATTACTTGGCACCCTCCAGTTTCTTGCATCTTCAGAGAAGTTCAACACCACGAGCCATTTATCCGAGCCGTCCGACTTTGTGTACGCGAAGATTGGATCGTCGTTGCCTTTTTCATCACCGACGATGTCAAATTGGCCATAGACAAAGACGCTTTTGTTTTTTTGTCTACGGGTTAATGCTCGTTTCCAGAATTGGAAAACAGACTCGTTTTGAGGATCATGGCCGTTGACCTGAGCTTTGGCGTTGATTGTTTGGAAATCTGGTACTAGTTTCATCCATGGCTTCACAGATGGCTCCGTAAATCCAGCGTTTGGTGTCTCATCCGTCCAAGGAATAGGTGTTCTTGCGTGGTCCCTTGACTTTGCATTGACGACATGCTTTGCATGGTCCATCATCTTTGCGTCATGGCCGTACATTGTCTTCATCTTCTTCCAGTAATTTATTGATTCAACATCGTCCATGTACTCTTCCGGGTTCGTCTCACCTGCGAAGTTCTTCATACCGAGCTCCTGTCCCTGGTATACGAAAACTGTACCGCTTAACGTTGTCATCATCAGTGCCAACAGCTTTGCACAGTGATTACGGTACTGCTCGTCGTCACTTGTATAACGACTAACGGAACGTGGGTTGTCATGATTCTCTATGAATAATGAATTCCAACCACCTCGTCGTTGCATCATTTCCTGCTGATGTGCCAAAATCCGACGGATTTCTGACTGCTTCCAGTCGTACATAGTCATTCGGTACGATCCCGGAATGTTGTCGATGTCCACAAGTTCGAAAAGGAATATCATACTCAGTTCTTGTCGATCAGGGTGTACAGCACGCAGTATTTCGTCCTCATCCCGAACCCATGGCATCTCACCGACAGTTACAGCGTCATACTTGCTCAAAACCTTTTGATTCATCTCATGTAGATATTCATGCAACCGTGGCCCATTTGCGAAATGTTTGAAGCCTGGTTGGAATCGATGGTCTGGAGCAACCACCTCGGCATCAGGCAGTCCCGGGACTTTGGAGATGAGGTTGATAACGTCCATGCGAAAGCCACACGCTCCGCGGTCCAGCCAAAAGCGAAGAACGTCGTGAACGGCAGCACGTACCTCCGGATTTTCCCAATTGAGGTCTGGTTGGTAGGGGGTGAACAGGGAAAGGTAGTATTCCTGCGTATGCTCGTCCCATGTCCACGCACTGCTCTCCTCACCGAGGATCATGGACCAGTTGTTCGGTGGCTGTCGTTTTCCGTCGGCATCGTACTTAGCTGGTCTCCATATATACCAGTCTCTCTTTGAATTCTCTTTTGACGATCTCGACTCTAGAAACCACTTCGCTTGATCGCTAGTGTGGTTCACCACCAGGTCAACCATCAACTTCATATCTCTTTTCCTCATCTCAGCAATAAGTTCGTCTGCGTCCGCTAGCGTCCCATATTTGGGGTCCACGTCGCAGTAGTCGCTGATATCGTAGCCCATGTCCTTTTGTGGGCTTTTACAGAATGGGCTACACCATATTATGTTCGCTCCTAGCTCCTTAATGTAGTCCAGCTTGCTCGTTAAGCCTTTGAGGTCGCCCCATCCGTCGCCATTGCTGTCTTTGAAACTTGCTGGGTACACCTGATAGATTACCGATTCTTTCCACCACGCTGGGTGAGAGAAAGTGTTGGTGGCCATTTGCAATCTCTCTGGGCGGTCAGGAAATCAGCTCTCGCACAGGAAAACCTCTTGTTTATCAAAGACCCTTACGATCCACAAATTCTTGCTTAGGCTGCAGACTTGCGTCATTGATCTTCTCTGTATCTAGGTAGGATTCCCTTTGGTACCCGCTTCTGTGCAGCAAATTTAATGCGCAACTGTCGCAGGGACAACATCGGGCGTGTGAATAAGATAAACTTTGTCTTATTGGCTGGATGTCGTTCCGAGTGTGAAATCGAAGATTGTAATTCTGCTACGTTTCAACATGAGATAAGTATTCTTTAAAGCCTTGGTTACTTTTTACGCAAATTACGATACCGGCTGTGGTTCACAAAAAGCTGACTGGGGGTCAAAGCACTGTGGACTGTCTGTTTTCAGGACTTAGATTACGGAACTTCAGGGACTAGTAGAAATGGCAGTGGTTTTGGCTTAGCACAAATACCTCCCGACATCTCAAATCGCGTTGCTCTGGGAGCGGGTGTTTCCAGCGTGATGTACAAAATCTTCATTGCCCAGACGCCGTCAATTAACGATGCGCGAATGGTTATAGCCCGTCAGAGCGCATTCTAGACGTTCGCAGTGACAATCTGCGTTCATTACGTTTCTAATTTGGTCAGACAACATACGCGATTCCTGGTACATCCACAAGGTGCGCGAACCTCGCTTTTCACCAGGTGGTAAGCCTTTGACAAAAGATCGGCCTGCGTTCACACACCATAGGCCCGCGACAACCTCATTTCTGAGCCGCCTCTATGGCTTGGTGTCTGTTTAGCCCAAGGTGATCAATTTGCTCCTGAGACCCCTCGATCGTTCTCCTTTGTCTTTCGGTGACTGTGCTATCGGCGGAGCCAATGGCATTGATATTCATTACGCCACTGCCGTCAACGTAGCCTCGGCCTTTAGAGTGCTCGACCGAGTGCGATGACCCGTCAGGGTCGGTCTCTGTCGTTGTCTTCTTCTTGCCGGTGAAGAGACCAGAGACCACTGCTGCGAGGTTGAGGTTCAGACCGGCCTGACACGCATTAGCTGGGGAACTTCGAGAGCGAGCCGTTACCTTGTGTATAACCAAAAGTTCAGGACACGGGAAGCAAATTTTGAGCGTACACTTGCTGATCCCTTTGCTTCTACCTCTCTTTCGTCAACCTGCCTCATGCGTTGCGACTGGCCGACATGCCTATCCAGTTGTTGATCTTGCTTCTTTGCGACGGAGCCTGACATATTGGAAAATACGAAGCAACAGATGGAATTTATGTGAACAGTCCTTTTTACGGCGAGAAAATTTCAGACGCGACAGATAGTTGGCGGTCCTACCTCCGGAGTTTGCAGAAGCTTTGCGATTTATGTTGTGCCAGCCTGATGTGATGTCATATTTCCTGCTGTAGGTACCCTGAGCAAGGATTCTTCCAGGATTCAAGATCAAATACTGCGGAAGCTCGATTATAGCTTTGCTGCATTATCTTCTACTATGAGTAAGGGGTAATGATGCGAACAATCAATGTCATTCTATGGATAGCGGCATGAAGGATATCATAACATGCTGTCCACATAAGCAGCGCATGAAGCGCAACACATATAAGTCGTTGCAGCTGTTGTTTGAATGATCATACAAATCATCCAGAAGAAGATGATCAATCATGTAGCGCGCGAGCGTCCAACGCTCTGCAATGCAGGAAGACTCTCCAAGATGTACAATATTACATCGAGACACATTGTGCTCCGCTGTATGAACAAACTGGTCTTAACTTCGTATCCGAAACGGTACAACGCCCACAAAGACCACCAGGAGCCAAAACGCCGCCGTTGCAGTCAGCACTTGTCGTAAAACTGGACGCGCTGCCTCATTCACGACTAGGGCAATGCCACAGGCTGCAGCGGCTGTAGTGGGTGTGGGGCCCAAGTTTTGTGCATATATCGTCGTACAATAGCCATTGTAGGTCGCCAGCCCTGTGGTCTTGCCAACGACGATGATGTTTCCTGCTGCTGTCGTGGTACTACCTTGACCTCCAGCCGCGATAACAGTTGTGACCTCGTTCGGTTGCTGGTACTGAGTGGTCGTTACGTACACGGTGACTGTTTGAATCTGGTTGGCACTGCAAAAGTTAGCACTTGAGCAAGATCTTTCCTTCGTCTAGGCCTACTTCACGCTTCCTTGTGCGCAAGTGACGCCGCTAGGACAGCACCCAACGTATGTATGCGCTGAATCTGCCCAGGCGCATGTATTGCCTGACGGACAACACCTAAGACAGCATTAGCAAGCACGCATTGTATATGCCACGGCACCTCTCGACGAACCAGTTCCAGACGCCGATATTTCCACAGCTCTGCGGTGCAGAATTTGGACAATAGGCCGGGCTTGCAGCATTCAAATTACTCAAAGACTGTCCGTTCGGTCCTACGATGTAAATTGCCCCAGAAAAGGCATAGTAGTTCTGTCGCGCTACCAGGTCATCTTCCAGGCTTCGCGCTGCGATCTCCTTTAAAGCTGGCTCCGCATTCTTCGCTCGTATGGCAGGCCATTGTAGGTCGCTCCGTCGGTCATAAAGTGCGCGCGGTCTTGCTATATCCTCTGACAGTGGCTCTGCGCTCAGCAAGACAGTTCGCGACGCGCTTGGGAGGAGAGTGAGAAAAAGTGGGAGGCTGGGAATAAACTGGCGCATTTCGTGCTGGGGAGCTCGATGTTGGGCAAGTCGCTAATCGATAAGCTTTGGACGGAAGAAGCGAGTGATGATCGGGCTTTTCTTAGGCTTCAGACATTATGTTCATACCAAATGAATAAGGAAGATCAGGAAAAGCTGAAGAGGAAGCCGAAATAACGATGCTGTATAATCCAGTTCTTTAGGTTCAACGGCAGGCTCAGCTGGCAACCCGAAGCTAGCAAACTTGTAGCTCCGGAAACCTTGGAAGTGAGCACAGTGATCAGAAGACTGGGAGATCCCATGCATCCATCAGCCGACTTGGTACCAGGGTTTAGCCGTTACCTGAGCAGATGCAAATGTATGTACCGTACATGGCTAGAACAGCGGATTTGGACATTGATCGTCAGGGATTGCTAGACCTGAGAACAGCAAGACGAGCCCAAAGCTGCCGGATGTCCGGATGAGGTTGGTCGAGCGGACACGCAAGAAGGTGGATTTGAGGCATCTGAGCAGAGCCTCGACGGGGAGAAACTGCGCATGCAAGGCTGGGTCTGTACCATTGTCTTTGGTCAGAGATATTTCGTGCATTAGCCTCACAAGGGTAAGGTCTACTGGGTGCGACGCAGCTGTTCGAGAAACTCGACGGGCCTCTGATCATCACATATGTGTTTCCAGGCTTGATACAAAAAGCTGTCGCTATCTGCTTCGGCCGCTCGCTCTGATGCCGAGCTCGATAATGGCTGCAAATAGGACCCCGCCGAGTACATCGAGGATGGACCTGATAATTATGGTACTCACCGGGCCCATGCGAGCATACGTCAGTCCGCGTGTGTGGTGGGGAACGATGTTGCTGGCTGGCCGGTTTGTAGTTCCACCAGCCCCAACGCTATCTCACTCCTCGCCTCGTTCTAGCATGATCCATCGAGCGTAGATCACGACGCTGAAGTGGGAAATGCAGATGCTGCCAATTCGAACCTGCGGTGAGGTCTTACGAAACACATCCACATCACCACATGGCAGCCTGAATTCAGTGCCCAAAGCACGTGACTCGTCTCGTGACTCTTGCCGACAACGAAGGCGCGACATCCAGCCAACCTAAGTTACTATCCCACGCCCGCCTGGCGGATCCATCGTCCAGATCATGCCATTGACCATTTTTTCGCCTGCGTAGACGCCTCACTCTTTTCGATGTTTTTTCTGTTTCACGCATCGTCTCTGGTTTCCATTTCCGGCTCACCAAATACAGCTCCGGCCGGTTTTGCTTTACAATCAAGCGTGTATGTTGACATAACCCCCAATATGTCCGTAAACGAGCTGCCTTCTGCAGTTTGATGGCCTTTTCTTTGCTTTTCTCGGGCTGGCTGAAACACCCATTGTGTTCAGCGAAGATAACTTCAAGTTTCAGCTCTGCGGAAATTTGAGAATTTCGAGAGGTAGATCTTTGTCATCGCACTTCTGTACTCGCAGCGAAATTGGGCACGTCGCACAGTGTTAGACCGTATCTGAGTACAACGTCTGCTCTGAACCGACGCTTAAGTAGCCAACACCAAGCAGCCTCGTCCGTTCACCCTAGTTGCCAGTAATCAGCCTTGAATTAGCTTCTCAAATGCTTCCAACAATGGAAGTCTAGCAGGTATGAAAGTCTGTTGAGAATGCGTTTTCAGTTATCACACAGGTTAGATATCTAAGGACGAAAACGGCTCATTATTTCCTGCAACTCTTGAGCTATCATAAGCAGCATTAATAGCCATGCGAGGTGCAAAGCATGATGACTTTCTTGCTGCACAGTCTATTGGCTAGATGAACGTCTTGACAACGAGACAAGCTCAATAAGAAGCAAGAGAAGAGCTTCAAGCCTTGACCAATAGCCAGACCACTAGCTTCGAAAGCTGGAGATCGCAGAGAAATATGCACATGCTAGATATCGAGAATGTGCTTCAGCATGCCAACGATCTTAGCCCAATTGGGCAATTACCAATTGCTTGCGTCACGACTCTGGTCTGCCTCCGCCCCATAACTGAAAGAATTGACACATTACATTGCGAATATATACTGACAATGGGTTTATACAATTGCATTTTTTGCACTTCTACTGTCACAACACCGTTAATTAGAAAACAACTCGTATCATATCTATCAGCAGCCCCCCGGACTTGTAGTTCTACATTGTTGTCTAGAGCCATGTCGACGTCGAACTTGCGAATTGAAAACACAAATCTACAGACCGCCCCTGGTGTCGAACTGTCACAGCAGCAGAAGACGCTTGTGGGAAGCGTGCTCGATCTTTTCCAGGGCAAACCTACGAAGGAGAAGCTTCAGCTGTGGGAAGACGATGCGACCTTCGAAGACCCACTGACTATTGCCAAAGGTAGAAAGAAATATGAGCCTCAATGGGTATGCTGCAAATTTTCATGTACTCCAGGACATCTTTGACGTTCGCAGTACGGATTGCAGCAAGCATTTTCCGAGATTGAGCGTCTATCGCACCAGGTCGTCTCCTCAGGCAACCCGATAATTGTAGATCTCAAAACCCGCTACAAAGTCAAAGGAATCGGAAAAGAAACCACTGTGTCTTCTAAAGTCAACATATTCACTTCACCGGATGGTTCGAAAATCTCCAGAGTCGAAGACAAGTGGGATGGAAAGCTTCCCGATTCTAGTATTGCGGATGTAAGTAGTTGTATTTTTCCACCCGTTCGTCCTGTTATAGACATATCAGTCGACAGATTGGCGGATTTACTCTTTGGCTTATTATCTGTGTCGGACAAGGCTGTGGCGTGTGATTTCATGTCCATGTTTAACCACAAACTGATTCAATCGTAGATTTTTCGAAAGTTAAACTCTATTACCGTTCCGTATCTTGTATCGATTCCGAAAAGCGCCGAAGAGGAAATGAAGACCAATAGCCAACCGTGAGTTGCCTATTGACATTATCGACAGCAAAAGATATCGAAGGATCGAAATCTTTGGTAGCCAATGATCTTAATGCTCATCGCCATCTTTCGCATGCCCTGCCGTAGCTACTTTCAATATATCTTCCTCAAGTCCATTAACGTAGAGCACTTCTATTCCGGCATCTGCAAGAATTTTACGTCCCTGGTTCTCTCCAACAAACTTTTCTGGCTCTCTCACACCACATATCACCTTTCTTATATGCTTCGCTCGTAGGATACGTTGGACGCATGGTAAATTCCCACTCAGTCGCATCCAGCATGGTTCCATGGATGTGTAGAGAACGATTTCTCCGTCCAGTAGTAAAGCTTCATCTACCCTTTCTTCCGGCAAGTTTGCTTCCTTAGCAAGTTTTATGAAGCAGCATTGTTCAGCGTGTGTATTTCCAGGGCACTCCAGAGTATAGCCAGTGACCAGCACCCGTGGCTCTGCTCCATCTTTAGGAACATGCAATATCAGTGCTCCAACGCAGAAATTGGTCGGCCTCGGTGGAGATTTTCGAGCCTCGTCGAGGCATTGCTGGAGGTATTTGATATGTATTTCGTCGTTTGAGTGTGTCATTGTCAAATTCTAGGTCCATCATGGTGCGGAGATGGCATGGAATGATAGGCTGAAGCTCCGATCAGCTCCGCGAGCTTGGGCCCATGCGTGTGTGGGGTGAACTCTAGGCTGTATCGTTATCTCTAGGCGTTGTCTCAGACACCTTTTGATCACCTGCCCAAATAGAGCCCTTAGATCCAAAAGACTCGTTATTTGAAACCCATAGACCGCTTTTTGGCCGTAGGAAGCATACATTTTGCCTCTTCTCGAACTACACGAATTATGGGACAGGAGCACAGCAAGCCCCAGCCTCGGTACTACGAAGAGAAGTACAGCGCTCTTTCACGACGAGCGAAGAGCTTGGACGAAGAGATGGAGCGTAGCATCATAGTTGAGAAGTCGGGTGACACATATGAAGGTCTGAGATGACCGTTGAAATTTCCCCGAGCTTCTCTAACAGCAATCAAGAGCCACATGATAGACAGACCACAGTGTCGCTCTCCAAAACGACATCCTGGATCGAAACCGTCTTGCAAGACCCAAAGAACCGCCTTGCACTCTCTGCGCTATCTACTCAAGATCCAAAAATAGCCCTTGAAAAGCCTTCGACCATAGTGAGAGACACGCAAACTTTCAATGTCAAGATACCCCTTGAAGGATCGCCAGTTACCAATCAGAGAAGTTCGGGACGATGCTGGATATTTGCATCAACGAATGTATTTCGGGTTTCTATCATGAAGAGATACAATCTAGACAAGTTTGAGTTATCGCAGCAATACTTGTTTTTCTGGGACAAGGTTGAGAAGGCAAACTTCTTTCTGGAGAGCATCATAGAGACAGCAGATGAGGAGGTAGATTCTCGTTTGGTCAGCAGTCTCATGTCGAGTCCAGTCGGTGATGGCGGACAATGGGACATGATTTCCAACCTCGTGTCTAAGTATGGCCTGGTGCCACAAACGCTCTACCCAGATTGCTGGAACGCCATGCACAGCTCGACCATGGACGCGCTACTTACCACAAAACTACGGGAGGATGGTTTAGAGCTCCGAAGGCTAGCTAGATCATCTTCAATATCTGCCCAAAAGGCTATATCCGAACGCAAAGAGAAGATGATGCAAGAGATAGTTCGAATTCTCACGATTACACTTGGTCCACCTCCTGCTGCTTCGGAGCCTTTCTTGTGGGAGTATTATACCAAAGATGGGAAATTTAGATCTCTATCCATTTCTCCACTAGACTTTGCCGCATCGCTGAACGACTCTTCAGCCCTGCGAGCATGTGGAGGAACAGATGTCCACAAACTGTTCTCTTTAGTCAACGATCCTCGTAACGAGTACAACCGGCTGCTTACCGTGGACCATCTAGGTAATGTGTGGGGAGGCAGGCCAATCACATACGTCAATGTCGACACAAAGACAATGAAGAGAGCTTGTATTTCCATGCTGAAGAAAGGATATCCTGTCTTTTTCGGCTCTGACGTCGGCAAGTTCTCAGACTCAACGAAGGGTATTATGGATACCGATCTTATCGATTATGAACTTGGCTTTAACATAAAGCTTGGAATGAGCAAAGCTGATAGACTGAACACCGGAGAATCAGCCATGACTCACGCTATGGTCCTAACAGCCGTGCACCTAGATGCAGACGGCAATTCGGTCAGATGGCGCGTGGAGAACAGCTGGTCGAACACAGCTGGTACAGATGGCTATTTCGTGATGAGTGACAAGTGGATGGATGAGTTTTGCTACCAGGCTGTGGTGGACCCGACAGTAGTCAGCAAGGAAATTAATGATATCCTGAAGCAAGATCCGAAGGTGTACGTGCAAGCGATTTCCCCGAAAACGATGGATAAATGTTAAGCACTAACAATTTAACAGACTACCGCTATGGGATCCTTTGGGTGCTCTAGCATAAGTCTTTAGGCAGTTTGCTCAACTTTAGGGGCGATCACTGGGAACGAATGTATATCTCCCTTGAGACTTTGTACTTCGATCCAGTATGCAGGAGTATCTGCTATTCACACTTTCACGCACAGCAGCATAGTTCAGGCTCGAATTCTTACGACTAAGCGGCCAGTCGCTGTAGGGGATTTGTGGAACAATCTGAAATAAAGTCGTGGCTTGTTCTGATTCGAAGAGAATGTCCAATCCACCATCGCGCTCTCAAAGTTTTATATTCTGTTCAATTGCTTCATTCCAAGACTGGACACTCCTTATTTAAATTTCGTAACTGCCCGGTAGCCCTATCAGACCTGTAAGGTAATAACGGTTGTTTCAAGCCTTTCGCTTAAGATCGAGCCATGCCAACACAGGACATGTATTCACCAAATTCAGAAGTAACACGAATTATTTGCTTTTGATGGGAAACTGATACACATGTTGCCTGCAAAAGTGATTAGAAGATGTCATGCACATCTTGGTCTTGCTATAAGTCTCTTAGACGTCGTCAGAGATTGACTTCAGATCTTAGAAGAGCTCGAGGCAGTTACGACGTGAATCTTTCAAACATCGGGTTCTATAGGCGCTGAACTTGCTTGATATGATGGATTAAAACCCCTCTGTACAAAGTGGCTCTCCATGAAGTGGTCGAAAAAGGAGGATGGAGACCGATCATCGAGCAGTGTCATTACGTCTTTCATGATTTACATTGTACAGCTCAACTATGGATTCATCGGCAATATCAAAAGGGCAAGCAAAAGAAGATGCTGACTGAATCATTTTACGCACGCAACATTCCACACCTATCTCTTTTTAAGTGTCCTCGCAATGCCTTGACTTTATGGCAAAGCGTCTACAAAGGCCATGCCAAATTGCCCACCCATAAGATCAACAGAGAGTATGAGGACCTTATTTTTTGCTTTGAATGAAAGATCGTAAATGTCGCCATATAACGAATACAAAGAGAGGTATTCCATTCGAACGGAAGCTGGAAACCAGTAGCGCTAGCCGAAAGAGGAACTCTGATTGACCCACACGTGTAAGACGAAGTGAGAACATGGGTCGTTGATGGATGAACAACATATCCATCAGACAAGCACATGTGCCTGCTGCATGTTTACGTACCCTTCTTATTGTCCTTACAGTATGGAATGTAGTATAACTGCGCTCATATTGTGGGTCAACATGCAAGTGCGGCCTCGAGATTCGACCAAGCAACCCCACCTTGTCAGCTGCTTGACCAACCGAAGCTCGAAGTGAATGACCAGTACATTCGAGACTTTGTGGCAAGGGAGCCCCCTCTCTTGAAGCACGAACTTCTTACTCTCCTTCATGCTACTGTAATCCCATTTCTAACAATGCCGTTGTTCGGTTCACTTCGAACATACGTGAGACGTCTACCCCACCATCCTCGCTGTCTGTGTACCAGCACTCGGACACTCGCTCCTTCGTTTCTAGATCTCCAAGCCCGCGCTGTCTCCCGTGAAAACGGGCACTTCTCGAAGCTCTCTGGCATCAACTACATAGAGCACTCGCCAGCACTGCAGCTGCTTCGCTCGGAGCGCGACCTGGCCGAGCGCGAGGAGGACAACCCGACTGATATACTTCTATCGCAGACAAAAGAGGGTCAGAACGCCGCGCTGCTGGAAGAATACAAGAGACAGGTAGAGCTTTTGAAGGAGCAGATTAGCTCGAAGGAACATTCATGGCACGAGAAATTTACCAGCGAGCGCAAGGAATTTGAAGACCTGGAAGAGAAGGCGCTGAGGCTGCGACTCATGTTCGGCGTGCTGGCGGTGTTTGCTGGGCTCCTCGCCGCTGACAGCATCGCATTAGCAGACGAAGTAGAGCAGCACTGTCCAGGCTGCTTTGACGGAAACACAAAACAGCATCTCCTCGTTGTCGGATACCTAAAGACCGTCACGGAGGGTCTGAAGCGCTGGTGGAACGGCGAGGGACCGCCCAACAGGAGGACGGTCGCGAATCTAGGCGGAATCGTGCCTCCAGCCTCGCCTTCGACGCTGCAGGATTCACAAGAAGGATTGCCGCCTGGTTGGGAGGAAATTACGGCACCGGACGGTCGTATATGCTTCGCAAACCGCAACGAGAACTACGTCACGTGGGACGATCCCCGACAGACTCAATCGACGACAGGAGCGACGACGCCGAATCAAGGGAGGTCATCGCTAGCCGATTCGAGACGGAACGAGAATCAAGGCGCTTCTGACAATCCAAGCAGCTGGCACCGGTTCATGTGGGCGCGGCCTCGCGGAACATAAATCAAGAATCACCTTTGATCACACGCCCTGGAGAAATTTGTGTTCGTGGCCAACTGCCAAAAAGTGCAAATACAACCAAAGCGAAGTGAGACAAAAATACAGCGCGATATGACTGTACTACGTTTTGTAATATTAGGTTCGTGTATAATTCGCGACTGGCATTTGCTATCAAGCACCACTTGAGAAATCCACCCTCTTCCTCGCGAAGTCTCGATAAATATCTTCCAAAGCCTTCCTTTTCTTATCTCTTTCAATCGAGTCTCTTTCTCGCTCTTGCCGATCGTCTTCGTCGAGCAGAATATCCTCCCTCATTCGCGGCTTCCAGACACGTATCGAACCGTTTCCATGTGCAGAATAAAGCTCTATGTCTGTATTTCGCCATGCTAGATCGACTATTCTCTGCTTCTGCGTCACCTTGCCGCCTCCAACAGCGGACGTGAAGACGCCGGGAGGACGCAGACGCTTCAATAGACGACCCTCGTACAGCTCGAACATGAGAATCTCACGCTCACTAGGAAAGAACATGATGTCCCTACCCGTGGATACGACTTCAGCTGCGACAAGGCAAGGCAGCATCTGAGAAAGATTTCTGTTCCTGACAAGGGGGCCAAAGTTTGCCAGGGTATTCGACCCTTTTGTCATGTTCCAAACACGAATCTTTTCATCGTGGCCAGTCGTGACCATATGCCTTCCGTCCTGCGTCCAGACGATGCCGTTGACCGGGCCAGCGTGGGCTTTGCCCCGCGTAGCATGACGAGCGCCGGAACCTCGCCCGTTGTAGCCTAGCACGCCGACAGAATCCTCCATGTCAAGGGAGGCTATCAGTGCCGCGCTACGTCTGATATCCCAAAACTTCACTGTTCCATCTGTTCCTGCGCTGGCGAGGACATGCTCATCGACGGGGCTCCATGCCACGCTTAACAGCGCACCGGTGTGACCCGGTAGCGCGTGGGCAGCCGCACCGGAGCGCAGGTCTACTAGTCTCACTGCCGGATGCTGCGTCGCACATGCCACAAGCAAGTGCTGCGCGATGGGCGAAACGGCGTGCGCATACACCACCGATTCGAGGTTGAAGGACGCGGACGCCTGGAGGGTTTCCGACGACCATATCTTCAGCGTGTGGTCGTACGAGCTAGAAAGGAAGGCGAGAGAGTCGAATGGGTAGAAGGACAGCTGAGTGATGCCGTGAGTATGACCGACGTCCGATTTTCCGACTGCTGCTAGAGGCCTGTACAGCTCGACCGAGCTGACGGTCTGTTCGGGGTGCGGAGCCTCCAAGTCCCAGATAGCTATTGACGCGTCAGCGCCCCCGGAGAGCAGATAGCGGCTTTCGAAGCGATCGATGGCAATGCTGTTGACTCCTCCACTGTGCGCTACTGGCAACGCGTCCTCTCTGGAGCCCTCATTGTTGCCTTGGCCGAGACTCGACGTGGATGCCCCTACAACACGCTCAAGCCGTGTGCTCGAAGGATGCAAATTGCGCAGTAGGTCATTGCAATAAATTCTCCGAAGCTGCGATGGCAGCAGATGGCCTGCCTCGAGGTTCAAAAGAAACCCGTTCATTCATCACGATGCCGGCCTGGGACGGTTACCAAACCAGGCCATTTCTGTGGTCGAGCGCGTCGTGAGCCCGCGCGGAGTCACGGGGTATGACGTAAATGCAAGTCAGCCTTCCCACCAGCAATAAGGAACCTATATCAGCAGAAACAACTGGGGAATGGTTGCTAAGCACTTGTGTTTTTTTTTTACCAGGCCTCGTGAATCTTATAAATGGGCGCATTTCTGTTCTTGAATCTGTGCGGATCATTTCTTTGCTCGTGTTTCTTTGTGTAATACGATTTTTGGGGAATGCTGAACGGATCTCGTATCTCCAAGTCTGTGTACCTCGGCTCAAATGAGGACTTCACTCTGCGTGGACAAAGATTTGCAACGAAGAGAAGTCTCTTAACGTTGCCAATGACTACAAATTTTCTTCGATGACAGTTTAGCCGTGCTCGATCGATTCATACAGCTTGGAGATCTCGTCTAGATTCGAACATGGGAAAGCCCAAGCTTACGCTTTTCGTGGACTCCGTGTCGCCATTTGCATACCTGGTAGGCAAACACAGTCAAGCCCATGCGTAGCCAACTTGGTCCTAACCACGAACAAACACGACTATGACAGGCTTTCTACGCCGTCAAGAACTGGCCCGTCTTCAAGAAATGCGAGGTTTCTTTTATCCCAATCTTCCTGGGAGGCCTGATGCACAAGTGCGACAACCGTACTCCGCTGGCCATCACAAGTAGATGATTCCCAGTCTCGAGCCTCAGCTCTGCAAGTCCTGACCAGGCGTAGACAAAGACAGGTGGATCAACAAGGAGCGCGTTCGGTTGGCTCGATCGTTCGACATTCCCATGTGTGATGCCGTGCCCGATGGCTTTCCAATGAACACGCTCGCGACGCAGCGAGCTCTGACGGCATTGAACATGCAGATGCCGGAGAGGTTTCCGGACGCGCTTGCCGCCTTCTACCACGCTCTGTGGTGCGACCGACAGCCCATCCACAAGCCCGAGGTGGCCATCCCGATTCTGGCGAGGACGCTGCAGATGTCCGACGTGGAAGCAAAGGCTCTGTTTGAGAGAGGGAGTGAACCGGAAGTCAAGAGCTTGCTCACAAAGAACACGGAGCTTGCATTTGAGGAGGGCGCTTTTGGGCTACCTTGGTTTGTTGGTAAGCTGATCCCGGATTCAGCTGCTGTCCGTCCGTCTAACTCGTGCTGTTCAGCTACAAATTCAGACGGCGAGAAGGATTCCTTCTGGGGCTTCGATCGGATTGGACAGGTTGTGGATCATCTCGGGCTTGGACGACCGAATGACAAGCGTGGTTGGCAAGCCATGCTTTGACAACGGGTGAATATGATGAACAACTGGTGTGAAAATCTCTCAGCGGAGAACAGTCCAGCCTGTGTACTGAGTCTACAGTCGAAGCTCATGTACGAAAAGGGAAGCCAGCCTGTTGATGTGGCTGTGTTGAACTATTTAGCTTTTCTTTTCTTTTTTTCTCTTTTTTTCTTTTCTTTTCCCCTCCTTTCCTTTCCTTTTCTTTTTTTTTTTTCTTTTCCATGTCAGGTGGATCACTCACGGCCGTCGTCGCTGCAAAAATTTGCATGCACCTGAGTAAACTTGGGTTCGAGCTCAGTTTTTGTGCAGCAAAAGTGTTTCAAGCATGCATGGTGGAAGGTCGAGATCTGAGCCGCACCAGCGAACCACGCGGCTTGCTTGCGAGCCTTAGTACCACTGAAGGAAGTCGTCAAGCGACAAATGCGGATCTTGCCTATCATGCGCCATATTACGATCCTCTCCTGGCGGGATTTTCCGCCCGTCGGAAACGTGGGCAACCAGCTTCGTCGGGTCGGCAGAGTGCAAGGCTGAACACCAGGTTCTAGAACTTTGGAAGCTCAACACGATGTCGACTTTTCTCTACCCTTGTTCTTACGTTGGCGATATGCAGCACGGTCATAGTTCAAGGTTGCCATATCGATGTAGCGCACGACGGGGGGGGAGATATCACCAAGGCTGATGTGATTCTGACGAAAACGCCACAACGTACAGAAAGAACTGCCTTTACTTCGCCGAAGCAGCGCGGCGTGGCGATTGAACGCCGACCACTCCACCAGACAGCAGATGAGTAGCAACGAGCACTGCAGCCACATTCTGCCGGCGTGCACACAGCAGCCCTCCTCCCCCATTGATATTTGACAAGCAGACAACTACGTAGCGGAGGCAGTCGGCATGAAGCACTGGGGTTGGAGCCGACCTAGCAAAGCCCAGCCACGCAAGGGACTGGTATATGTCTAGCTTTGACAGGCTTCCTGCAAGAGCCGAGTAGCGAGGCAAGGCGGATCAGCGCATGAGTGTAACCGTGCCAATCATGCAACAGCACCAAGCCGTGGTCTGGAGGTGCTGGAGTTGTCGTATCGTGAGCGTACACGAGCCGAAATGTGTCCCAAAAGTCGACACCTGCAGCCCATCGCCTTCACTGAAGAAGACCCAACGGGAAGCAAGTTTCCTACAAGGAAAGCGTTCATCTTCAGCGCCAATATCGCGATCGCGACTGGCAACACAACCCGCTGTGGAGCGTGCGAGGCGGTGGTCGTGGCTGGCACTGGTGCATTTTTGATCTGAAGAAGAGAAAAGAGAGCGCAGGACGTGGGCGGAGGCAGAATTTATTCCGCGGAACGCACAGACGGAGCCCTCGTTGGGCTGCAGCGTCGCCCGTGCGGTTTTTTGCTTCGTGCAACTGACGTCCTGCGCTCGATGCAAGGGCTAAGTCAAGTTGGTCCGTAGCGCAGGAACTTAGTAACGACTTAGCAGGTGAGTCGTTAGCAGACGCAGCAGCAGCAGCAGCAGCAGCAGCACTAGGATCGACCTCTGCCGCTCTTCTCGACCCCTTCGGCTGGCCCACACCCACCAGGCTAGCATGCGCCGTTAGGGCCTTCAACTTGCATGCCCTCACCTCGACGGCTCTGTCCTGCGCGCTCGCTCTTCTTTGGTGCGTGTGTGCGTGGACGTACGTCGACGCCTGGGACGAACAATCACGCTCTGTACGGGGCCGGCCACACGTACGACTTCGCCCGCACCACCCGCCCTCCGGCCTTCGCAAGGCGCCCGCTTGCTCCCGGGCCATCTGCAAATGGTCCAGCGTCAGAATTTCGCCCGAGTGATCAACGGCCCGAATCGGTCCAACCGCGAATCGCGAAACGAGCGGAGGAAGAGCCGCGTCTGTGCATCCCAATCAAGACTTGACTTGGGTCCCTATTTTACGAACTAGCCCCCCCTCAGATATCCATTCTATTTTGCCCATTTTTCTCTCCCACGTAGATCTTCCCTCCGGTCCCTTGGCTGGTTATCGACATGCCCGTGTCCCATTCGACCGTCCTACTCGGGGATTCTGGATCTGTTACCAAGGACATTTGCCACATGCCGCAGCTGCCCCTTCGTGCCTCTCACTCCAACGCATCTACTCATTACCCGTTCTCTCGACGGGTTTCGCCGAGCCTTTCCACAAGCTACGTGAGCCTATTTTGAAGCTAGTGATAGGACCTCATTTTTCATGTCCATTCTTCGCTGAGTCCTGGTCCCGCCTTTTTATCTCTGCCTCTTTCATGTTAGCTGGCCCGGCCCTCCAAGCTCCACTAGCGATTGGGATGTAGTAGTAGCGGAGACGCCCTGAAAGGTCTACCGCGCTTAGGAGATGAGTTTACCTCCGCCAACGAACGCTTCCGCTCAGGCTGGCCAGAGTCCCTCCCAAAGCAATACCCCGGTGACGTCCACTCCACCAAGCAGCGGCCCTACCAAGCCCACATACTCGAAACGGGGCAAAATCACCATCGTCGCCTGCGTCAACTGTCGTCGTCGCAAGACCAAGTGTGACGGACAGCGGCCGGTATGTGCCCAGTGTCAGGCCCGAGATGGAGCACAGTGTCACTATGACATGAACGAAGAGCAGCGGCGACTCACCTATCTTCGCGAGAACGTTGAGCAGCTCCACGAGGAGAAGAGCGCCCTTGAGTCCCTCATACACAACCTGAGAATCAGTCCCGAGGACGAGGCCATCGCGATTCTGCGTCGCCTTCGCCAAGGCACAGATCCGCACACGCTGGTACAACATATTCAAGTTGGCCGCACGCTCACCAAGGTTTCCAATCCTACGACCGAAGGTATGTTCATCCTGACGAATGCACATCTTCCATGCACCTTCTTGCTGTGTTCGACCTAATGCTGAGTCTTCAATAGCCCCGCCGCCCCCAGCAGGCCTCTCTGACGTACACGCCCGACTCATTCAGTCGATCACGAAAGCGTCGCCTGAGGAGATAGACGAGATAATTCGAAGACTTCGGATCCACGAAAATGCTGGCAGCATACTCAACTCCATCCAGGGTGGGGGACTACTCCAGCCTTTGGAGAAGAGTGGCATCTACTCTGCTCCAGAGCACATCTTTGGCCTGACACGCGCAGGACAACAAACATCTACCGAGCTGTCGAATGCGAGTCACCTACACAGAGGACAGCAGCCTCGCCAGGTTTTGACACCGAAGGGCAACCCCAGCAAATTTTGGATAAGCGCGCCGCTGAACGGCCAGTATGATCAAGACATTGTCAACCATGCCCTGCGCCTCTACTTTACATGGCAGCATTGCTTCTTTCAAAGCTTTCCGCAAGCCCTATTTCTCCAAGATATGTCCTCCGGATCCACGAAATATTGCTCACGACTGTTAGTGAACGCCGTATGTTCGGCTGGCTGTCTTCTTTCTCCGTGGTCCGAGCTTCCAACAGGCAACCAAAGGCCGCAGGAGGTGTCCAGAATAACGTTCGATGACGCGGTGCGGGAGCTGGCGATGGTTGACGAACCGAGCATACCAACTATTGCCGGCCTGTTTATCCTCTCACACGTGGAAGGCAATCGCGGCCGAATGCATCGTGCGTGGGACTACTGCGGTAGAGCCGCTCGGATGGCGCTCGATCTGAACTTGCATCTCCGCGACGATAGGCAGGGCGTAGATGAAGTGGAGGTGAGGGCGAAAAGTCACGCGTTTTGGGGCTGTTTCATTGCCGACCAGTAAGTGTTTGCGGAGTCATTTCCGTAGAGGGTCTAGAACGGAGGTGTTCGAAACTTACTAAAGCATCGGGGGAACAGACTATTGAGCTTTACGCTTGGACGTATCCCACAGATACCAATAACGGCCATCACGATCGATCTACCGTCGATAGTCGAGGCCGATGACCTTGCACCCTGGGAGCCCGTCGGAGATGGCTCCAAGACAAAGGTTCCAGGCGCACGTTCTACCACGTTTTACGAGGTTGCCTCGCTTAGTCGGATCCTGAACTCAACGCTGTATCTTTTTTTTGCGCCGTCGCAGGTGCTGAAAGGCAGCCTACTATTGGACGAATACAACAAGTACAAGGCATGGTACAGCAGACTGCCGCCCATTGTGCAGCTGGTCGATGAGCCTGCTCCGCATGTTCTCTGCCTTCAGTAAAGCCTACCCCTCCCTCACGTTGCCGTTTGGTTAGCAAATTGCTTACATAATCCTAGCATGTATTACCATGCCGCCGTACTTCTGCTGTTCCGTCCATTCCTCAAGGCCAAGTTCACACAGTCCAACGTCTCTCCAAGCGAGGTCTGCCGTGCTTCAGCAGCGTCCATATCGAGATTATTTAACCAGCACCGCCGACTGTATGATTCCGTCGGTATCTACACCCTTCAAATGCATTGCCTTCTTGCGGCATGCACAATCCACATTATAAACACTCCAGCCATAGCCTCGACACAGTATCTCATTAGCGCAGCGAAGCACTTCCACGACCTTGCACATGTTAATGGCTGGGCCGTAGAATGCATATCCATTCTCAAAAACTTGGTTGAGAAATGGCAGATTGTTCTCCCCATGGAAGCAGACCTGGCTTTGTTTCAAGACACGGCTGCAAGAACTTCACATGATGAGAACGAATCGGGGCGAGCCAAGCGGAGTGCCTTCGCGCCGCCTGATGTCCCTCCAAACCCACAGCAGAAGAAGCCAAAACTTGCGATTCCTCGTATGCTCGGGCGCTCTCCATCTTCTGAGCAGTCGAGCAGCGGTAGCGCCGAGTCCCCTGCATCGCGCCCCAATTCCTCCCTAGCTGGTCACTCGAGCACTGCCAACGAGAGCAGCAAGGGCAGCAACCCGCCCGGCTTGCACAGGGAAGCAACGTCACAGTTAAATTACCTGTTCGCCCCTTTCCCGAATCAACCGGCGCCGATGCTGGCTCCCACGCATTCCAGCGACGTACTTGAAATGGAAAGTCGAGGCCAGATGCCGCAGCAACCAAGGGTTGATTTTGACGGCTTAACGTTCGAGAGCGGTACTGGATGGTTTGACCCCTTCATGGGCTTTGACACGGCAGGAAGCATAGGGGAAGGTGAGCAACGCCCATAGTTGGCATGTCTCGGCGGCATATCGCGAGATTATTCGTCTCTGTCTGAGGATGTACCCTACATGGGTGATAGTCCTCAAAACGAGACCACCATTAAAGCATTTTGAGCATATGCCTCTGTGCTACTACTTGTTTCGAAACGAGCAAAGCCTCGTTTTAACAGCATACCATATGCTGTTAATACAACTTTTTTGGTGAATTATTACGACTGCCTCGATTTTATCCTGGGTATGACTCGCAACGGCCCTAATGTAATGACGGAACTTATGATTGGAAAGAGAAAAATAAGTGCAGAATTTTTAAACTGTCGCATACACAGGTGTTCACTTTGTGGGAAGACAGCTAGCGACATGCGCTACGAAGCAGTTTGCTTGATCAGCATGGTTGAATCGAGGTACAGCGCTCAATCGGCGCCGGCTGCAAGAAAACGCTTTGTCGCCTCCGGCGATTATCATATTCTGTGCGACGAGCAGCTTTACGATGTGAGTCCCGATGTTCTGAGCTTAGCCGAATCTAGAAACAAAAATGAAGCCATGTATATATATATATATATAGATGTATATTTTTCTTTTTGCATCGCAGCGCGAAACCAGGGAGACAAGCGAACGACGTCAACAGTCACAGTGTTCGCTTGTGCGGTTTAAGTGGCGTGAAAAAGGTGCGAACCGCGACGTAAGTTGTTCTGAATTGCATGAATCATATATTTGCTCTTCGATTTGTTTTCAGTCGGCAGGCGGCTACGCCTACCCTCCAATGCTGAAGCAAGCTCCGTAACGCCACGCCTCGATGCCCTTCCCAAGCTGCGTGGGGATCTCTTCTGTAATATTTATACACGTCCGGGAACGCCGTGACGGGTCATGATCTTATTACGAGTTTTCTACGCCGGTAGCACCTGATGCGAGTCGTCCCATTCCTGCGTCTTGATTCCGTCCTTTGTAATGATCTTGACGAACATGCCCTTGAAGTCGATTGGCATGCGCCGCTTCAGCTCGTCCGTGCACATCCTGAGGATGGCGAGGCCCTTTTCTAGGTCGATCGAGGGATGGTGGTGCTTGTCGAGGATGGAGAGGCAGTAGTACCTTTTTAACAATCTCGTTGTCAGCCGACGTCTACTTCCTTGCGTGCGGCATTGCCGCCGTGTTCGGGAGGGGTCCTTCATTCTTACTGGGCATAGCCGTGAGCGGCGTAGGGCACCTTTGCAAGGGCGGCCAGATAATCAATCCAGTACAGGCTCGGCTCGTTGGTGATGGGATCCACGCCGCCTAGCAATAGGTTGACCTGGTACGGTCTCTGAGTACGGAGCGCTCGAGCGACCTCGCCACGCACGAAGGACGAAACGGCGCTGGGGCCAAGGGATGTGCTGTTGCGCATCGAGTACAGCTGCACGTTGGCCTGGATGTATTCCGCGAATTGCACTGTCCATTGCACAAACAAGGTAAGCTATTGCACATGTTTGAAGCGGCATGAACCATCAGAAGCAGGTTGGATTGTGGGTGAAGGGAAGGCTTGTCATGTACCTGTGTCTCCCGCCTCGCCCGAAAATGCCATCAGGTTGTGCTGGTTCAGACTGCGTGTCTTGTCATCGGTGGCCTTCAGTATGGTGACGCCGCGCATCGCGGCCTTGGAGGAGGCTATGATGGTGAAGTCCTTGCCTGTCAAGCCTAGTAGGACTTCCATCTTTGCTGCGTGGAATAACTGCTGGTTGTGCTGCGAGTCCGAGGAGCACTGCGTGAGTTCTTGGAGAACAGGGTGATGTGGCAGAAAGCGAACGAACGGGGCTTGATCTTGGGTGCTGCTGTTGCGTGCGTGTTAGGATGTTGCTACGGCTGAAGCTATGCGCGTTCTGAGCTGCCTGCGCAGAAGTTCGGCTGCCAGAAAGGGCTAAGCTGACTTCACTCACTCGAACAAGGATGTCCGAATGCGGGTTACATAAGCTGCATACGGCTCCGCCAAAAAAGTTTCTAAGGCTGGCGCTCCAAGCATTGCAGAATTTCTTCAATTGTGCAGCGCCATGGCTCCAAAAGGGAAGAGCTCGGTGACATTTGCGCCGGCGAAGGTCATACAGCCCATCTTCACACGGGGCAACGTTGCGCTCAGCCAGGACGGGCGTATTCTTGCCTCGTGCCTGGACGAGGACGTGCTGCTCACGGACTTGCGGACGGGACAAGAGCTAGCGAGGATAGAAGGGGTGAGTGACAGATGCGTACGAGATCGCCGTTGTTTCTGACGTGTTGACAAGAGAGTAGGACGGAGAAATAGCCACCTCTATAGCCAGTACGTACTCGAGCGAAGAAATTCGGCTTGGAGATGAGTGTGAATGCTAAATCTCGAGCAGTAACGCCTTCCGCGTCGCATTTGATAATATGTTCGCGCTCGCTGTCCATGCACATATATGCGCTTTCTTTTTCTGACTTCGACGACCACCTCGAGTATGAGCGCCTTCGCACGCTCAAGCCGCACACGGCGCCAGTCGTTGTAACAGCGGTCGACCACACAGGGACGCTCCTGGCTACAGGAGGCGCCGACGGAGTAGCAAAGGTATGGGACATACGAGGTGGCTATGTTACTCATACATTCCACGGCCACAGCGGCCTAGTCTCCGCCCTGCATTTCTTTGAAGTTGATCCGACGCAAGAGAAAGAGGAGCATTCATCGAAAAAACGGAAAAGAAAGGGTAAAGGCGAAAAGCTAGAGTCCGAAGCGGACGACGAGAGTACCATGGGCTTCCGACTGGCCTCTGGCGGAGAGGACGGAAAGGTTCGGATATGGAACTTGCACAAGCGATCGGCCGCGGCCGTGTTGGATGCGCACATGTCCGTCGTTCGCAGCTTGGACTTTTCGCGGGAGGAAAACCTGCTTCTCTCTGGTAGTAGAGATAAGACGGCGATTCTGTGGGACGCACGGTCGTGGAAGGCTCGAAACACGATCGCTGTCTTGGAAGAAGTGGAGCGCGCGGGCTTCGTCGGGAGAGGCAAGCTGCTCTACACCGGTGGCGAGATGGCCAAGCTCCGGATATGGGAGACGAACTCCGGGCGAGAAATCACTGAAGAGCAAGAGCAAGGCACGGAAACAGAGGTGATCCAGGACGTGATTTACTATCCAGAGTGGTCATACTTGCTCACCGTGCACGCGGACCAGACCTTGGTCTTTCGATCACTGGAAAAAATAGAGGGCTATGAATCAAGTCAAGGCCGTATGCCACCGCTACCTGTCCTAAGGCGTATACCAGGTAGCCATGATCAGATTATCGACATTGCCTACGTTGGAGAAGACAAGTCGTTACTTGCTCTGGCAACGAACTCCGAAGATGTGCGGATCATCTCCATAAAGGATGGACGAACGGCGAAAGACGACGATGTCACCGAGGGCGGTTACTTTGGCTCTGACGTCGCGCTACTCAAAGGTCACGACGACATCGTGATCGCCATAGATGTCGATTGGTCAGGACACTGGCTGGCAACAGGCGCAAAGGACAATACTGCGCGGATTTGGCGTCTTGATCCCTCGAACAACTTGTTTGAACAATACAGCACATTTACCGGGCACGCAGAATCGCTAGGCGCGGTCGGCTTACCGAAAAATGCCCCGCCAGCAGATTCGTCTGCCTTCAAAGATCCCCTAAATCACCCGCCCCCCTTTTTGATCACGGGTTCACAGGACCTGACGATCAAGAAGTGGAGTATACGGAAGCCAAGCGCTGATGGCGGCGCAAAGACTGCCAAGTCCGCGTACACTCGGAAAGCACATGAGAAAGATATCAACGCAATAGCTGTGCACCATTCGGCACAGTTCTTTGCGTCAGCTTCACAGGATAGGACAGTGAAGATATGGTCTGTGGAGGATGGCTCGATTGTGGGCATATTGAAAGGCCATAAGCGGGGCGTGTGGACTGTGGCTTTCTCGAACCCGGGAACAAACCTAAACATTCCGGGAGCAACTGGTGGAGGATCTGGCGGGAGCAGAGGATTCGTCCTCACAGGTAGCGGAGACAAGACAGTAAAGATCTGGAGTTTGGCGGATTATAGCTGCCTGATGACCATGGAAGGACATACAAACAGCGTGTTAAAAGTCGTATGGCTGCCACCTTCGATAGGAGCGCCTCCAATCACCGACGCAGACGGCGATGAGGACATGGACACCGCTGTGCCGGCGATGCCTTCAGAGAGACGAGGGGTTCTCGTCGCAAGCGCAGCAGCAGACGGTCTCGTCAAAGTTTGGGATGCACAATCGGGCGAGTGCGCAGCTACCTTGGACAATCACACCGACCGTGTCTGGGCCCTCACCAGTCGAGCGGCATCGCAATCGCCAGGCAGCATCGGAGAATCCATCATATCCGGAGCAGGCGATGGCGTCCTGACTTTCTGGACGGATACCACGGCCTCCACCGCTCTTGAAAGCCGGGCAAGGGAAATCAAGCAGGTTGAGCTGCAGCAAGAACTCGAAAATCATGTGTACAGCAGGAATTGGCGCGAGGCCATCACTCTAGCCCTGCAGCTTGATCAGCCCGCCCGCTTACTGTCTCTCTTCAAGACTGTTGTCGAAGCCGATACGCCCGATCCCACATCCTTTACGGGCAACAAGGACGTGGACGATGTGATTGCTTCCCTAGCAGATGAGCAGGTTTTCAAACTTCTGCTCCGTGTGCGTGACTGGAACACAAACGCTCGGAACTTCTTGGTCGGGCAGCGCGTTCTCCGCGCCGTCATTGAAGCTTGTGGCATCGAAAGACTTGCGAATTTGCACGTGCGAGGCGGAAGGGCAGGTCGAAGTGGTGTTAAGGAGGTCATGGAAGGCTTGAGGGCGTACGGCGAGCGGCATTTCAACAGGGTGAGTGAGATGTGGGACGAAAGTTTCTTGGTGGAGTTCACGCTAGGAGAGATGGACGACATTTTAGGCCCTAGCGATGAGGACGAGCGCAGATTGCTGGGTGCGCCGGAAATGGCCAACGGCGTAGCACCGAGCAGGGAGAAGGATGTTATAATGTTGGAAGCATAGACGAGAATATATACTCCGGAGCGCAAGTTACCATGCGCATCTTTGCACTGGCCGCGTGTGCCCTTCTTCCCATATACATCCATGTTCGATTTGTGAAGCCAAAATCCCAATTTTTAGCCATTCAATTGATCTCCACGAGAGGATATACGAACCTGCAAACTCAAGACGTTCATGTCATTTTCCCGTCACGCTGGGCTGGCGGCTGACTGGACGTCTCGCGGCTTTTGTTCAAGGCTTCGAGCATTGCGTCGACATGCCGAGTCCAATTTACGCGCCTCAACTGTGGCTAAGGCCATCTGGCAATCCAACCCTGCGGAGTTAGACATTGCCTATTCTAGGAAATCTTGTACACATTAAGTTTATCGCGTGCCCCTTCAGCTCCGTCTTCTTCTTGCAGGTCGTTCCTTTCCTTCTCGCTCTTCTTCATGTCCGAAACGTTTGCGGACCTGTTCGCCAGCCGTGTGAAGCGTCATGGACCTTGATCCCCACGTCGAGCCGGAACTGGACTCCTTCAGTCTGTTTCTGCCGCTGCCTTACCGCGTGGCTCTCATAATTGTGCTGGGTACGTTGAGAAGCGGCGGTCTTATGATACGGAGCTTACTATTAGTTCAGGCGTGTGGGCGTGGGGCGTCAATCTGCATTACCTGGACCTCGTCAAGATCGTACGTACTCTTTGGTTTGTACTTTTGTCCTCAATGCGTGCCTAACACGTAGATCTCAGGATGTTCCTCAGTTGATCCGCTATCCGGGACGAACGTCCTCTTCACACATACCGCACCACCAGTCCTGCTACCGCCTCGCGACACTTCTGAGCATACCGTACGTCGCATCGCTACTCCTCTTCTGGCTCATCACGCGCGGCAATGCCGACGCCGTCCTGCGCTGGGAGATTCTCCCCAATCTGTACCTCCTCATTCTCGTCGTCTGCTTCTTCCTCCCGTTTTCAATGGTCTCGGGAAATGGACGGCATCGCTTCCTTCACACGTTGCGACGAATCAGCATAGGGGGCATCGCGGAGGCCCAAGACGGGAAGTTTGGGGACATTCTCATGGCCGATGCGCTGACAAGCTACGCAAAAGTGCTCGGCGATCTGTTCGTGGCGCTCTGCATGTTCTTCACGAAGGGGAGGTCGTCGACTGGCAAGCCGGACAGATCCTGTGGTGGGCTTTTCATGGTTCCTTTGATCATCTCTATTCCGAGCATGATACGGCTCCGGCAGTGTTTGATTGAGTACAAAAGAGTCCAGAAATCGAACAGGTCGGGCGCGCTGAGCGGCCAGGGTTGGGGAGGCCAGCATCTGGCTAACGCGTTGAAATACTCCACAGCATTTCCCGTCATCATTCTGAGCGCCCTTCAGCGTAATTACGAAGATGGAAAGTACGGCATGAGTGAGGCTGGCTTGTTTAGACTCTGGTATGACGCTTTCCTAGCGGCTCGGCGAGCAGTACTAACAACGCGCAACAGGCTCTTTTTTGTTTTCCTCAACTCTCTCTACTCCTTCTACTGGGATGTTACCAAGGATTGGGATCTCACTCTCTTCTCAGAGGCGCGAAACGACCCCGACCACCCCTGGGGCCTTCGCCGCCATCGTTTCTTTCACTCGAACAGCATGTATTATTACGTTATTGTCATCGATCTATTGCTGCGGTGTACCTGGAGTTTCAAATTGAGTCCTCACTTGGACCATTTCAACGACCTGGAGGGTGGCATATTTCTCATGGAGATTCTCGAGGTGTTTAGAAGATGGATTTGGATATTTTTCAGAGTAGAGACGGAGTGGGGTAATGCTTCAGACTTATGCTTTCGCCCTGACAAGCGCTAACAGCCATCGCAGTACGAACCAATCGTGGGCCTGCACCAGACGACGTGCTTCTTGGTGATTTTTCTAAAGATCATGACTCTGACTAAAAGCGAAGCCGCGCACAGAGCTGGGCAATCACCTCAACGATCTACAAAACATAGAACAGTATGAGCCTGGCCCACTATCTGCACGGCTAGGTTGTGTCGCAAAGAAGCCTCGTAGAGCAGATATCTGCCAATCGAGTAAGGTGAGAAACAGCTGCTTCACGCCTTCCGCGCATTACGAATTCGTTCCGCGGCTATTCTAGTCCCCTCAACGATAGCCTTGTGCTCGATCTCATGTATTCGAGCCTCGAGGTCCTCGATATTGTCGTCCTCTGGATGACTAAGCTGTACGGGCTGCTGCAAAATAGGCTCGCCCATGTCAACTTCCGAGATAACCTGCGCGTGTGTTATCAGATGCAATATCTGACGCTGTATGATTTAAACAATACGTACATAATGTATCATAACACCAGTCTGCGTAATTTTGCCTTCCATAAAGTCTTTGTGTGCTCGTTCAATTGCATTGGCACCATTATACTGCCCTCTCAGGGCTAAGATCGACTGCGGTTAGGCGCCGACTGAAGTTGAAGTGGGACTAGTACTAATCATACCTGGATGCAAGTTTATAATGGAGACATTGTTCTTCTCTAATGGCTCCAAGAATTTGGGACTCAGCACATGCATAAATCCAGCGCAGACGACAAGGTTTGGCTCGTCCTTCAGTATGAGCTCCGCGAGGTCGGCATCATATTCTTCCCGTGCTTTCTGCTCCTGGTCCTGGTACTTTCGTTTGTAGGATAGCAAGTTATGATACGCGGTCGGTATGCCAGCCTTCTCAGCGCGCACGAGACCATATGCGCCTTTGCGGTTCGAGATGACCCTCACGATGACCGTGTCTGCGAGTTTCTGATCTACGTCGTCGATCAGAGCTTGAAGGTTGGATCCGTTGCCCGAGATGAGCACGGTAATGCGCAATTTGGACATCTTCAAGAGTCAAGCAGAGACTTCACCGTTTCAATCCGCTGGCGGACGCACGAGGCCTGGGTTCAATTTTCCACAGCCAGAATTATCAAGGAACAAATTCGGGCACGAAACAAGCAACGGGCGCTAGCAAGGATTGGACCCTGCGGCCGCCCGCCGTGTGTAAATTGGACTCACGAATAATCAACCCTTGACGGTTTCGGCAGGCTGTCATGCTTGTGCATTGCCACCTCGACGACGCGTGCACCGGTATTGCCTGCGGTCAAACAGTCCTGTCGGCAAACCTTGCGACTCTCGCCTTCCTGGGTCTATAAATTCACTGGTCCAGTTATGATATCTCCATAATACTGCACCGGGAACGACACCACCCTGCTTTCGTAGCCGAGCTGACCGCTTCTGGGCAGTATGTCGACTGCTTCGACTGAGCAGCGGGAGCTCTCGCTTGTTGACAAAGTTGAACTACGGATTGCACTTGCGGATACAGACGCCAAGCTTTCAAATTTGCTCAACACGTATCTGGCCCCTCTTCTGCTCAAGCTTGCCTCGGAGCATCTCAGTGTCCGTAACAAAGTCATAACAGTCTGCCAGCATCTGAATACCCGGCTTCAATCCCCATCTGTGGAACTGCCCGTAGCGTCGCTTCTGAGGCAGTTCAAAGACCAAAATGTCAAACTCATCAGACATTTCGATTTGCTGTACGCCCAGCAAGGGTTCAAACGACTGTCCGCAAAAGACAAGCATGAACTCGTCCCAGTCCTGATCAAGGATGTCGCTTCCGTAGTACGCAACCCCAAGGATCAGTCCGGCGCTCAATTCTTCAATCTCTTCCTCCAGGCTCTGCACTATTACGAGTTTCCGCGAAAAGGAAGCAAGGATGAAGATGAACTAAGAAACACTTTGGAGCTTTCCGACGACGACGGTGGTGTACTTGCCTTCTGGTTCGAGAAGTTGATCTTGCTTGAAGTGGCAAAACCGTCTTCTTCAGACGCTGCTGTGCAAGGCATGCCTGGCGTTACGGAAGACGAAAAGCAATTTCTTAATGTCTACGGCCGCCCTGGAGTGTGGGATCCCTCATCGCCCGGTGGTATGCAATTCAAAGCCACGAAGTTGCTCGTGCTCAAGTTCCTCTCGACTGGTGCATTTAATGACAACGAGCGCTTCATGCCCGCGCTGGTAGCATCCGCGCATCGAGATTCCAACATTGCGGATCGGGGAGAAGATTTGCTTAAGCATGCGATCGCTGATGTCAACGTGGATGATACCTCCATCATAGAGCGTCTCTTTGACACTTACCTTGGTACAGAAGGGAGGCCACCGGTTGCACCGCCTTTACAGATCAAGATTCTGAGCGTTCTTCAACGTTCTGCCGTCTCCGCTACGGCATTTCCTGAGAAGTGCCTGCATATTATAGAGCAAGGCATCAGCACTGGAGGCAATAGTATACGCGGAAGAGAGGCCACAAAGTTACATGCGGCTATATTTGGCTTTGCAAACTTCTTCCTTCGCAGTGGTGCCAAATGTTCCCTGAAGCAAGCAACTCCAGTGATTATATCAAAGATGCAGCAATACATCCATGATCAAGGATGGCCTAGTCCAAACACAAAGGATGAACTCACTCTAAGGCGAAACGCGTATGAAATGATCGGCGCTTGCGCAAAGGCTGGCGGCATTCAGGACATTGCGCTGCTTGATTGGTTATTCCGCTCCCTCAGCGATGACAGATCAGATCGAGAAACGTCACTTGCTATCGAGCATGCGCTTGCAATGATGATCGATTCGTTTTCGTTCATCTATCTCGACAATAAAGCAGCGAGTGCAGACGACGAGGATACGGAAATGACAGATCGAGTCACCAGAGCAACAATTGACGATCTATCTGAGCTCCTCTATCGTTACGTTGAAGAAGACGGATCGTCGGAAAGGGGGGTGAATAGAGGGAGGAGCACAAGCTATATCGCAGCACGCTTTGCAAACAGGTGCTTACCCTACAACAACACGATCGGTCGCTGGATCGACATCCTTGCCGCTGGTGGCCCCGCCGGCGCAAAGATGGAGGTTGTCGAGGAGGGCAAGAAAGGTCTCGATCCATATTGGTTTGTCACGCTCAATTCTGATCGCAAGGATCTTTGGACACGTCCAGGAGGATCCAGTGACCGGCCGGAAGTCCTCTTCCCGTCTTTCGTGGAAATGTTCAAACAAGTTTTTACTCGACCAAGCGAGCGGATCTTGGATGACCCTGCTCAAGCTTTACGTGAATTTTTGAAACGTTATCCTCACGCAATTGGCCCTGCGCTGTCTTTCTGCTGGCGGATCTTCGTCAACGAAGCGCTCACACAACGGAAAATCACAGTGCCCATCGATACAGAGTGGGAAAGGAAGCTCGAGAACGGTGTGAAGCAAGATCTCGAGATCCGTGCAGCTCTCAAAGCGTACCTGAACCTGCTCTTGCAGAACAGCAACGATGGAACCATGGCTTTCAAAGCATTTGTTATGATGTGCTTCGAAGCAATGATCATTAACGATGGCAATGGCATTCCAAATTGTCAGGATATTCTTGTTCAAGCAGTCTCCATTTGTCCTAGAGGATTCCTGTCGAGTATTTGTACCATGGCCGACATTCAAAGACTAGTGCCTTCCTTGAAGTCGAACGATACTCTCTCACGCCGATCAGCTGCGTCAGTTTTAGGCATGCTTAGCTACGTTGACGACGAGGCTAATCTGATTCGGGTTCTTGACAATCTTCTGCTTGCTGCTGAAACTCATGATCATGCCATAGGCGCAACCATCAACCAAATTAATGGATGTATCATGGCCTCCGCTTCTGCATTGTCGAGAGTCAGTTTCGCAAATAAATTCTTGGATGAAAAGCTTCTTGGCTTATTGCAGCGGTTGAACACAATCATTTGGGCAATTCTGAGATCGAGCAATGACCAGACGTTGCTTGATGCTGCTTACTATGCTGTGGAGCAACTCAGCATATTTCGCATCTATAAGCAAAAGCTAGAACTTGATTCTTCTAAGATGCGGGAAATGATAGATTTGCTTGTAAAAAAGGCCAAAACAGGAAACGAGAAAGCAAGCAAAGCACTTGGTCGCTTCGGTGTTTTCATTTCAGAAGACGACGATGGTCAAATCTTACAGTATCTCGAAGAGCAACTCTATATGCTGCACGAAATTCGGGATCTTGGTACGCAGTTCGCGGTTGGCGAAGCCTTGTGTTGCATTGCATGCGGTTGGGCGAACACCGCTCTTCAGCTTGACATGGACGTTGACCTGCCTATACCTGTGAATGAAAAGAATTCTAAGCTTCCCGAGGTGTTGCAGCGAACCATTGCAAACTGTCGGGCTTCGAAACCTGCTCTTCGAAAAGCCTCTGTGATTTGGTTGCTTTGCTTGGTACAATTCTGTGGCCATCTACCTGAAATAAAAGGCCAACTGCGGGCTTGCCAAGCAGCATTTGGGAACTCCTTATCTGACAGAGACGATTTGGTCCAGGAAGCCGCGTCACGAGGCTTAGGCCTCGTATACGCAAAGGGCGATCGAGAATTGCGGGAAGACCTGGTTCGAGATTTGATGAAGTCATTTTCAAGCGACAAGAGCAATCTGGCTGGCAACGTCGATGATGAGACTACCCTTTTCGACCCTGGCGCTCTTCGCACCGGTGATGGCGACAACTCAATCACGACTTACAAGGACATCTTGAGCCTGGCTTCAGAAATTGGCAATCCTGGTCTCGTCTATCAATTCATGTCTTTGGCCGCAAACAACGCCATTTGGTCGAACCGTGCTGCATTCGCAAACAGCGGTCTTCGGAGCATTCTCTCAGACTCAACTGTTGAGGGTTATTTGTCCGAAAATCCAAAACTCTACAGCAAATTGTTCCGGTACAGGTTTGATCCTAATACAAATGTTCAACGTTCAATGAACGACATCTGGAATTCGCTGGTAAGAGACTCCAGGGCGACGATTGAAAAGTACTTTGACGCCATCATGGACGACTTGCTTGCAAACATTCTCACCAAGGAGTGGAGAGTGCGACAGGCGTGCTGTGAAGCAATTGCAGACCTGGTGCAAGGCCGGCAGCTTATCACATACGAAAAATATCTGACCGAGATATGGAGTCGGTGCTTCAAAGTCCTTGACGACATCAAAGAATCTGTGCGAGTCGCGGCTGCAAAGTTAGCACGTGTGCTCAGCCAGATTCTCGTACGCAGTCTTGAAGCGAGCGAATCGTCCACGAAGAATGCGGAAGCAGTGCTCAAGCATGTTCTACCCTTTTTGTTGTCAAACTCCGGCCTTGAATCCTCGGCCGAAGAGGTTCGCCTCTTCTCTTTGCATACAATTCTTGAGGTTGTGAAAAAAGCCAGTCCTATGGCTTTGCGACCATTCATTCCCGAGCTGGTTGAGCGAATGCTTGCACTCTTCACGGACCTTGAGCCTGGAAGCGTCAATTATATACATCTCAATGCATCGCAGTATAAAATTTCCGAAGAGAAGCTGGACGGTCTACGCCTAAACATGGTACGGAACAGCCCCGTGACAGAGGCTATTGACCGCTGCTTTGATCTAGCGGATGTTGACACCATGGAAAAGGCTGCCGTTGCCATCGAGAAAGCCATGAAAGCCGCTGTTGGCTTGCCCTCCAAATTAGCCTGTGGTAATACATTGGTCTCCTTGACTTTGCGACATAGGGAGTTGTTGAGACCCCATGCAGGGCGCTTCCTGAAGCTTTTGGAAAAATACTCCCTGGATCGTAACGAAACAGCCTCAAGCACATACGCTGCGGCCTCTGGATACCTCTGCAAAGTTGCCACAGACAAGCAGATACTTCGTTTGGTGAAATATGCGATGAAGCTGTACATTGAGGATGAGGACGAAAAACATCGGGTTGTTTCTGCAGATATCGTCCGAGCAATTGCTAAGCAAGTTCCTGACCGGTTCAACTCGCTGTCTTCAGACATTCTGCCTTTCGTATTTGTGGCAAAGCATGACGGCCAAGATGGCATCAGGGAGCTGAACACCAAAACTTGGGAGGAAAATGTAGGCGTTACAGCTGTTTCGCTACATCTAAAAGAAATCATTGCAATGTCACTTGAGCTTTTGGACTCGCCGCGGTGGAATCTCAAACATTCTGCGGCTCGTAGCGTGGCAGAGGCTACTACCGCCTTGAGTTCAGGTTACGACGGTATCTCGGAAGACCAGGCTGCATTGCTCTGGCCGGCACTGCGCAAGTCACTGGAAGGCAAAACTTGGGACGGCAAAGAGGAGATTGTTGGGGCATTTGCTCGTTTTTCCGAGAGCGTCAAGCCTGGAAAATTCCGAGATGGCATCACATCGGACATTATCAAGGTAAGTTGCATAGTACATCACATGAAAATCATGTCTGAACAGGGCCAGATTGCTCTTCGAGAGGCGAAGAGGCAGAATAAAACCTACCAGCAATTTGCGATTCCGGCATTAGGAACAGTAGCAGCAGCCTTGCCCAGAACCGGACAAGTGGACTGGCACAAAGAAGTAGTTGCCATTGTGCAACCAGTTATTGAAGACATGGTGTCGTCTTACAGCGACAAGATGGACGTAGATGGTCGGGATGCATATCTGGAAGATAAAAAGCGCGAGGCTACGCTTTGTGGCTGCATTGAGTCTCTTGAAAAGTCATTCTCACTTGAAACCGAAAACCTGTCAGAGGGTGAGCTCATTTGATCATAGAAGTTGATTCATAAGCTAACTTGATGAAGCCGTCCCGGAACGACTTGATGTTGTCCTCAGCTTGTTTGTCAAATCTTCCTCTGTACGGATCAGAGGCATTGAGTTGGCAATATACGCCAATCTCGAACGACTCTTCAACAAATTGAGAGGTAATCTTGCGAAGAACCTGGAAAGCCGCAGTCTCGACTTAGCGAAACCCATCAATCTCCTCTTCTTTCAGCATGACCCTAGTGGGTACTTGGAATCGGTGCGTCTACAAAGAGCAAAAGCACTGCTATCACTGTCCAGAATTGGTGCCCCGTCCTTGGTTCACGATGTCCTTCACTCAGACCAGGTATTGGCTGAGATTTCAAAAGAGCCTGCACTGGCAGTGCAAGATATCCTTAGACAGATCAAGTTAGAATGATCTCAACGCATGTCTTCTATTCAAGATATTCAAGACAGCTATTCGCACCTAGATGTGAAATTCATGAGTTGCTCGCTACACCTTGTCTATCTCAGCCATTTTAGGGGCTCCTACTCCAATCGATATTTTACCTCGTCGTCTTGACCCGTATGCACCCAGCGGCCAGAGTCACGATACTCATTGAGATAAATAGTACAGAAAGGCCACGAGACTGTAGTGTGTCAGATGTAGCTGAGTAAGGTTTGCGGTGGGGTATCATTCCCTTTCCTATAGCTCCAGGTAAAATTTGTCGGCGCGATCTGCTTGACCTGGTAAGCCGTACAGCCAAGTATGAAACAAGAATTCGCGACATCACGAGTTGACCTCTACGAACACTAGCATCGCCAAGTTCATGCTGAATTCCATCTTGAGGTAGAAGACGTAGAGACCAGACACAAATAAACGCTCGATCTGGCTCGCACAAATCAGAGGAATAGAATCCAACGTGAAATTTTGGGTTCTATCTTTCCACGGCCATCGTAAGTGCACCTGCGGCCCTACAAAGATAGCGTTGAACGACGTACCAATATCTCCACCATGCTTTGAAAGGGATAGTGGCCGTGAATTGATGTCGCGATATCGATCAGGGAGAAATGGTTAGGGCCAAACCCAGCGATTGAGCGTACTTACGTGCCTTGTACGTTATGCTGCGCTTCTTGGGGGAATTGACGCCCTCTCAAGACAGTATACAGGGGCGTCGCCTTACGAGGGTGACTTGTCTGGTTGTTCTGGGAGCGCTCATCCATGGCAGCCACCGCCTCGCAAGGTCCATCAATTGAAGAATACAAAGCCTTGAGGCGAAAAGTGTACCCAGATGAGAGGGAAAATGTGGAATCATGATTCAAGAGATCAAGGCGGTACGAGAGCCGATCGCCACAGTACACGGTACGAAAAATTGCGACAGAAACATTGGACGGGCAAATGATGACGGATCAAAATTGTGCTTGTAATGCGATAAAGTGACGATGTTCACTGCATATTACACCCTGCTCGTAGGTATTGTCCATGATCAAAGAGCCGAACCTCGCTAGAACCTATGTTAATCCTCCCAGACGCTGCGCTTAGCTTTCTCCTCCTCTTCTTTGGCTTTCTTCTCCTCTTCGCGTCTCCTCTTCTCCTTCTCTCGCATGGCCTTGTCATACTCCCGCTGTTCTTCGGTCCTCTTTGGGGCCTTGACTCCGAGACCGCCTGCGATAAGCCTCGCTGCGACGCTCGTTGTCTTGTCGGGTCTGCGATCTGGAGATCTCGATCCCTTCTCAAGACGTGGCTGCATCGACGTGTATATGTCCGAGCTGAACTGCTCGCCTCGTGGACCGTAAGCCATCGCTGGCAGATCTGGCGTTGTTGGAGATGCCGGAGTGGGAGGAGGCACACTTGGCGGATCGGTCGTCGTCGTCTTCGCAAGCCGCTCTTCGTCGTCCACCTCTTCCGTCTCCGTGTCTGAGCCGTCGGACTCATCCTCCCAAGAGTCTGCGATTACATCTGCCTTCTTCGCCCTGGGCTTTGTGGAGATCTTGAGCTTAGAAAGGTTCGACAGGTCGTCGGCACTGGGTCGAGTGGGAAGCGACATCGTTCAACGCCGATCGCGTGCACGCACGGCCGTTGGGAGGCTTCAGCACGAAGTACGAAATGGACCGGTCTTGCTTAGCACATGAACAGTGAGTGACAGGTCGCAGGCCTCTAAGTGGCTGGCAATCTTTTTTCCTTGCACGAAATCGTCGACGACGAGGTCCAGGGGCAAGCACTCTGCGTGAGGACAGATTAGGGTCAAGGCAAGACGACGTTTGCAGCGTGACGTCGTCGTCTTCTGCGTTCCCCACAGCGCTCCCCTGATTCAGCCCTGGACCCTGTGGCTGAGTCGTGTGCGGGGGACCAGCTCGGTGGGAGAGCAGCAGCGGCATGGCTTTGCTATATTTATTGGCTCGCATGCTTCGAACCGAGCGTTGGACTGCGAGGTGAAGAAGAGTTGCCTGGCTTGTGAGCTTGCTGTCAGATGTGTTCATATGGACGTCCAGCGGCGCCCGACATGGAGCAGACGGAGCAAGGCGCCTTCGAATTGCCGAATCGCCGCACACTGAGTCGCCGCTCAAATAGCCGAAGTAGCCTTTATCACTCCGCTCTTCGGAGTCACGATGCTTCATATGTTCTTCGACATTCCCGACATCAGCTTTTGGTCAAAAGCACTTTATGCTGACCAGCTTTGCCTTTGATTGCCGTTGTTACTGGATTCTGGATGCTCCCTCGCTTGGTCTCAAGTTGCGCCGTTGACATTTCTCGAAACAAAGCGGGGGAGACCACTATCGTTCGACCATCATCATGCTCTGCCACAGCTGTCGCCGCTCGTTTAGGACGCAGTTGAGGAGGTCAATTGCTGCCAATCGTGGCTACGCGAATATCTCCCGCGGTAAATATGACGAGACCATTAAGAACCTCAAGATTGGCAAAGACACCCGCGTGATATTCCAAGGGTTCACTGGAAAGCAAGCCACCGCCAACGCCCGAGAGTCTATAGAATGGGGAACCAACATCGTGGGTGGTGTGCGGCCTGGCAAGTCAGGAGAACATCTGGGATTGCCGGTTCTGCCGACGGTACGAAAGGCAATGGAAGAACTAAAGCCAGACGCAACTGGCATATACGTGGCTGCACATCAGGCTCCCGCTGCTATCGAGGAAGCGATTGAGGCTGAGGTTCCACTCATCGTGGCAGTCGCCGAGCACATCCCCCTCCACGACATCCTCAGAGTACGTGGCAGTCCCTCTCGTTGATCGTCTGGTTGGCTAAATCATGCAGATCCATCAAATGCTCGCCACTCAGTCCAAGTCGCGTCTGGTCGGCGCAAATGCACCAGGTATCATATCTGCCATTGGAAGGTGCAGGATCGGTTTCCAACCTTTGATGACTTATACCCCCGGTCCAATTGGTCTCGTTGCGAAATCTGGCACGCTCAGTTACGAAACTGTTGCGTCGTTGACACGAGCGGGTGTAGGGCAGAGCTTGTGCATCTCTATGGGCGGTGATGTTGTGGCTGGAACGGACTTTATCGATGCTCTCAAAGTCTTCGAGACGGATGATGATACGAAGGGCATCGTAATCGCTGGCGAGGTCGGGGGCACCGCTGAGGAGGAGGCGGCAGAGTGGATAAAGGATTACAAGAAGCGTGTTAAGAACCCTAAGCCCATCGCCGCCGTCGTCGGAGGCATCTGCGCAAAACAAGGTCGAGTAATGGGCCATGCGGGTGCATGGGCTGCACCTGGTGAAGGCTCTGCGCTAACGAAGATCAAGGCGCTGGAGAGCGCCGGTGTCACGATGGTTGATCACCCGGAGAAGTTCGGGCCAGTGATGAAAGAACTCATGGCCGGCATTGGCTATTCATTTCCATCCAGCGCGGGCTCAGGTACGATTGGTAACCAGAAGAGAGGATATCACACTATGCGAAGCCGCCCGCAGGTCACAACGTCGACGCGGCAGGCGCAGGCAAAGCGGTCGCTGCATCTTCGAACTGATCAGGCGTCGGATTTGCTCAAACAGTACGACATTGTAACAAGCCAAGCACCGTCAGACGAGTCCGATTCCCGGCTGCTGGTCCTTACTGTCGATCGCAGTGCTCGCGCACCTTGCATCATTGTTTCGCCGACCACCAAAAAGGAAGCCATCTACGCACGCTCCGTCCACATCCCGTACGACTACGTCGCCGGTCCAGAGTCGGAACACCTCAAACTGGCGCTGGAAAAGCTGCAGCTCTCCTCGTCGCCGCCTTCTGTTCAAGCCGCGGTCTCGAATCTGATCACAAAACTATCCAAACTGTTCAAGGATAAAGAGGCCGTGTCGCTCGAGGTGCGCCTTACCGTCTCCGGCACTTCCCAAAGCCTCGTGGTGTACGAGCCAAATTTCACGTTTGACGACGCGGCGTTCAGATCAACGAAGAGACACGGGGAGCTGCACGCGCTCCGGGATACAAGCCTAGAAGATCCCATCGAGCTTGCCGCCGAGCCACATGGCATCGTCTACGTCAAGCTGGACAGCCCCACGGAGGGCAACGCACCGCGAAATATCGGCACCCTCGTCAACGGCGCCGGGCTCGCCATGAACACGGTCGACGCGCTAGCAAACTACGGAGGCTACGCCACCAACTTCCTCGACACGGGCGGGAAGGCCACGTCGGAGACGGTCAAGAAGTCCTTCGAGCTCATCCTGCGCGACGAGCGCGTCAAGGTCATCTTCGTCAACATCTTCGGCGGCCTCACCCTCGGCGACATGATAGCTCGAGGCGTCATTCTCGCCTTCAAAGAGCTCGACATGAAAGTGCCAGTGGTCGTCAGAATAAGAGGGACCAACGAGAAGGAGGGTCAAAAGCTGATCGCGGAGAGCGGCCTGAAGCTCTTCGCGTACGACGACTTTGCCGACGCTGCTCGCAAGGTAATCGAGCTGGCCAATGCGTAAATATATAGACTCAAAACGATTTCGAAAAGAAACTCCATTGTAGATACCAATACACTGCCTCTAGAAATAGCCATCATACACCCTCCCTTATTTTTTGCCAGTCAGACGGAATGAAGAAAAAAAAAAGGATTGACAGTGCTTCAACCTGCATAATTGATATCCAAGTTAAATGACATCTCAAGTCGCTAAAACGCTATCCAGAAGAAATAACACATTCTTGAACTGAATCATGCGGAAGAAATAGCAAAACGCCTCTACTGCGATGGAAGAAAAAAAAAAGAAAGGAAAGATGCAGGATCCTGTGAGAGCGTCCGAAGTACGGACTGCACCGGACGAATGCCAATTTTTCCGTCTTTCGTCCTGGAAAATTGATGTCATGAAGTCATACGCTAGTTATACATACAAATGAAAAAAAAAAAAAAGAACCGTCTTTTCCGTGGTGGACAAAGGCGGTGGTAGAGGCGCTGAGAGAAAGTGCGTTTAGACGCCCCAGCTCCAGCGCCGGGCCCCCTCTTGTATCAGCAACTCTTCTTTTGCAGACACTTGCACGAGCTTGACGGGGTTCTCGTTCTCCTTGTGCGGGCTGTCGTCTGGTGGTAGCGGCACCCGGGCCTCGACAACGGGGCTTTTGACCCATTGGTTGTCAAGCAGCCGTTTCGGATCGACGACGCCCTGCAGGACGTGCAAGCTGGAGTCCTTGACCAGAAGAGGTGCGCCGTCGCTCGAGAACTTTGTGTCTCTGCGCTTTCGCGGCGAGTTGTCGTAGCTGCCAGCTACGTTGTGAGAGGAAGGTGGGGTGAGCGTCCCGCTGTGATTTTTGGGTCGCAGTGTCGATGATTCCGAAGCTTCACCGGAAGCTAGAGAGTCAAGAGAAGCTGCTGTAGGTGCCGACTTGCCCGCCGAGGGAGAGATCGGATGAGAGTTAAGAGCGGACTTGGCTGTCGTTTTGGACCTTGTGAGTTGGTGCGCTGATTTAGACCGACCACGCGGGATGGAGTTGCGCGAGCTCGAAGACACATCGGACTCGACTTCTGACACGCTTTCTGATGACGTGGATCTAGAAGACTTGTCTGTGTTCAAGGGCAATGGAGAGGGTCGACGTCGTGGCTTCATCAATGGGATAGGTTCCTTTTCTCGAGCGATTCTGAACGGCGACGTTGACTTCGAACGTCGATCCGATTGGGGAATCTGCGCGTGCTCTCCTTCCTGCAATTCGCTGTCTGCACGGGCTGAAATAGGGGCGATGAAGTCCGTGCTGTCATTCGGTGTCTCGCCGTTCTTCATCTTTTCTTCAACAATCTTGTGAACGACCTGACGGCTCAAGCCCAGATCGAGATTTCGCTGGCTGCTGTGACCGCTTCCGCTCCTGGATCTGGTGGTGACGCCCTTCTTGCCGTGCATGAACGCGGTCGAGGGAGGCGGTGCCGTCATCCAAGCCCGATCTTCTCTCTTCGAAGGAACGGAGCTGACAACGGGAGGATGCAGGTCGTTGACCGGAGGCATGTTAGTCAACGGCGTGTATGCCCTCTTGGGCTTCTCAGGCAGCCGTTTGCTGTCCGCCATCCAAGAACCAATGCCGACACTCGAGCCTCGTCGAATCAGGCCCGGCGGCGCGTAGATCATTTCAGGCTTCTCGTCCACGTAAGCGTATTCTTCGTCTGCTCTCTGGTAACGGTCCGAATTCCAGAAAACGGGTAGATTATCCTTGCTTTCCCGGTTCAATTCGCTCTTGCTGCTGTCAGCTGTATCGCTTTCCGCCATGGTTCCCGAACTTGTTATTTCTCGGCCGGCTTTTGTGTTCGCTCGTTTCCTCCCTCTCTTTGGCGGCGACGGCCCTAGTCGTATTTCTTCGGCCCAGTGCGGGTTGATTTCGTGCGGCGCCGGCTGTCGTATCACGCTTGGGTGATCGGGATTCCTCGCTCGCTCCTTCTTCTCGCGCCTGTACACCTTCTTTTGCCGGTGGTTTTCACGCCATGCGATGCATGGGCCACACTGCGCATACAGGAACACGGCGGACTGGAAGCCTCTCCAGAACCAATGTTCGTCCACCCAGCGCCGTTTTGGCTCCATTGCGGCCAGGCACGGGCAGCTCCACGTCGACGGCGGCGGGGGAGGGGACTCAGCAGTCGCCGTGGTTCAGCGTATGGCGAGGGCTGCGAAAGGTGAAGACGCAGGACGGCACGACGTGCAACAGAGCGGAGCGACGCTGGCGGTCGTCAGGTGCGAAGATTGCTTTATGTGGCAGCGGTTCAACCGAACAGACGAGACGCAGCCGAGAGGAGACCTGTTTCAGACGCTGGTAAACGTAAAAGGAAGCGCTAGGACGTGCCCATGCAAAGCATACGATTGAAACGGGCATGCAGGATGGAAGGGAAGGGCATAGTCTCCAGTCCGGCAAGAAGCGAGCGGCGCAAGCAAGGGCAATGGGATCGTTCTGAGGCCGTGATTACTGCGATCTCTGGGTTGTGGTCGCGGAAAGAGTCTCTCGAAGGGCACGCCGGGGTGATGATGCAGCCCGTGTTTGCGCTTTCGGCGGGAGGCGTCCGCCCCTGGGTGACGAAAGCGCCAGCGATCAGATTGGTCCGTGGACGCCGCTTCTGCTAAGTTTAAAGAGCAGAGCCCCGTCCGCACGGTCGAATGGGAAGCCGGCGAATGCTGAGCGTTAAGCCGCGTGCTGTAGCCCAGCTGGCAATGGATGCGTTCGTGGCGACTGTGTGCTGCGCCGGTGCTGTCCGGCGGGAGGCAGCAGAGCGTGCGCAGTCGAAAGGCGGCTTGACACCGTCTGGCCGAGCGCTCCACGGTGAGCACAACCGCGGGCACAAATGGATTCGTTCTCGGTGAGCGTCGGTCGCGATCCTCGCTCCCTTTGAATCCCTCGCCCGACGTGGGATGGGCCAAATCGAGAAAAGCTCAGGCGAGTGTGGACATGTCGCGTCCCAGCGTTTCTCCAGACTGATCAACGTCGACGGAGCACAGCACGGACAATGCCGTTCATGTGAGAGCCAGAAGCCCGCCAGCAAGCCCAGCTGTCTTGAGTTGAAAAGGCCAGGTCGAGTGCTCTGACGACACGACGTGTCCAATGATCCCAGCCGTGGCTCACATGTGCCTGGAATGCCCGCACGTACGCAATCTGCCAACGGCGACCATGTGCTGTGTCGACGACGGTCTTCACCTTGCAAAAAAAAATTAACACCCGGCGCTGTGGCTAACGGCAACGGACAGGTGCTACGGCTGAGATGGGCTGGGAATGGTGACACGTGGATTGTCAAATGAACGTAACCCATCGTACGTGACGCCGGCTCGGGACTTTGCATGGACAGCGAGTCTTTTTCCCCGTCCCCACCAGCCGCCGCTCCCACAACACCATCATCAACCCCGCCGTCGATGAAGACGCGGGCACATCGACATTCAAGTGTGGCGGCATGGACAGCGTGGGCAGGACCAAAGTTGATCTGCCAACCTCGCCACCCTGGAGTCCTTTGGGCTTTGGCCCTTCAACGAATCTAGTCCCACACTGCACACGACGAATCCGTCGTCAGGAAGTCGTAGCGTGCAACAAGAAGGGCCTGCGGCCACCGCATCTCCACAATCATGTAGCGAGTGTAACGCCACTAAAGCAGATCAAGAAGGCTGCTCGCTAAGGCCGAAATGGGAGCAAGAGGAGCTCGGAAACAACGGATTGATTTGACGGGATCTACTCCGTAGCCCTGCATCACGGATCTAGATCGGTATTGCTGCGCTAACTCGACAAAGCACCGATGCAATGCTATATCAACGCACACTCTAGCATTTCTGCCAGGGAAAGGATTCATGCCTTTCCTGTATTTTGTCCTTCTGAAGAGTCCAAGCCATTGCTGTTCTTGATGTCCGGAACCTTCAATGGCATCCTAGCGATATTCGCAAGTTCATCGGCCTGGCTGACCATAGGATCCTGCCCACTGATCAGACCTCCTATGGTCATGTTTGGCCTGTTGCACCGTGCTGCATCCAAGGGCCAGGCCGAGGAAACGCAAGGTCAGTTCAACTCAACTCTGCTGTACCGCTGGCCTGGTGGACCTGTCGTTCTCGCGAAGATTAAAAACAAAGCGGGTAATCAGGTAGCTCAGAAACGCGTCGGGGGTTATTTTGATTGTAGAAAAATCGCCGGTATCGATTCCGACCAAATCTGCCGCGTGGGCTTCAGCCTCTACCGTGGACATGTCATGGAAAATCACTTCGACTGGATTTGATACAGCGACCAGACCCTCCGGCGCTGTTAGGCCCATTCACCGCTTGCCAATCGTTCTGACCTGAACCTTGAGCTCGTGTTTGTTCTAACTCTTGGATTCATTTCTCGTGTCGACCTTGAACTAAAAGGACAATTTGACCTCGCACAGCTTCGACGTCTCCCTGAAAGATCGGCCATTTTGCATTGATTGATCTATTGGAAGGAGAGGTCTATCGCGGAGCTCTCGTCACCACGTTGTTTCAGCCGGCTTTGAACAGCCTACCACGCAGATGCTCGGCTCCATGCACGTGGCGCGAAGAAAAAAATATGTGGTCTCGAGCTCATCCGTACATAGACAAAGATCATGGTAAATGATATCTATTACAAAGCTTTCCGCGACTTTCAAGGATCGAGTCCTCTATAAGGGCCGAACGAGTCGAGGCTCACGTAGGATAGGTCGAGCTGGACAATAGCCGTGAATCTTAGCTCTACCAGCATGGCCACTGCATTTTCAATTTCGGGCCTTATCACTGCAGCACGACGATCAAGCAAAGTATGGAATGGCTTTGATTTTCAGCAGCAATCGAGTTCGTACGACAAAATCAAGTGTCAATTGCAAAGCCTTCCAGAAACCATGTGTTGCGGCCGCTCTCGGTTTTACTCTCTTCCTGGTCCAGATTGCTGAGGTAGTTTATCGCAATGGCTGTCACGGCACACATTGAGTATTTGTAGAGAAAGAGAGACGCCAAGAACTGGACATGTCTGCTTTTTATCTACGCCTCCTAATTGATCTTACATAAAAATTAAGAGATCAGCTTAAGTTATACAAGAAAACCGTGATGGAACTCCGACATGGTTACATTATAGTCAAAATGAAGCAGTCCGGTCCTTCCGACGTTTTCAGAATGTTGAGCCATCATACAAGAGGAGACGCTACAAAAAAAAGGTTCAGGCAATGTCGGATAATTGTCGCCACACCAGCCTTCGAATCGCAATGAAAAATCATGATCTAAAACTGCTCCGTATCGCGTGATTGTATTAGTAGATTGCGCCGCAGAATCTACACAGTGCGAGCGGGATTATCGCAGGTGGTATTTTCTCTTTCGTTTCTTTTATAGCGGCGAACCAAAGGATTTGTACTATGTACCGGTGATATGACGTGATGGCCAACAAACGTTACCATAATTCAGATCAGGCACAGAGCCTCGAAGACTGGGAGACGACAAATAATCAACCGCAATTGTATTTATCTCGCTTTAATCAATCCTTCGAACACCAACGATGCGGCTTAGTCGATTTTCTATCCGGTCGATGGCCTCCATCCGGTCATCGAAATCATCCAACGTTTGGCCCATCTGCCGCAGCTGAACGCTAATATGTGACGTTTGAAAGCCTGGATCGTATTGAATTAGAGCATCTGCATCTCAGGAGCAAGCCATTGACGTACCGATCCGCCGCACCTCAATCCTCATGATTGCATCCAGCAGTCCAAGAGCCTTGCTTTTGTATCGCAGCCACAAGAAGCGCTGTTTGATCGTGCACTTCCTGTACCGACTCCGCGCGTAGAGATAGTCCGCGTGTTCGTCTTCTCCGATCCCGCCGCTGCTGTACCCAGCTGCGTCGTCCGCCCAGCTTTCTCTGTCGCCTCTCCGTCTGCGCGGCTCGTCCAACCCATCCACCAGAAACGGCTTCTCGACCTGCTTGAAGGCCCTGATCATGTCTTTCACGGCGTTGGACATGGCACCCAAGGCGTCATCGGGAGTCAACCCCTCCCGCCGACCGCCGAGCCCCTCTCCTTTCGCCGCGGCCGACCGTCTTCGCCTTTTGACTTGCTGCCGTGCCCTGCGCAGGTTCGCCCTCTCCTCGTAAAGCGCCTGCCGAAGATTTGTGAGCATGTCATCAATCTCCGTCGCCGCCCCGAAGAACGTCGCGCTAGATCCTTCGTGTCAGTCACTTTTTGCGCGCTGCGGCGTGGGGGACGACGCCCAGGCGCAGACAGAAGGCGATACACACATGCTGTCCCAGAAGACCCGGATGACCGTCGCAAGCGTGAATGCGAACGAGATGAAGCCCGTGATCGTGCTGGCGAACGAGATCGGCGCCAATGCCGACTGGCTAGACACAGCAACGCCCATGTTTGACTGCGAATCCAAGTGCGATCACGTCGACAAGGCCGCCCGAGTATACTGAGTCCACCGTGTCCTTTCAGGTGTGAAGGGCATTGTGTTCTGCAAACTAGCGAAACCTACAACGGTGCTAGTTTGGACGGCCGCTTTAGGCAAGCACACGGCACGGTTTGATGTAGTTTCCTTCGGTTGAATCGCTTAACGCGCGGCTCTTAAAAACCAGACGGATTTCGCTGACTGTACAGAATTGCACGTTGACTCGTCGATCATGCTTCCAGCAAGATGGAGACTAATCTCGTGGAAAGAGCTTGTTGATGACGTCATCTAGTGATCTCTGACCATCCGTTAACAGATTATTTGACGGTGGAATGCAAAGGCTTTCTTTCAAGAATAACGCTGAATTATTCACGTTTCATACACAGATGAAATCGAACAGGTAAAGTTGTGCGCGTAAATTAGCTTCTGAAGGGCCCAAACTCGCTACATGTTTATACACAAACGTCGGTGCATCATCTATTATCAAGCTCAACATCGTGGCTCCCGCTTTGATCCGTGAGTTGCACACGCCCGTCAAGTCGATTTCTTGGACTATCCAACCGGAGCTTCCCACGGCGTAATGAGCCAAATGCATCAGATAGCATAGCCGATATCTTTTGTAAGCCTTCCCAGACTCGAGCGTCCTGGTCCATACCACTCTCCTCTCTGGGATGTTCAAGCGCTTCAGCCTTGAATTGATACTTTAGGCAGTCTTTGACAGTGACCAGCCCCCTCAGACGCCCGTGGTATTCTACTAAGATAACTCTGGGTCCCATCTTTTTGAAAAGCTCCATTACCGTCTCTAATGCGAGGCGAGGGTGCACGGTGAGTGGTGTCGGATCAACGAAACGACTGAAGTCTATAGATGTTGCCCCTGAGGTGGCAGACATGGTATCGAACGTCACTGCCGGTGCTGACGTGGAAGCCGAGGCCGCCGATCGTACTGCCGAAGACGGAGGCGTGAAGAAACATCGAGCATTTGGCGAGACTAAGCCCTCCCTCCTCGTTCTGTCAATAGCATACCGTAGTTCTGTTCGACCAATGTAGCCAAGTAGAACATTCGAGCTCTTGTCCTCGACAATTGGATATCCCTGGTACTTATTCTCGTCTAGAATCTTCTCGACTTCTGTAAGCGTCAATCCTTCCGAGGGTAGGGTTGTGACCTCCTTAGTTATGATTTGAGACACCGATACGCCAAATGAATGCTCTTCTTTGTTGTCTAAGAAGGGGAAGCCGTTGAACCAGATCATACGGTCTGCGATGCCTCCTTTGCCGAAGCGATCAGATACAGCTTTGGTAACGCCGACAACAATCATCGTAGGTAAGATGTAGGTGAGAGCACCTGTAAGCTCGAACATGATCACCACAACAGATACTGTGATGTGCATGATGCCGCTCAGCGTGGCTGCTGCTCCCAGGAAGGCGTACGTGCCTGGTGTGATGCAAGGCACATCCGGCTCACAGGTGGCGAAGAATCGAGAATCAGGAAAGGATTCATGTAGAGCCTGTACAGCAATTCCGACCATGCGCCCGAAGGAGGCTCCTATCGCCATGGATGGCACAAAAATACCTGCTGGTACTTTACAGCCATAGGACAGAACAACAAATAGAGTCCTTATAACTGTTGCTAGGGCAAGTGAGAGAATCAAGCTGAGGCGATTTTTAGCCTCGCAAAGCTTGTCATAGTTGAAGTCCCCCTCACACTCCCTGAACAAAATTTCCATCATCTCCGTCATATCGATGCGTAGAAACATGTTCGGATAGCATATGATTGCGGTAATCGCAGTGATTATTGTTGCTTCCATGATTGGATACTTTGACAGATATTTCTTGCGGAAGGCCTGCATTCGAAGGTGCCACTTGATTACGAACGCACCATATAGCCCCCCAAAGATACCGAGGATGATGTAGAATATGAACTCGAAGAAATGCCAGGAGCGATCGTAGCTGACTTGGAACATTACCAGCTGTCCTGTCCGAAAAGGATTCATAGCGGCCAGGACAGATGTAGCCACCAAGGCGCAGAAATAGCTTCGCCACATTGTTTTCAGTGGAAAGTAGTTCGACATCTCCTCCAGTGAGAATACGACGCCACCAATTGGGCTTCCAAAGGCAACACCAACCCCAGCCGCTGCGGAGGCACTCAATATTTCGCGCGTTTTCGCGGCGTCTCGTCTGTATTTCTCAAATAGCCTGGATATAACGTTACCAGTAGCCACAGCGTAATGAACACTAGGCCCCTCCTTCCCAACAGAAAGACCCGATCCAATGGAGAGCGGCAAACCAATCGACTTGATCAGCAAGACCCAACCTCCCAAAAACCCTTTCATAACAAAGCCGGCGATGATGCATTTAATCTCGGATATACCTGATCCGGCGGCATACGGTGCATATGTCTTTACCAGAAGTGCCGACGTGGAAGCGAAGAGTGCTGCGAAGGCGATGTACAGAACGTAATTAAGGGGGCCAAACCCAGTCCATCTTCTGAACTCGGGGCAGCCGCTTTCAGCTCCCCAACAGCAAAACTGCTCGTTTAGGTAAAACGCCGTCGTGCAATATCCTAGTTTTATATCCGAGATCCATTCAGTGACAATGTTCAAAAAGGCAGAATTCAGGCCTATAGCCACGCCAACGATCGTGACAACGATCCAAGCCTGGCCAGCATCATAGGCCTCCCAGACTTTCCGTCTCCAGCCGTATCTGCCGTGAAGTTTAAAGAAGCCTATCTTCTCTTGTCGCCTTGCCTTTCGTCTGGCCTGTGCTCGCGCGGCATCCTGTACCCAATCTGGCCAAGGTTAATACGAAGGGTTATGAAGACGAGTGTTCGTATGTCTAACCTATTGTTGTAAAGTCCTGAAGGCATATGATTAGCCGCACAAGAGAAGTGAACAAATGAGCGACGTAACGTACCTCATATCTCTTGATCTCCTCGATTTCCTGCTCTATCGTATCATCTTCGATCACTGCCGAAGCACTATCCGCGAGGCTGCCGTGGGACTGCGCCGACGAGCGTCTATCTAGAAATCGTACGTGAGGCGAGGTGGCAGACTGCGGTGCGCTGTTTGAGCCGGATCTTCGAGTCATCTCATCATGCCATCAACAAGTTATAATACTGATTTATGATGTATTCCCAAAGCCTTTTGTTGTCTGGCCTCGATGACAATGTTTATGCCTTATGGCCTTATCCCTGAAGCACATTCGTCACGTGCCAATCCATCCGAACTGTCGACCCACGCGCAACAAGGCGTGTCGCATTTATCTACAAGCCTGCGCGAACGCGACAACGCAGATATCACGATTCGACATGCCGTACAACAACACTCCTATAGCGCCACCCAAAGAGTATACCGGCTCGGTCTCTCTGCCTTGTACGTGCGTCCCAGCTCCTTCGTTCTGAGAATGCTTTCCTCGCATCATACAGCAAGAAATATGTCCGCAACGTGACAGCAACAGCTACAACGTGCGCTGATAATTTATGATACTGCTTCGTAACTTTAGTTTTGGGCTCATTCTAAGCTTAAACTAGTGGCGCGAGTCAAGAAGATCATTCACGCAGACGATGACATACAATCATGTTCAAATAATGCCGCGTTTGTGATAACTATTGCAACCGAGATGTTTATTCAGCATCTAGTAGAGCGAACGTTCGAGATCATCAAAGCCGAGAAGCGGCCAAGAAGGAACGTTCAGTACGGCGATGTTGGTGAGTTTAAGGCGACTTGCAATTCAAACGTACAATTTACTCAAATACGTGATAGCGAACGCTGTAGCTCGGCTCGATAACCTCGAGTTCCTCTCAGACGTAGTTCCGCGCACAACTACGTTCGCGAAGTACACGGAACGGAGGAAGAAGCAAGCGGAAGCCGAAGCACGCGCCGCAGCAGAGCCACCACGTGAACATCGCTCACCTATCCAGCAGTTTGCGAATTCCCCCAGCGCTACAGGACCGTCTGTACCAGGTCATGCAAGGGCTCCTTCTGGTGGTGCACCAGCCCCATATACGAATGGCAGTCATCACTCACCCAGCAACAGTTTCCATGGACCAGGCGGACGCTCGGTAAATCTACTCGACGATGACGATGCTATGGAAGTTGATCATTCGACGGGTAGAACAGCCCATCCACCGGTACCAACAACGATGGAGTTGCTGGAGAGGGCAAGAGCCGCACAAGCGCGGGCCGAGTCAGGCTTGAGCCATTCTCCTAGTCTTCCACCAGGTGGATCATAGCATGGATTTGAAGCCTCTCATGATCAAGAAATGTAACTGTGTATCAATCAAGAAAATTTCGAGCACTTGGCATGAATTTGGAACTGGAGAATATGCAAAGAGTTCTCACACCTAATTGCCATCATGTGTACTGTTCTACATGCCGTCGTTCCAAAGTTCAGATCGGAGTGATACGAAGTGAATATGTAAATGCTTGGTGTTTGAAGCAGAACGAGCCGAACCGCCACTCAGTAATTCCTTAGCGTTGGATAAGCTGATGTGCGTCAGCTCTGCTTGGCAAGATGTTGGAGTCCTGCTTCACAAAGCCGCAGATTGGATGAGAAATGCTGTCATACTTGAAACTTTGTCGTTTCCGAGCAGCAAGATTGTTGAGACGGAGGAACACTATTATTTCAGGTTCTGCGCTCTGGCTAAGATTTTATTCAACGAAAATCAGACGTTAGGTCACGCGATTTTCGATTCGGCTGAAGCGCGAGTGGCGCATTGGAGTTTTCTCGCCTCTTCGTTCCTCGAGAGGCTGCGGACGGTCATCATTTTCGTGCAGGCCAACGCACTGCGCTCCTTTCCGACCTCACCCAGCTGTGATTCAAAATGGCTCTCAAGAGTCCCTGGCCAATTTGCAAGACATGTCAGGCAATTCCACTTGCATACTTTCAAAACGAAGAGGTTAACCAGCCTTATCGCGCTTGGCCAACATTTGCGGATTTTGCAGATTCTGCTTCCAGAGGCTGCCATACTTGTACGCTATTATATGAAGCCGTCCGGGAACCGTTCAAAACCCGATTAGACGACGAGCCAATCTATCTAGAAAGTGCGAAGACCAGGGTTAATGATGAAAGAGTTGTGGTGCTTACAGTTGATCCCACTACCATCGCTGATCGCACCAACTGGAATGGGTTTCTGCAGAAGCCAAATGATAATGATCCGCCAAACCTGCAGTTTCTCCCAATAGCCGATGTTAAGTATGTGCGCGATGCTCGGGATGTTCCTCAGGATGCGAGACATTTCAAAGGTGACTGGCACTACTGAAGATGAAACATTATGTACTGATTTCCTTTGCAAGACCTTATTAGTTTGTACGCTGAAGACGATGGAGTGTTCAGATATATCAGACAGGCTCTGACGAATTGCCTTTCTAACCATAGCTCAACATGTGATCGAGTAATGTTTCCACTTTCAGGTACAGCTTCACGACGGGACAACGTAGTCAACATCATACACGGACACCGTGGGCTGGTGGTAGCACCAACTCGGCTCATATATGTCGGGTCTGAAAACCCCAAAGACGTTCCAAGGCTTGTGGATGGACAGGAATGTCTTCGTAATGGCGGATATATCGTCTTGAGCTATTGTTGGGGGATAAATCCAAAGACAGCACCATGGCATTTGAAAGAAACGACTATGAAACTATTCACATCAGAGATCCCTCTCGATATTCTGCCGCAGACGCTGCATGATGCAATCATGTGGACTCGAAAGCTGGGAGAGCGTTATATCTGGATCGATGGCTTGTGCATTCTACAGGACTCCGAAGAGGACTGGCAACGCGAAGCTTCTCGAATGGCCTCTATCTATGGAAGTGGAACAGTAACTTTAGTAGCAGCGTCCAGTTCTGTCTATGGCGGCATGTCAGATCGCCGAAATCCGCTCCGTAGCAGCGCAGCTAGCCTCTGCCTTCGAAGCGGCTCTGAAGAGTCCACCATTTATCTCCTGCCAAATGGGCAACCTCGAAACACACCGCGACCAGCTCCCACTGACAGTCGCGGCTGGTGCTATCAGGAAGACTTGCTCTCGAGCAGGCTTGTGAAGATGACACAGAACTCGGTGGTTTGGCAGTGCGTAGGGGATGGAAGTAACCCCGCCACTCGTGCTCAAGGCCTTGAACAACTAAGAAAACATCCCCCCTTCCGATGGTATACGCTATGGTATCGTTTGATCGAGAGGTATTCTAACAAGAGCCTGACAAATCATACCGATAAGCTACTAGCGTTCTACGGCATTGCTTGCGACAAGGCAGGCTCGAATTATCTTGCCGGCTTTCTCAAGAGCGATCCCTGGGTCAGTCTGCTTTGGTGTCGTGACGAGAATCAGATTCGGCGACGTCCTGGCCGCAGGTATGAAAAGTATGTAGCGCCTAGTTGGTCATGGGCGTCATTAGATGCTCCTGTGCTGTTCTACGAGGCCAATGCAAGGCACTGGAGGAAACCACAGCTGGAGCCCTCACCGATGGATCCTGAATTGCATCATGCTGAGGTGGAGAAGGCATTCTTCTTTGACACTGGGGCAGTCAAGGGAGGGAGTGTTGAAATGTCTGCGTATGTTGTCACGGCGCGAACCGCGACTGTAGAACCATTTCTCTTCAACACCAGGCACGGCTTTCACACCTATGGCCGGCGGAACTGCGTCGACCCTCGCACTGGAGAAGCTCTTGGCTTGGTCGTTTTCGACGTCGCTACAGAAGCGGCAGATGACATGACGCTGTGCTGTGCACTCCTGCAAACGGCCGACTTGGGTCTGTGGACAAAGAATGGCACCGCTGGGCTTGGTTTGGCGCTCAGTATAGAAGCAACAACATCCGAACGTCTGGAATGTAGGCGTGTTGGCTATGTCCAACTTACTTCGGCCTTTGGCGTACGGTGTTCCAAGCGTCGGCTAAAACTAACTTAGGCTACAAGGAAACAATGGCATGTTCTCGAGGCGCAGTGTGCGAAAAGGATGTACCAGTGTGAGGCGCCACGCCGTGATACGCAAGATAACATCGGACGGACTGGTGGACACGGGCATGTCGAACTGCAGGATGACGACGACGGGTAAGTCGAGCTACAGTGTGGAGACTTTTTTGATCAGATTTCTTCGAACTGCCAGCTTTGAAACCGAAACACGAGAACTGGCGGCGGCTGAGCATTTCGTCCATGCACAGCGTAAGGCCAACGTCGGGCGCCGAGACGAATCCTGTCTTTTGCGTATTCGGCCCGTCAGCGAATCAGCAGTCGATCTTTACGCTTACGCTCGTACACCTATCTTCTTTCAGATTAGATCTATACGAAGGCACGCGATCTTCCTTGTCAGTGATCTCGCTCTCTCTCTCGGATTCTCGCATTGCTCCCATTTTCGTCGACGACGACAAGTAGACCCGCTGTCGACGCGCTGCGGTACATCGCCCGGCAACACAATGCCTGAATATTGTTGCCTGCCATCTCTCCTGGTAAAATCTAGTAAACATACCACCTGAGGATATAAAGAATCCAAACGTACGGCATCAATTGCGGCTTTCAGCCAGAACTTCAGCCAGAATCTCATCCAGGATTTCGTCCACAAACGTTTCAGTGTCTTTTTTGTCGCAAGTCGAAAGAGATCAATTTGTTGTCGCAATAGAATTGAAAAAAAAATGGTTGTTCCTCGAGATGACACCGGCTTCAAAATTTTTAGATATGATCCATCGACTGCGGCAGCCGTCATATTCACCCTTCTCTTCGCCTCGACAACCTTCCTGCATTTCTACCAGATTGTGAGGACGAGGACTTGGTACTTCATCGTCTTCTTCATTGGCGGTCTATGTAAATAACAGTCTGATGCTGAGCATGAGCCCCTCGATCGATAGCTGACCGCAATCCTCCAGGCGAAACACTCGGTTATATCGGTCGAATTGTCTCATCTACGCAAACGCCGAATTGGACACTGGGGCCGTACATTATCAACAGCGTCCTGACGCTTGTCGCTCCAACCCTCTTCGCAGCTTCGATATATATGGAACTCGGTCGTATCGTCGAGCTCGTCGACGGCGATGTTTACCTCTTCGTCAAGCGCAGGTGGCTCACTGCGACGTTCGTTTCTGGCGATATCCTTTCGTTCTTTATGCAAGGCGCGGGTTCGTCATCTCGGCCACTTGTTCTTAGCACGTCTGGTTGACAACAGCATAGGTGGCGGGTTGATGGCAAGCCAGAACCAAAGCAGCCGCGACACAGGCTCGAACGTGATCGTCGGTGGTTTGTTTATCCAGATCATATTCTTCAGCGTTTTCGTCTTGGCAGCTTGGCTGTTCCACAGTCGAATGAACAGAGGTCCGACCAACCGCTCTCTTTCGGTCCCATGGAAGAAGCATATGAGGGCCCTGTACATCGTCAGCGCGCTTATCCTCGTTCGATCCATCTTCAGAGTTGTCGAGTTCATCCAGGGCTTCGATGGTTACCTGATCCGGCACGAAGTTTATATCTATATTTTCGACGCCGCCCTCATGTTCATAGCCATGGTGTACATGAATTGGGTGCATCCAAGCGAAATTCAGATGCTCATGAGAGGTGGGAAGTCCGTGAAGTGGTTCAAACTGCAGGAAATACGCGCTTAGATTCTCAGTGCATCGTAGATTTCGGAGAGGATACGTGTTTTCACACGTGCGTGCCAGTTAGCGGAGGGCAAAAAAGCTTTGCGCGCCGTAGGGCGAGTTGAGTTCCTGATGGTCATTTTGTTTGCCTGGAATTTTTTTTTGACGCATTTCAGCGTTCATTGTTCAAGTAGAATAGCCAAATAGCAAATTGTTCTGCCGTTTTCAATCCATGCGCAGCCTTGCTCTCAGCCGCGTCTTCCCTGTCCCGTGTCAAGGATGCTCATCTGACAGCCAAAGCTTGGCACCCAGTGGTGGTCGCGAGACACTTCATGCTCTCAACCATGCACGCCAAAAACAATTGAAACCCATCAATCACACGTTATAGGACGTCAATTCAGCAGGCTAGAGCACCTTGCAGTAATAGAGAGAGCGCTGAGGTTCGGGATGCTTGTTAAAGCAGCCCATGCGCATGCGGTGTCCCAGACTTACCTCACGGACTAGCCTCGCTTTGCCGACATTTGCCTACCCACATCGTTCGCATGGCAGCAAGCATTAAAGCATCCATGCCGCACGCTTATCGATCGCTCCACCGCGCCAGTCTCTCCCGAAGCAGCCAAATTTTTGTTCTCCGCCGTCAAGTCTCAAGCTCAGCGCTCAGGTTCCGCGCGTTGTCACGAATGTACGAGAGGGAGCTCGAGATCGCGCGGCTCGCCGTGCAACGAGCCTCCCTTGTCACCAAAAAGATCAAACCCCTTCTCCAGCAGGACGACGAGGTCAACAAGGCGGACGACACGCCCGTCACGATCGCGGACCTCACCGCACAGGCGCTGGTCATTGGCGCCATTCACCACGAATTTCCACACGACACCTTCCTCGCCGAGGAGTCGGCCCAGATCCTGAGGGAGGATGACGGTCTCGCCGATCGCGTGTGGAGCTTTGCGTCGAGCTCCTCCAAGTTCTGCGGGAGCCACATCAACGACAGGCTCTGGTCGCCGTCCAGCAAGGAAGAAATGCTCGACGTGATCGACCTCGGAAAGGGCTCTGGCGGGCCGAAGGGACGCTTTTGGATCCTCGACCCGATAGACGGCACGATGACCTACATGAAAAACCAGCAGTACGCCGTGTGCCTGTGCCTCGTGGAAGACGGCGTGAAGCAGGTCGCCGTGCAGGGTTGCCCGAACCTATCGCTGGACCGGCTCCCCATGCACGAGGACTCGGTCGACCTGGAGAAAGGCGGGCACGTCGTGTCGGCCGTGCACAACGGCGGCGCCTACATCCAGGCGCTGTCCGAGACGCCCATGGAGGAGCCCAGACGGCTGCCTCAAAAGAACGACAAGAGCAACATCACGGACCTGCTCAACATCGTGTCTCATCTGAGCAGCTCCATGGACCACAAGAAGGTCGAGGCCATCTGCAACAAGATCGGCATCGGCTATCCCGGCGTCGACATCTGGGCGCAGCAGATGAAGTACATGGCCATGGCCGTCGGCGGACACGACGTGATGATCAGGATCCCGGGCTACCAGTCTCATCGCACGGCCGCGTGGGATCACGCCTCGGGCCAGCTCATATGCGAGGAGATTGGCATCGTGATGACGGACGTGTACGGGAAAAAGCACGATTTCAGTCAGGGCAGAAGACTGTATGCTAACTTTGGCGACGTCGCCGCGCCTGCAGCGCACCACCCTCAGATTTTGAAGGCAGTTCAGGAAGCCATGGCCTCTTAAGGCGCTGGGAAGGAAGGGAACCATTGAAGCAGTGCGTGAAACCAAAAAAAAAAGCTGTTCGATGCGATTTCTGCATATGTAGCTGCTTAATTCATGTTTTGTTCGGAGGATATGACCACACCTGTTCAACCGTCTCCCCTTCCACTATCATGCGATGATCTCCAACTCTCTGATCCGCTCCTTCGCAAAATCATCCTTGAAACTGTCCCACAAGCGCACCAGCTCTCGCACATATCTCTCGTGGATCTCCCTGACGTACTCATCGCTTGGTCGATCTTGTTTCATGACCATGACCGGCCTGCCCACGACTATGTTCATCGGCCGTCTGTACGGCATAAGTCCAACATCGTAGTTGAAGATTCCTCGCGCGTGGAACAGCGGAACAGTGAATCCCATGACCTTCTTGATGGCGAGCTGCATCTTGTGAATGAGCGGGTGGTCCTTGGACGAGACCTGCTCGTAGATGTCGTTTTCGCCAAAGCCAAGCACGGGGACGAGGTCGGCACCCGTTCGGATAGCCAGCTTTACGAACCCTTTCCTACTGTCGAGAACCAGGCGGAGAGTACCAGGTTGCGTCTCCAGTGACTCACGAGCCCCGCCAACCACAATGGTGATGGCGCGACCCATGCCCTCGCCGTTCGGACCACCGCGACTTAGGAGATTCTCGCACGACTCGCGACTGACTGAGCAGATCCCGAGACGAAGTAGGTAGTCTCGATAGAATGGAACCCGAAAGTTGGAGTCGAGCGTGAGAAGGGAATTGGTGATTCCAGGAAAAAGCTGCGAGAAGCCCAATGCCTCCGTCGCAAAGGCTGCGAAAGCGCCGTGGCTTATGATCCCATGAGGATGGTATCCAAATACGTACTTTCGCGTGGGCGGAAGCTCAGTGGTGCGGTGCAGACGAGCGGGGAAGTATGATGCGAAAAGTGACCAGATTTTCTGGCGACGGAACCACTCGCTGCGGCTGGAGAGAGAGCCGTCCGTGGCGGCTTTAGAAGTGAGGACGACGATGAGGTAGGGGATGAGGAGTGGCCAGAAGAGCGGGATAGCGCAAGACCAGAAGAAGCAGCCTAACGTGAGGCACACGGAGAGCGTATGCAGGAGCACGACAAAGGTCTGCATACGGCGTTTCAGGGGCACATTGAGCGGCGCCCATCGAATGCTGCGGTGCAGGTTAGCAGCCGTATACACGACAAACTGTTTTCACATCAGCCAAGACGAACCCACTGCGTTCCCAGCCGGCGGCAGCTATCCTGCCGCTGGCAATCTGCAACTCTTGCTCGCCCTTGGCTTTGCGACCGTGATGCAATGGCTTCCTCTCCCTTTCATCCAGCGCCAGATTATCCTCGAAATCACTGCTCGGCTTGATGCTGGTCAATTGGCCGTTGTGGTGGTAGCTCTCGTATAAGGTGTCCTCGCTGTTTAAGCTGGTCGTGCTTGTGCTTTTCGTCTTCAGCGAGCTCCTCGACCCCTTCGCTCTCGGCTTCCGGAACGATCCTCTCGTGGGGCTGACAGGCGGAGCATCGAGGATACCGGCACCCTCGTACTCACCCGGTGATCGTGCGGGCGTGCCGTTGTATCGTTCTGCGGGTGCGGGCTCCGCAGCGGTTTGCGCATATGACTTCGCCGGGTCATCGAGACGTGGAGGAACGAATTGGTCCTCGTGCTCTTCCACGCCATTCGATTGGGCTGGGGCGTCCGACGGAGCCTTTCTTCTTGCCTCTGCGACGTCTGAGTTCTGCACCGTTCCGTTCGTCTGGGGCACGGGAGGCTCTATCGTCGCTTCTGCATACGACTTGTCTGGATGATCGAGACGAGGTGGCGGCGTGGAGGACATGGCGTCAACACGCCGAACGCAAACGTATCTCTAAGAACTCTGCTCGGAAGACGCACTCTCGACGGTAAGATAGACGGAGCAAGTACGGATGGGGTGGGCTCGTTTTACATTGTTTTCGGACTGATTACCTTAGCGGAGGGTCAGTGTGACCAGTGTTTGCCAATGATGTAACAATGCGCCGCAAGCAGTCAAGGCGCCTGAGTCCAAGCTTCTTCGCCAGCTTTGGGCATTCGGCCGTTTCGCGCGAACAGACTGTGAATCGGTGGCGTTCAGTTCTCCCGAACTACTGTCGCTGTCTGAACGGTTTTTTTTTTCTCGGATGTGATCTTCTTGAAATGCGGGAAACCGGGGCAAAGGTACGAGCTCGTCAGGCCGGAAGATTGGTGCCGACGAAAAGAAGACCTGTCTTGACTTCTCTTCTCTCGACACTCTTCAGCAGCCGTCACATTCAAGCCACACACGGAACACAAAACGTCTTGCAGCGGACGGACGGGCGCTGCCGGCCAGACAACGATGCAGAGAGAGTGCATTGACGATGGAGACCGCAGTAGCTTCTGTGCGCGAAATCGCGCTGTCAGCCAGTAGAATGATGCTTGCTAACTAGGATGCCCTCCTCTAGGAGATTTGCATATGCACTTCGCAGATGCAGATCGCCAACTAGAATCTGAAGTCTCCCAGCTTCAGTCATCTAGCAGCATTTCTAGGCCACAAGTGTGATGACCTGGCCGAATTCACAACGCCCTCACTCCTAATCCGACGCTTCTTGTGTTGAAGCACTCTACCAGCCCGGCTCCAAGACACTCCTCCAACACCCACTGAAAGTCCAGGCCGCAAAACTGCTTCCACTTCCGTGTCTTTCCCGGTGAGACCCCAAGCCATTCGCCTCTCATCCTTTGCGCCTTGGTTGCTTCATCATTTCCGGCGATTCCACCGTCCCATCGCTCTCTTAGCAGGTCGCGCGGCATCTCGCGATAGCGATTCCCCTTGACAAGGAGCTGCAGCAGATGCGCTCGCGACTCGTGCAGCAGTTTGAGATAGGACCCAATGTTTGGCAACGTGAATTTGTATGCGCGTTCTACGCGGCTGCCAGCGGAAGAACGGGAACTCGACGCAACGCGCGTGGTGAACCCGGACCCGCCGGCAATGTGCTGCTTACCAGACTCTGCGACGGCGCCTACCGAGCCTGAGGCATGGCGCAGACCTGCCGCAGAGACGCTCTGAAGATCTCCTAGGGTTGATTCTCCGGGTCGTAGATAGTTGTCGGCTTTCCCTTTGAGATAATCTGATCCGATGAGGAAGCCTGCGTGGGCTAGGGTAGCAATTTCTTGCTGAGTAAAGTCCACATCAGCAGCGGGATCTCGGAGCAGCGTGACATACTTCTCTTTGATTCCATGCTCAAGGTCACTTCGCTGCCGTACCAGGCTTTCCCATTCATCGACGAGAACAAGTGCCTCTCCGAGTGAGCTACCTCCTGTTTCCCGCGGCGGTAGGGTGATCCTGCGTATAATGCCACCATTCACGAGCGCTCCGATTTCGCGTTCTGTGCTTGTTGGATACTTGCTCAGTGCATAGACGTGGTGGACGGATACAAGAGGCGGAAGCCTTCGTCGATAGTTCAAAACCTCAGCGATGCGTGTTGAATTCATGCCCGCGCCGGCCTCTGGTATTGGGCACCACTGATGTTCCGATATCCATCGTACCAGCTGAGCGACATCACTGAGGTTTAAATCATTCGCCAGGCTTGCCACGAGCCCTATATCGTCGAGTTTCAGGTCAAACGCCTCGTCATCCTCTTCCGGCGTGGGCTTCGGCCGTTTGGACGCCTCAGTAGAAGCCGGCTGCCTCTTCTTTCTGGAAGACGAGAAAGGCGATGATGACGCTCTCTTTGCGGGAGACTTTTGGACGCGAGATGCGGCTGCTGTCAGCTGCAGAGGCATACTCACTGCGATACAGACGCGCGGGTCGAGAGACAAGAGTGGCGAATGTTATCATCTCAAGGCAGCCATGCTAGAACTAGAGGCCGCCATCGTGATCGCGAGGCACGTGAGAAAAGACGTAACCAGGCCAGCCTGCTAGCAAAATGCCTACGAGCAACAGCGTCTGCGACAGCATCTGCAAAGGACACCCAACGGTTGGCGTCGCAGATCTTTTGCAAGTCTCTTCCTCGCGTGCGATTTGGTCCGCGGGGCTGAGGCTCTCGGCTCCGGAAGCTGTGGGATGCCCCGAGCTTCCTGCACTTGCTGTTCCTGATTAGAAATATGCTTGAGCGACGGTTCAAATCTGGGGCAGCCTAGTTGTCCAAATTCTCCGATTGAGCTCGTATATATGTCTGGCGTGAAATCTCAGGGAACAGATCAGCTCTCCAGGCATCAAGCAACAGACACGTCGATGCAAATCCGGTGAAGATGGTGGCCATGAACCGTTCTCAGCCAATCACAAGTGCCCATGGCGAAGAGGTAATTCTGATCTGGGATCGCGTTAAGTTATGCATTTTTAGCTAGGCACTGACCTAATAATGGCCGCCAGGGGAAAATTGCTTCCACAGCCGACGAGGAATCTCGTGTTGCTGCGTCGGCATGTCGCCTTCGCAATATTCTGAACGTGTTCAGCGCGGATAAGAGGTCGCGCCCGGAGCGAAAGTGGCAGCTGCCGCTGACCACAACCTCGCGCCTTGCAGCCGCACGCGGCGGCGATTCCAGTGCTGCGGAGACGAAGTTATACCTCGCATATGGATCCAATCTGTGCTACGAGACTTTCCAAGGACGCAGAGGCATTCGACCTCTCAGCCAGGTGAACGTTGTGGTACCGACACTGCGAATGACATTCGATCTGCCAGGCATCCCCTACGTAGAACCGTGCTTTGCCAATTCGGCAGAACGCGATCCGCGCAGTCCGCATAGCAAACCCGAATACTCATCGGAGGACTATCACAAGGACAGATGGAAGAAGGGCATGGTCGGCGTCGTGTACGAAGTTACTCCCGAAGACTATGCACATATTATCGCCACAGAGGGTGGAGGCGCGAGTTATAAGGACGTCCTCGTGGAGTGCTTCCCACTAGAACCGGGCGAGGACGAAGTTCCTGAACTGCCTCTTTCACAGGGGTTTCAAGCACACACTCTGTTCGCTCCCATGGCGTCCCCAAACGATCCCAAAGGCGGCCGCTTTGCTAGACCGGATCCTAGCTATGCTCAACCGTCAGCACGTTACCTCAAGCTCATCACTGATGGAGCTGAGGAGCACAGTCTGCCCAAGGAATACATGGATTACTTGTACGGGATTCGACCATATGAAACTAGGTCCCAAAGGACGAGAATGGGGGCTTTTGTGCTGAGCATGCTGTGGGGTCCCTTCTTCCTGTTCTTCTTTGCCCTGACAAAGATGTACCAAGATAAAGACGGCAAAGTGCCAGCTTGGGTGGCTAATCTTGGAAACATGATCTTTACCGCGGTGTGGACCAGTTACGATAGTATATTCAAGCCCATATTCGGAGACGGTGAAAGGACGGATTACTCGAAGAAGCCGACGGTTGGAAAGTCGAAAGCTTTACTTCGAAAACATGACGAAGAGTGGGCTGAGAAATGAGACATTTGTAGCACGTAAGATACGGATTCGGAAGCTAAACGTTTCTTGAAATGCTCAATGCTTGGTTTCAACGGCTTATAGCATGTTTCCTTCGTTTGCCATTGGCAAAGGCCTCCCCGCTAAATCTTCCTTTTTTTTCCAGAAAATGATTTCCACGCAGCCCTTTGAGACCATGTATAGGCGGAGAAAACGTTATTTTTGGCCGGCGTGCATGTCACCGGTTTCCATACGAATGTCTATTCGCTACCTCTGCGCGTCAGTTCACGAGGAACCACCTGAAATGTCTGCCTGAGGTGTCATTGATGCCTCAAGCAGCTGACTAAGAAAAGTCTTGGCAGGCCTGGGCCTCATCCGCTGCCCGAGACAACACATAGACTTCTCTCTCTTGTTCGTCTCCCTTCATCCTTCCAATACCCCCAGCACTTGTTCCCGTTGGAAGTCCGTCAAGCGCTCGCGATATTCGTCTTCGAGAGAACGATTTCCGCGACAGACGAACCGCTTCCGCTCGCTTTAGAAAGAGGAGTTCCCTTCGGTGCGTTCCGCAAGTCACTCTTCCGTTACATTGCGTTTCGCCTGCATCCACGCCTGCCCTGCCTCCTCCTTACTAGTGAGGTGCCGTAGATAGAAAAAGAACATACATATTCACACTTGTGCGCATAGTCGCCGTCGGGCGAAGGGGGCGGGGCTCGGTTGCGCAACTGGCCCGTCAAAAAGTTCTGCGTCGCACCCTCGAGCAGCTTTACACGAGAAGAGCTACGACTTCGCCACGAGACTATCTTGCTTCGCGCCGTGCAGACATCTCTCGAGGTCACGCAAATTGTGCATCATTTGGAGTAATTAAAAATACCTTAGTCCGCCCTGTATTCCGTTCTCTCGAGCCCTTCATCCTTCATTTTCTCGTTATCTTGGTTTTCTCAGCATGACAACAGTCTACCAGAACGGACAGAGCCGAGTGCTTAGTCCTGGAGAAGGTGGGTTCGTCTAATTTTTGTCTGGAGAGATTGCTGTGTCATATCATCTCGCAAGTGGCCACGCGCGACTTCAGGCGCTGAATAGCTTGCCTTGTGGGCTCTCATCAACAGGGCAATCTCCGCTTGAACATAACACTAACGATATGCACTCACCAGTTCTTGAGGAGGAGGTAGCTCCCGCTCCAGAGCAGGAGTATCGACCCCAGCTTGCAATTCGGTTGATATGCCCAGAGTGTCAGATTGGTATGCGATAAGTTCTCTTCTGGCACGACAGTCTGAACTGTTCTCTGTTGAGCCTTTGGGACGCTTCCACAAGCGTCGATGGCTCAGCACATAACGGTGCCAGCTGGTGCGTATGACTTGGGGTTCATAGATTTATTGACAGCACTCAGATCCACCAAACTTGATAGAAGAGGGCGCTGCAGATAAGTTTTCCCCATAAAAGGACTTGCTTAGATACTGACAGTTCTCTCTACGTGACACTGTCTGTGGAGACTGTGGTCTAGTTCTTCAACAACATGTCGTAGATATGCGTTCAGAGTGGCGAACATTTTCAAACGATGACCAAGGCAATGACGACCCTTCGCGTGTCGGCGAGGCTGCGAATCCTCTTCTTAACGGCTCTCAGCTAACTTCGAGTATCGCTTACGGCAATGGTGATGCTCGTGCTCGTGACTTGAATCGAGTACACGCAAAAGTCAATGCCGACAAGGGTAGTAAAGCCCTGCTGGCAGCTTATAAGCAGATCCAAACATTGTGCTCAGCACACCACCTGCCAAAGATTGTTGCGGATGGTGCAATGGCAAACTACAAGCTCGCCGAAGAGTCCAAGAAATTCAAAGGCAAGCCACAGGAGGTCCTGATTGCAGCAAATGTGTTCATTGCTTGCCGACAGAACGGAGTGCCACGTTCCTTTAAAGAAATCATGAATCTGACCAAGGTTCCCAAAAAGGAGATTGGGCGCACCTACAAGCAACTTGAGCACTTTTTCAAGAAGATCGTGAGTCTTATCTTCGCAGTGTCTAGAATTTCGAAATTGATTAGCTATATTAGGAGGGTTCAACAACAGTACAAGGTGGCATGGTTATGACCCAACCGGCCTATCAGAACACTGGGTCCACAAGTGCTGCAGAACTCTGCGGCCGATTTTGTAGTCAATTGGATCTTGACAGTATTAGCTTCATTGCACAGGATTGCAGCAAGGTCATGATGCGACTCGGGAGCTTGGCCGGCCGCTCACCTCTGTCAATTGCCGCCGTAGCGATCTATCTCATCTCACACTTGATGAACAAGCCAAGAAGCGCAAAACAGATTGGCGATGTCGCTGGTGTGAGCGATGGGACAATTCGATTCGCATATAAGCTTGTATATGCCGATAAGGATAACATCATCAAACCAGAATGGATAGCGAAAGGCGGCAGGATGGAACTTATACCGACGTCATAACTTTTCCAACAAAGCAAAGCAAAGCCTGCAAAATTGGTTACCTCATGGACTCGCACTTCGACTATCCGACGAACCGCTTCTTTCCTCTCCTTATTTTACATGCACAGCGTGGCGTTTGGAAATAAGGGAAGGAACTTAGATATGTTCTCATACTTTTATCAGGTTGATGTTCGTGATGAAAATGCTGCAACAGAGATTTGGAACGGAATTTTTGCACACTAGCATTAGACAGGGGCGACGCGAAAGTAGAAAATTGTGACTGAAAGTCGCGCTCAGAAGAGCTTGGGCTTGCTTTCTCTAGGTTTTTTTTTCCTTCTACATGGTCGATAACGAGCGTTTGCAAAATTGCCGAGAAGACATCAGTGGATGAGATAATCTCCTGTACAATGTAACTGCGTCTAAAAATAATCAAATAAAATTGGGCCTTCGTGGCTCTTTTAAATGAGTCTGAGCGAATCCACCGCCTAGGTTTGATCAGCACGACTTTGGCCTTGTCGCTGACAGTCTGCCGCGGCTTCCAGCTGACAACAAGCAAGACTGAAGCCTAGATAGTATTTATCTTCTATCTTTTGAAACTCATAGCGGTAATGGAGACACGCATCTGTTAATCGAAGGATACTCTTCAAAACTTGTGCATCAGTGTGTTACCACATAAGTACACATGGCTCCTCAAAGCAATCGTCCCAACTATTATGCCTTGAAGCCGAGTAATTTTCTAGTAACGAATTTGCGGACAATGGAAGTGCTATACCTAGAACACGGCTCATCCACATCAACTGTATCGTTACGTCCCTGCGAAGCGAGGTATCACCTTGTTCTCCATGCATCCCGACCACGAACAGAGGCTAGCATATTGAGGGGAGCAGCTGTGGAATATCCACAGCTTGCGAAATAAGGCCAAAAATTTTCTTATAATAGGTGCCAAGCAAGAATGCGACTTGCTCAGACTTGGGAAGGATTGGTAGACATTGCAGGCTTGAGATACAAAACATCAGGGCCCCCGAGTGGAAAAGTCGACAAGTAATTAGCCAAAAGTCTCGAAACGGCATTTGCTCTTTGGTCCATCTGTCAGGTGAAAGACTCTGGACTTTATCGAGCAAGTTCTTTAGCTGCGATCCCGCTAGCAGATAGAACTCTGCTTGCGGCTTCGTAACACAGGTAGTTGATCTCGACAACGTGTCGGAACAAAGGCTGAGGAAACAGGAATTTGGGACAGAGGATGACTTGAACGAATTCCGAAAAGAAATCTACGTAGGATTTGTACGTAGGCGCGGCGACTTGATATATGGCCGAGGCCGTAGTGTTGGCCATGACACCGATGCTGCCCATGGCGTGTGTCTCGGATTTCGTAGAACGACGAAGCTCAAAAGGACAGTAGAAACTATGCTTGGAGCTTACATCGCAAGTCCCATCAGTCCATAGTGGCATGTGACTGCCGATTAGAGAAGCTTTCGAAATCCTACCTGTGAGGTGACGACTTCCATGAAAGCCCCATCATGATGTCTCCAAGTACGGTCCGATGACGACAACTGATCCCATATTTTTAAGAGTTCATAATTTGAGTCAAAGTCAAAATAGAGGGATAGAATTGCTTACCTCGGCACACGTTAATGTGAAAATGTCGTAGGTAGTTCTGATGGTAGCATTCGGCATTTCTTCCCAGACACATTTGTTGATGGGTTAATTCGCTGATTCACGGTGACGATAGACACGTAACCGTGTTTTACTCAACAGGTTTGACTCTAACCTAGTGGAGGTTGGTGGGCAAAATGAGAGAGAACAAGGTAAGTCAAGCAATATTGATTGGTACTCTGGTAGAAGCTCGTTTCCACAGGGATCATGACCGAGATCACAAGACGCGGCAAGTGCAGACAGGACGTTTGAGTTGTCTTCGAGCACTTTCGATTAGCTTAGATGTGCGAGAAGTAATCTTCTTCAGATTGCCTAGAATACTGCACAGTCTCCACTACCGAAGTCGAGTGATCGGTCCGAAAATTTAGTTGAGCGATCAAAAATCCCTCTAGCTTCAGCAAAGGTTCTGTTGGTCCCATGGATCGGAGCGCTGATTTGCTCCAGTTCTGAATTCGGCCACTTTTGTACACACGACAGTCCTGTTCCTGGCGCGAGCCACGTGACGGGCTTCTTCTCATTGTAGCCCAGACTTTCCAACCCGGCTGCCAAGTGCTTTCTACAAGCTGTCTGGAAGAGATCACAGCAACGTCTGCGAGACTTGCACGTCCAGCTCGATTGGCGTAACGGAATTGACGTAACCGAAGCTGACGACATCTGGGACGAGACGAGGATGCCGTCCAGACATCTTACATTCTTTTACCAGAACTGGCAGATTGCTATAAGACGAGAAGTCAATGATCAAGTCCAGGTGCCGAGAACAGTCACATCTAGGTACAAGGGGTTACCCGAGTTCTTGGCCAAAGAATTTTCCTATTTAGGTAAGACACGAGCGCAGGCCTGTGAGTTAGATTCTGCTATGGGACTTGGCGCAATGATGACATTTTATTCATAGTACTAAATGAGCTGCGGTCGAATCATTTGAGAGATAAATTTGCCCAGTTTCTGAAAAGGATATGATCATTGGTGAACTGTCATTTGGCTGGTCTACTATAACTCTGCCTAGCGGCAGCTTGAATATGTAGAATATCGGCATTAACACTCTGCTCGGGATAGCATGAAAAGGGTCTAGGATTGAGAAATTCAAAGAGTCCCATTAATCTGCCGAAAGTTTGCATGTATTTACATCGTAGCCGCGTATCTGAAGTTGTGGCCCGCAAACTTGTAGCTTTGGCCTCGCTGAGCAATTTCGTCTTCGATGTCCATCAGACGATTGTACTTCGCCACCCTTTCTCCGCGGCACGGACTCCCAGACTTCAAATGTCCGGCCCGCAAACCCACCACAACATCCGCGATGAAGTCGTCGGTAGTCTCACCGGAGCGATGTGATACGAAGACGGACCATCCGTAGCTGTACGCTTGCTTGGCCCTGCTCTAGTTGTCAGCCTTTAGTCTTGCAAGTTTTGCGATGTAGATCAGAAGTATTTACGCCTCAATCGCTTCTGTAATAGTTCCAATCTGATTGATCTTCAACAGCAGCGCATTACAAGCCTTTTTCTCCCTAGCCATTTCAATCCGCTTCTTATTCGTAGCCAATAAGTCATCTCCTACCAACGGAATCGCACAATTCTTATTAAATTCAGCCCATGTCTCCCAATCATCCTGTGCAAATGGATCCTCGAGTAATACAAGCGGATAATCATCCATCAGCTCATGATACAGCCCCATCATATCTGACTTGGAGCAAATGTCGGTTTTCTGAGCGGTCGGGTCATTTTTCGTCTTTTTGAAACCCATGTTATAGGTGCCGTCGTCCTTATTGTAGAATTCCGAAGAAGCAGGGTCCATGGCGAATTTGACCTTTCCAGAGTAATCGCAGTTCTCCGCTGCAGTGGTTAGGAGATCCAGTGCTTGACGTGGGCTTGAAATTGGTGGAGCAAAGCCTCCCTCATCACCTATGCCAGTGGCTGTAGAGATGACTGAGTACGACTAGCAAAATAATGGTGACCGATACTTTGTAAACTCACCTGTAGTTCCATATCTACCTTTGATTACCTCCTTGAGCTCTTGATATACCTCCGATCCCATCCTCACAGCCTCGGTAAGGCTCTGCGCTCCTACTGGCGCAATCATCATCTCTTGGAAAGCCATGGTATTCCCTGAATGTACACCGCCATTAAGAACATTAAAGAAAGGACAAGGCATAACGTATGGCTCCTTGGTATCAGCATAATCTTTGATGAACTGATAGAGAGGAAATCCCTAGAATGTGTTAGTGGACATTTGTAACACACCTTCCACTTTTATCTTACCTTTGCAGCCGCAGCTGCACGCCAAACAGCCATGCTAATACCAAGAATCGCGTTGGCACCCAGCATACTCTTATCATCCGAACCATCTTTGCTAATCATGAACCTGTCAATCTCATCCACATCCTTAGGCAGCACGAACTGCTTCTTCAGGATTGCAGGGGCGAGGATGTCGTTCACATTATTCACCGCAGTGCGTACGCCCTTACCATGATATCTTTTTGTGTCGTTGTCACGAATCTCGACAGCTTCATAATCGCCCTTGGAAGCTCCTGAAGGAACTATAGCTTTGAATATCCCTATCTTATCATGAACAAGATATCCATGAAGCAAACTTGTAACTTGAAGCTCGGGAAGGTTTACCGTCTTTTGTCGTGATTGACACTTGTATGGTAGGATTCCCACGAGAGTCCAGCCGCTCTGCAGCGCTGATGGCTTGTATTGTTGAGAGAACAGATGTCATATTCAGTTTCGACCATAAGACAAAGAATGGAAGAATAGTGCTGTCAAACACAAATCTCAGTACCTCTATGTGAAGAGGTGTGTTTTCGACAATTTAGTGGCGACACTGAATTGCAATGCACATTAGCCGGGTAAGTCGGTTCAGGATTTGGTGACACCGGAAACTTCGGGAGTAATGATATTTGACGTCATTTGTACGATGAAGCTATCAACTCCACTCTATCAAAAATTCCGTCCAACGCTTTGAACAATCCTCTGGTTCTGGAATGACTTATGTCCTGTCCCACAGGTCTAGTGCAAGTTCACACCTTGCTTCATCGCAAGCACGGTCTCATCTTGAAGTCTCTATCTCGTGATTTGAACACCAACAGGAGTTTAATACAAGCACCGCTATGAAATATTTGATGATGAAAACAATTGTGGTCGTTATAATCACATAATTCACAATTCCTGCCATCGTCGTTGCCCAATGGATTGTATTCTGGGTCCTCGCGGTCTGTGAGCCGTTCCGCAAATGTCCCCGGAATATTTCCTGTTGTGGAGTCAATTATGCTAGTTATCTTAGGAGATATATCGAATTATCTCAATGCCCATAACTTCTCATGATATCTGAAGGACTCTTCCAGAGGTGCTGCTTGTACCCCAACCGGCATTATTATAGCATCAACCGGTGGCCTACAAAAAGTCAGATTTGATGTTTGACTTCCGATAAGCGTGATTTTCTGCACGAATTAGGTTACGGGTAGGGCAAAGTCTCCCAAATCCCGATGTGGAGCTGCTGAGGAATTGGGTATTTGCCACGGGCATATAGAGCACCTCTTGCAGCTTCTCTTCTAGTGGAAACTAGAGTTTCAAGCCTTTTCATCATGTTAGCCTCTACCACCAATCTGGTCGCTCATCATTCGAAATCAGATTCATGCCTACAAAGACCTCAAGGTGATGTGCAGGAGGTTTCCGAGTAAGAATCTCATCCTATCAGAATTTTCAAAGTGCCGCAGTTAACGAACCTGCTCACCTCGTATCCGCATTATTCAAAATTATTGCTAACCACCATAGTTTTTCGCTGAACAGGGAGATAAGGAGAAATTTCTTCATCAAATGCTTGATACCCAATACTAAACCACTACTACTCTGACTTTGTTGGCATATCCTATTGCGAGTTCTAGAAACTTTCTTCCCATTCTACAGCAGGTTCAGAATGCCAAAATCATCTTAGCAAATGCTTCATTCATCAACCCAACTTACAACCTTGATCAACAACAGAGGATCAGCACACATAGGTCATGTAATCGCAGATGGGGCTCAGCAAAACTTACCGCCTGCCCACTTGCTTATGAGTCTCTGTAAGATGCAAGTTGAAGAGATTGTTAACGCAGGAGGGTATTCGCATCAGGCCAGTAATATATGTCACCTAACAAATTGGCGCACTTCTCAGCGCAAGGAGAGCGGCTTCACCTCCAGAAGCACCCTCTGCCGATAGATTTCTGGTGCATTATTTCAAACGCCGACTTCACATAACTTTATATTTCATCTCAGATATACATATTTGTCAAGCGCATGGCTCCTTTATGCCGTTTTTGATCAACCACCAATTAATTGGTACGCCTGTCCAATGCCCAATAAACATACCAATCTGCATCATCCACCAGTACGTAACTGTGTTCATTGGCAGTCGCCACTGGAAGATTCCAATTTGAAAAGCAGCCATCCATCCAAATAGGCCAATCTCAAAGAAAAGCAGCGAAAGGGCGTCAGCTTTCAGAGCGCGTATGAGGACTTTAGGGCCGTACTCATTGGCCATTGGCGCAATGGAGAAGTACTGAAAGAGTATTCCAAACGCGAATGCAAAGCCAAAATCTACATAGAGCAAAGTCAGCTCATGACATCCTCCCGAATTCAAAAAGCAAAGTCTTTGACTTACCTAGCAAGAACTCGACCCACAGTGCTCTCGGAGGATTTCCTATGGCTAGTTCTGCTCCATATACAATCCATTCTCCGACAAGGTCGCCGAGGACGCAGCCTGCACCGCAATGGCATACACCTATGGTTACCGTAGCGAACATAGGTCGATCAGATGAACCATGATGCGTGTGGTGAGAGTGCTTCTGATGATCGGCAGGAGATTGTTGGCTGTGATCACCTTTGTCGTGGGCTTGGATTTCGCAATCATTTCCGTGAGCTGGATGACTCCCGTCTGCGTCTTCTCCCCTGCTGTCGTGACCGTCTCCTCGAGCATGATGAACATGGTCTTGGCCGTTAGAAAATGGATCTATGTCCACGTCCTTGTCATGACATTTGACTTGTTCGCGAGCTGAAGGTTTCGATGGACGTCCGTACTTCAAGTATGTCCATAGTGTGATAGGCCACAAGTAGAGGGCATTGATTATATAGACCGGAATCATCACGAGCATCATTGACTTCCACCCTTGCCGCAAGAGTATATCGAGAGCGATCCAGCTTGCAAAGATGGCAGCAACGCCTATGGAGATTGCTGAGATGATGATCAGCGCGAGTGGCTCATCGTAAGTGAGTTCAGACATCCTGAAGGAATCAACGCTATAAAATAGGGAGTTTGTTAGTGATAGCAGGATAGAAAGAAAAGTTTTGACTCAGATGAAGGACATATTCGACGCAAGCAAAGTCCAGGAATGTATATATCCATTCTCACGCTGGACGCATTATATGTTTTATCGAGATTTCATTTGAGAGGCCGCACAAAGTGCTCAAGAGCTTAGTCTGCACTAATTGATTGGCACTATCAAGGACTTGAGAGGCCGCGCAAAGTGCTCAAGACAGTAAGAAAATATTTGCGGTAATTGATTGGCGCTGTCAACGTAAAGCTTGACCGTTCTTCGGAATCTTGATTGGTCTCGTTCAATAGCGGAGGTTGTATCATGCAGCTCCAGAGAAGATATTTCAGCCGCTATGATGTAACAATGATGCGTTAAAGCCTCGTTCAAGCCACACATGTTTTAAACAGCGTCAGAGTCATTGATGTAAATCATGGAGGTTCACGGGGCGTAACTGGTAATAAGATAAGCAGGAATTTCGTTCCGATGTCGCTTTTCCTATGTCTTTGAGTTAATCTGACGATAACTTTTTTCTCTTCTTTCAACGGCCGCAAAACAGAACATAGTATAGGCAATATTATTGTACCGCTTTCGATATTCTGACCTAGCTCATCATCATCATTTTAGCGTGCGTACAACCTAGCTTCTGTCATTGGACCTGCGCTTTCTCAGTTTCCTTTTAACTCTCAACGCAGGGCGCAAATTCGTTTAGCCTTTCCCGGGTGCTTTAACTTGGAATCCTCCATCGGTTTACCTGCATTTCGCTATGCTATGGACTGTATTGAGTGTACATACACTGAAAACTGATCAGTTCGCTCGGACAGAAACACTCGGCCCATGCTTCTTTAGATTAGCTTACTTTATGCTCACGTCTCATCGGTGTGACTCGAGATCAAATCTGTAGATATGATTGTGTGAGAGTAGATTTCACGACACCATCTACCGCGATAATACTGCTGAAGATATCATCGCCAGTGTACATCCGATAGAAACCAGGGGGATAAACTGTTAGGTCCTTTGGACGTATCTCCACCTCATCTCACCTAGCCAGCAATGTTCGACCAGAGGAAGGGACTATAAATGGAAACCAGCTATGGACGCTCACACAGCGCAGAGCGACCTATACTATATCATCACAACGAGCAAATCTCAAGCGGCTCAGAAATGGGTCCTTTTCAATGCTGCGGTTTGGAAAATTCGCAACTCTTAAGCATTCATTCACCATGTCGAACACCACTTCACAACACAATCTACGTTGACCTTGCGATCCAGCGCTGTTCGGAAGATCTGATTCGAGACGCTGAAATTTCAAATCTTTCGAATCCCCGGTTTTATCACCTCACATCTCAAGGCCCCCTTTCGACCTTTCTTAAAACCATTCCCCGATGTAGTAGAGCGCGATTTGGGCGAAGATCTGAGATGAGCACATTTGTCGTCTATTAATCTGAGAATTTTGAAGCCAAAAAAAGTCTTAATTCACCTTCTCTGACCGGGGAATCCTATCGCAAATGCCGAGATACAGATCTTTCTGTTGATGGGTTAGCATAATCCTCGCTTTCTCGAGTTATTCAGGTCTTAGAAGTAGACAGCATCAAAGAGGACATCTCCCTTATCGAAGCGAATAACACCTACACGAGGAAGTCTCCACCCATCTGTGGCTCCATTCTTAATAATATTTTCAACACCCAAATGTCTAATATTCCTTTCATCTTGAAGCGATTGTCGCGCTGAATAGGGATCTATAGTACGAACACATTGAAAATTAGATTATTACGAAGTCTGTAGTAAGTAAAATTGGATCATTCCGTCTATCTATGTCTGCAATATGTTACTTTTCCTCCGCAAACGGTAACCCAGTTCAATTTAAGCGCACGAGATCAAGTATCCAAAAATGATTATCTTCTCAATAGCTTTAGTTCCCTTCTTTGTCCATTTGATCTTCTACATTTCCTTCTCCCTTAGGCACATCCACGAAATTCGTCTTCAAGCAGTATCATCATGTAAATCGGCTTTGAATTGCTGAATTTTGGAAAAGGAAAAATAAAAATAAAAAATTCAAAGAAGGAGCAAAGAGATAAGGTACCAGAAGCGGGTCTGGAATCAAACCTGAGACAAATTTGATTTTAATCGTGAGTAATCGGGAGCAAGCTTGATTTAGGCTGAGTAGATTTGACCAGCATCTGAGCGCTGTAAGATTTTGCTGATGCAAAGAACTAAATTCTAGCAACTTAGTTGAATGCAGTCCACAGTGAAGTAGATTTGAAAATAGCGAAATAAAACACGCCTGTTCTGTGACTATTGGACAAAATTGCAGTCTTTCTTCGCGCACTTCTTCCTTGTTTCTATAAGATGCTGTAAGCTTGTAAGTTCACCAAATGCATTCTTTGATTATATTGCTTACACTAATAGCTATCGGTCACTCTTTCCAGCGAGTATGTCTGAGCAGATTAATGCACACTCCACAAGGTTTCATAAATCTTTCTCGAGCTCAAATTGATGACACAGGAATTGTGCTCAGCATCCACGACTCATTCAAGCGTCACGACCACCTTCTTAGCTGATGTTCCTTGACGCTGCAGATCAACCGCAGCCTGCAGGCACTCTATTCCATTGCCAGCAAGCAAAGGCACGGGAGCTGCTAAATACAAGCCAGCCTCAAGTGCTGATGGCAGAAACCCTTCCCAAAGAGCTTTTCCAACATGTTCGTCCATGATGTACAACGCCTGTACTTGCTTTATTGTGACACTCTCCGGCAGATCTTTTGGCCAGCCGGAAATTACTGTCGCAATGAATCTATTACCTGCCGAAATTTTGGCCACAATCTCGAGGAGGGGAATCCAAGAGCGCCCCCCAATGGCATCGAAAACGCCTGCGAACTCCGTTTCTTTCAGGACTTCGATTGTGTCCGGCACAACATTTGAATCGTTGTAATCGAGAACTACTCTTGCACCTAGATTTTTGACAAACGCGAAATTTTTTGGAGACGCCGTGGTTATGACGTCGTAACCAGCTGCTCTGGCAAGCTGAATCGCATTGCTACCAACACTTGAGGCTCCACCCCATACGAGGATAGTCTTGCCGGTTTGTGTCTGAGCCGGAAATTTTGGTAGATCCAGGCCAAGGTAGTCGAAATGAAATAACCCACAAGCCGCCGTAGATACCCCTAGTGGAAGTACTACGGCTTGCTCATAGAGCAGGTGGGCCGGAATAGGGCTACTCATATTGTCCCTGAGGATAGTATACGTTTGAAAAGCCTTCTCTGCCTCGTTCTTTGTGGCAAATCCGGCGGCGCAGCCAATCACCCGGTCTCCAATGGCGAAGCGTGTAACTTTAGATCCAACGGCTACAACCTCGCCAGCTACGTCTTGGCCAAGAATTGTAGGGTATGTGAGTGGGAATAATGCAAGAGCTTGAATTTTTCCGTCAACAGGGTTGATCGCGATCGCGTGATTCTTTATGAGTATCTGATTCTCTTCTGGAGAGCTGAGTGAAGATTCCCGAATGCTAAACGGGTGAGTTTTGGCAGCCATCAGCCATGCAGCTGTGTTCGTTGGCATTTTGGTAAACTTTGTTCAGCAGTTTATCGGTTACTTGAGGACTAAGGTTCTCATTCTGTTGTAAGATCTGTGTTGCTTTATATATCATTAGCCACGGTGTTAAGTCGCCTTTCTCGTATGTCCGCAGTATATTATCATGATTACCATTTGCCGCTTCGTATCAATAACTCCTGCACCATCCCAAGCTAGGTAAGCATGATGTTGCCGAGCGGAACGCTAACTAGAATAAGACATCACGTCACGTGAAAGTCTCTACGCTAGGTTTTCTACGCGATTAATTCCATGCCGTTCCAGCATCTTTCAAGCCCCTCGCATCTTTGCGGAGAGAACTTTGTTTATCTGGCGCTTTGGCTTGCGCCGGACCAGATAAGCAAAAAGCCGCTTATTAAAAAGTCTATATCTAATGTGGGATTCTATATCATGAATTAGTGACTAACACCAAACCCATGAGCTAACTTACATTTGCCAGGACCTCAGCATATCCAATGCCCATTTCCAGATTAATCCACTCTAGGCATTCTTTGCAATAGCTCTTCATATTATGGGGAAGAAATGACATCTGCATAACTACATACAGCGGATGCAAGAGCAGAAACCCGCCAAGCACCCGGCCAATATCTTCCATCTGAGTGTGTGCGACGTTGTTAACCACGGAAATCTGAAGAGTGTCTAGAAGATGGAACGGTATTGATGCTAGTATTTCTTCGGCAATAGACAATGCCTCAGAAATATGCTGCCCGATTTCATTTTGTCCAATGGTTGATTGCCTTTCACACGATTGAAGAATAAGTTCATGTAGAAGGAGTCGAGCCACACGAAAGACGTTCCAGACCCCTGCAACGTGAAGGTCGAGGTATATTTCGGTCTTGTTTGTCCAAAAACTTGGAGTGGATGCTGCGGTCCTAAAACTTGGATTTGAAGCGCGATTTGATAATACCGTGGGTGCAGCTTGAGGAGAAACAGAATCTTTCCAACGTACCAGTTGCGCATCCAATTCTAAAGCGTTGCGATATGCGAGCTCAGAGTTTCGCGGTAAGCAAGCAGAATGCCACGACTGAAGAAGCTGATATACATCAAGCAATAATGTATCTAGACACTTCTCGTCCACGTGATGTCCAGAGAGTGCGAAACGTGCGGTGACCTGGGCATTCATATGAGGTCGATAAAAAATTATGAAAGACTCAAAGGATGGATCAATGCCTGAAATAGCAGCCCAGCCCGCAAAGTGAACGGCGTGATTTCCGCACTTCTGTGAGCTTGAAGTAATCATCTGCGAAAAAGTCAACGTACAAGTGCTAAGTGAATACACATTTGCACACCTCGTACAAGCCCAATAAAAGCACGACCAACTCCAGTTCTCTGCTGTACGAGGGGCCTCTGTTCGCTAATGCGGAAGAAATGTCGCGGACGACGTCGTGGTAAAGAAGGTCAGCTCGCCTAACGAGGTTGGGCCTCCGCAAAACTTTGCCGCCAGAAGCAAGCGACACAGCCGAACAAGCTCGTACTAGAGATGAGTTTGGACCCAGACGGAGCGCCAAAGGCTCAAGATCTGCAAAGTACCCCGATGACAAGTTTCCGTTGGCAGGGACGACGCAATAGTTGTATAGTAATGCCCGAAACGCGATCCAATCGCTGTCCTGTTGAGTTACCCCGGGAGGAAGGCCATCCTCAGGTAATTCCCCGGACTCTGCGATGGGCATACGTTTTGGCAGCCCGCATTTCCGGGCAATAGAGACGAACGGGGCCGATTGGACTGGTAATTGAGGTGGGCGTTGCCGAAATGTGAATGCTGAGTCGACCTCATACCCATGGCAAGGTAGCTTAGCACGTACACATCGCAGACACGACTAGGCGACACCCCTTAGCCCTTGAGATCAATTTTACCTGTAATTGTCTCTCGTGCACTTACCGGGCGTGTCTCATCGCACTAAAACGGGCACTTTGAGTCAGCAAACTCGGTTCATTGACTGCTATGGTAGCTTCTCATACTTTCTTACGGCGACGCCTACAAGAGTGACAACCTCGTGAAGGCCCCTGATACACCATGCTGTTATGCTTTTACGGCGTTTGCAAGTAACCGCAAGTAGTGAGACCTCAGTATGAGAAAGATTATAGCCATGCTATGCTGATTTTATATTCAAAGACCAGCCAAGTTTAAAACAGGACGCAATGTCTTCATAGCTGGTAGTGGGTGAGCCTGAAGCGAAGCGGAGGGATAGAAGAAATCCAATGTGGTTAGCGTTGCGCCTTGGCAAGGGAAGAGCGCTAATGTACTCGTTCGATCGTGCTGCCGATCTGCTCGAAAAAATGGGTCCGGGAATGTATCACCAGGAACGAACCCATTTTGAAAGCTGGTCCGCTTCCTACTCTTCAAAAGCGAATGTAAACATGCATAGGTGTTGCTACGAGTTAGTTCGTAACGAGTTTAGCGCTCACCCTTTCTATAGGATTTCTCGGAGGTCCCTCCACACCAAACGACTGCCAATTAAGTATCAAGCCAAGCGCGCAACTCGCATGGCTCTTGGTGAAAACACAGAACTTAGAGCCAGAGCGTAGTTCACCTTTGTTGATCATTGAGCTATGCAGATAAGAGCTGATGTGGAAATCAAGACTATACCTCGTAGGCATCCTGTGACAGATTTTAGAGCTGGACGAGTACTTCAAAGAAAAGTCTGGCCAAGTTGGGCTGTAACTATTGAATGAACATCTGAATTGAAAAATCGCGCTGGTCTCTTCTTCAATCTCTGCGCAACTATACCATTTCGCATTTGGATTGCGGAAACTGGCCCTTTGGAGCTCATCGTCAGCCTTCCGCATCTTGTTTGAAACCTACTTTCGATTTGAAAATTGAAAGACGTGAAGTCTGCTAAAGCAGCGATTCATACTCTTATTCGTTCCAACGTCAAGCGGAAGACATGCATGCTACGCAATTCCGAGTTTCTCGTGGATCTCTTTGTTGAAAGGGAAATTAATTCATCACTTGAAAACGAAAAGCAGATCATAAAGAAAAGGGGCCGAAAAGGTTAGATCACCTGACACGAGGCCCCAAAACGATGCATCGAGATAGAGTCTGAGAGCTGAGATCAGGCGGGTTATTGCCAAAAGCGAGTTTTCTTCTTGTGCTCAACATTTTGTTGTCCGTCAGAAACGCTGTCGGCTTGCATGTTCGTCGTGTCAGAAAGTGGGTCCACATCTCGCCTTTTGGTCTTCAGCTCCAACCAGCATGCACCTTGAACGATATTGATCTTCGTTTGAAACCTTAGCCCTGTACAGTAGGCTCACTGGCAGGTAGGTGTCCACAGCGTATAAATGGTGGGACACCATCGCACCAATTCGTAAGGACGTAGGCTGCCAGCCAACTGAACGTGCACTTGACAAGCTCCAGCGGGAGAGGTCGCGTCCGCGCTTGCAGGCTTCATAGTGCTGACAAAGCAACCACCATCACACGGCATCATGGCCTCAGTGGCAGAGATTATTTTCTATCCTGCGAAATCCGGTTCTGATCCCCGACCCTCGATTGCAGAGGCAGAAGCGGCGCTCGCCACGCGACCCGGATTCAAGAACGCCTATCTGGGTCAGGTCACGGAAGACCGAAGGATACACTGTTTCGTCCTTGAATGGCGCGAAAAAGCCGACGTGGTAGCCTGGGCGTCTGATCCAAGGGCCTACAAGATCAAGGACTCCTTTGAAAGCGTCGTAGACTTGCAAGCTGGCTTGGAGCCATTCATAGGTCGGTGTTTTTGTTTCCCTGCCTGCGAAGGAGGAAAGATCTTCACGAAGGCTAACGTAAAACCCGAAAAACGACAGTTCTGACGACGTTCAAACATGACATTTCGGCGGCGATGGCCGCCAATGTGACTGAGTTTGGCTTCTTCAGCTTGCCTGATAAGAACGCCACTGAGCACGTTGTCATGCAGAAAATCATTGGAGACGTAGATATGAGCCAGCACCCTGTCATCACGGTGGGAAAGGCTAAAGGAGCGGCCACAGGACACATATGGATGGTCAAACCCGAGATGGCCGAGGTGGACAATACGACCGTCTTTACTGGTGTTTTTGGATATGATAGTGTGGATGATCACTGGAAGTGGAGGGCCACTCGGGAGCACGCCGAAGTTGTAAAAGGCATGGATGTTTTTGTCAAGGAATTGGGCCTGAGACCTGTGGATGTGCTTGGAAAGCGAAGAGCAATGTTTGAAGGAAGTGGGATCATACATGTCGAGTTTAAAAAGATGTTTTCTGGTCCTGCTTAGCTTTTGTGGGGACATTATGGTGTTGCTTGCTAGTCTTACTGCCTACTCGACTGCATGCGATGAAGAGATTCGTGAGTGGTATCATGAACAAAGGAAATTCATCAATCCAAGCTTAATCACGCTAACAAATCGCCCTGAATCCCTTCTTCACGAGGCTTGCTACTGCAGATCGGCCTCGACGCCGCGCTGCAGTGTCTTGCCCTGGTCGTGCTGCAGCTGGCGTCTCTCCTGCTCAGCGGTATCGCCAGTCAGACCTGCAATGGCGCCGCCCACAGCTCCCTTAGCACGGTCTGCAATGCCCGAACTTAGATCATTCAATTGGCCCTGCGCTTCCTGGGCTTTGCCCTCCTGGTTCTGCTTGATGCCTTCATTTTTCAGCCCCTCAGCTCCAATGAGACCTCCGACGAACTCCTTGCCGGCGCCGATCGTCTGGTTCCAAGATCCAGCCGAGCGATTGGGGTCGTTTGCTGCAACTCCTGACGCAGATACGGAGACCGGTCCTAGGTTTGCGCCCGCGTGAGAGAGGTCGGATTCTGCTTGCGCCTCCGCCTTCTTTTGGTCAGCCTTTGCTTGATCGGCTGCGTTGCCTGTGATGGAACTGATGGCGCTCGACACAGTAGCGGACGCAGAGTCGATGTAGGACTGTAGCGTGGATGTTGAGTTCTTGTTTCCGTCAGACATGTTTATTGCAGTGTTTGTATTTAAGCAAAAGAAGTGTGACTGGAGATGTGCTGGATGCAATGTAGATTATTTGCAAGAGAAATTGGCAGTTGCGGGAAGAACAATGTGGGGGATTCAATTTCTTGCGCACTTCAGGATCACACTGCTTATATAGCACGTCATCTCAATGCCTGTCTTTACTGCTGGAATATTCTCTCGCCTCACCAGAGACATGCTGCTATGTGACGTACTTGGCAGATGTTGGGCAAGTGTGACCGACGATAAACTACGTCATAGGGTCTCCCCCGGACCTGCCTGCTTGGGCTGCGCACCAGTCACAATGCACCAGCCACATGCCATACGCCACACACTCTCCTCTCGACAAATTAAACACGCTCGAAAAAGGATCTTGCATGTGACAGCTGCAGCCTCAAACAAATCTCAACGCAAACGCTGGCGGCATGCAAGGACCAGGTCTCTATCACTCTCAAGCGCGTCAGGCTGATTCTGCTGTGCTCTCCTGCTGCTCAAAACCGAGCGAGTCCTCAACGTCACACGTTAGGCATCAAAGCGAAAGTCTCCTTCGGCGCAGCCGAATCGAATTCAGCCGCATGTTTGGTCTACAACTATGAAGAGAGCCACAACGCTTTGCATTGCGTCTCTCAAGAGTGCCTGATGCAACAGCTGGCCACAAAGCACGACGACGCCCGTAAAGAATCCTGAGGGCCTTGACGAGGGTCGGCTGCAACAGCATGACTGATCAACCTATGAAAGCCCTGGGCTGTCAACCATGGCCAGGCCTTGACGACGTTCGATTCGATCGTTTTGATCCATATGCGTCGCGTGCTAATTCCGGCTCACGGCTGCTGGGACAGGAGGCTTACTGCTTGAACGAGTTACAACGCGGCTGGATCCGCTGCGCCAAAGCAATAGTCAGACACGAGATCACGAGCCAGCGGTGGCAGAACGAAACACGTTTCAACCTGCAAGAGCTGCTAGGGACGAGGGCATGAGTTCATGAACGCTTGCGTCTCTGTGAGACTGAGTTTGCGTGTGTCGAGCTCCACAAATAATGGCACCCATCCACCTCGAAAAAGGTTTGCGCATTTTTTGGGCCTGCGCCCGTCCGTCTTGTGGCCTGTGCTGCGTCATGGATCAATCGCTTCTCCCGTTCCTGGCCGAGGCGTGTGCACAAGAATTTTAACCTTCTTCTATACTCCCCGCACTCCACCATTTCTACCTTTCACAAAACTCCAAAATTACATCGCTTGTCCCGAGTCGTTTGTGAGAGGAAGAACCACGCGTCCGGCTTTTTCCACCTTTTCTCCAACCCTTCAAGCTCTTCACCCTGCATCCCGAGGTCGACTACTGCCTACTTTCACCGCCACGACAATCTTGCAAAGCCGCTGGCTCCTTCGCCCACAACAACACACCTCGCTTGGTCCCTCGCAACGTTGAACAGCAGTTCCTTTACACGTACCTAAACTCAGACGCGATCCCAGAATCCGCACCCTCTCAGCTGCCGCATAGGACGCTACCTGGACTTCTTCCTCTAACCGGGGAAGAGTCGAGGAGGACTCGTCCACAACTGAGCTTGAATTACGAGCCTTTCCGACCGCCTTAACATCGCTGTACACAGCTCGGCCCACTACCTGATACCAATCAGTCCAAACATATTCTGTGTTTGGGCGTGGAATGGCACCTTCCGCTATCGACAATTACGAAACTAGTACCAATCTTTTAACCAGTACACCGGTTAAACATCTCGCACCAGTCGATCCTAGCCATGGCGTTAAGAACCCAACCGCGCACCAACTGATCGGACAGGCGCTGAAACAGCGCATTGATGCCATCAACCCGGACACCTGCGATGCAGGTGAAGAAGATGCTTTCTTCGTAGCTGACCTCGGGGAGGTCTATCGCCAGCACTTGCGCTGGAAGCTCAACCTTGGGCGTGTCAAGCCACACTATGGTGAGCCACCATGCCATTAGTTTTAAATCCTCGGGTATAGCTAACTTGCATCAGCTGTCAAGTGCAACCCTGACCCTCAAGTCCTGCGTCTGCTCGCTGCCCTTGGTACAGGCTTTGACTGCGCTTCGAAGGCCGAGATCGAACAAGTTCTGGGAATGGGCATCGATCCGGCTCGCATCATCTTCGCCCAACCATGCAAGATCAGCTCACACCTCAAGTATGCCAACAAGATGGGTGTCAAGCAGGTCACCTTCGACAATGCTGAAGAGCTTTACAAGACGAAGAAGTTTTGTCCGGACGCTGACCTCTTTCTGCGCATCCAAACGGATGACTCTGCCAGTTTGTGTCGCTTGAGCATGAAGTTTGGCGCTCCACTGGACGCGACGAAGGATTTGCTGGAGCTTGCCAAAACCCTAGAGCTGAATGTGGTGGGTGTGGCGTTCCATGTAGGTTCTGGCGCCAGCGATCCAAATGCCTTCCTTAAGGCTGTCAAGGATGCACGCCATGTGTTCGATCAAGCCGTCGAGTACGGATTCAACATGCACACGCTCGATGTGGGTGGTGGATATTGCAACGAGACTTTCGAGTCCATGGCAGCTGTGCTATCTGCTGCGCTGGATGAATACTTCCCTCCCCACATCCGCATCATCGGTGAACCAGGTCGCTTTTACGTTTCCACAGCTTTCACTTTGGCATGCCTGGTCACTTCTCGTCGTACAGTTGTCGATCCTACGTTGGACACCACTTCCTACATGTTGTACATGAATGACGGAGTTTATGGCAACTTCTCGTCGATCATCTTTGATCACCAGCACCCAGTTCCGCGCATTCTAAAGTGCGGAGACCGGTTTCTTCACGGTGTTACAACCAGTGGGTACGACACTCCAAATGCCACAGAATACTCTATTTGGGGTCCTACATGCGACGGCATCGACGTCATCTCTGAACGCACAACCTTTCATGAGGTTCTGGACATGGGAGATTGGCTCTACTTCGAAGATATGGGTGCATATACGAAGTGCTCAGCAACGAGGTTCAACGGATTCACTGACAAGCATGATGTTGTTTATGTTTGCAGTGACAACGGGGCGGCTGCATTGCTTGCCCAAATGTGAAGCGTAATGTTAAAGAATAAGGAGAGGCTTTCAGAACTTTTACTTAGCGCATTATAGAAGTCATTTCTGTTCTCTCGGCGAGGAAAAAAATTTTTATACAAGTGAGATGGAGGAAGCCTTAAGAAATAAAATAAAAAAAAATAGATCTGTTCAGTTAGTGTTAGTTTTCTTAAAAACAGTGTTAATTAGAGCAGTGTTTCGCACTTAAACATTAGTTCAGGCAGAATAAATAAGCACTCGCTACCAGCAAATACATCTGATCGAATTCTGTTGTCCAAGCATCTGGCCTTGCTTGGAAACGCTAACGGTGATCATTCGTCCCAGGCCGCCGGTTTCTGCCTGCATCATACAACTCACCAAACTCTCCAGTCGCATTCACCACCAATCATCTCTTGTGTGACGAACAGCTGCCTACGCCTCGAAAAGTGACAAAATCTTCATGAGCTAATGTCTGCAACTAGTTCTAGTCGATACGATCTCATCGTTTCACTTACCATAAACCCAGCGGCAAAAATAACAGTGCACTTCGGCGTTTCATCGTGGATGTGACAATGAGCAACGCCTTTCCAATCTCAGGAAGCTCTCCGTCACCTGGAACTCCAGAGTCGAGACGGCACCAAGTGGGGGATGCGGACACAACTTCTCCAAGCACATTCGGCCGGCCACTTCAGGAGCGAACACTGCAACATGTAGCCATGACAGTACCGCCGGGAGTGTCGCTGCACAATGCTCCTCCCTCGGCGATCCTGCAAAGATTGCTGGACGACATTAAGCAGCCGACGAGTCGCCATTACGCGCGATACGGTGCATTCGTTTCAGCCGAAGGCGAGGGCTTGGTCCAGCTGCTCGAGCGGTGCGTCCGAAAGGAAGTCTGGGATCTGAGTGCTCGGGCGACGCCGAAGTCTTCGCACAGCCGCCGCGTCGACGTGCGCAGAGACGTCGAGGCGCTCAAGGCCGTGGGCGGAGATACAGGCTATTTCGGTCGCGCGGTGTACCTGCACGTCGTCGAGTTTTCCGATGGCACCACACGCCTGTACGTGGGCCAGGCGTTCAACCTGGCGGCGCGGATCAAACGCCAGCACGACGACTTCCGGTACAGGCGCGACCACCCAAGCCTGCACAACTTCGCGGTGGACCGCAGCGCCGGCGACACGTACGTGGTGCTCGCGCAGCTGCGCGAGAACACGCGGTCGGACCTGGTGCTTAACCTGCTGGAAATGTGGATGGCACTGTGGTTGGGCACGCTCCCGGACGAGACGCTTAATGACTGGCTGGGGCCCGTGGATCTGCGGGGCGAGAGCGCTGGGACGAAGAAGAGAAGAGAAAACGTGTTCGGACTCAACGTTGCCGTGCCGTTGGACCAGGGCGACAGCGAGGCTTCCACACGTGCTTTTCAGATGCTGAAAGACGCCAAGGACGACTTGGCAAGGGAGTACTTTTGGGACATCAGGAAGAGACCTCGCCCGGTCGTCAGGGCGGTTACCGTGGAAGATCATGCTTCCTGGACGCTGTATGTGCCTCATTTTCTGGCATGTACAGCGTTGGGTTTCGTGCTAGGTCGGTGGAGCTCTTTTCTGCGAAGAAAATGATAGGAGTCTTCCAACTCGGCTCAGCCTAACTGAGCGCCATTTTTCTTCCTCGCTAGCTGCACTTAGACTCTTGTTGATCTGCCCACGTGTCAGAGAAACATACGGCATATGAGTTTGCGATTCTGGGTGACCTTCTTTGCGAATGAGCGGGCTATGTGGATCCATGAAAATACACAGGTTTCATGGAAAGTTTTTCATTCAGCTTTCTTCCCATCAGAAAGAGCATTTCGGACGTCAGATGGATGTTGGTCTTGGTGAAGACTGCTCACAGCTCACAAGGAAGCTTTCAAGCCAACAGGGTTGTGTTGACTATCTTTGCGTGATAATTGGACGATAAAAATTAACCTTTTTCCTATTTTGAAGTCAGGGATTCAAGGTTTCCAAAGCAAGATCTGCAGGATTTGTTTCGTATAAGCTAGGTTGCGGTAATCACTGTCCCTGTATCTTGACTAAAGTTATGGATGGTCTCCGCCTGGATGTGGACGTTAGGATGACGAGCAGAGGTTGGAAATTTAAATGCGAAGAATCTTAGAATGTTCTTATTGCCAACAACTTCTTTTCGTGTTCTGGAATTGTCCTTGGGTGTTCGGTTTCGAATGTTCCTCTAATCAAATATAGCATTGTGCTCTCACCATTCTTGTCGACGTGCCAGCTCTTAAAACTGTTCTAGACCGAGACGGAAACGCTCTCGATTGCATAAAAAGAGTCTCACATCGCCTCTTACCTTAAGCAGCAAGATTTCTCCGTACCGAATCGATTATAAGATACACACTTGAGCCAATTCAATGTATTCAGCTCACGTTGCGTCGGTGTAATGAGTCATGTATGGCAGCTAGGGAAAGATCTCCGAAGTCTTTCTAGCAAAGCGACTATAGCGCTATCCACTAGGATTAAAGTGATAAGGATATTTTTTAAGATGGCTTCTAGGCATAAAAAGGGAGTGGAAAGAAGGAAGCTTGCCACTATATTTAGCAATAAGGCTATTACGATGCACAGTAGACAGCAGAGCGTTCGGTGGACTGAGAGGCTTTATTCTATATCACGTCCTATGCAATATTTAAACACGCACCAACCCATTTTACCTAATGTTTGGTCAAGATTTCATCTCGGGCGAGAATAGTCATTGGGCTTGAACAACAAACTCGCAAGGTTCGCTGGTGGATGTCACAGCCTTGGCAAGTCCACAAGAAATCGCAACACCGTAACCCCCTGCCTTTTGAGCCTTGTGGCCTCAGTTTCATTGTTTACCAATGTCAACATTGCAACTCCACCATATGCGACAAAGAAAGCAACACGCATACTCCGCGCGACATCACTTATAAGGGCAGCAACGAATTTTTTGCCCAAAATGCCGCGAGTTTCTAACGCGCCGCGTTCGCGCGTCTTCTCCGGCTCCGCTTCCACACCCGCAAAGACGCCAATGCGGTTCGCCTTCCTAATGCACGCAGCTGGCAAAACAACTGCTAACAACTCATAAGGATTCCTCTCAACGATGACCGACAAGAGAAAGCAAACAGATTGCAGTCGCGCAAAGCACACGATGAGGCACAACTCAATCAGATCAAAGCAGCCGCAACACCGTTACGGAAACGAAAGTCACTTGGACCTGGCGCAAGTCCCCATACACCGGCTCAAAACGACGTTGATGGCATGCCTGAAGTAGGAGGTGCTGCAGTGACACCCATGAAACGTGTGCCTATCCTCGCCAACTTTGAGGAATGGATGAAGATGGCTACGGACAACAAGATCAACGCGACCAATTCGTGGAACTTTGCACTCATTGACTACTTCCATGACATGTCGTTATTGAAAGAAGGCGACGGTGTCAACTTCCAAAAGGCCAGCTGCACACTTGACGGCTGCGTGAAGATATACACGAACCGCGTGGACAGTGTGGCCACAGAAACCGGCAAGCTGTTAAGTGGACTGGCAGATAGTGGCAATAAAAAGAGTAAGGAGGATGGTGAAGAACACGGAGATGACGAGGATGAGGATGGTGAAGAGGAGGACGGCGAGGGCGGTGTCAAGAAGCGGAAGAAGAGAGTAAGTGGTGCAGAAGAAATCGAGCTGTTGCGATGGCTAAGCAAACGAATAGACGCAAAGAGTTGCAGAAGCGACACTTGCTACGTCCTTTTCTCAGCTGCAACTCAAGAAGATGGAACTCGAGTTCTCTGTAGATCCTTTGTTCAAGAAAGCATCAGCAGATTTCGACGAGGGGGGAGCGAAAGGCCTTCTGCTCAATCATTTGGGTATAGATGAAAACGGGCGAATAGTCTTTGACAGTAGCGACGATGCCCAAGAATCTTCTTCCGATAGAAGACCGGAAGACAACGTGTCGGAGGAGGAAGCGCACGCTCAGGACGAGGTTGCTGACATTGATATTGGCTCTCTAGCAGCGAAATTCTTCCCCGACCTTTCACGCCTAGACGAGCAAGAAATATGTCCCTCGCTGAGAGGCTTCGATCTCGGCGACGCCAATGGCTCGCTAGACCTGCCTTTCCTAAAGGCATCAGAGGACTGGAAACAAGATAAATCACAGGACTCACACTCTGCACCTGGTGACGACTCCGGTGTGTTCTTGGATGGCAACAACGCATTTGACGACGACGATGCGGGCCTTGGAGGCTTCGACATGGCCGAAGGCATTGGATTTGGCGAAGGCGGAGATGCATGGGCCAAGGAGGCAGCACTTGAGCCGCAGATGCGTGTGCACAACATCACTACGATGGAAGAGGAAAGCGATGAGAATCCTGGTGAAGTCGGGGGTTTTGACCCCGACAAGTCACAATACGCGGTCTCATTACGGCATCACCAGGATGATGAACAAGAAAACATTCTCAATTACTTCGACAAGGCGCTGTCGAAGAATTGGGCCGGCCCGGAACACTGGAAAATTAGAAGGGTGAAGGATGCGGCTAAAGCAGCAAATACGCCAGCAACGAAGCGGAAGGAGAAAGAGCCGTTCGAGATCGACTTCATGGCACCAATGTCTCAAGCGCTCGCGGATGCTCTTTACACGCCTGCGTCATCGAATTCGGTTATCACGTTGCCAAAGAAGGAATGGCATACCAAGACCAGGAATTTGCTGCCAGATGACAAGCATTTCAATTCACGGCAGCTGCTCAGATTGTTCCTGAAGCCGAAAGCGATGATGGGTTCTAGAAAGGCAGGATCTGGATCAAGTTCGAATCCGTCAAGAGCAGTCGGTCAAGTACCTGAAGGTGAGATCGACGAAAATTACTGGGCGAAGCAGCAAGACAATGCCGCCTCACAAGCCGACGACGAAGCCAGAGGCAATTACGACGCAGACTTCTTCCAGGACGACGGTCTACCATTTGCAGGTGCCATGGATGATGACGACGTGGATGAATTTGCAGATGCAAGAGATCACTTCTCGCCGCCGGCTGAAGGAGGCGAGCCTATGGATCTCGATGCAATAGCAAATGCACCGCCAGGATCCCAAGAAGGCGCGTTTGGACAGCAGCTTGTGACGCAGAGTCGACGGTTGCGACCGGAGTATGTCCAATATGCGCGCGTGGCCAAAAAGGTTGATGTACGGCGGCTGAAGGAGGAAATTTGGCGTGGCCTTGCATACGAAGAGGTAAGGGACCGGGTCTTCCTGATGTCGATTAAAGTTTCAAACTGACAGGTGACTACAGTCTGACAAGCCCGCTCCTGCGCCCGTTCCCAAGGCAGAGGATGGGTCCCTGAAATTTACCGACGTCATTAACAACCTCCAGAGTGTGTATCCGAAGCAAGCCATGGCGGATATATCGACGTCGTATTGTTTCATTTGTGTTCTACATCTAGCGAACGAGAAAGGCCTCGTGATCCAGAATGACGACCAGTGGACAGATCTGACCATTAGAAAGGATCCTACTGCGGAGATTGTGTCCATGGCGGATTGAGAAGCTGTTGTACGATATAATGTTATGCTGCACAGTCAGGACAATTGGGTTCAGGGTGTTTGGGGGATGTCCAGCCTCGCTCCTGGGAAAAGGACGTTGAGCACGTTTTGCATTAATGAATTCTCTCGAGGATCATCAATATCATGAACAAAGTCTGACGAATGAGTCATTGAATATTGAACACGTTTTTCGCTACACACTATACGCCCTATATAAGATCTGGAAGCCTCATCTATTCAGCGATCCGCGCCGGTCCGGTTGCAACATCTCACTTACATTCTCGATATATTGCTACACTAGTTCAAGTCCAGATTTCCGCTGCCTTTTGATTTGCTCTTGGTCGACGATGATCTGAGCCTTGCCTGACATCTTTCCGCTGTGGGCAAGCTCAGTAAGCTCAGGGAGCTTGTCCAGGCCGTCAAATCTATTCGTTGCAACGGTGATTTTATTCTTCGCCACAGCATCTAACATTTTCTCTGCCTCGGCCGGCGAACTAATCAGAGTTCCTACGATTCGAATGTCGCGGAAAACAAGCTCACGAAAGGGGATGATCACATTATCGGGCTGTGTTTTTCTTGGTCTTCAGCTAGGAAATTTATGTTGTTGTGTGATACGACGTACCTGGGCAACCTGAATCATCTTCCCATGCATTTTAGTCACAGCACAAGCCATCGCCGAAGCATTTTTGGCCTCTGTCAACGTTATTGTTACTTCGGCACCTTGGGTCTCTCCAGTGACTCTTTGGACCTCCTTTAACACCTCTTCATCGCCTCTCCTGGCGTCGATTACGACGTCGGCTCCAGATTTCTTGCTAAGCACAAGGCCTTCGTCTCTCGCATCAATCCCAATGACCTTCAAGCCTCGAGCCTTCGCAAATTGGATACAAAGATGTCCAAGCCCACCACCTGAGCCAACAATGGCGAGCCATTGACCCGCGTTTAGTTCCGATGCAAGTACAGCACGCCACACCGTGATACCTGCGCATGCCAATGGTGCTGCTGTTTCAAAGCTGACTTCGTCCGGTAACTTCACGCTGAATTCCTCATCAACCACCGCGTATTCTGCGAAATAGCCATCGCTTGTAACTCCTTTGAGCCCTCCGACGTTTACGCAGTACTGTCGATACTTCTCAGGTCCCTTGCAATCCACGCACTGGCCGCATGGTTGGTATGGGATCCCACACATCACGCGATCGCCTTCCTTAAACTTGGTAACTTCGGATCCCACTGCAACAACCGTTCCCGAGCCTTCGTGTGATCCAGTGATGGGAAGTTGAGACTTCATGATGCCCTTAGCCACCATGCTGTCTGTGTGACAAAATGAAGCAACGGCAATTTTGACCAGGACGTCCTTAGGTCCTAAATTTTTGGGAGTAGGAACTTGGTGAACTTTATAAGGTTGATTGAACTGCACATGATTACAACCAGTGTTGCGAGATATCTGGGTCCTTTGCCTACCTCAATCACTTGAGCTGCAAGCATTTGTTCTGGAATATCTTTCGTCATGTTTTCCACCAATGTCAGAAACGATCTTTGAGGCTCAAATCAAATAAACTCAATTGTGAGGATATTTGCTTAATCCAAGTGGTCAGCTTTACAGTCGTCTCTTCATCCTAGTTCTAACAATCATTTTTGTCAAAACGATGCTGTCAGGCGAGAGCCAAAAGAAGCATCGTACTGTGGGCCATGTCATCATAGCTAAGCTCCTACAACCTCGAATTGGTCCATCCTTGCAGCTCGTCCCAACGGAGTGGCAGAAAACAAATTTGAGCTATCATGGTGAAATGCACGAATAGACGGCTTTAAGAGTCAAAGCGGAGATTTGGAGCTTTGATTTGCCCACATCAAAAGGCGTCTACCTGCAGCGGGTAGCTTTTCGTGAGCACTGATTTGCACCTTTTGGTATGACAAAGAAACTGAGGATTGATTGGAGGACAACGGTGCTTGGAATCAAGTGCTTGTTTCTCCAAAGAAAAACTTGTCCAAGTCCTTGTGTTCGAAGCTTGATGATGGCGAAGACATATTGTCTATCTCGCCCAGATGGGACGGACACCTTTTGTGGTGGCACATGAACTCTAATCTTGGGATAGATCTTATCGTTTGTAAATTCGTTTCCACGATATCTTTTATAAATTTCTTCTACAGAGTCCACGGAATACCTAATCTAGTTTTGTTTGCTGAGAAGCATTAACTCACACGGCTGCAAGCGCAGTAAGCAATGTGAAAATCAAGCCAATGGATTACTGAATGTTATAATTATATTACCACATAACCCTGATCTGAGCGCTATATTGATATTTCTAGCCGTTGCTTCGTTAAAAAACAGCTTAGTACGTCATCATTCAGAGTGTATACCGGAAGTTACGTGCGGTCAAATCATGTGCCTGCTAAGGCAGAACCAGTCATTCCACTTCTGAGGTCGCTGCTTGGTCTATCATGCTCTAAGCAGTTGTCCACTCGCGGTACCGTGCTCGTTACATCGACTCTACTGGCGACTAGTATGAAGCGTCAAATTGCCACAAAGTAGGGCAACCAGTGCGGGCAGGTCATCGCCACGTTTAGGATATGTTCTCGAAGTGTGTGTCTATTGCAGAGGGGCCATTGTTAGCACGGATATTAAAATGCTTTCTTCGGGCGAAGTTTTCGAGTTAGCCATGTACCGCCTCACATTGCCACCGTGTAAGGTGTTTGTTAGAATGCATTGAGACCTTAAAGCAGCCCAAGCGCATAATCACATTTGTATAATCCGGATTGATCAGTGCAATTAGCTGCTTGTATAGCATGTCCAGTCTGCCAGCAGAATTCTTGCCCCCACCACAGCGGGTGTGTCCCGTCATTCCAGTATAGATGGTAGAATTACGGTAGCATGACAGTGGCGGGTCTCTGCGCGAAAAGAGGTGGCCTATTTCGGCAATCACCACCGCTTCCGCAGCATTACCAGTAATCGACAACGGCTTGTTCTCTTGACACTCTGTTCTGCCACAGCCATCTTTTTCCAGCCTTATTCAGCGCTGGGTGTCTAGATTTAAATCTCGTCGTTGACCGGAAACTCCAGACATCTTGGGAGCGGTTTTGATTGCCGCCACGGTGCGACATGTCATCCGATCAGACTATCAACCTGCCGCAGCTCCTCGTTCTTACAGTAATCGGCTTTCTAGCGATACGATGGCTATTCTCTACTCGGACACCAAATGCAGCGGCACAGGGTCGTAATGCCTCAAGTGCGAATAGGGTAAATCCAGCGCACGTAGAGCAGATACTACAAATGTTCCCACAGTTGGACAGACGAACGGTGATGTGGGAGCTGCAGCGGAATGGAGGAAGTGTAGCCATGGTGACTGAGAAGATCCTCACTGGCAGGGCGCTTGAAATAGTATGTTCAGGACATGCATTGCAAGCCATTCAACGTTGCTGACAGACCTGTGCAGCCACCGCCGTCGTTCCAGCCGCCTATGCCGGCAACACCACCTTCCGCAGCGGCAAGGCCAGCACCGAGCCAGCCGAAGTCTACACATCCAGATCTAATCACGAAATATAATTTGGCCTCGCGGTTAAACGAGTCGCCGAACACCTCAGAGAACAAAGGAAAGCAGGTTGCTTGGTCTAGCAACAAAGAGGAGCGCCAATCACTGTTACAGAAGAGACGTGAGGAGATGATCCTAGCCGCCCGGAGAAAGCTGGAAGAGCGAGACAGAGCTGCGGCTGCGGCTGCAGCTGCTTCTGCTGGCAAGTCATAATGATTGTTCATTATCGAAACCCACCTTGCTTATTAGTTACGTTTTTGAGACATTGAAAGCAGTGCTGTCTGGTCTATAGCTCAACATTATGCAAAAATGCCATATGTATTGACTAAATCACCGTCCCACCCAAGAAAGGACTAACATTACAGACGTCTTATCAAGAAAAGCTTCTAGATCTAAATTCTACCACAATTCTGGAACCTACGACGTCTTTTTGACTTTGCCAGGCCGCTCATTGGCAATGGCCGTTCCATTTACAATTCCATACAGCCATTTAAGCAGAATAGTAGCCAATGCCATGACCACGGCGCTGCCAGAGAAGAGAGCTATTCTGCCTTTGTGTCCCACCTCATCGAAGATTGGATACGGATAGAACTTGTTCTGTTCGTAGCACTTCTCCACCCACAGCCAATATAAACCCGCGATTGTACTACTTAGTGCCATCGCTGGTGCCGCTGCTATTGTCCACGGCGGACTGAAGAACAACAGGTCCACGACCATTAAGATAGCAGGGGCGGCGTGAAAGCCCATATCGGCTGACAGGGGCAGCTTGGGAGCCCACTCTGGAACGACGAGTTTGGGATCGATTGCGCGCAAACCCCAGTACAGGATAGAGATGAGGACTTCCATTGGCGCGGAACAGACGGAGAGCGAGTTCTTGAGAAGAAAGAGTGTGCGAGAAAGTGTTATGTCTGCGAGAAAGCCTGCCGCGAAGGATGCGGTCGATATGGTCAGGCCAATGATGGTGAGGAATTGGAAGTGCCAGCCATAGCTGTCGTTGATGGGGTTCTTCGTGACCGTCAGACTGGTCACAGCACGTCAGCCGAATGATGTCCAATTTTTTTCACAGGCAAAGCGACGGCTCATACTAGTAAAAACTGTTTGCAAAGCTGATCAAGCCAAGGACATGGAGTAGAGCCGACAGTCCGCGCGATGGACTGCTCAGCCGTTGCAGCGGATGTCGCTGGAAAAGCGCATTTGCAGTGCTGTCGACCATGACGGAAGAGACTGTGCAGTGAGGAAAGGAGTCACGCGCAACTCTCGCAAAAAAAAAGATGCCAATCGAAAAGAGGACAAAGGTACAAGAAGTGATCGTGTGCTTTAAGAAACCCAACGCGTCGAGATCAGGACGAGGACAGCAGGTCATCATCCCACTCGACGATGACGTGCAGGGATGATTGGCTGGCAACGGCTCGGAGACCTCGGCCGTAGCCTCTTCTGGAGCTCGCTCAGCCTTGTCTGGGGCCAAACACCAAATGACGCCCACGGCCAGACTGGCGACATCTTAATCTTGCTTGTAAACATCTACGAGACTCGGCTCATTGGATTCTGCACGGTTATCTCGTCGCTGTTGAGCTTCAGACAAGTGCAGAGAGTGAGCGTTCAGGGCCGACACCGGTTTGCCGTCACAGCTCCTGCACAATGGCAAATGTACTGAATGTCTTGAATGGACTCCGGCATAGCGATACTCATAGTTTGCATTTCTAGCGTCTCACTCGACAGCCACCAGGGTTGGATCTGTTAAATGTCGTTTCTGTCCTACGTTTCATCAAGTGGACATCAGGTATACAATGCTTACACGGAGTCTTATCACTGTGCATACTTGTTCTTTTCAGACAGAAGAGAATGGTCTGCTTAAATGTACGCAGTTCCTTGGTTTCTGCCATGGGGGTATTGGATAAGGGCGAATATCGAAGCGCGCTTCTGCACGATCTTGATGCCTAGGGCCTTGATGCCAGAGACTGTGGTTAAATCGTGAGGTTGCTGCTAATTTTTGGTATATTGTATGCTTTGAATATGATATTCCTTGAATGTGTTTCTTCAGTATTCATTAGTCATCTCCTTCGTGCAAAAGCTGCCATATTAGAAAGTGTACACTTGTGCTCCCTCAGGGTGTAATATGTGCTTGGCGCAATCAATGTTAATTTTTGTCATGCCTACATGGCCCACGACATCGTATCTTTGAATATATTTACCTAGAGTCACCATATCTCGTACTTATTTATACTTTGCCGGTCTCGATACTCTCATCAAGCAGCCCTTAACACGTCGTTCATCAAGTCTAACCGCCTCCTGATGACCAACTTGGACTTCCAGGCACTATAATACTTATGTTCGATGACGTAACGAAGAAGCGCTGTACATACTGTTGTCAACATTTACAGGTGTTGAAATTCCGCACTCCATCTGCTGGTACTGTAAGGCCATCGCTCAATTCGACCAATGACAGATGACGTCCACGCTCCTGGCTGGCTGAAGTTAAAGATGTACGGCAGTATATGAAGAACAAAGGCAAAATATAGGTAAAGAAGTTTCCACACTACCTACTAATTTCGTAGGGTTAGGTAAGCTTGGATCTTCTCGTAGTTGTTCGGTTCGATCCATTTTGCTCGCGTCATCCATGGCCGAGCTAATTCCGTACATGAGGGGAAACACTGTCATAAATGCGGATCTACATTCCCCATGGCAAAAGAGCCCATTAAAAGGACCCAGGTCAGAATGACCCTATCTTGAGGCTGTCGAGCGTCGAGCACAAAGTTCTCGGTCTGAATTGACATATTTTCATCGTCATCTTGCAGTCTGCCGTCATGGCTGAAGAGCGATACGACGCTGTAATCGTTGGTGCCGGCTTTGCGGGCATATACATGCTACACAAACTACGCGACGAGTTGAACCTGAAGTGTTTAGTGATTGATATCGCTGGCGATGTTGGGGGAACTTGGTACTGGAATCTGTACTTGAGGCACAATATCACCTTTAGGAGCCGAACTATTAACAGTTGGAATAGGTATCCTGGGGCGATGTCCGATACTGGTTAGTTCATCAGATGCCACTGGATTATGGTTCAGGTTGGCAAGATTTCTTTTTTTTCGTAATTTTGGCTTATTATAGTAGAGAGCTTCGCCTATCGATATTCATGGGATAAGGAAGACTTGAAAACGTACCCTTGGCGGGATCATTATGTGAAACAGCCTGAAGTGCTAGCTTATCTTCAACATATTACCAAGAAATACGACTTGAGGAAGGATATGCGTTTCAAAACCGAGCTGAAGCAAGCGGCCTGGGTCGAAAGCGAGAAGCAATGGCACCTTGATGTTTCTAGTGGCCAACAGCTCGTCTCACGATACTTGATCCTCGGGCTCGGAATTCTATCCAAGGCAAATATCCCAAATATACATGGGGCCGATACTTTCAAAGGTGAGATGTATCACACGGCTCATTGGCCGAAAAAATTATCCCTGGACGGGAAAAAAGTTGGCATTATTGGCAGTGGCTCTACAGGTGTCCAAGTTATCACTGAAATTGGCAAGAAGGTTGAATCGCTCACTTGCTTTCAACGGCATCCACAGTATAGTGTCCCTTCCGGGGACAAGGAAGTAGATGCACAATATCGCCAGTGGATTAACGACCATTACGACGACATATTCAGACTAGTTCGGAACTCGATAACGGGTTTCGGTTTCGAGGAGAGCAAGACTTCGTATCACGACGTGTCGCCAGAAGAGCGCGAGCGAATCTTCCAGGAATATTGGGACAAAGGTGTGTGTGTCTTGTACATTTCAGTTCATGGCGTTGCGCCAAGTATGATTTTAATAGCATTTAGGCAATGGGTTTCGCTTTATGTTCGGCACGTTCAGCGACATTACGACGGACCGTGACGCTAACGAAGCAGCTTGCGACTTCATTCGGAAGAAAATCGACGCAATTGTCAAAGACCCAGAGAAGGCACGAAAGCTTAAACCGTACGATGTCTATGCTCGTCGTCCTCTGTGCGATGGGCAAGCTCGCGGTGAAGGTTATTACGAACAATTCAACCGTGACAATGTTGACATTGTGCATCTTGGGGAGACGCCTATTCAAAGAATTGAACCACAAGGCATTCGCACGTCTGACGGCAAACTTCATGAGCTTGACATGTTGATCTGGGCAACCGGGTTCGATGCAGTCGAGGGAAATTACGTGCGGCTCGCCATACAAGGCCGCAAAGGAAAAGTACTACGTGACCATTGGTCTGATGGCCCAACCAGCTATCTTGGAGTTGCCATTCCCGGTTTCCCAAACATGTTTATGATTAACGGCCCAAAGGCGGCTTTTACCAACCAGCCCCCAATGATTGAAGTCCAAGTTGAATTTGTAGCTGATGTTATCGCTGCTGCGCAACGACAAAAGAGCACCAGTGTCACGATTACTGCTACAGAAGAGGCAGAACGTGGATGGACGAAGCTATGCGATGAATTGGCAGCAAATTCGTTGTTCTGGAAAGGTTCGTTTCACTCGTGGTTTAGCCTTGGAAAGACAAAGGAACTAATTAGGCGTGCTGCAGCGGAGGACAACTGGATATTTGGGGCGAACATACCGGGAAAAGTAAGTTTAGCGAATCCTGTTACTCTGAGTTATGGAGGAAGACGCTGATATGCGCGCAAATTACAGAAATGTTGCCTCCGTTTCTACTTCGGCGGTCTGCAGAAATACATTGGGGAGCTCCAACATTGTATTGATGAGGGATTCAAAGGGTTTGAAATAGTCGCTGGGTGAACGTACACATCGCAATCCCAATGCTGCAGACTCAGTCATTGAATGACTTTATTCGCTACCTCGTTTCGTAGTACAGTCCATAAACGGTGACATGTTGCCAGATTCGGCTAGATGGCAACCATCATTTGCACTACTACTAGGAGGACAATGTAATTATTGTCAGTACATCCAACGAACAGTCTGAATATTTCATGCTCCGTATATGGAAACCCATTTGACCCCTGGTCTCTACGTGGATATTCAATTGATCCTTCACAAGTATTGTGTCTCGCGGGTTACATGTTGAGCCTAGAAGTCTCAGCAATGTATGACAACCTCACGCAAAGCTCTTATATCGCTCCAAGATTCGAGAGATTGCTCTGAAAACACTTGATTACATTATATCACGGCCTTGTCACATCAACTAGAAACACAATTGGCAAACCACACGTAAGAAGTGTAGACCTTTGGAACGGGCGGAATGGTTCTTTTAATTTTATTCCATTTTTGGTCAAAAAGGAAATAATAGGTCAAAACTACTGATTCAGCTTCAAGAAGACTAATTTTGAGTTAAAGGTATGTGCCAAGCTCGCAAGGCTAACTGCTCGTTGCGCCATTCTCATGCTCAAGAAATATCAGAATCCATCGATGATTCATGATAAGCATTCCATGTTTTCCAGCCTTCTGCATTGTCTGCTGTTCCCTTGCCGTATAGTATGGGCGACGTCAACCGTCCAGTGTACCGCTTCCGTTCTCAACCAGGACATTTTGCATTCCTCGACAATCAAGCTTGGCTTGCCGCTTGAAGAAAAACGTGCATTTTATGGACTAATTCGCCCTCATGGGACTCTTTGAAACACGTTCTGTGTCAAACCATGTATGAGGAAGATAAAGAGAGTGTTGCATAGCCCTCGCACCGGATAGGTATAGGTTTGTACCTACATTGAGGAATATTCTACGACGTCAAGGTGTCTAGAAGTCACGAATAATTCCACGTCTCATCGCGCCACGACCTGTCCCCGTTTTAGAATCTGTTAATGATGATCTTGCATTCCGAATTGAAATAGCCGTTCTAGTTTAGTCTCCATACTTTTGCCCATCGCCGTTCTCCAAGCGCAAATTGTCGTAGCTCATTGATATTCTATACTGATCCTGAAAAGCGTCGAGAATCGATTCAACATCGGACATTCAGCTTCCATCCCTTCTTGGAGACGCGCGATCCAGCGACCATCGCAGTTCCTATCATTGTGCTAGTCGCAGCCCAAATAATGGGCCCGCGATAGCTCCTATGATCAGCCTGCAAGATTGCGCCACCAATGGGCCCTCCTACTAGCGCGGCGAATGAAATCGTGCTAAATGCCATCCCAAGCCTCGTCCCTGCTTTGCTCAGGTCTGTACTTAGACTTCCGACGCAAGTTGGGAACAGGCTCTGAAATCCGGCGGCGAAAATGCCATACACGACCGTGAAAGCGTAGAAACCCCCAACATTCCTGACGCCGAGCCATGCCCAGAGCAAGACGAAGTTCACCGTTATGATGGGAATGAATACGTTCAGAGGACCGGCAAAGCGATCAGCAATGAATCCAGGCAGAATTCTAGCTGGAATTCCAATGCCGTTTAGGATGATGACCAAGTTGAGAGACTGTGTGTACGGTAGTCCAACGACGTCTCGTGCGAAGGACGCGATCTAGAGCTTCTATGTCAGTGTTCCTGCCAGCGATGGAGTGCACGTCCTGCTCACATAGAAGAATGAAAAGTATATGGGTGCCATCAGAAAGCAACAGCCTACGACAAACAGCACGTACGGTACGTCCTTAACGGCGGTCCACTCCACAATTGGACCCGATTTTCGAGGTGGTAGCCTAGGTTTCATAAACACTACACAGAAAGCGAGTGTGACGAAATTCAGGAGGCCGAGCACTCGCACAGTCCAGCCGAAACCGATCTTGGGTAGCAATTGGCGAACGATCACGGGATAAATCATTCCACCAGCAGAATTTCCCGTCGTGGCAATGCCTAGAGCCATGCCGCGCTTCTTGAGAAAGTAAGTCGACATAAGGCCCATAGCTGGGCAGAAAAAGAGCCCGCCTCCAATTCCGGTGAGGATTCCCTGGGTGATCAACAGCTGCCAGTAATGCTTCGAAACACTCATGGTAAAGATGCCAAACAGTTGGATAAGAATGCCAATAAAGACTGTGGGACGGAACAATCCGGCATCAAGAGCCCTACCTGAAAAAGCACCAACGAGGAAGATCAAGCATGCTTGTGTGCTACCGATCCACGAGATCGTGGATGGGGATTCTGGCAACGTCTCAGCAAAGTACGTCTGGAAGGCACCGAAGCTCAGGGCAAAGCCCCACGTGTTGCATATAGCCAACCAGCCACAGAAGCACTGTAACCACGCTCGAAAACCTCCATCTGGCGGGGGACCAGGGTCTTTGATGGAGTGCGTTGTGAGTCGAGATGCAACTTTAGTCATCACATTGGAACGCCTTGACTTTGTCCTAGCGAGCGAGACTTGTCTTGACAGTGGTGCATTGTCGGCTGCGCTTGACATCTCAGAGATGTGATCTGGAAAGTCTACATTGTCTGGACGTGCAACTTCGTACTTCTCAAAGTCCCCTCTATCGTGGACATCATTTGCAGAGTCACCTAGCTCTTCACCGGCACGTATCTCCCTCTTATCAGACATGATGGATAGAACCATGAACAGTTCGACGTATATAGTTTGACCAAGAATACCAAAGGCGGAAAAAGAAGGTCTAGAATGTATCAAAGGAAACAGGACGTTCGTACAATGCACAGCTGAAAAATCGCGAAAACAGTCATGGTCTGCAGCGCTCTCCAAGGTCTCCACAACTCTATGGACCGGTTCATCGGCACGCATTGAATCCGCCTGCCTATATGACTGGCTGGAGGGGGATAGTGGATATGCGGCACTAGCTGATTAGGGGAAGCTTGGTGGTGGTAGGGCGACTCTTCTTTTCTCTGTTATTCCCGAGACTCGTGTCGAGGCTCGTCGACTTCAGTCAGCCCACCGAGCTTCTGGCCCAGATGGCATCTGTCTCGTTGCTTACACAGCCTTTGTCCTACCTTTAGCCTTAATTAAATGCGCTCAGATCAACTGTCGATTCCCAAGTGGGTGGTACACTGCGTGCAGCTCGTGGAGGCGTGTCCTAATATGGGGTGCCGAGACGGCAGCAGTAGGCCGACAGCATCGGCAAGTTGTCTCCGATATCGAGACGGAGAAACGTCTCGAGGCCGAACATTGGGCGTCAAGGCTTGTCTAAGTGCTGAGGTGCTCTGCACTTTTGAAGAGCTTTACATTGGGATCTTGTGCGTTCATGTGAGCTTGTTCCATGATTAAAGGCTCAAGCCACGTGTCTTGCGAGCAAAGACCGGTAGATCCTCAACCTGACTCTCAACATTACGAGCTAACTTGTGGAATGAAGCAAAGTAATCAGTCGCCATGAGCGAAAGGAGCTTCGTGCAATATGCTGTATAGTGATGACTCATCCACTGGCTCTCTTCGTTGTACTGTGCCTGAGTGAGCGTTCGACTTTGCAGTCTGAACGCGATCCCACACTGAGGGAATCATTCTTAGTCGAGTATTCTACACAAGATTTTCAATCTTTTTCGACATTTCCTGCTCTCCACGTCCAATGAGCTGCCGAGATACCTGTAATGAACGCTCTATTTGGTCTCTAGGTCCAGTGGATGGCGGGCTTTGTTGCCCACGTCGAGGTAGCATTGACAAAAACGTCCTGCTCAGAAAGACGCATCAAATCAAAGTCGCGCTATAGGGCGTCGCTCACCACGATCCAGCAACAGGAAATAGAGTCGAAGTCAGAGGACGCAGCCGCTGCTCAACAGACGCCGAACCATCCCCGCGTCTAAGAAAAAGTTCACGCGGGCCGCAGAGCCTCAGAGCCCGCCAGGCGTTTGCGCTCGGGCCCTTCGCTATGTTCTGTGCTCGCCTGCAGCTTGTTTACATTGCCACGACCGCATGGCAACGATGCTTTCGAAACCTTAAACACTGAACTTGTGACGACCATTTCGCATTGACGTGCCTTTGACACCGAACACGATCCGTCCGCAAAGCTTCCCGACAATCTTTCCGGCGAAGGCTGGTTGTCGCCTCGCTTGACCGTTGAACCAGCCACTGCCTGCCTCCTCAATATTGCGCTCCTAGTATAGTACCAGACAGATACTTTCGCTCTTCTCATACTACAAACCCTTCGAAAACATTTGCGCTGACAAAATTTGAACCCTCCTTCCTCCATCTCGACGTTCGTTTTCGCAGAAACACATCGAGAGGTTGACAGAGAGTGGTACAGATACCTGCGGACGCGGAAAACCCCACCTTTGACCTGTCGCATTCCGGACAACCGACACAAGCAACGACAACCCACAACTAGCGGGTGCCGGCCGGCTGGCATTCTCATCTCCGTCAAAAGGGCATCGGGCCCAACATGAGGTTTCTCGAAACGTCACCCGCAATCACGTCCTTCGTCGCATTGCTTCTGACCAGTGCGTACCCTACGGCGGCGGGACCATTCTCACGGGTCAACGAAGTCGTCCGGCAAGAAGTCGAGAGCCTCTCATACGACGATGCTCTCTCTCTCCAGAACTCGACACTCGAGCTGAAGAGAAGGCAGAATGCAGCAACATGTAGCTCGAGTCAGTTCAACTGTGGCTACTATGGCCAGGTGTGCTGTGAAAGCGGGACCGAGGTCTGCGGGACAAACTCAGCAGGAGAAGCTGTTTGCGTCGCAGCGAGCAGCGGGTCACAGACTACCGCCGTGGCTGGCAGTGGAGGCCAATGGCAGGTATATACTTCGATATGGACAACGACGGGAGCTATCACCATGACCTCAATCTACAGCTCGTATATTCCAGCAGTGACAAGCTCTTCCTCTGGAAATTGCGTTCCCAACTGGGCCAACGACGAATCCGCGTGCGGAAAGATCTGCTGCTCAAGTGGGCAATATTGCTTTGACGAAACTAATGGGATTTGCAAGCCTGCCGGTAACGGTGGATATACCACGACCGGTGTCACCAACTCTCCTCCGACCCGAGCAACCACAAGCAACGGTGTCATCATCACCTTGACCATGACACCGACAACGACGGTTCCCTTTAGCACGCCCATTGCGACTGGACAAAACGCAACGATCGTCTCAAGCTCAGCCAGCAACGGAGGTTTGTCGGGAGGTGCAATTGCCGGTATCGTCATTGGCGTGCTTGCTGGCGTTGCCCTTTTGATCCTCCTTTGTCTCTGCTGCTGTCTTAAAGCTGGCTTTGACGGCATCCTTGCGCTTTTCGGTCTTGGAAAGAAGAAGGATCGCCGCAGGCGCGTTGTCGAGGAAGAATACGTCGACGTGCATAGACGGTACGGTAGCCAGGCAGGCTCTGGTAGACGTTGGTACGGCAGTGCGGCAAGTGGAAGACCAAGCAGACCACCTCCACCGAAGAAAAGCGGCATTGCCAATCTGGCTACCATTGGTCTCAGCTTAGGCGGACTAGCAGCTGCTCTAGGTCTAAGGAGAGAATTACGCAGAAGACAAGAAGAGAAGAGCGACATATCGAGCAGTTACTACGACAGCTACTACTATTCGTCGAGCAGTATGTGATCCCACGTTACCATTATTCCACAAGCACAGTGTTGACAATAAATACACAGGCGTTTCAGGCTCGCGGCGAGCAGGCTCGAGAAGGTAACACTCCATACCTTGCCAGGCTCGACACGTTTTCTTTCTTTCTCACTCATGGCATTGCATTGAATATTCGGCGTTTCGTGCGTCATTCAGACTTTCTCCTGGTCTAGTGGACATTGTACATAAAGGAGGCAGGGGACAAGTGTAATTAAAAAAATTCGACGGCCGGTGCCCTCATATCACGGCACTGGACGTGCGAAACGCATGGAGATGTGATTATGCGATATGTATAAGTTGGGACGAATAAACTCTACTACCGTTATGACATATGGCAGATTGATGGAAAACTTCATCTTTGGAATGAAATGTATGTAGCTACCATGAATACTACTGGAAAAAATTCCAATTCGTTTGCAATAAACCTCAATTTGCACTGTGCTATTGCAGTTTCAGCATTTGCTTTTCGGTTTTCGACATCAGCATATTTCGATGCGCGAAATAGCCGATGCTGCTCTCGTTCCCTTCCTAAGTCGTCTCTACTTCCCTTCGAAAGGAGACTCAATTCTGTTTTCAAAAATCTTCCTTACTTAATCACATATTCTTGACATTAATATATCGACGTCTAATGCATGATCTTTTGCAGATGCACGTGACTCTGGAAGGGCAAGGGCTATCTTGTGCCTAATTGCCTCAGGCATGAAACCTCGAGCTCCACTATTCCGAGCGTCGGCGGTGTATCAGAAACAACCTCAAGACAAGTCAACGCCGACCACCAGAGCAACGCTAAGGATCCCTCTCCACTCACTGAAGTCGTCTAGGGCAGAGATTGCATCACAAGCATCATCATCGCCAGACGACGCGCCGAATTGACGTTCGTGCACGATGCCACTCATCCGCCCCTCGCAGGCGCGGGCCCTCCGCTGCATACGCAAACCAATTCAGCGAAGCAATTTAAGCATGACAGCGCGGCGAGCAGGAGGTGACTCGCACGGTAGCCACTACGATCCGCCATCTGGGTGGCTGTGGGGAATTCCCCCGGGACAGAAGTACGAAAAGGAGGGCTGGGAGAACATCTTCTATTACATGTTCTGCGGCGGATGCGTTGCCGCGGCGGTGGGTTATGCTTTCAAGCCTGACACCAGGTATGTTCAACCGTTTCGACCCGGAAGGCAGCTGCGAGCTAGGTGGCGATGCTGATTTGAATGAAAATAGCATTCAGACCTGGGCGCTCGAGGAGGCCCGGAGAAGGTTGGAGGCAGAGGGTATTTTGGAAGACCCGGAGAGCAAGTAGAAATGTGCCTATTTGGGGAGGCGAGTGACATGTTTAAATCATGGGTCAGACTTTCACGCTAACAGGAGCAGAAGTATGGGTGGACAAACTCGTCTCTGGGATTACCTTTATTCGCCACCAATGCGCACAGTGTACATAACTTGTTTGTCGTGCGCCCGTCGTTGGTCTACAGAAGCAAGAAGACATAGAGCATAAGTATGCTATGGTCGAGATTATGACTGTCTTTGTGTCCATTGCCGTTCATCCGTTCCTTGTCCTTCACGATCACAGGCCTTGATCTCATGAACTTTGATACAACATGTTTGATCTTTATAAGTTCGTTCTCGCCTTTTTTTTCTTCAATCTACGGGTTGAACCGTGTGCTGCCGGTCCTACAAAGGTGTCAATATCCTTTTTGGTTTTCAAACCTGAGCAGGAAACGCGACGGAATTCTTGACCGAACCCGACTGTCACTAGTTTGACAAAAGCGATCAAGACTTCGAAATATGACAATTGAGTTCTGCTATGCGTCAGAGAAGGATGATGAATATAAACGCTTTTTTTGACTTAGAGGCACCACATTTTCCTTTCACTTGCTGTTAAAAGCGTGGAGAGGAGTTTGTATTAACTCAAGTGCCTAAGGCAATTCCAAGTACCCCATTGACTGTTTAGGGATTTGAGTGTACAATGTCCATGTTATTTCGTTCGCCAAGTGCACAGTTACTTTTCAAGGATATAATGCACATCATTTTCGTATTTCAATGCCAACATTCTTCATTACCTTTAGTCGTACCAGATAAGACGGTTGCGAATCTCACGAAAAATCCGCCGTTGCCGCGATGTGTGAAACTTTGGATTTTAAACACTCATGCGGACATTGGCATGATCCACCAAAGATGCTCGCCACATTAATGATGTGCGGAAGAGACTGCAAAGAACCGACGCCAACAAAGCCAGCCAACAAGGAACACAAGTTCGAATGTTCGAAGTGTACTGCTAGGAACATCAAGCAGAGGAAAAAGAGCAACGGTTGCGTCTCCATGTGAGACGCGTTGAAGGATGCTAGAGAAGTGATGCATGGAAAGGTGTAGTTTATCAATTTCGTTCTGTGGACTCTAGAAACGTCTGACTGATTTTATTAAGCCTCACCTGCGTGCGTAATATGGAGTGATCGATCACGAGCATTTGTGGGATTTCCCTCAGGTCTGGTTTCCTGCGCAAAATCAACATGCGAGGTGTAGTCAAACATATTCCGAACGTGAAACTGGTCAAGGAATTCATATCTGTGGGCTTGTAGCATTGCTTGAAACACCTACATTTCTCTCTAAGATAGCCGTAGTGTTAACTATGAGTTAAGCAAAAAAATGGTAGGCGGCACTGACAGGCATATGTTGGATGATGTTGTGAGCAATACTCTTAGCAAGGCTGAAAATGCAGGTTGACTAGCGCAAGATTCGAACTTGACACATGCCCTATATATTAGAGAATGATACAAATCTCTGCCACGTTCGGAGCGGGTGGTGTACACCTCAGTTGGCAATCTGATCAGCAAAGCTAGCCGGTGCTAAGCGTAAGCGTCCAACTTGAGCAGTCACCATGTCGATACGGGATCAAGGCCGCCTCTCGCGCATGGCTCAAAACGCATGTTCGAATCGAATCGAGTTCAGAGACCGCCTGATCAGAAGTTGGGGGACAACTTTTTTGCCGTCACGGACCGCTTCATACATCATTCTCGATGGCTCTGAGCTTCCCCTCCCCCTTCTTTTTTTAATCTTTTCTTTGCAATATCGAATAGAACGGCTTCATGCTTCTCAGACTGTGCACAGCGGTTTCTGACGGCATGAACACTCAAGGCCTGCCGGGTAGATTCTTTTCAGCTTTCCATACTTCCGCGCCCCAGGCATTCCAAAGCAAAGGCAAGACAAGCGTTCACGAGACTTTTTCTTTTACTTCTGTGTACAAACGGCAAACTTGCAGATTTTTATGTTCATAAGCATGAGGTGCAGGGCTGAATACTCAACTTGACAGTGTACTCCCTGTCTTGAGCCCGGAGGCTCTTGTCAGGACACACAGTTTGCGCAAGGCGGCGCACATTGCACCAGCTCATACAATTTACTATGACGGAAACTTCTTCTTTTTTTTCTTATTTTCTCGACTAATTTGCTGTATGAAAGCCTCCCCGCGATCGTAGTGAAAGGATGTATGTCTTCACTGGCAAGACTTAAGATAACTGTAACTCTTCATAAAGACGTTTCCGTTCAATCGAAAAAAAAAAAGCCTGTGCTTTGATGTTCATAAGTTGATTTCTAGCATATGACAAAACTCCCCGCATAAAAGTGGCAGTATCTACCTTCTTTTGATTATTTACAGATACACTCTATAGACTGTTTCATCCTGAGATTTGTCATCTATTTCCAGAGATTTTCTCCTTCATTTCTTCCTTGATTCTCGAGATGGTGCCTACACCACCGTACACAACAGCAGTGTAGCACATGGCCACACTTGCTCCTGCATTCAGAACCTCAAGAGCTTGCTCGCCATTCGTGATGCCGCCAGAGGCGAAGATGACTTTCGGGGGTGAACTGAGTGCTTTACTCCTTCCAGTCAGAGTTGATCGATCCGACTGGGGTTGCAAAAGTCCTGCGTCAGGCTCTGATGGACTCATTGCTGGATCAAAGACTGATGGAGCATCAGTTTGGCTAGGAGTCATGACTGGAGCACCTTTCGGCAGTGATGAAGGATCCTCACTAGGACCGTCGTCGAGGGCTTTTCTGTACTTTGCTACCAGCTGCTTTGTCTTATCAAATAGTTGCGGGCCGCTGTAGCCTCCTGTCTCGAGGAGTGCCTGCGCATCCTTTGGCGGAAGGAGATATCCAGATGGTATCGGATCAGGACGTTTCAATGTGGTGTTTCCTACGATCACGCCCGCTACCCCTGACTCCCAGACTGCGTCGCATATGCTACGTATTTGCGAATCGGAGTCCTCGTCGGGAGAGACCTTGACCATGACCATAGGTTTGGTTTTACGGTCTATCGAATTCGCAGACTCCACAACCGCGGAGAGGATCCTGGTAAGAGGTTCCTTGGATTGCAGCGATCGAAGACCGGGAGTGTTCGGACTCGACACGTTCACGGTAATGATATCTGCATACTTCGCCAACTTCTCAACGCAGGCCACATGATCCTGAACTACAGCGTCGAGGTCATTATCAGGAGTCAGCTTATTTTTAGCGATCTGAACAGCGAGCAACCGCCCAGGAATCAATGATCCGGGAGGTACCCCTGCCCCACCATTTAGCACGATTTCCTCCGCAATTTCGTCTATTCCGAAGCCGTGTTGATAGGCAAACTCCCTCACGCGCTGCCTCAACCTAATGGCCACCACATCCGCTCCCTCGGAGTTTAGACCATACCGATTGACTATTGCGTCTTGGCTGGCAACTCTGAACACTCGCGGTCTCGGATTCCCAGGTTGAGGTAACGGAGTCACGCCGCCGATCTCTACAACGCCCGAGCCAATTGCGAACAACGCATCGGGAATCTCTGCACCTTTGTCAAGGCCACCACTGATACCTACGGGACTGGAAAGTATCTCCCCGAAAACTTCAACAGCCAGCTTGTTGGAGTTCGACTCGGAGTTGGAGCCTCGTTCACGTGGATGCAGACCCAAGGTATAAAGTTCCTTTAGCGCTGCGGTGCCAAAATGGTGGGCATCTTCAGCATCTGGGAAGAGCTTTCGAATCAGTGGCGGGACGAGATACTGGTGAACTGACGCGCGGGTGTCAGTGAGATAGAAATAGCCAAGGGAGACGGCCAACAACGTTCCCGTCCCATAGAGGAAGTTCCGCGCTCGATTTGAAGGTTTTGCTGCTTCTGAAGACGCATAACGGATCATGCGAGTGGTCTTGTCCCCGCATCTTGGACGAGCGGACCCTAGTAACGGGCCAATGGCTGGGTGTCGCAGTGTCATGTTGTTGATGTTCAAAATGTGAAATGATTGAATGACCAGGAAAATGAAGCGAGTGCGGCGAAAGGTCTATTTAGAGTATCACTACAAACCCTTCAAGCTTGCCATTGAACAGGGAGAAGTTTTGTTTGGACAGAATTATTAGGGTTGAAGGGTAAGGTTTTAATCGTAGTCTTGATCATTTGATATGAGAGTCACGGGAAGACGTCACGATTTCAGCCTTGACGCCTGGGTGCCTTTTTATCAAATTTCCATATTGAAGCTCGTCTGAGCTGGAATACTTCGAAACGAGAGCTATCCTGGACCCTTTGAGCTAGTTATGACCCCGTAATCGGATTGCCAAATTTTTAGTCTGGGAGTTCACCTTTCTAGACAGTTCCCGCATCTGTTAGGCACAATGTCGACTGCGAAGGCAGCCCCTTCAAAGAGCGCGACAGGCGCAAACCCGCCAAACCAGACGTAAGTGCTGAACCCTCACACAAACAGCATATCGCAACGCGCTTATACTTCCTTAGCCCCTATGTCTGTGTATATGCCACTCCCCAGCCGCTGACATAAACTATGTGCTAGCCTCTACATATCGAATCTACCAGACAAGCTGCAGAAATCAGATCTTCGGCGGAATTTGTACTACTTGTTCACGGCATACGGACCCGTACTCGATATCAATGCGCAGAAGACTATGAAGATGAGGGGCCAGGCTTTTGTGGTGTTTAGGGACACGAGCGCCGCGGTCCAAGCCTTGCGATCGTTGCAAGGATTCGAGTTCTTTGGCAAAGAGATGGTAAGTTCATGCTCTTGATACCACTTTCCTGCTTTCTATATAATAACCTGGACGAACTGCTGACGCCAAACGCACAGAAAATCCAATATGCAAAGAGCAAATCGGACACAATAGCCAAGCTTGACGGCACGTACAAGATCCCGGCTTCTGCCCTGGCAGGAAGTGCAGCGGCAGGAGCAGCCACTGGCGAAAGGTCAGAGCTGCAACAATCCATTTTCTCAGCGCCGCCTGGGTCTTCTGCGGCAAAGGAACCAGAACTGCCAAAGAAAGTAGAGGAAGCTCACGCGGGGGTCAAGCGACCAAGAGAAGAAGAAGAAGACGAACCAATGGAAGAAGACGACGAGGGGGCGGAGATGGAGATGGATGAGAGCGACTAAGGGCGCACGTGACAGCGGTGAACACAGGTACTAGCATGGCGTGACGAAAGATTACGGAAGTCAAGGCAGGTCACGGCGTGGTCGACGTCGAGGAGATGGGAAGGTCTACATTGAGCGTGCAAGCTCAAGAAGAGGTCCCAAATCGGGAAGCAAAGCAACGTAATTGGGTCACGGACTGAACGGAAAAGAGATGTTTCAAGTATGATTCGAAGTGGGAATGCTGGAACTGAGGGACGTGTGCAGGGGCAGGCGTTGAAATGGACGTGGATGGCGAGCATGCGCGAGAGCACGGCTTCAGCCTGGCAACGCCGTCTTGCGCCCCAGCAGCTTTGACCAGGAGGCGATCGAATCTCCCACCTGTCGTCACTGCCTAGCTACAGTTACTCCAAACCATCATGCAATAACTTTCAAACACCTGTCGTCCAACCCCTTCTCTCAAAGCAACCGTATTTCTCACTCTTCAACCCAAGCCTACGTGCTGTTGCTTACTCGCACGCTCGTCAACAACGTGAATACGAACCCCGGCTCCCTGCAAGGCAAGCAAGCAAGCGCCGAATCTCGCAGCAGCTTCCCGCATCCTCGTCCGCTGCTGCACTCTATCTACCTCCCTCGACTCCTACACCCTTCCTGTTGAGACACACACGCTCCTCAGAAGCTGGATTCTGAGGGCGCCGTCAAGCTGGGGAACAAACGCAGGCTGTCTGACGAACAAGTGAATGGTCGCCCGCTCAAGAAGGAAAAAGCCATGACCTCCGTATGTTTTTGTCGCTGTCGTTTTTCGACGATTACTCTACCCCATTAGTGGCGGGCGCCCAGCCCTTGCTGCATTATAAATGCTCTCGATGATCCGGCTCCTTTGGTCCTCCATTCCTCGCATGCGTTTTGCTGGCTTTGACAACTTCTGACCGCTCATCTCACAGGAAATGCAGATAGACAACCCCGCCGCTACGGCGGCTGGCCTCAAGGGTGCAAACGGCGAGATCGACGAGTCGCTGTACAGCAGACAGCTATACGTTCTTGGGCACGAGGCCATGAAGCGCATGGGTCTTTCCGACGTGCTCGTCGTTGGCATGCGCGGCCTCGGAGTTGAAATCGCAAAGAACATCGCCCTCGCCGGCGTCAAGTCACTCACTCTGTACGATCCTCGCCCTGCTACCATCGCAGACCTATCAAGCCAGTTCTTCCTGCATCCGGAGGACGTCGGTAAACCACGTGCAAAGGTGACGGTGCCGAGAGTGAGCGAGCTGAACCCGTATACGCCTGTGAAAGAACACCCAGGCGGAGACTTGACTAGTGATTTGGAGGCGTTGAAGCAGTACAAAGTCGTTGTGCTGACCGATACGCCGCTGAAGGATCAGCTTGTTATTGCAGAGTTCTGCCACAAAGAAGGCATCTACCTGGTGATCACGGATACATTTGGCTTGTTCGGCACGATCTTCACAGACTTTGGCAAGAACTTCACGTGCGGTGACCCGACTGGAGAGAACCCTGTGAGTGGCATTGTGGCTGGCATAGACGAAGAGGGCATAGTCACAGTCTTCGACGAGACAAGGCATGGACTAGAAGATGGCGACTTTGTGACCTTCCAAGAGGTGGAAGGTCTTGACGGAATCAACGAATCTCCACCGCTGAAGATTGCCGTGAAGGGCCCCTACACATTCAGCATCGGCGACGTGTCCAAGTTCAAAGGCAATTACAAGAGAGGCGGGCTATACACACAAGTCAAGATGCCGAAAATAATTGACTTCCAGCCACTGTCAGAGCAGCTTAAGCACCCCACCCAGATGATATCCGACTTTGCAAAGTTCGACCGTCCCGCACAGCTACACGTCGGAATCCAGGCGCTGCATGCATACGTCGAGAAAAATGGTCAGCTTCCACGACCACACAATGATGAGGATGCTTCGACTCTGTTCAAAATTGCAACAGAGATTAACGAGAAGGCTGAAGAAAAGGCTGAGCTGGACGAGAAGCTGCTGAAGGAGCTCTCATACCAGGCACGAGGCGATTTGGCGCCAATGAATGCTGTCTTTGGTGGCCTAGCAGCTCAAGAAGTCCTCAAGTCCGTCTCCGGAAAGTTCCACCCCATCGTTCAGTACCTGTACTTTGACTCACTTGAATCGCTACCCGCCTCCATCGCTCGCACAGAGGCGAACTGTCAGCCCCAGAACTCAAGGTACGATGGTCAAATCGTCGTGTTCGGTTCTGAATTCCAGGAGAAGATTTCGAATTTGCGTGAGTTTTTGGTTGGCGCCGGAGCTATCGGTTGCGAAATGCTGAAGAATTGGGCAATGATGGGCGTGGCTACGGGACCGAAGGGTAAAATCATCGTTACCGATATGGATCAGATTGAACGCAGCAACTTGAACAGACAGTTCCTGTTCAGGCCAAAGGATGTCGGCTCACTGAAGAGTGAGACCGCGGCGAAGGCGGTGCAGGCCATGAACCCGGACCTGAATGGCAAGATTGAGTCTCTAAAGGATCGTGTTGGGCCGGATACCGAGCACATCTTCGATGAGAACTTTTGGCATTCGTTGGACGGTGTGACCAACGCTCTCGATAACGTGGAGGCGCGAACCTATGTCGATCGTAGATGCGTCTTCTTCCACAAACCGCTTCTTGACAGTGGTACTCTAGGCACAAAAGGCAACACTCAAGTTGTCCTTCCACGCATCACGGAATCATATTCGAGCTCGCAAGATCCACCAGAACAATCCTTCCCTATGTGCACACTTAGGAGTTTCCCAAATCGCATCGAACACACAATCGCATGGGCAAAAGATCTGTTCCACACTTACTTCGTCGGGCCTGCCGAAATTGTTAATATGTACATCACCCAGCCAAACTATCTTGAGTCGACACTCAAGCAATCTGGCAATGAGAAGCAGACTCTCGAGACCCTAAGGGACTATTTGGTGACTGAGAAGCCGCTCACGTTTGAAGACTGCATCACATGGGCGCGCCAGGAGTTCCAGAAACAGTACTATAATGCCATCTCCCAGTTACTGTACAATTTCCCCAAGGACTCGAAAACGTCCAGCGGTCAAGACTTCTGGTCAGGACCTAAGCGCGCACCAGATCCAATCGAGTTCGATCCGAATAACGAAACCCATTTTGCTTTCATTGAAGCAGCCGCTTGTCTTCATGCCTTCAACTACAACATTAACACCGCAGGCGTGACACGCGAAACATATCTCAAACACCTCGCTGATGTTGTTGTGCCAGACTTCAAGCCGGACGCAAACGTCAAGATCCAGGCCAACGACAGCGATCCAGATCCCAATGCAGATGCGGCGGGTCCGGCAGAGGATGAGCTCCGCAAGATCATCGACATGCTGCCACCTCCTAAATCTTTGGCGGGCTTCAGGCTTACCCCTGTTGAGTTTGAGAAGGATGACGACACCAACCACCACATCGACTTCATCACTGCCGCATCTAACCTGCGTGCTGAAAACTACAAGATTCCCACAGCAGACAGGCACAAGACCAAGTTCATCGCTGGCAAGATCATTCCCGCGATCGCGACGACCACTGCCCTCGTCACTGGTCTTGTCAACCTTGAACTGTACAAGATCCTGGATGGCAAGACGGATATCGAACAGTACAAGAATGGATTTGTCAACCTAGCGCTTCCATTCTTTGGTTTCTCAGAACCGATCGCCAGTCCCAAAGTTACATATAAAGGACCAGGTGGTAAAGACGTTAGCTTAGACAAGATTTGGGATCGGTTTGAAGTGGAAGATATTACGCTGCAGGACTTCCTCGATAAATTCGAGAATGAGTATGGCCTAACGATTAGCATGATTTCGAGTGGAGTGAGCTTGTTGTATGCGAGCTTCTACCCACCGAGCAAGCTGAAGGATAGGCTTCCTCTGAAGTGAGTTACCTTTATCGAGAAGATGAATAACCAAATGACTGACCACATCCTCCAGGTTAAGCAATCTAGTCGCTACGATCAGCAGGAAGGAAATTCCGGCTCACACGAAGAACATCATTCTTGAAATTACCGCCGAAGATACTGCCGAGGAAGATGTTGAAGTGCCGTATGTGATGGTGAAGCTCGGTCATTAAATCAAGACACGGGAATTTGCTTGCATTGCTTTATGGCCCAATGCACAACATGAAGATACATACAACAATTCATGGAGTTACGAGAACGGCATTGAATTAAAAAAAAAAATCAAAGGATGAGTGAGTATGATAGATTGCTTGGTGTTGTTATGTAGGTGTGTAGACTAGACAAACGAATCATGAACTCCGAGCCACCTCACCTCCATACAATGTTAGTGCAATTACTAAGGCCATCAGTCTGTACCTTCCCACAACAGCCGATATCCCTTAGAATCCGTACACAACCGTGCCTCTAGTTACCATAAGCGCTGTTCGCAGAGTCTCTTCGCTGTCGAACTCAGATGTCACGCCTCGTTCGTTCGCGACATTCACCTTTTCCATTTTTGCTTTCTGCAAGACATACCAGTCTTTGGCTCTGGCGCCGGAGCTGGATTTCGTACATGAATAGGAGAGGGTCCAACAGTGGCCTCTTTCGGCTGATCGTTCGGACGACTTTTGGTTTCTTGACTCAGCTTTCCCTTGTCGGCTCCAGCTCTGTCCAGCTCTGGACGACGGAGAATTTTTACGGACATCTACTCAAGGCTTTTATTCAGGAACAATTCAGCTTGAAGGCTGAACGTGCTGATTTAACTCAAACGATTGGCGGCGGTGGCTGCCGCGAATGTGAGAGGATCGGTTGAAGACAACACAAGAAACATAGAGATGTTGCTGTTTATTTGAATGCTTCTGATAGCGGGTTTTCGACAGCCTGAGATATCTGTTCGAGCCTTTGGTCTTTGAATGACCAGAACTAGCTCGCGTCGGTGGAGAACTACTCTGTTCCTATTCTATAGCGAGAACGGTGCCGAACCAGAAGGCGGCAGTATGTTCGTTTGTCTCATGTTTGGCTCCGTTCAATTCCTCACTCTCGATTTGGGCATCAACGTCGGGGGGAGATCACTTTTTTGTCATGCATAAGTTGCGTAGTGTCAGCCGTTGGACGGTGTAGTAGATGTGACGAGGCTTTGTAGCGACGCGCTCTCATGAGGCGAATCTATTAAATGATGGGTCATATATCATCTCCGGATACTATACCGGCAAAAAGTGAAATACAGATTTCTTACGCTGCGACAGGAGATCATTGTCCACGGCCACATTCCGTGCGTGGTGATGAAAGACAAACACAAGAGCATCATCTGGATCGCAGCCCACCTCAGGCAGCGGCACCATGGCCTTCATCTTCTGTAAGAAACCCGCCTTCTCCATCAAGTCGAAGAACACGAGTTCGCTTTCATGTCTAACTTTCATGCTAAGCAGCACCACGCAATCTTGAGACGTGTTGGCCAGTTTCACAAGAGTTTGGACCAAAGCAGGCGCGCTGTCGGGATTGTACGTGCAATCCGCAACCAAGACTAAGTCAAACCTTGCCGAAGCAACCGCTTCGGGCAAGGGAATCTCCCAGTCGAGTTCCTGGAAGCTCGCGCATGAGCCTACAGCTGGGGTCATGGTGGACACGTTTCGCTCCGCGATTTCGCGCGCCTCGGGCAGATCCGTGAGCAAAACGTTGCAGTTTGGAATGGATTGGGCAAGGCTGATGCCAACGATGCCGCAGCCGGCGCCGAGCTCGATGATGTTGATGGTATTGGACGAGGAAGAGTAGGTGATCTGGTCTGCTGGCGAGAGCGGTTCCGGTTGGAGCGCAACCATCCCTTCCACGTAGGCTGAAAGGGCTATACCAGCATCCCTGAGACTGTTCAAACTCTGAGGAGTTGAAGGAGGGACTGTGCTCACCATATATGTCTAGCAATCGACTCACCAGTCTCTTCCCATATACAAAGCGGGCGATCGCTAAGAGGCTGGAATCTTCGCTCTACCATTCTTGCCGCTTCGTTTATACCAATCTGGAGATCGAGGATGTCACTCCATGCTGAGATGATAGGAGGAAGGCTGAGTCCGTTTTGGCCTCTCTCGAAGTGGTCGGTCAACTCAGCATCCCGTGTTGTCACATGTATCTTCACGGGCCAAACAATGTCGGACTTGTCAAAGTCAAACGTCAGTGGAATCGACCTCATGCTAGCTTCCCATTGGAGCTTTTTACGAAGGTAGAGAGTGTCATGCTGAACAGCGGAACGGAGTGATGCTGATAGCTGAACGGCTTCTGGAAGAAAGCTCTCTCCAAGGTCCGAGGTCACCGTGATAAGTGTTTTTATCTGGCTCCCGTGTACCTTTGGAGGCTTTAAAAATCGTATATACCGCATGATGGTGGTCAAGCGAAAAGAAGTGGAATCTCAACACTTGTGATTGAGGATTCGACGCACGAAGCCGTCCAAGGTTTCGAGAGCTGTGCTGTTGCGAAATCAAGGGGAAACAGCTCTTTGCACAGATGGTATTCATGCTACATGGCCGAGCATCTTTTTTTTTTTGAATAAAAAAAAGAAGAAAAAGAAAAATTTGGATCGATCAGGACGCTGTACATCCGTATGACGGCGGCTGTCTGAGGTGTCTTGGTATTATTTCCGGGTATATTCCCATGAGTCCCAACCACTTTGACGTCTGTTCGGTGCTCACCCCTCGTTCCGGGCTTCATACTCGGGTTGCGCTTTGACCTTGCCGCACCTCTCCAACATCATCGGTAATGCGTCCAGTCTGCATACAGCCTAGCGAACAATTCCGTTACCTCATGCTATAGATTCTGCCTCGATTGCGCCTGCGCAGCAGGGTGTTGCGCGCTACCCTCTTCGCACGCTTTTTGAACTGACGCACATGCATTGCCCAACATGTACCGACGAGACGACCCACGATTGCGCCGCACGCTCGACCAGCTGACGCACAACGTCGAGACCGCGACTGAGCACGCGCAAGAAAATCTATACTCATTCTCCCAGAACTATATAAACCCTTGCCTTGGATCCATCGCGAGCTGCTTCCGGTCATGTACCGAGTCTTGTTCCTGCAATTCCGAAGAGCGCAGGCGCCGGCATCGAACAAGATCGCGCGGGAACGCAGAACTCAATTTTGACTTTTACGACGACTGGGACGATGATGAGAATGATGCCCTGTTGGGCTGGGGCAATAGCAGCGACGACCTGGACAGATTGCTGTCAGGCAGCGGGTCCGCCGGCCAGCCTGGTCGGGAGAGGGCGATGAGTTACGGCACACGAAGTCCGAAAGCAAGGCGGAAAAGTGCTGCTCATATTGACACATCCGATACGAATGTCATACAGGGTTCGAACTATTTGGGCTTTCTGGAGAGGCTCCCTTGGGGACTGGGAAGGAAAGCTCTCCGCTACAAGCCCTCAGCGGCCGATCTTCAGGAACATCCTGGCTCTTCCAGGGTATCGAGACCTGAACAAGAGCCTCTCATTGAAGAGAGTGAAGAGGAATTCGTAAGCTCGAGTCCGAGGAAGAAGAATCACCGGCGCAACCGAAGCGACACGGGTACATCTGGGAATACAACAGACTCACTCAGTTCAAGGGGTGACCTTTTCCCGAGTGAAGATGAAGACGATGCCGTCCCAATAGACGACGAGTTTGCAAACATGTTGGAAAGACGAAATACGGGTGAAGACAGCAGCGGCAGGTCGCGTCCACGACAAAACAAGTCAAACTCGCGGCTCTCGCTGAGAACTGTGTCGTCAAAGAGCGTCGTTAGCGACAGCAGACGGAAAGCATCGAGCTCAAGTAGGAAAGAGCAGACACCAGATCCGCCTACGATTTCAGAGCTCAAGGCCGAAGAGGATCGGCTGCAGCGTGAAGAAGAGGGCGAAGTTTCGCGCAAACGAGAGGCGGCTCAGCGTTTAGCAATCAAGCGAGGGTTGAGCTCTGGCCCAAGCAGTAAACCAGGAACTAGATCGTCGAGCCCAAAGCCGGAGATGGCTGACATCGGCTCAAAATCACCGTCAAGCAACGGCACTGTTCCATTTCCTACTTTTGACCCCCCGACGGGACCTCAGACACCCCGTTCAGAGCTCAACATCAGGATAGACTCTACCCCAGAGACGGAAGAAAGTTCTGAGAGACCGACGATGGAGACTGCTGTTCATTTGTACTCTCGAACAGAGCCTACTGGGGAGGAAGAGTTTACCCCAGCAGCTTTACCGAGATTTTCACGGCCAAGCCCCCCCGGATGATATTATGTCAAGAGAATGCAGTACAATTGTTCATTGTAACACTAAGAGCCAAAAACCACCTTCGCTGATTGCGGTTGGGCGCACATCGCATTTGTTGACGGCATTGGTCGAAGCCTTGGATTGGGACGCATCGTTATTACATGATTCAAGACGCATAGCGCTTTAGGACACCTGGCTTGAGACGGTTCGCACCGCAGAAGCCAGAATAATGCGAAGAGTTTTTCTCTCAGTGCATGAGCTTTTCCCCGTTGCCAGCTGTCGGCAGACTTCACTCCAAGTATGATGCTGGGATTCCAGATCCGCACTGCCATAGCCCGATCCGTGTTAGCTTGGTCTTCGCCACAAATGACGAAAGCTGGACGACGCCACCGCACTCTCGTGACTTGTGTCTTCACGCCTTTATGCCGTGTGTCAGCTGTCAAAGACGACTTCAAATGCAAGCCGATATGCAGGGAAATACACTCGCTACAGTGGGATGGCCGGAGCTACCGAGTGATAGCTGTGACATGCAGAAGTCCGGGTTAACTCAGCTACGATGGGACAGATCTGGATCACCTTTGCCAAGCGTCTCCGTACGTAGTGCCTTGGAATTAGGCGCATTGATAGGCGTCTTGGACAGTAGCTACCCTTGAGCAGCATCGGATGGTCTTACTTTGGATGGATACGTGCGTCACGCATTGTTTGCTTGGTGGTGGGGTAGATTGCTATCTATCAGCGTTCATAAATACCTCGCCGTAGACAACCCTCTTCCCTTCGTATCAACCCTCTGCACAGCAGCCTGACCTTGAAATCACACGTGCGTCCAAGTTTGTTTTTGCCAGCTCAAAACCAAAAGTCGTTCTTGAGCCTGGATCCCCGATCGTCGCGCTGAGGAAAAGCCTCCGACTAGCGGATCACCACGTCTCCCTCCCATTTCTTAAACAGTCATGGATTTCCTCAAAGACGCAGCATCCAAGTTCTCTGAGGGCCAAAAGGCAAATGCGCCAGTTGGTGAGCAGAACGCTCAAAGCGGGAACAGCGGAGGTGGCTTCCTAGGCGGCCTTGGCGACAAGCTCAACTCTGCCGCAGGCGGCGGAAGGGAGAGCGAGAAGAATGAGGACATGCTCGACAAGTATGTTGGCATAATCCCGTGGCCAAATAACTCCATGGTACTAATACCAATAACCAGGGGCGTCGACTTCGTCCAAGAGAAGTTCCTAGGCCAGGGCCCGCAGGACAATGAGAGCGCGATCGAGCAGGCTAAGGATGAGCAGATCTCTGACTTCATCCGCGCGAAGTATAAGGACACGACCGGCAAGGACTTCCCCGTTGCGGACAAGGATACCAAGTTCTCCTAGGCCTTTGCATTGTACAAATTAGCTTAAAGACTAGTCTGTAGCGCTGATTCCCACGACGTAGCTAGATAAGCTCCACCTGGCGTGAATCAGAATCAAAGATTGGAATTACAAAAACGTAGAGTCGGAGCAATCCACGAGCATTTTTGACACTACCGCCTATCTAGAGCTCTGATTTATTCGCGTCGACAGCCGACTGTAGCCACGGTACTATGTCGTCCTCCAAGGGCAGGGTGTCGCGCAGCTGGTGGGCAACACGATCAACTTCATGCCAAACACGCAGCATGTTCCAGCCGACAACTTTCGCCGCATCGCTGTCGCTTACTCCAGCCCTGAGCAGGGCCGCCACCAGATCAGGAAACTTTGAAACGTCCTCGAGCCCCTTGGGTGTGCTCTCAATGCCGTCGTAATCCGTGCCGATGCCCACATGATCGTAGCCAATGCGTTCACCGATGTGCATGATGTGCTTGACGACCTGATCGAGCGTCGCGTTTTCCGGATCGGCGGTGGGAAGGCCGTCGCTCGAGTTCGAAGCCTTGCACGCCACAAAGTCGGGCGAGAAGTTGACCATGACCAGTGAATTGCGCTTCTTCACCAGATCGAGCACGTCGTCTTGGACGTTGCGTGGATGCGGGCAAACACTGTACGCGCTGGAGTGACTGAAGATGGGCGGCGCAAGCGACCCGTTTGTCTTCTCAGGATTTCCTCCGAGAACATCGATCATTGTGTCTTTCGATACGTGGGCAAGATCCACGATCATTCCAAGTCTGTTCATTTCCTTGATGAGTTGAATCCCTGCCGGACTTAGCCCATTCCAGTACGGCGTGCTTGCTGTGGTCCTCCCGGCCTCCAGGTCTGTTATTAAAGCAGCATCCGCGTACTTATTGTGGCAGTTCCACGTCAGTGTAGCATATCGAACGCCTAGTCGGTGATACAAGCGTAAAAACGACACTGAATTGCCAATCTGGTGTAGTCCTTCGATAATGATGGGAGATATTAGCTTGCCTTCATTGAATGCCTTCTCGGCCGCAGCAGCATTTGGGGCTAACGTGAAGAGCTCTGGATACATTGCGGAAAGTCGATTAAATGTATCAATCTGCTCCAGCGTCGCTTTCGTAGTCCAGGCATAATTCGCGTCGTCGTAGTTGGTGACGTTTCTTGGGCAAGGCATGAAAGCGCTCCAGAAAGCGCCTCCATACCTTCCTTTCCTAATGCGTGGAATGTCGACATGTCCCTCTAAGCCACCGTTCTCAAAGGAATCTTTGAACGCTGCACCATAGATATGGTTTTGATACCTGCCTCTAAGAAGGATAAGGAGATCATTATGTCCATCTGAATCAAGTGTCAATGCTAGAGGTACACTGGTCCCATGAAGAGCTCACCTATGAGAGGATTTTCAGAGAGGATTTTCAATGCTCGTTCTTCATACGTCAAGGTATTTCTGACTTTCAGAGGCCATGTGAAGTATGACAAGACATGCAGAACCGCAGCGAGAACAAGTACATTTCGTACGATGAGCCGAACAGAGTGTCCATGCGATTTAGACTGTCCAAATTCAGAAATTTCACGGTCCGGATTCAAGATTTTCTCCTCATCGCTCTGATTCTTGTCTTTCAACGGCATGTTCGCATATGTTTGTTTGCCGGGACGCCCGGAATCTAGAGGATGGGATAGCTTTGATAGCGAACATTTAGCCAATCACAGCGCGGGAAGCATCCTCCAGCCTAGAAGGACGCGCTCGCGTGTAGCAATATCGCACAAGATTTATCACTCGAGATTTTTGACACATTCCACAATGGCCTTGTTTTCTGCTTTTGGTATCGTGCGAGCGATTGCGCTCTTGCACATTACCTTGGCATATTATTTTTTGGTCAATCCGCGGATGATAGCTGAGCAGAACTTCGTACTGCTCATGGGAAACGCCATGGACATGGTAAACTACAGTTTTGATCATTGGGCAGCAAGTAAACGCTGATGAATTGTAGCCCCATGTTTCGGACTTTGGCAAAGCCACTCCGGTTACCGCGTTCCTCGCGCTAGTGCTCGGCTTCTTCGGTATATCTGATCTCATCGCTGTCTCCATCACCGAACCGATCGCAATCGAGTACTGGAGCGCCGTTACTCCCCTAAGGCTCCTCGTGCTCTTCCCGCTGACAGCGTACACATATCTTCACCAGCCAGACTACTTTGGAAAGCTCAAGGGCAAGATGCACCAAGCTAGTCCGAGCGACAACCTGAAGAACAGTCTGACCTTCAGCTTCTGCTTCATAGAAACAGTTTTGTGGTTCTGGGTCTATGTGTCTCTCAAAGAGCAGCGTCAGGCAGCAGCTCAAAGGCTGCTCAGAGGGCAGAAAAGAGCTAGCGGTTGAGTCTTAGCAGGCAGCCGGGAAACTTGGAGAGGTATCGGTCCGCCGCGGTATTGTTACGCAGCCGAGGAAGGTGTCCTCAGCAGCGTGCGTACGGACTTTTTGGAAGCGAGGCTACACGGACAGCACATAATGAACCGATCAGGATGGTGTTTGCACACTCCGATGACCAGATTTCCAAGCAGTCCACAAGCTTGCTCCACAGCGAAGTCAAGAAATGGGACCACCAGGATGCGCAGTAGAGAGAGCAGATGTGTTAGATTGGGATTGGAGACAAATAGTTAAGAATACGTGAGTCTGCATGAGAGATCTACGCATCAATGGTATATAACATGAGCTGCGAGCGCATAACCTGCTTCGCACGAGCTCCTCTGCTTATCAGTACAGGGCTCGTATCAAGTATAGAAGTCCATGTTGGAGTGCAAATACGAGCCCGAACAAAAGACACTAAGCGTGCCTGTAATATATCGTAGTGTCAATGATATCATGAAGTCGTCGAAGTGCTCATGGTGCGGAAACGCCCAGAGGTCTCTGAAAAGACAACCATCGCTTACATGAAAGCCTTAGCAATGGTCATAAGGCTACCCATTGAATCGCCCAATCCGCCACTTTCTCTTCTGTGGTCGTCTCCGTAGCCATGACTGCCGTAGTACCCTCCACCTCTGCCGCCACCGCCATGCCTGCCCTGCAAGAACTCTGGCAGCCTGATGCCAAACTGGCGCGCAATTCCTGCCAGCACCCCTCCCGATATCAGGGGCATGATGACGAAGAAGAATAGCTTCGCCGGGTTGCGGCGCGCATAGTAATACAGCTCACGGAAGAGCTGTTTCAGCTTGTGAATGAGGCGCTCGATGTACCCGTCGCGTGGTCGCCGCTTGTAGTACGAGCTCGAGCGCGAGTAGAACGAGGAGCCGCGCGAGTGCGTAGAGCTTGACCTGTGGTAGGAAGGCCGAGATGTGTAATGGCGGCCGGACGAGCTGGAGACACCGAACCAACCCATGGCGACTGCGGTTGTGCTGGCGAGAGAAGACAAGAAACGGCCGGTTTCTGCGAATGGAGCGATGTGCTGGTTTGAATACCGTTGGCGAAACAGGCGCAATTATGCTGAGGGAGGGAGAATGCGATAGCTGAGCTTCAACGACGCGGTTGAGTTCTGTAACAAGAGCGTAGAGATCCTTTCACCGCATGTTGCGAGAGGCTGGACACGGCTGGGGATTTTGACTGGGGACGTTGACGCCCACCAATGGCAGATGTGTGGCGAGCCATGCAGGGCATCGACCAGTTCTCGCCAAGGCTGAAGTGGTGGGCGACACGACGTCTGACGATAACCTGCACCCATCAGGAATGCCTGGACGGGCAGAATCGATCTATATGTGTCCACGGCCAGGACGATCTCGTTCGATGTGGTACTGCAGGACAGCTTGGTGCAAGCCTGGTTCGGCCACGTCTCCGCAGCATGCAGCTGTCAAAAGAAAAAAAAAGAATCCAACGCTGGATCTACGCCCTGCCGATCCGTTCGAAAAGCTCCGTAACTGGTCAGCTGGGCAGCATTTGTCAACCCCCAAACGCCGGACTGTAGTCCGCAAGGCGTGGTTGTCGTTAAGCAGCACTTGCATGCGCACCATCGTCTGAGTGGATGCGGCCTGGAGTAGACTGCAAAGTGCACGCCAGAGGCCGCCGTAGCCTACGAGATGCGCAAACCCCGTCATTCTACCTCACCTCAGCAAGAATGGCAAGCTCCGAGCACAACGCCGTTGGTGAGCTTGAATTGTCGAAGCTCTTGTCGTCGCTGAATCCTATCCTCGACCCAGAGCTTTATGTCTTCGTCACGCTGCCGCCGGGAACAACCCCTCCAGGGGATCTTGTCGTTCAGATGCTGTTCCGCGAGCGAGAAGGCATGACTGTGATAACTACAAAGGAGTCCGCCATCAAGCACGATTTCTCGTTTACTTTTCAGTCGAGAATGATCACGTTGGACGTGCACTCGAGCCTGGAGGCTGTGGGCTTCATCGCCAAGATCACCGAGGAGCTGACCAAGCTCAGAATCGGCGTGAATCCTGTCAGTGGATATTTTCACGACCACTTATTCATTGCCGATGGTAAAGAGGAGGAGGTCCTTGCAGCTCTAGACAAGATCAAGCAGAAGGCGATGGCTGGTATGTGTGTCACCGCGTACGACGAAAGAGTTCATACTGAAAGACCTTGGAGAGAGCGGACCAATGCTGCCACCTTCCTGAAAGCAGAACGTACGCGTTGCAAGGTTGTCGATGTGTCATAACGAGTGACGAGAAAGAAGAGAGAAAAGATTCGTGGCGCAGTCTGTTTTATATCAACTGTACCGGTAGCCGCAGGAAGAGTACATAGCAGGTAAGCCATGTCGAGAACAAGCAAGACAAAGAACAGAAACAGGGGAGTATAGTAGATGTAGAACGAATATATTCCACGGGGCTCACGTCGTCGTGAACCAGCAATCTTATGCTTATATTTTTGCCTACCAACCAAGAGATCTGGTGAGTGTTTCCAAAGGCTGTGTTGGGCTTGATGACCATTACCATGCCCCCACACACAAAAAAAAAAAATTTTACCTTGTACCGTATAAAATATTGGTAGCTTTGAGACCTTCAATCAAAAGAGCACGGGACGATGGACGCAGTAGCATGAGCGAACTCGACCTTGCTGGCCACCGTCGCCATGAACGTCTTACTTGCAAAGACTTTCACCGCTACCGGCCAATTCGGGTCCTAATGCCAACTCGGGGTCACCGACAGGGTCCTTCTTACTTTTTATTTCTTTGCCGACGTCGTCGCCGTCATCGCCGTCGCCGTCGCTTGTATTGACCAGTAGCTTCGAAGCGTTTTTCACATCACCGTCATGATCAAGCACCCAGGATGGCGCACACCCTGCAAAGGCCGGGTCGCTCGCGAGTCGAGCGAAGGCCCAGCGAGCAATGTCGACGCTTGCGAATTCGATCGTGACCATGTTCCGGCCGCTCTCCTTCCTCGTCGTCCTGCTGACGATCCAACCCGGCGCTCGGAACCCGTAGCTGCGGTCCGCGAGGACGTTGTCGAACTCGTGCGCGGCGACAAGACCGCACTGCTGGAACTTGACGCGGCGGGATGCAGAGAGGCCTTTGGCGCCGCTGTAAGTATTCATGTCGCGCTGGGTCGGGAACGTGGGCGTGTCGAGGTGCTTGGCGACGGCTGTGCGGCCGCACAGGACGAGAGGTTCTTCCTTCAGGTTGGCCACGAACTGCTCCGCCGAGGACTCGAAGTAAAACGTGAGCAAAGCAGTCATCGTCTCGAGAATGCCAACCGACCCGTCTCGCTTGATCCCCTTCATGCCACGCGTCGGTAGAAGCTTGATCCAGACCAGCGGAGCGCCGTCTGCGCGGGCCACAATGTCAGCTACATCTGTCTGCGGTGGCAGGTTGTAAACGACGACACTGCGGTGGGTGTTCTTCTCGACTTCTGTCGGGCTGTACGTCGCGTCCGCCGATGGATTCGAGGCCGCCCGTCCTTCGTCGTCATGGCGATGGCGCTGGCAACGAGTCAAGTTACAAGGGGACCCGAATCGATTCACTTCGAGGCGTCGACGTCCGCGCTGGCCGCCACGGCAGCAGTTGAGCCTCTCAAGATCAACCGAAACCCGTTCGGCGTCCCAGCCTTGGCCGCCATCTATTTGATCCTCGTCCGGGGCGGACTCATGGCCGCGGGCCGCGCTCGGGTCCGCAGCGGTGCGTCCACAGAGATGGTTACTCCTCTCTTGCCGCCAAAGGCCGGAGTCTCGAAGTGCATCGCACACGTTGTCCCTGGCCGCGCCATGCTCGACGTGCTTGAGACACGGCTCCGGAGCTCCAGTCTCGTTTTCTGGGAAGGGGAACAAGTGCTGAAATCGCAACTCTGCCGGCCGGCCGAGCGGGCGGTCAACGCGTGCCGTCGCAGACCCCCCTTTGACCGCTCGGAGAGGCGATGAGGCTGCGCTGGGGACGTTCGTGTGGTCGACAACGGGCGTCAGCGCCTCCGTTTCGCACTGCACGTCTAGGTCCAGAAGCGAGCCTTCGACCTGTCGAGACCTGCGGCACAGTCAGCCAGTCATCAGCACGCGTCCGACACGGACGTCTTACCGCCGTGCTGCGGGCGTAGCGTCTCGGCCCGCCTCCCACTCCGCGGCGAGCTCGCCGTCTCTCTTGCCGCAGCTGGCCGCAGCTACAGCCTCGTCCAAGCTCGCGTCGGTAGCCCGTACAAACTTCTCGTTCCGCGGCGTCGCAACGGCCCCCGCGGGGCTGGCCGTGCGCGCTCGCGATCGGGCTCTCGATCGGTACGCCAGCATGGCCATCTCGGTCGCCGTCCTGACATCTTGCTCGGCTTGCTCAAGCTTGAACTGCAACCACGTGACGTCTCGCTGCAGCCGACGGATGCAGTCGTCACGGATCTGAAGCTCGTACTGGATGGAAGGGTGGTACATGCCTGCCCTCGAACGTGGGCAAAGCGGCGGCGGCGGCGGTGGCGGCTGTTCGGTCCATGACGATGACGAGGACGATGATGCAGGTTGAATCTGCGGAAACACCACGGGCGGTGGCTGAAAATTGTAGCGCGGCATTGCCAGAAAGGACAGCTATGGCCTGGTCTTCGGATGACGAGGAGGTCTCGAAAGACGAAACAGGGTTGGCCAAGCTGGCTCTGGCTCTGAATTGAAAAAGCAGATGTAGGCTAGAGTTATGAGGCAGAACATCTCAAGAACGGGCATCTCTTTTATACTGGAACCGCAGCGGGTTGCAAAGGCATGTCGATGCCGAAGCCGAAGTGGCACAAGCGCATCTATCATGGGTGCAAGTGAAGGCACACGTACAAGTGTTGCGTGGGTAGCCAAGGCAGTCCACGAGCCACGCACTTCGGGTGAAGAAGTGAAGTCGGATATACACGGGTCATGAACGGATGTGGAAAGGCGAAGCCATTCAGATGTTATTCTTTTCTGACTGAGCTATCTCTCCACAGCGCTTTGAAATCAAAGAAACGGACGGGAAATGGGTAAGGTGAAGAGAGGGAGTTTCCCACCCACCGGCGCTCGCACCTCGTCCTTCAATCTGAAAAGAGACCTACTCTTTACAACCAACGGCGAGGAAGAAGAGAAAAGGTGAAGAAAAAGAGAGAATACAACAAGGATGCTTTCCTTTTTCTCGCCCGAACAAGCCCAACAGGGCTACATATGTGCACCGCTCCCGGCGCCCCCTCTCTTCAGCCTATGAAAGACCAAGAGATGCAGAAAAGCGGGTGGGAAATGGGCGACAAGGGCATACGAGAAAGTCTTCAAAATAAAGGTGAATGAGAAAGTGGGTATGCAGCCAAACAACTTTTTTTTGTTCTTCAACAGCACGAGTTCGTGTGTGAGTCCCAATTCCCTTCCCCCCCCCCCAAAAAAAAACACGCCCCCAGACGCCATGCGAGTAAAAAGAAAGCAAGCAAGGCAGAGAGAAGGATGCATCGCAGCGCATTTCCTCCACTGAGGGCCCAGGTGCAAAGCCCTGCTTCCGCGTCATTTTGCTAATGCAAGTCCTCATGAGAGAAAAAAAGAAGTTGGGTTTTGCCCTCCAAATCGCCGTTTGAAAGGAAGAGATACAGGTGTGTGCCCGTCTATATATATATACTGTATATCCCTAAGCAGGTCCTCGCTGTCCCGATAGAAATCCGCCAAGTGAAGTCAAACGCGGAGCAAATAAGAAACAAAAGAACAAGTTTATCGTCCGTACATAGTATAGGTAGCTGGCTGATGTTGGAGAAATCGGCCCATCACGTGTGTTGTAATGGACAACAACACTGGATGGTTCGATCCGGATGATGAGAACTGAAGGGGGCGGACGCAAGGAGAGAAGTAAGGTTCGGGCGTAGATTCCGTGAAGAAAGCTGGAGGTTTATGTTTTTAAGTATGTATGTGCATGTGGTGACTCGGGGCAGGCGAGTAAGAGACAGAAGCACAAGTGGTTGAAGGTTGTTCTAATTATCAGGCAAAATACGTGCAAAGTGCTTCTCCCAGATCCAGCCGATCGTATTGGTGGGGTCGTCTTGATTCTTCGCAAGCCAGAGTTCGCCCTTCTGCGCGACAACGTCGAAGATCTGACCCTAGTTAGCATCTCGTCTGACGCATATGTCCGCAGAATCTCAGAGAAGAAAAGGCTTTATTGATTGAGAAGGGTATAAGAAAAAAAAGAATGGCGAGAGTGGAGGGATGAGATGGGAACGCTTACCTCTCCGGGCTGGTACGTAAGGTAGGGGTACCCGCCCTCCGTCCTGGTGCTGTCAATGTAGAACTCGAACAGGCTGGCGGCGAGAAAGAGTACGTGTGGTTCGTGAGTGCCGTGGTCCTGCTCTGGTGACGGCGCCCTCGGCGAATCCGACATGGGCAACGCGGAGTGGAACATGCCAGAAAAGCGGTCGTCCATCTGAAGCGGTGCCGATGCGGGCAGCCGAGCGTCTGGCACAACGTACGTATTGCCCCCAAACTCGTTGCGTGCAGGTGAGCGCGTCGTCGGGCTATCCAAGCTGAGGCGCGGCACGACGCCCGGTGAGGGCTCGCCGCGATCAGACGTGGTGGGCCTGCTGTAGCCGTACGCAGTCGGGCCGATGTAGCCAGCCGCTGAGTATGGCGTTGACGATCCGCGGCTCGACATTGCGGATCCAGCGCGGTTTCGTTGCTGGTGATTATTCGTCGTCTGGTACACAGCCTCGGGCATTCCTAATGCGCCCACGAGCGGCGACAGAGTGATATTGTCGCCGCTGAGCCTGAGGTTGGGCGTGCTGTGCCCAACGTGCTCGTTGGACATAGACGCGGCACGCTTGCCTCCAGCGCTGCTGCCCAACGTCGACGGCCGTTTGGCGTACGATTCGTCGTCGCGTGAGTACGTTGTCGCCGGGGATTTGAAGTTGCGTGCCTCAGTGACGAGCATCTTGTTGCACACCTTGAACGTGGCAAGCACGTCCTGGGCCTCGGTAATGTCCTGCGCATAAGCAGTCTGAACACTGAACAGGGCCTGGTCGAGCTCGACGCCAAGGAGGGGCTCCATGTCATCGATCAGAGGGCTGAGTTTGCGCGTCCAGTCTCTCTGCCACTGCGACTGCAGCTCAATGAAGTTGAGCAAGCAGTTTTCGACTAGCTTCTTGGTGAGTGCGTACAGGCGAGGCAGCTCCTCCTTGAGAGTCTCGTTGACGGCACGGAACTGCTCCGCCTCCTGTTCGAGCCGCTTATCCGGCTTCTCGCCCTTCTCGAGCATGTTCCGGTGCCGCACAAACTCAACGATGCGCTTCTTGCGCTTGGCCATCATCTTTTGGGGTCCAACGTGCAGGCGCCACAGTTGCTGGATGGGATCGATGACGGTACGACGTACCTTGCGCGTGTGATCGCCTAGCGCGACGTTCTTCATCTCGACAATGGCTGTGCGGAACGCGATCCAGCGGCTCTCCATCTCCGGGTACCTGTTCAGCGCGTCGAGGCCGATGTTGCCGACCAGCGCCTCCATCAGCAGCACGTACTGGTCGACGTAGTGCTGAACATCCTCCAGGTACTTTTCGACGTCGCGCATGACGACCTGCAGCTGAAAGAAGTGACCTCCGAACTTTTGCGCGATCGCGTCGTACTCCGGGTCCTCGGCCAGGCCGGACAAGCCAACCTGCTGCTTGAGCTTTTCGGTCCTGCGGTTGAGCAGCTTACTGACCTTGATTCTACCATTCGGATCTTTGTGCTTGCTCATGGCCTGTTCGACCAGCTCGGAGCGTTTTTGGATGTCATTGGCACGCTCATTGTACGCCTTAACGAGGTCCTTGGCCTGCTTGAGCATCGCGTAGTCTGGGTGATCTGGCGGAGTGAAGCGCAGGATCTCGTCGAGCAGGAGCGTGTACTTTGCCGAACGCTGAAAAGGTTTGACAATGAGCGAGTCCAGGTTCCACGCGGACGTGAGGTCCTTGTGACTTTCAATGCACTCGTCCAGCCAGTATTTTACCGCTGGCTGTTTCTGCAGCTCGATGAGTCGTTTGTTGGCTGCATTGGCGTTACGGAGCCACTCGCTGTACACCTTCTGAAGCGTGGGTAGATGCTCACAGAAAGTCTGGCCAATGGTAGTGCATCGATCGTTTTCTATGCGCTCTTCGGTTGTGACGCTGCTTGACGACGAGTTCTCCGTTGTCTCGCTGTTGGATGTCGTGAAGCTGCCACGCTTGTGGTTCCACCTGTTCTCGCGAGGTATCACGTAGATAGGAGCAGCCGCCCGTTTGAGGTCGTCCAGGAAGTCGGTCGTGAAATTGCGTAGCTGCTCGATGTTGCCGAAGAGGATGCGGCGGTCGTCCTCGCCAATGACTTCGGCTGCGGTTGCAAGATAAATGTCCGTCATAACGGTTAGGTCCTGGTGAAATGTGTGCTCCGTGTCAACCAGCTCCTTGACGCGGTGCCTACGCTGCGTCAGGTCCTTTTCTATGTCTGGCGTTGTCAGACTCTGTGACGAGCGATCACCATTAGTGCTGCGTGCAATGCTGAAAGGACTTTGATTTCTAGAAGTAACGACCGTGTCAATCGACGCTCCCGTGGATCGAGGTACGTCCTGATTGATCGCTTCCGCCATGACCTGTTGCTGTGTTTGGGGGGCCGGCCGTCCACGCGCTGCCGCAGGTGAAGACGGCAATCCAGGTATGAAGGCGTCGTACCCGGGCCCGCTCGGAGGCGCGGAAGACACCGCAGGCTGAGTAGCGTGCGGGATAAAAATGTCCTTTTGAGGTGTCGGCGGCGCAGGTGGCAGAGGCGGCGGCGCATGGGTGGGAGCTGGCGGGTGGGTGGACGTTGAGACCGGACCGCTCTCGGGCGGCGTCATAGACAGGCCCAGGCCGGAGGCCGGGCTGGAAAACTCCGGCAGCGTAGGTATCGAGGTGATTCGGGCTGGATCGCTGCCGCCGTCGAAGTCGATGAAGTCCTTGGGTGGCGGCGCAGGCCGGAACGCTATGTCCTCGAGATACGATCTGTGCTTTTCGTCGTCGATCTCGTCCTTGGCTGGCCTGAGCGTTGCGTTGCTTGTCGAGTGACTGTGAAGCGTGCCTGTTCGTTCCAGAGGCTCACCCAATTCATCATTCCGCACCGGCCCGTAGATAATGGCTATTCCACCGCCGGCCTCGCTCTCCTCTGTCGGTTCTTCAGGGCCCCCGGTCCGGGCCGCATCTTCTTCGCGCGCATTTGGTGTAGATTCTGTCATGACAGACTCCTGTAAAACGCTTCGAAGATACCTCTTCGTCGCCTCGGGTGAGTCCCAGGCGTCGTGACGGGACAAATTCGGGGTCAACGCTTCGACCTGCTGCCGGAAACCATGCGCCATCTCTGGCGTCACGTGTCCTTCCTGGTACTGATCCAGAACCCTGTTGATCTCGCTCCTCGCTTCTGTGCTTAACGTGTAAGTATTATGATTATTGATTTTGTCGTTGTTGCCGTTGTCAGCATTGGTCCGGTCAAAATGATAACTCCTTGCAATCTCCACCGCATTGTCTGGCATCGGTGGTGGCGGCTGCTCGCGAGCCAGCATTTCAGCGTACTTGCGCTGGAACACCATGCTCACCGAGTCATCCGGCACAATCGACGACCGGCCGTCGAAGCCGTCGAAGCCGTCGTCAAAGTCTGAGCCGCCCTCCTCTCGCGGCGTGTGAAAGGCCTCTGGTGAGCTCCCGGAGTTGTTGGTAGGCAACTCCGGCGTCCAAGTCTGGGCTGCCAACTTTGGCGTCGTGCCGAGCATGAACTGGACCGTCTCGCCGTCGTCAATCTGCGTTAGGTAGTCGTCCGGAACCTCTGTCCGCGACACAGGCGACGTCTCCGAGGGGCTATGCTGTCGCAGGCTGAGCACATGCTTCAGCAGGCTTTGCGAATCTCTTCGGTTCTGCAGATGTTCTGGAGATGTCGCTGGTGCAGATGATTTCGTTGCAGGCTCAAGCTCAGCAGATTCTGTCGGTGGCGTCACTTGGATCGGTACGGCCTGGTGCTGCTGCTGGCCCTCATCAACCCCGGCCGTGGGCGATTCCTCGAAATCTGTGCTTGCACCGCCCGCGCTGCGAACATCGGATTGTTGAGTTCCGCTTGCATTGCCGCCAACATCTGACGTCTCGATAGACAAGAGCGGCACGGACATAGTGGTCAACGACTTGCGCGAAGGCAGCGTGTCGCTACTGACGTCGCTCGCCGCATCGGCCTCGACCCAGTTGGTGCGGCGGGACGGATACTTGCCCTCCTGTAGGTTCTTTAGGTCTTGCCTCACCGGCCTTGCGCGAGTGTCACCACCAGCGAGGTTCTTTTGCAGCCGCGCCCGCCTCTCGGCAATGTCTACCTGGGGAATTGTTGGTTTCTGCAACCGTGTAGACGAGGACGAATTCTGCATCGGCTTAAAGCGCTCTGTCACCTTGGCCTTAGAGGCAACAGTCGCTGCAGTGACCGGTTGTCTGTTGCGCGTGCTTCGCAAGGGAGGCGAGGTCTTTGGGGGCGGAGCCTTGACCATGGCGTGTAGATGGCTTGGGTCTGCCAATTTACGCGGCGGACTGTACCGCCTTGATGATAATAGCATCGGCGAGCTCGAAGATGCAGCAACGGTGGCTTGCTGCTGACTGTAGGCGGGAGTTGTTTGGGCGTTGGGCCGAGACCGCGACCGTGAGGCAGATCCATTCGCGGGTCCGATATCTGAGGCTCGTCTAGAGCGCGGTACGGGGATACGAGATGCAGACGGGGACAGGTTCCTGCTGTGATCGCCAGTTGGAGAGGGAGTAGAGCTAGACACATTAGACGAAGACGCAGAGTAAGGTTGTAGGCTGGCTTCGTGGCTGTACGAGCGGCTGTGACCGGTGCCGGTGTGACCCAACGTAGGAGAGTTGCTGCTCGAGACGTCTGACTGGCTTCGACTGCGAGCGAACATAGCGTTTGGCTCGTGCATGCTGCCGCTGGTCGATGTGGTGTGTGCGGCGTGCACAACGTCGATGCCATGGCCCACAAGGTTCGTGGCTGCCGCCATACTTGTGTCTACCTCTCCAAACAGGAGCCGCCGCCCTCTGCCGTCGGTGTGAAGGTCGAGGGGAGAAGAAGCTGGCATGTGGTCCTTGGACAGGCGTGTGCGTGGGGGAGAGCGCAAGGCTCCAACGCTAGCGGGCGTGCTTGTGTTTGCGGTGGTCACGTTGGCCGAGGCGGACGAGGGAGGCCGCGATCTGCTGTAGTACCGGCCAGTACTGGAGGCGCCGCGACTGCCTTCTGCAGCAGGGCTGGACTCCCGCGACCTCTCCAATTGCTGTACGCGCTCACGTATGGTGCCACCATGACCCTGGATGTGGGAGGAAGCGCCGAGAGCACCCATCGACTTGGCCGAGCTGAGACCAGTGGGCCGTGCGGTCGCAACCGGACCGGACGCGGAACGTGTGCTCGGACGGGAGGGCGAGCTGTTGGCGGACGCGGTTGCGATGGGAAGTCTTGAAGAGGAAATGCCGCCAGCAGCGCTGGCACGCCTCTGCCGAGCAGTTGGGTTAGGCATCATGCCAGGACGAGGTTCAGCATCATCTGGGACGGTCTGAATAACAATGTCCGGGTGTGAGGCACGGTGGTCGGCGAAAGGACGGTAGAAATCATCCGGGTCGCCTTCAAGGCTCGCGGCGCTGGTAGAGAAACGATGCTGGTACTGCTCTGGCTGCGGTGGTGGTGGTGGTGGCGGCAGCGGCGTAGGATTGACACGATAGTAATTCTCAGACGAATAGGGATCGTACTCGAAGGAGGCGCTCAAGCCGTTGGCAGCGGTCGTCGTGGTTACGGTTGTGGTGGTGAAAGTAGTGGTCGTGGCATGGCTGCTGGAGTTGGAGGCGGAGAAAGGGTCGGCGTTCGACATCGTCTTCGCCTAACCATCGTTCTGTCTCTTGCTGCGCGACCTTCACACGGGGGTTAGGGACAGCCGCCCGCGCCCGGAAAGCGTGCTTTCGGCCGCTGGACGAAGCAGAGCAATGCAGAGTCGAGGACAGGGCAGGCTGGCCGAAGGGCGGGCGCGCGTGTCAGCGAACGGGGAGGGATGGAAGGGCCGCCGTCCTGAACGGCAACGAGGATGGCAGACGCAGGATTGGCAAATGCGGCAGCGTGTATGCGAGTGAAGGGTGGTGTGCCAATAGCGAGCGTGGTGAAGGGGCCGTGTCCTGTTCTCGCTGGTGGTGTCTGGGTGCTGGGATGGTGCTGGCAGTGCGAGCGAGAACAACGAGTGGCAGACAGGGCGCTGAGGAGGGATTCGGCGAAATCCTACAAGCAACACGGGGCGGGACAGAGCCCAATGACGGTTGTGGTGGTGAAGGCGGCAGAGGCAAGTGTGGTGAGTGGTTGTGGTTGTGGTGTTGGAGTCGGTGGTGTTCGTCGGTGTTTCAAGCGGTTGACCAAGTTGGCGTCGACGGGCGCAGGCAGGGGACGTTTGGAGTCAGGTCGGAAACCCGCAGCGGCGAATCAGCGGCCGGCCGAGTGGCGCATCAAAGCAAGGCTGAGGCGCCCGAAAAACGCGACCAAGGCCGAGATGAGACGACGACAAGCGGACGCGCTGGGGACTGTGCAAGTACGGGCGTGCGTGTGGGCAGCCGGGCGCGGTTGCGAATGGGCGGAGGTGCGCATGCACGTATTTGTCTGCAAACAACGGGACTGACAGACCGGGCGCATCGAAAGGAGAGAAGAAGGACGGCGAGGGAACGAAAACCTAAGCGGCAGCCACCGGGGGGCGAACGGCGACAGGGCCAGACATCGGCGGTGGCATTGGTGTGGTAGTGGTAGTGGTAGTGGTAGTGGTGGTGGTAGTGGTAGTGATAGTGGTAGTGGTAGTGATAGTGGTAGTGGTAGTGATAGTGGTAGTGGTAGTGATAGTGGTAGTGGTAGTGGTGGAGATTGTGGTTGTGGTTGTGGTCGTGGCAATTTCCAGGCCGTCTCTGGTGATGCCTGCGGAGAAACGACGACGACAGCGAGGAGAACGAGGACGTGGACGTTGAAGGGCCGAAGAACTGGACAATCACCATGCCTGACACGCATGTGCGTGTCTATACACGTTCTACTTATGCATACACCCAGACGTACATATCTGCGTGTGTGCGTGTGTTCCAGAAGACGTGTGTGTCTCTGTGCATGTCGGCGCCTACGCACACTTGCCTGGTCTCCTGCTTTGTGTCAGGAACTCGGCGGTGCTTGTCGTTGAATATGCATCGCCATACCCGTTTGCATCTGTTGGCCATGCAGTGACGTGCGTACAGGACACGCTTCTTACATCGTCTTTTGTCTCCGCACCGGTGGCCAACACCAGCGTCCATCCCGTCCGCCCCGGCGGTGCCGGCGCTGCCACTCCACGCTGCATCCAAGCTGCCATGTCCGCCCCGTGCTGTCCTGGCCACGAGACTCCAGAGCTGCTGTCCACTCGATTGTTCCCGTTTGCTCCCGTTTCATGCTTCCAAGCCCCCTCTGACTGCGTGTCTGATCGGCAGAACACTGCACAAGCACTGGACGCCGCGCGAGGCAGCTTCAGCGCGTCCTTCGCGGCTTCGCCGACGTCCACGCGCGACGTTTGGCTCTTGAACCGCCGCGTCCGCGCACGCCACATCGACCGGAGCACTCGCTCATACAGCCGCGCTCAGGAAGCCATCTCCGCTTCTTCATCCTCTGTCCGCCCACTGCACGTCCGAAGCCAAAAAAAAAGTTTAAAGTTTCCGACCTGGCCTACAATCAAAGTCCGGCTGCGTGTGTTCCCACCCCCGCCCACGCCCTGCCGATCAGGCCCTATCGTGTCCTCGCGATTTGGCCGCGCGCACGACCAAGCCCACGCCGATAATCACTGGCAGCGCGCGCGTCGTGGACGCGTTCAAGGCCGTTCACTGGCAGTGGGAAACCGGCCTCTCATTACAACGTCACTTGCTGCTACACGCCTCGAAGCACGGCTGCGGCGTCGTCCGACGTCTAGCACGCAGGTCATCGTCCCGCTGCCAGGGGCGTCGGGCGCCTGCACGCTGTGCCTTTATTACCCGTCGCGCAGCCAAAGCCAGGTCTGCCCCGTCACCAACCCTCCCTCTTCGCCGTTGAGCACTCACCCCCGCGGCTTCGACCGTCGCCAGAGACAGCAGCCCAGTGCCGGGACGGAATCCTCTCCCATCTCTTGTTCTTTCTTCTCATCATTTCCACGCAAAACACGCCCGTAGCCCCATCCTTGTGCTTTGGGCAAGGGCTATGCCTACCAACCCGTGCTTACAGCCTTAGCTCTACCCACCGTCTCACTCTCACCTGCTTTGCTCCTGCATGAAAAGATAAGAGTTTGGAAAAAAGGGGTGGAAGACCCTTCTTGCTACCGAGATCCTCTGGGGTCCACTGTTTAGTTTGGTCCTTCAAAGAGATCGGATGAGTGTCAAGGACGATTTCTTTTTAACGCAGGCAATCTAACGGACCACGTGACATCATGGGAGCCAAGCGGAAGAGGCCTGCCACCAGGAACGCGTCGGCGAACAAGAGAACGAAGATTGCATGTGTGGCAACGGGTCGCAAAACCAATGGTGCGTATGTCCAGCGGCTTGTGGACCATGCAATCGGAACCATACACAATGAGCAGATATATGTGTGCACGTGAGTGTGGAGGGCGAGTGCAGGCGAGTCTGTACTGGCCACATGCTAACATGTATGCGAACCGCGGATGGATATGCCCGCATCTATGAAGGGCGTACAGCTGCGTATCGAGCACCTCCCTCTCCTGTGCGCGCATACCCACGCACCCACATCTGGTAGTTCCTACGCGTCGTCCACGCCCAAAGCAGTATTATGCTACCCTCGCTGACATGATCATACACTTGCACAGCCAGCAACGATGCCGACAACGCCGTCCAAATCGACCACCCAGTGCTCAAGCACTACTTCTCACGCGTGACCACGTTGCGTGAGCATCTCGCAAGCGACCTGCGGGAGCGGTTTCCTTCTGCTACCGCTGCGCAGGTGCTGGACCGGCTTGCCACCCAGGCCGATCATCGCGTAACCAATCTGCTTGACTCTGTCCTGGTGGGCTGTCGCACATCCGCTGCAGACAGGCGCGCCCACCGTGAGCGTCGCGCCAAAGACCTCATCTCCTTCACGCAACAGCTGCCCTCCTCCACCATCGGTAGTAGTGCTGGGGCCGGGCCCGGGGCCGGGGCGGCTCAACTTGAGGTCGTCGACTTTGTCGTTTGGCTGCTCTTCCGCCGGAACCAGCTCGTCACTCGTCCGCAGCATCTTCTCGCTCAGGGATTCGATCGCCTGTCCGCCGTCCATGCGCAAGCACGGCCAGGCGGCCTCAATGCCGTGAGCGCCTTGCCCAGCATCCCGGGCATCGTGTGCACTTTCGCGAATCCGCACGTTGAGTTCGTCACGTCCGCGGCATGGTGTGCGCTGTTGCGGCTGCTTGGGCCTGGGGGTGACATCGTCATGGTCGATCTCCTCTTGGAGTGCTGCCTCTTCCTGCCCCTTTCTCCCTCTCCTTCTGATAGTTCAGGTAGTCGTAATGTGAGAAGTCTAAAGCAGTTCAGCGGTACGATTCCTCCATTCTCTCATGCGTCCCATCCCGGTCCCCGCTTTCTCTATCAGTGTCATTTCGTTCTTTTCTGATTCTCGCGGGTAGGTGTTCCTCTCTCTTCACTCCAGCCGTGCGCTAGTCTCGTTGCCGCCTCTGCCGACGCCTCTGTAGCCCCTAATCGCGCATCGGACGTCGCTCTCAGACCTGCTGCGCCCGGAGCGCTGACCAGCGTCGCACAATCTGGGGCCAACACTCTCTCCAGACTGCCCTCTCAGATCAGGTTCGTCCGCAACAGGATGTTCTTTGCCCAGCCATCCGTCAGCGCCAACGGTAGAATCAAGTTCGGCCTTCACAGCATTCGTAAGTCCTTCCTGTGCTTGTATCTGGGGGCAAGTTTGCTCGGCTGCTTCCTTTAGGCATTACGTCTCCTACTATGCTTCTCTTGCAACACTTTCATCTGCTCTACCCCCCCGGGTCCTCCTGCTCCCTATCTACTAGCGGAATCAAACTTCTCAAGCTCACACACGCGACCTAGATGTTTTGAATCGGTATCCAGATTTCCGCGATAAGGAACAGACTGTGCATGTGCTCAAATACATTTTCCCGCGACAGTTCGGCCTGCACAATGTTTTCACCTCCGCGGTAGACAGTCGCGAGTCTGCGCTGCCGTTCAAGGACTACACGTTGCGTGAAGCTGAGATCAAACGGCTCACTATGAATCAGCCTCGTGGACGTGATTCGACGCTAGAACAGCCGCAGTTGAAAGTTCCGAAGCGTTTGGCGGGCGATGCCCTAGAGCTCGTGGGTAAAATGAGGAAGCTACATGCACGGTGCGAATACACTCAGCTGCTCAAGTATTACTGTGAGCTGTCGGTAAGGGAACTGCTCACAATCATTGATGCCGAAAGTAAGCACACTGACAGGTTGAGATGCAGGATGCGTCGGCTGCTCTCATCGACAAAGGCGAGGCGCCATCGGCAATCACTGACTTGGCGACACCTGTATCCCGCGTGTCCGCCTTTTGTCAGGCCGTGATCAAAAAAGTCATCCCAAAGGCGTTCTGGGGCGATGGCGAAGAAGGCAAGCACAATAGACGCATTGTCCTGAAGCACGTTGACATCTTTCTGCGGGCCCGCAAGTTCGAGAGTTTCACGCTGCACAGTATCACGGACGGCCTCAAGGTCAAGGCCATGTCGTGGCTCCGCCTCCCACACCAGCAGGCACACCACAACATGTCGCGGTCAGACTTTGCCAAGCGCAAGGAGCTGATCGCCGAGCTCGTCTACTACGTGTTCGACTCACTGCTCGTCCCGCTTGTGCGGTCCAACTTTCACGTCACCGAGTCGAACGCGCATCGGAACCGGCTCTTCTACTTCCGGCACGACGTGTGGCAGGCCGCGTGCGCGCCCGCTCTCGAGACTTTCAAATCCAGCTTGTTTGAGGAGCTGAACGCGCGAAGCACGAAGCAGCGCCTCGCGGGAAGGACTTTCAAGTATAGTACTGTGAGGTTGTTGCCCAAGGTGACTGGCTTCAGGCCAATCACGAATCTGAGACGCAGGCCGTACGTCTGGGTCAACGGGCGGAAGATGCTGGGCAAAAGCATAAACGCTGCGCTGAATCCGGCATTCAGGGCGCTGAACTGCGAGAAGGTGAGCCGTTGATCGCTACTTGTGGTTTCATCATTCTTCTGTCGAATCTCTTCCTGTTTGTTTCATGGCTAAGAAGGCGAACTGCAGGCAACACACCTGGATGACCTCGGCTGCTCTCTGTTCTCGGTGGGAGACATCTACCCGAGACTGAAGGAATACGCATCCAGACTGCGCCAGCTCGGCCTTTCTGGCCAGCGCTTGTATTTTGCCAAAGTGGACGTCCAGGCTTGCTTCGACACAATACCGCAAAAATCGGTGCTCAATGTGGTGAAAGAGCTGCTTTCCACCACAGAGTATATAGTTGCCAATGACGCGCGGGTGAAGCCGCCCGAGCTCACGACGCGGCGTAGGGGCGAGCAGAGTGTGCGGCCGATCGTCAAGTTTTCTTCTCGCGCGCGGCCAGCGGGCTTCATTGCGTCGGAGGCGAGCGTCGAGACGGCCGAGCTGTCCAAGCTGGGCAGCGACGTTCTCGTTGCGCCGCTCAACCAGCAGGCCTACCACCAGCGCCAGATTGAGGAAATGATCACCGAGCACGTCGAGTTCAATCTGATCAAAATCGGCCGCAAATACTACAGGCAAAAGAACGGGATCCCCCAGGGCTCCGTGCTGTCAAGCCTGCTGTGCAACTTCTTCTACGGACGGCTGGAGAGGGCAGAGCTGCGTTTCCTACAGAACGAGCACACGTGTCTGCTCCGGCTGATCGACGACTTCTTACTCATCACGACGGAAAAGAAACTCGCGGAACGCTTTCTACAGGTTATGCACAGAGGCCTGCCTGAGTACGGTGTCGCGGTCAAGCCAGCGAAGAGCCTGGTGAATTTTGACTTCGTCGCCAACGACGGTCACACCAAGCTGCCGAGGGCTGACGGTCCTGGGTTTCCATATTGCGGTCTGAGCATTGACATGGCCACACTCGAACTCAGCAAGAACGGCGAACTCAAGCCGGGCACGACGGTGTCAGACTCACTCACCGTGGAATATTCAACCATGCCGGGCAGGACGTTCCGTCGAAAGGCGCTCAAGTATGTTGTCTCCTTTGCGCGCCCGTTTTTGTAGAGACATGAGTCTGTATAGTAACTAATGCGTCCGCCTTGCAGTGCGCTCAAGATCCAGATACACCGCATGTACTTCGACACGTCCTTCAACAGCCTCGATACCGCACTCGCGAATCTCTATCGGCTGTTCCACGACGCGGCGCAACGAGCAGAGCACTACATGCGTAGCATGCCCAAGCACGCCTCACTTTCGGTTGAAACCTTAATAAGTAAGTTTTCTCGCTCTCCCTCCAATCCCCGCTCCGTTGTCCCTTCCGGCGTAAACTGTATCGGAACTGTCCGCGAAACAAAAATCGCCCAAAAAAAAAAGAGAAAGAGGAGCTTGGGCGGTTCTCGACCGCGCAGATCAATGCTCATTACTCTTTCTTCCACCCTCTCATTGTTTTTCTCTGCAAAGCGAGGGGCCAGGCAGGTGGATCGCTGTACATTCTTCCCTATCTGGCCTATGTGATGAAAGGGGAGGGTATTGCGATCTACCAGTCTGCGGGCATAAATAGAACAATACCGAGCACCAGGAAAAGGAAAGGAAAGGAGAAAAAAATACTCCTAGAAATCGAGATGCTGATCAACCTCGCCCACGATGTTAGACACGATCAAAGATCTTGCACAGTTGGCGTGGACGATGATCCGCGACCGACACGTGCGCAAGCCCAGAGGTAGCAGCGACCGCAGCGATTACGAATGTGCCATCCGGAAGACGCAAGCTTTCTGGTATGTACCCACCTTTGCTGCGGGGAGTTTTTATCCCGTCTTTGTTGTGGAGATTGTTGTGTTTCTTCCTCAGGATCCTGCGCCCGTGACAGGTGCTACAATTGACAAGTCCCAAGAAAGATGCTGACTTGAGTGCGATGTGTTTCCAGCGTTGCGTATCAAGCTTTCCGGGACGTGTTTATGCTGAGACAGACCAAGCATGCTGCGCTGCTTGATTGGCTGCAGAGCGAGATCAAGTCATCTTGGCCAGCGGTCGGGGTGGAGCGTGCTGCCCTGTTACGAGTGGTACCATCGATGCTCGAGTAAAATTGGCTGCTCATCTTGCTGGACGGGTCGGAGTCGAGAAACAAACAAGAACTCTGACGGCTCTTTCGTCCACACCAATGATTTCCTCGCTGCCGCTACGCTCTCGCCTTCCTTGCCGCGTACATGCACAACAGTGTGAGTAGAATCGAGAGCACAGCTGGCGGCCCAGTCTTAGCAAGCTTCCAGAAAGAAAGAAATCAGGGAAAATAATGCAAGAAGAAACCCGGTTTTTCCTTTTCCCTTCTCCTCTCACCCTGGCCATGCACGAGGCGCGGCGCGGGCGGTTCTTTTCGATAGCTCGTGCACCGACCATTCGCTCCAGCCCGGCTAGTCGACGGGCCTAATCATAGTGATAGTAATGAGCAGAACCCGGCTGCCGAACCGTCCTTGGACCGCTTTCTTCTCGGGTCTCTCAGTACAATGTTAGTAATTTGATTGATGAAGGGTGGTCTGAGGCTAGCCAGCATGATGCGCTGTCGAAATCATCACGATTGACCGCACAGTCATTCTGCTTATCGCCGCTCTCTCTTCTCAAAGGCGCTGGGGAGGGGCTCTTCGCAAGATCCGGATCTGGAAAGGTGATTCATTCGACAACACAACTTGTTTTCCAGCGAAAGCACAAGGTATTCTCGCCCGGCGTGTTTCCCAGCTGAGAGCGTATACGACGTGCGTAACTGCTAGGAAGAGGGTTGGCATGCACCAGACCCCGACAGATATGCGTGTGGTGTGTGAGGCAGCCATAAAGCTTGGTTCTGAAACGGTGAGAGGTCACTCTGGGGCTCGATTGGATGCGACGACTGCTGGTGAACGCTACAATCTGCCCCAGCCTTTCTCATGCAGATGGCTTGCATGCACTGTGTCACTGAGGCCATGCTGCTCACTTTTTACGAACGTCAAGTCCAGAGATGCATCTGCTTTGTCGACTGTCCAACCCCCCAGAATGGACGATTAAAAGCCGTCAGGGCCGCCTTCGATGCAGGAATCAGATTCTTAAACACTGCTCATCTATGTTGTTCTTCCCGTTTAGTTGCCTTGCAATATCACCTGGGGCATTGCTTCTGAACGACTGAAATCAATCGCTGTGGCCGAGACGACGCTACAACAACGGTTTTTTTTTTGGGGCCTACTACATACAGCAACAGTCCAGGTGATCTTTTGATCGTATCGGGGACCGGAAACGCATTGGCACCCGAACACTCGACTCTGCTCCAGGCAATCTGCGCCGACGCGGACAACCCTGGCGAGAGGAATCGAAGGTGACAGCGTTGGCCAGCCATGCCGATCCCCTGCTCACGCCCCTAAAGTGGAGCCCCCCATCTCAAGTGCACATTCATCAATCATCATGACGGCTCTGCATTCCTCTCACTACACGACGTCTACGACTACGACTACGACTAAGACCACCGTCGCGGCTCTATTCAAAGCTGGCTGCGATCCCTCCACTCTTTACTGCAACGGCATCGACGACAATGGCCGCGGCCCACACTTATCCCTAATCATACCGGGCCTGGATGGCTCCTACCCTCGTTCTCGCCTTGCCAACGATCAGTGTTCATCATATTACTACTACCACTGCGCCAGTTGCCTCCACAACCGCTATCCTTACCAACACCAACACAGTCAATCGCGCTCCCTGCTCACCCACGCCCCAATGGCGACGCGGACCCTTTATTCTTATAGCACCAACCATCACTCGTCTTCTGCAACAGCGAATCACGGCGGTGGCGCCGAAGCAGTGTGCACACTCCACGAAGTCTCCTCTCCCGGATCACCACCTGAACTGACAAACTCGAAGTCCAGCAAGAGCTCCTCCTTTCACTCGTCTAGCCTGTCCGACGCCATCAACAACGACCTCGCTCATTTTGAGGATGTGACCCTGGACGACTTTGGCGAACAGTATATACGAAAAATGGCAGACACCCACGTCAAGCCGCGGCCCAACACAGGTGCCCGCTTGCTTCCCTCCTCTTCGACCGTCCGTGCCAGGGATCTGACGAGCACAAAACACAGCGGATTTTCACAGTCTCGTCTGGGAGGCTCTCCCGTCGTCCCCGATCGTGAGTCGATCGCACAGCAGATGAGTTTGAACATCCCACCCAAACAGTTGTCTAGGCGACGCAGGCCCAGACCACCCCAACCCAATTCGCTCCTCACCAGTTTCCAGAACAAGCGTTCTCGTTCCACCAGCCCGGTCTCTTCCCTAGGGAACGACGGTCGCAGCTCAAGCCAGGGACGTCTGTCCGTTGGGACAAGCCCCCGACCTGGGAGCTTCGAGAGTTTTGCACATGCTCGCCGGCAGTCGTGGCAGCCCGGCCGACGAAAGACGGTCAAGGAACTGGAGGACGAGTATGACGATTTGGACGAGGACCTGCCGGAAGATGCTGTTATCTGGAACGTGCCCATCTCACCCCGGCCACCACAGGAGCGCGAAAAGTCGCGCAGTCCGAGGCAGTCGTGGTCTTCGACCAGCCATTCTCCCGTAGACGTGGGGCGTGGGTTGGGGCTCGACTTTTCGCAGTCGGCGAATCCAATGCCGGTGCAGAAGCCCCCGCGATCACCGCGATTGTCCAGCCTGCCGCGAAGCGTGTCGATGACCTCGATTCCGGAGGACTACTCCCTCAATCCTCGGTCCGGTGTCAAGTCCTGGGACGCGACTATGTCGGATTTGTCGGCCGAGGCGCGGATGTTGACGCAGGTGTTAGAGGAACGCGCTGAGGAGCGGGAGAGGGAGGCGGAACGCACAATACAGAACGGCGGCAGTCCATCGAAGCACAATGCAAAAAGAGCAGTTTCAGCCTCAACAATCGAGCTGCCGCCCATGCGCCGCGGCGAGCTCATGATTGATCCGCTGCCCGTGAGCAAGGAGAAAGAAAAGTTCCTGACGCGCACACGGCCTAGCTGGCTCCCTCCCAAAGATCCTGAAGAAGAGAAGAGACATCTCAGAGAATATCAGAAGATGATGGCCAAGTCCCTCGAGGCAGAGAAGAGGAAAGCGCGGCAGCAGCAGGTCGAGCAGTACAAGCGGGACCACGCGAAAGAATCGATTGCTCGCGTGTGGCAAGAAAACGTGCTCCCCAACTGGGATGAGCGAATCAAAGACCCGAAGACGAGAGACCTCTGGTGGAAAGGTGTCACACCGCGCGACCGTGGACATGTTTGGGCCAAGGCTGTGGGTAACGAGCTGGGTCTCTCGGAGTCGAGCTATAACCTGGCCCTTGAGCGAGCTAAGGCAGTGGAGCGGAGGCTGGCCGCTCTTGGAGAACAGGAAGCGGAGAAGGAAAAGGAGTGGAGATGGTTTAGCGCCATCAGACAAGACGTGAAGGAGGCGTTCCCGGAGCTGAAGATCTTCCAGCCAGAAGGACCGCTGCACGATACGCTCATTGAAGTGCTCATGGCGTACGCGATGTACCGGTCCGACGTTGGCTATGTCTACGGCATTCATGTACGTGTTTTCAGCACCTCCGAGCTCCTCAAAGGATGGTGGTATTCTTTTTTTTTTTTGTATGCTGACATGTTTTGCACGCAGTTCCCAGCCGCGCTTCTCATTCTCAACTTGTCCGGCCCCGCCGCTTTCATTACACTGGCGAACATATTTAATCGCCCCATTCCTGCGGCATTCCTCACGTCCAACTCAGCCTCCATGTCAGCCGCGTACAAAGCAGTTCTTAGTCTACTTGAGAAGAAAATCTCTGTTTTGCACGCGCACCTGACGAACCCTCAGCTCGAGCTTTCGCCCGACTCGTACCTCGGACCCTTTTTTCAGTCGCTGTTCTGCAGCCAGCGTTTCGGTATGGATATCGCGTCGCGCATCTGGGACGTCTACGTTTTCGAGGGCGAAGATGAGACGCTCATTCATGCTGCGTGTGCCACACTGGCAAAACTCGAGGGCAAGTTGTACGGCAGCAGGGATGAGATTCTTGATGCGCTCTCCGAGAAGCAGTACAGCCTCGGCAAAGAGGATGACTTCATGGATCTCGTTCGACAGCTGGGGAACAAGAAGGATGACAAGCGGCCGAATTCATGGTAGATGGTCGCTCTCATCCTCTTTCACCCTTTGCCATTCGTAAATGCCGAACGCCGGACCGGCGTCATTATCTTACTTTCTTTCCAAACTCCACCATGGTAGTCATCCTCAAATCCTGCACATTCTCACTTGTATAGCGATGACGAACCTTAAAGCGCTTATGGTTCTCTCTCGGGCAGATCCCGCTGAGATGACTTGTCGGTTGGGAATCATGTTTCAGCTCATTTGTAGAACGACTTTTTTTTCGTGTCTCCTTTCTCACTCTTCAGCTCCATCACTGTGAGAAAGGGGGTGGGTGTTTGTTCTTGTACATATGTGTACATTTTCTTTAATCCTTCTTTTCTTCTTACCTACTCATGACTGCCTCTGACACGGCGTTGCATAGACCGAATTCTCTTTTAGCTTTTACTGGAAACACCAAGTATGGAGAAGGCGAAAATGTGAGCGACACTAATAGACTGTGGATAATGAAGACGTTATTGCTATACGGTACCTTACAGAGTGAACTGGACGGAGTCTCTATTCTATTCACTGTCATCATTCCGTATCCGCGCGTCTACAAGCCAAGAGCTGATCAAAAATTTTGCAAGCTAAGAACAACTATCACGCCAGACATGTGTGAAAGTGGTCTGGCACAGCCGTCGTCATTATCTTACATAGTTTGCTAACAGAATAGGCATGCCTTCACGTGTCACAGACATTTACACCTCGATGATCATGTCATACCGTTGTCCAGCCATCTCAATTGGACTCGTCACGATCCTTGCACCGCGCTGGCTGCTGGAGGACACTACGTCCAGTACTGGTGCCATTCCTTCAGTTTGCCCTCGCTGCGTCAGACTCGGAGACTCAGCTCCTTCCGTTTGTCTCGCACGATCCGGACTCCACAAAATCATATCCGCCGGGTGCGGGGTCGGAGACCGATGCTGATTCTGTGTCGTCCATGAGCGGCGGTGATGCGAACTTTGTGACCTTTTATGGGACATGATCCATCTACTAATGTTGTACTTTGTGTTGCGCGGGTCAGATTTGTTGAGACGACTTGGGACAGAGCGATCGTGCCCGACACCCATACCACCGACAACCGGAGCGGGCGCGGGTTCGTGGTTGGGCCCAGTTGCATCAACATGTGTGCGAGGGAAACCTGCAGAGCTTATCTGAAGCGTCCCCGATGGTTGCGGGCTCAACTGGTACTGCTCAGCGAGGCTCAAGCTCAGCGGCGTTGAAATGGCCATGGCAAAGTTGTGCAGCGATGGCGGCGTCGGTGGTTGTGGAGGGGAAGGGCCTCGCCCTTGTGCCCTCGACGCAGCTTCAACCCTGTCGGCGAGGCGAGAACGGCGCAGGCGCGCAAACGGGTCAACGAAGAACCAGACAAGGATGCATATGACGAGAACAGAACCCACGCCAGTGCCGACGCCGATGCCGATCTTGGCTGAGGTTGGAAATGCGTTGCGTGTGCTTGCTGCTTGGTCGGAAGCTGATACCGTGCTGCTCCCCAATACATCAGAGAATGACCGTGACGTGTGCGAAGTCCCCTGGGAGCTAGGAGGCGTTTCGAATGCGGATGTAGCAGCAGAGAAGGCCGTTACAGTTGCTTCCTTGAATTGCCAGCCATTGAATGGGATTCCAAGAGCGCTCATCCTTGCTGTTGCCGTAGCAGACGTCTTGACCCAACCGGATATGCTTCCAAAGTCTCTGGCAAAGTGATACACCTGACCGATAGAGATGTACGATACACACTGGCTGACTGGAGCATTCTCTGATACAAGAGCGTTGGTTTGGAAAGTATAGCCTCTGAGGGCGGAGATCAGCTTATATTCTTGGATAAGTGTCAAGTGTCTTCAAGGGATCGATACTCACGAGGGGCAACAAGCGACAAATGTACTTCTAGCGTCTTTGGCACTAGAGGTTACCGTATAGTACGCCTTCGGGCAGACCATGGGCCCCAGGCTTATGGTCGTCTTGGGATCCGATTGCTCCCACCACGCAATAGCACCGGATGGCAAGCACTTGATGGACGAGTCCGCCGTTATGGAATGTCGAGGATCCCATCCAATCAAGCTGCCTGAGTCTGCTGATGTGATTGCAGTCGCACACCCGTCCATGGACGGAAATGCAGAAGGAATCGGAATCCATTTCGTGACTGCGCTAGAGTCGTTTTCCGGCCGCGCAGGAGTATCGCGCACATCAGACATGAAAAACTGGGTCGACATGGCATGCTACAAGGTGAACTAGTCTGGGCGCGAATTCATGCTTGCCGTACGCAGAACACAATGTGCGAAAGAGACGAGAAGACCGGCATGCCAGGAATGGGAGACGTGACTATTTCACTTCCCGAGGTGAACGTACAATTCGACTGCTAGTACTACGAGGATCGCAACATGTTCACCATGCAAGTCATCCTTGCAGCTGATTACAGTAGTGACCCGAATGTTGGAGGTATTGCCCACCTAATGATAAGGCGTGCAGTTAAAGCTTGGATTTTACTTCACGGTTATCCTAATATCCCACAGTGCCGCGGGCCAGCAACCGGGATCTTAAACGTCCCGCGCTGTCGCGCATTAGACACCAACGGGCGTCGCAAAAAGAAAAGCATCCTTTAAACGTCAAAGACGACTTTGGTTCTGCCGCTCGACTAAGGTGGGCTGCGGGTGTGGCGCACCATGTTCCGTCGCCCATTTGATTCTGAAAAATAATTGCAAGTCCTCCGTCGATACTCATAGTATCTGATTATAAGAATGTCTAACTTGATAATATACATTTGTAAATTGAATTTTGATCAGATTTATGATCGGTTGTCTTTATTCTGAACGATCGTTGGCATGACTTTGGGAGTCTGTCTCCCACGCGAATTGTTCCATCCCGTGATGCCGCAACGTCCCACACCCCCTATCTCCCCTGACGCTGGCAGCATGCTGGCCGATGCATGCATACATATTGCTTTTCATGTGGACAACCAGAGATGAAAAATCAAATTCAAGAAGGTTGGGTGCCACAACAGCCCAATCAACGAAGTGTGTTAAACACTCCCCCATCGGCTCAATACTGTAAACTCGCTACCAGGACCGTCAACACGGCCACGAATAATGAGCTGCAGACTATCTGGAGCGTGGAAGTGGCCGTCATCGAGCTACCCGCGCTGCTCTTTTCTTCTCCAATAACACCTTGGCTGGAGGCTGTAATCAAGGTCAGTCTGCGGGTCGCCAAAGATGGTCGAAAGGCGCAGAAGGCAAACAAAAAAAAATTTTGCATGACTTGATCCGGCTGCTGGAGGACGCCTCGCAATAATGTTGCGTCCCCCAATACCACGAACCTGGTCAAACAATGCTTGCCATTTGACTTGATGATCATGTCGAGCGAGGCGACTCGACCTTGGCACTCAGGAAAACTTACTGCTTTGCGACTGGTTCGTTGACTTGCAGGCTGCAACCAGCGTGGTGTTCTTCTGAAGCGTGGCCAGCTTCTCGGTCGCGTTCTTGGCCCGATCCGTGAATTTGGTCATCTCGGCGGCGGTGAGGTTGTGCTTTGTCTGGAACTCCTGCAGCGCGGTCTGGTTGTTGGCAAGGTCCGACAGCATAGTCAGCTCCTTGATCTCACGACACTGTGCCCGGAGTTTCATGCCGGCCGCCATGACGGCGCACTCCTGCATGAGTGTCGAGTTGCTCTGCAGAGCCTTCAGCTTGGCCTCGTCGGTGGCGGCCTTTGACTTGATTTCGGCTATGTCACTCTGGCTCAGGTTGTGGCGGGTCTCAAACTTGGCCAGTTCCGTGGCATTGTTCACCAGGTTTACTATGGCCGTGATTTCAGCAATCTCGGCACATTGGCGACGCTCTGTATTGGCCATGTGGGTGCCATTTCGAGCTCCATCCATGTGGTGTTCTGCCGTGCTGTTCCCTTTCGCGGCAGCAATCGCGGCACAGCCGAGAAGAATGAGCCGAGTGAAGAGCATGATGATTTTTTATTTTTAATGTTTATTTTTTTCCCCTTCCGGAATGGATTCTGCAGACAAGAAACAAAGAAGACGAGAATGAGAGTAATTCGATATAGCGGACGATTGCGAGAGATGGAAGTTCGGTCCTGCCGAGTAGAAGAATGCGAAATATGTTAATGCAATGAGCATATCCAGGCAGATGATAGATCGAGATGATATAGCTGAGAAGAAACACAAACTATCGGGGCAAGGCTTACGTTGCCCATGGTTTCGCGGTAGCTTCGGCCGCAAACAAAGATCGGTCTGTTGTTACAACCAGGTCTGGTTACTGGCCGGGAGACCTTGGGAAAGCAGAGGCTGACGACGACGGTCAGTTTCGGATGCCAAGATATCACACGTGCTGCTTCCAACTGTCGATTCATGCTTGTAAATGCACGACTTTGACCGTACGGAATCCATGCACGATGGCCGCAGGTGCGGGCTTGCGCGTCAGAGCTTGGTGTTTCAGCACGCCAAGTGTGTCATGCCATGTTGAAGCATTCCCTCCGTGAGCCAATGAATGACCCGGAGGGTGAGCAAGTACAGAAACATTCCATTCACACGTCCAGAGGCGCCTAGTGCATCCTTGTGTCAGAATGAGTCGTCAGCACGGATAGCAATCAAGCTTTTTTGTTTCGTTCTTGACGGCTTGGCACTGGTTTATTAACTGAGCCACGGACAATCGTATCACGCTTCTTCTGGAACTCAGCGGATCCGAGATCTAAAATGAAAGTTCAACCTTGCGGCGCAGAAACTGGTGGCATACGTACCACTGTGCCAATCCAGGCCGTGCCGAATTCTAGCTGCATCGTAACAATGAGAAGCCCATGTGACGAGAGCCTGGTGATGGATGTTGCAACAAACCTTTACGAACTCGAATGCCCTCGAGCAGATGGATGCGCTCCAGAACTTGTTTTGGCATTCATGTCGTCTGCGACTCCGTGCGAACTAGAGCAGGTACACGCACACCGAGATCAGTTAAGCAGTCGTTGGTGATCTTGCGGTGATTCGAACTAGAGAAGAAAATAAACCCAGTCATTCTGGATTTGATAACATCAGTGAACCAGGTCGTTCGCGTTTTATTGTGGTTCTGCTAACGAATTTTCGTAGCCATGGTCATCAAGCCCGACTAATAGCTGACTTATTCCTCGTCCACGACCTCCTCTCATGTCATTCGGCATGTTCCGCTCGCATGATCCACCCAAGACATGTCGACTCCAATCACGACTTGGAAGCCACTTCTTGGCTCGCCTTCAGCTCGCTTATCACGAGGAACTCCCTTCACGAGCTCTTTGACCGGACGAAACCACAAACTCTCTTCCACGTCCATATCATGAGAGGCACACCCTCGCTAGAGAGCTCGAGAATCCGTCTTCATTCCAGACCATCTCAGCCTTCCTCTACTTTCTCACCGGGGACTGCTCCAGATCTGCATCAAAATGGAAGAATACCAATATAAAAACCTTCCGCTTCATAGCTCGTCGATTCGTGTATTGCACCTTCTTCCCAGTGTTGACGATAGTGTCATACGATGCAAGCTCGTTGTTTATCCGCTTCAAGAAGCGAAAGAAGTCACGTATCAAGCTATCTCCTACTGCTGGGGCGATGCAAATGACAAACTCGAGATCTATGTAGACGACAAAGTTCTTCGGGTGAACCGGAATCTGTGCGCAGCACTCCGCCGCTTACGCTCTAGCAATGAAGTCCGTCTGCTATGGTCAGATTCTGTCTGCATTAATCAAGAAGACAAAAAAGAAAAGGCATCACAAGTTCAGATGATGCGTCAAATTTACGAGCACGCTAGTAGCACGCTGGTTTGGCTGGGGCCTGGCGATTCGTTAACCCCTTGGGGATTCGAGCTCATCCCTCGTCTCATTGAAGCTGGGAAGTTGAGAGAGGCCAATGGCGATGAGCGCCGTTTGACACATCTGACTGCCGAGGAACGGAAGACATACGGCTTGCCATCGCAGTATGAACTGTCTTGGAGAGGACTATTTGGAATTTTTGAGTTGCCTTATTTTTCCCGGGTTTGGATCATTCAAGAAGTGGCTGTCTCGAAGTTTGTGGAAGTGTTCTGCGGCGACTCGCTCTATTGTACGTGGGATGATCTTGTCGATGCTACGAACGTGGCATTGTCTCTTCGTCTGGACGTTCTGCACAACACTTATGACTCTCGCCTCCTGACTCATATCAACAGCGCTCGTGGGCTGTTTCAATTAGGAATCGAAAGGCCTCTTTTAAGTGTGGTGGAGCAATACCGGTCTTTTAATGCTTCGGACAACAGGGATCATGTCTACGGACTGTTGGGCCTTTGTAGCCAAAGTTCCTTGCAAAAGCTCAACATTGTTCCTAATTATGATAAAAGCAATACAGTTAGAATGGTCTTGACGGAGCTAGCGTTGAAAGAGCTGATGCACAGTGGCAACTTGGATTTGCTTAGCATTCCCAAAGCGATAGACGTGCCTGGTTCTAATCTTTCGCTTCCTTCGTGGGTACCAGACTGGACTAAGGCTGCACGGTACGCACCATTCCTTAACATCGTAGGTTCGAGTGCTTTGGAAGGACTTGAAGCTTTCATAAATCAACATTCCGAACAAGGACAACAAAGTGAGTTTCCGAGTTTCGCAGCTGCTGGCTCGTCGCGGGCCAGCGTGTCCATAGATCATGAGAAACTTGATCTGAGACTGGATGGGTACACTGTGGACGATGTCACGGCGGTCGGAGCTATGTTACCGGACAGTCCGAACTCACCTTCAAACCAAGGATCGGTCAGCTTAGGGGACATAAAAACCATGATCGTTGGCTCATTCCAGGGAGTTGTGCAAAATGGAAGAACCATGCTCGACTGGGAAGAGCTCACTGGGGCAAACAAGCGCGGTCTATACAAAACTGGCGAGTCAATGAAAGACGCTTTCTGGAAAACCTTCCTGGGAGGACACACGATCCGGAAGGGAGATGAGTGGCCCTTGGAGCGTGACCGCTGGGAGTCTATCGCAGAAGAGTATCGCGCACCAAGCCGCTTCGGCGTGAGTTCGTCGTCAGTGGCATATTCGCTCGCAGTGAGTGCGAGCCTGTTCTCCAGAGTTGTAAATCAAGCATTTGGAAATTATGCAAGCAAGAGCTGGCCCCCTGATCTTCAAAGCCCATTCCCCACTCATGCTCATGGCAGACGAATGTTCAGGACGCAAAGTTCTTACATCGGCTTGGGGCCCCGGGAGATGCAGGTCGGCGACAAGGTGGCCATATGCTCAGGAGGCAAAGTGCCGCTGATACTTCGAGCGTGTGGTGATGGATATCTCTTCATTGGCGACTGTTATGTCCACGGCCTTATGAATGGGGAGAAATATGACGAGAAGAAGTGCAGAGCGTTGAGTATAAAGTAAATTGTCTACGCTTTCGTCGCCATTCAGTGCCGTCCATATTCATCAATTGCATTCTTGTTTGAGTTTGAACGTCCTCATGATCTCTCCTTCTTCGACCCAAAGATCCCCTTGGTTATCGTCTGAACAAAGATGCACAAATTCCCCGCATTTGCCTGTAGGGAGGATGAGGACAGCAAGCCTTGCTTGCTTAGAAAGGGTACGACAGCCAACGATGACGTCGAAAATACCCCGGGGGGGGGGGGGGGGGGGGGGGGGGGGGGGGGGATTTTTGCAGTGGCCGTGAGTCTTCCCTCTTTCGGAGCTGAATTCGCACGATCCCATCTTTGACGCTGATGCCTACCAACAGCGTCTTTGTATCCCAAGACTTTGATCGTACAGTTAGTTGCCTCCTTAGGCTAGACTCGTTTCACAGCTGGGCGAGGACGCCTGAGCAGGCGAACCGACGCACGACGCTATCCAAGAAAGCCGTAGAATTACCAACAAAAGAGGGGAGCTCGCGATAAGATTAACATCTGTACGGGGTCTGCTTGTGCGCACCGTCTTCATATCCTCTCCAGCGGGAACCCACCTCTTCTCTCTCTGCGATGATGGAGAGCGACACGTTCGAACGCTTCTCGGCGTTGGACTTCTCGTCCGGACAGACGACGGCGCCGGAACAAGGCGTTTTCGGCACGTACAAGGAACAGACGTCTGGCAAGATCATCGATGTCGACGTTCAACTTGTATCCGCACTGCGGCGACAGTATCCAGAGCTAATCATCACGTGAGTGCTAAGCACCCAAGCGTCGAAAAAGTATCGTTTCAAAGAGCAGAGAGCCTCGTTCTAGCTACGCGGAGTCGATCAGGGCAGGCCCCGATGCCAATGCTTACTATGATTGCAGAACAATCCCCACGTCGAACGTGAGTCTTCTGCAGTTTGCAGCAGCCGGCTATGCGACAGCAGAGCTGGACATGGACGACGAGACCATCATCAGCTGGAGAGAGTTTATCCCACCAGCGCAACGAGGAAGGGGAGACGGTATGCTGGCGGACGCGATTTACTTTGCTCGCTACCGATACCGCTGGGGCCAGGAGGACTTTCTCCTATACACCATTGTACGACAAGTCTCTTTTTCGCCCTCGACTTTTGTTTCGAATAAGGTCATCACGAATTAACTGCCGCCCAGCAAATCGGTCTGAGCAACGTCCAGTACGTGCTCAAGGAGCCTAGAGGCGGTGAGAAGATACAAGGCCACAGCCGAGTGACAGACGCTCTCATCTTTGCAGTCGGACGTTGGATGTCGACTGAGCCTGATGCACTCTACGTCTTCGACCGCTATTGGTTCAAGAGTAGCGAGATGTGGAAAGAGGTGCAGAAAGCCTCGTGGGATAAGGTCATTTTGGACCCGAAGATGAAGAAGGATCTTGTCGGTGTGTGCGACACGTTCTTTGATTCTGAGAAGACGTACAAGGAGTACGGTGTGCCGTGGAAGCGAGGTCTCATTTTTTGTAAGTGACCTGACTCAAAACAAAACGGTGAATACCAGCCCTGACAGCTGCAGATGGGCCGCCAGGTAATGGTACGTTAGCTTCTACGATGGTTGTCGACACAAAGATTAGGCAACGATGACCGAGGCAGGGCGACGCATAGTGGGTTTGAACTGACACATGCGCAGGCAAGACCATCTCAATCAAGGCGCTCATGCATTCGATGTACACACGCAAATCGAAGGTGCCATGCCTGTACGTGAAATCAGCGCCGGCGACCTACATGCTCGCAAATGTTTTCGCGATGGCTCGCTCTGAGGCGCCGTGCCTGCTCGTCTTCGAGGACATCGATACGATCGTCACGCCTGCCACACGTGCTTATTTCTTCAACGAGGTGGACGGCATGTCGAACAACGACGGCATTATGATGATAGCATCCACGAACTACCTCGACAAGCTTGATCCTGGTCTGACGAAGCGGCCGTCCCGGTTTGACCGGAAGTACTTGTTTCCCATTCCAAGCAGAGTAAGGCAGCCGCGAAAGGCAGACCAAATGGCTCTTGTTGTCTAACCAGCGCGTAGGACGAGCGCGTGCTGTACGCTCGGTTCTGGCAGGCAAAGATGAGAGGGAAACCGATCGAGTTCCCAGACGAGCTTTGCCCTGCCGTCGCAGACATCACGGATGGCTTCAGCTTTGCGTACCTGCAAGAACTATTTATCGCCTCGCTTTTGCAATTACTCAGAGGCGACTCGGACGGGCCCGAAGACAGGCCAGATAAGGGCGAAGGCGACGAGCTTGACAAATACGAATTATGGCGGGCCTTGAAGCGGCAGGCCGAGATTCTACGGGGGGGGGGGGATGACAATGGGCTCTCTCAGTTGGGCGACAGATGACTGTCGCGCACCAAGCAGCGGAGGACAACGCGGAGCCTCAGGCCGACGGGAGATGACGTCCCGCAGCCGCTGACGAGGTGCTTCGCGGGACTACGAGGCTGCAAAAGTCCTTGCGCTTGGTCGAAGGACAGGACGGGCGCGACGGCAGTGCGCGAGCAGATCGGCCGCGCAGTCCGGCACCAGAGGCCCTTGGACAAAAGTCGCGCGGGGGGAGGGGGCAGCAGACGAGAATGGAGACCATGTGGCAGCAGGACCTTTCTAGAAAACAGGACGGCCAGCGCTGGGCGCAGTTTCGCGGGATCGCTCTATATGTAGCACGGCTGACCGGTGGCTTGGGACGCGACGACCCGCTTCCGCGGATAAAATCGAGTCAACGTTCTGACAGTTCAGATGAGGGGACGGCCGCCGCCCCCAGACACAACCCTCTCTTGCGCGACGATTCGCCAATGGCATCGTCGGGGCCGCTTAGCGACGGGCTCACGAGCCGGCCGGTCGCGTCTGGTTCTGTGCATGGCGTGCTTGTGGTCGAGCTACTGCTTCCATCCCACCGAAGTGCGCTAGAAGCAACGCTGGTGCGGTCGCCTAGGCCAGCGTCTTGACACGCTCCATCGCAGCGGGGCACCGATCTGCTCGTGCCGCGACCGGGCTGCCCACGTCGACGTGCTGCATATGCTCTGCTCGGCCGGGTTGATTGGATGCTCGCCTTTCGCAACAGGCGTATGCGCAGTGATGCAGCCAGCGAGGCAGTGACGGTTCGCAAAAGCCCATGCGGCCAGCGTGTCGGCTGACCACGGCTCGCGCAGTTCAGCCTTACACTCGGACTTCGGCTGGCGCATCACAGTCACCACCACCAACACCACCACCACCACACCTATCAACCTCCCACCGCGTACTATTTCTGCCCTCGTCCGCTGCTTCGTTCTCTCTTGCTCCCGCTTTGCACTGTCTTCAAGGACCACCCTCTTCCTCTGCCCGCACGCTTTTCTTATCGGTGTGAATTTATTTACTTTTTTTTTTTTTTTTTTTCTTTTGCTACTCTCAACTTCGATTTCTTACCGCCGTACTTCTGACCAGCATTCGAACGCGCCCTTCAATTCTCGCGCTGCTCTGTTTCGAGCGTGCAGCCTGGTCGTCTTCTCTTGTCAGTTGAACCGGCAGCAGCCCCTCGGCTTTTGAAGGACAGATGTGCGTCATCCACCTCGACTCCGCAATCTTCGCGTGCTGATGTGTGCTGGAAGCCCCATTTATGGACCAAACTTTCAACGCCGATGACTATGTAGCTCAAGAGCAATTGTTATTTGGTCTCGACCATGTTCGGGGACTGCAGTACGCAGATGTACCCAACAATGATTTGTACCAGCAGCTGCAGTATGGAGTCCAATCATATGATCATCGGTCCGCCTCCCCGGACTTCATCTTGTATCGTCCACAATCCATTCCATTGTCCAGCTCCGAGATGCTAGACATCTCTCACGACTGGACAGTGTCGCAGGCCTTGTCTTTGCCTTGCCATCCCTTCAATTCCCAATTCAAAGACCCCGCGACTTCCATGGTAGACTACGCCGCGTGGAATAGCTCTCCCGTGCTCCAGAACACTGCATACCCTGGCTCTAACCCAGTCAACATTCCAACAAAGCCGAGTGAGGCTCAATATCACTTCTTAAGCCCCACCAGCACAGTTGATACTTCGTTTTACAGCCATGGAAGCTGGGCCAGCTCACACACTTCCACATCGCAAGTAGAGAGCGTGGGCGAGAATGCCACCCCTTGCAACACGACCTTTGAAGAGCCGATTCAGTTCTCCAAGCAGCCCGTCTCCGGCAGCAGAGGAATGACAAGCACGTCGCCATTAAGCATGATCCAGTACAGTGCCGCTGAAAACACGCATCGCTTGACCCCGGCCATGACCTCCGGCGGGAAACGTCCTCGTGGACGTACCGGCCCGCTCAACGAGGCCCAGCGCCGGTCCACAGCGTACATGCGGAATGTGAAGGCTTGCCAAAGCTGCCGTTCTCGAAAGGCAAAGGTGAGAATCGAGCACCTTCGCGAAGTAATAAGGGACGCAGTTGACAATCCCCAGTGCGATCCGGGCATCCCATGCAGGCAGTGCATCAACTATTACAAGCAGAATCTGATCCATCACCCATGCCGTGGTCAGCAGCTCGAAGACATCGCCGACAAATTCCTTCAAGGCCATATCTTTCCTCGGAAGCGAGCGTTGGGAACCGACTTTGGCGTCAACTTTCGCACTTTTCCCGACAGCGATTTCACAATCTACCTGACCCTTGGCTTTGGAGAACCGTTCCCCTGGCCAGCGCAGGTTGTTAGCTCGCTCAATTGCTCGAAATTCTCATGCGAGCTGATTCACGAACATGTGCACTACAAGTGGCCTGAGCACCACATGAACCATGCCGAGCGCACGGAGAAGAAGGAATGGGTATTTCCTGCGCTTTTGACAAACACGTCTGAGCTCAAGTCTGCCGTGGACGAACATCTGACGAGGCTAATCGATAGTCCAGCTAACTTTACCCATTTTCCCGTATATAAGAGTCCCCTGGTAGTGCTCAAGCATATTTATGAATTCTACCTCAAGCTCAGCGAGAGCAATGAGAACGTGAGTCGCACGATACGGTGCTCGTAGTCTGCCCCACTAACCGAGAAGAGCAGAGACCAGCAAAGAAGCTGCTGGGCCAGGCGTTCAAGCTTCTCAATTTGATCCACATCGGGGGCGACACTCGGGTTTCGCCGAGCGAAAATACCCGTCGAATCTTGAACTACTTCTTCTCGATCGATGTCCGCGAGCAAGACGTTGTACCATGTTACATCCGCGGCCAGCTCGGAGAGGTCTTCTCCAAACTTGCCTCAGAGTATATGAAAGAGGTGTTGTCAAAGCTTGAGATCGAATGCCTGAACAAAAACAGCAGTCGATTTCCCTTGATCACGTGTACATTCCTTGTGCTCCTCATGTCCATCGAGAGCCTACAGCACAAGACGCACAAGGACGCGTTCCATTCGATCCAAGACGGAGGCACGAACTCGTCTCCAAATGTTGAGGATGAGATCGACGGCATGGTCGATCTCCTGGAATTTTACAAGAACTGCTGCGGCACGACCCACAGAGAAAGACTTCTCAGCTTGGTTGACGGCGGGCAAATATGGACGAGTCGTAATGCGCCATCGGCCTTCACAGCCGGCGAAACTGTGATTTTACGGTTGAGGGAAGCTATCCTTCAATCCAAATCGTACCTGCAAGAGAGAAGCAAGGAATCGCTGGAGACCAGCGGTGGCGACATTACCGTATTTTTTGACCGCCTCGTGGCGCGTCTGCTGCTTCTGGAAGCCGATCGACCTATCGTCTGAAAGATCTGATGAACAGGATTCTGATGTACATGAAGATGAAAACGATTTGTTATTGTATGTCATTTTTGACGGCCTGCGAATGAGTGGAAGAATCTTCTACTTGGGTTGTATTTAGCACGGCGCTTGCTTTGATGAAACTCTGCTTTGTGACGTCCGGTGCTGGTGGCTCACCTTTTGTACTTTAAGCATGTTTCCAGGACTGACTTCAATGTAAGCTGAAATTGTTATTACCTGTCTTATCGTTGACTGAGTCCCGTAAGTACGACGAAAGGGCTGGAGATTGTTCTCACTCAACGGCTCTCCGCTGGCGATTGTGCATGACTGACTGGTGGCTTCTGACATTAGCCCGTTGCCAAAGAGGGCAGTCCGCGTTTGGTGATCAGACAGCCGTGCATGCAGCGTCGCGCGGAGTGCTGCGTTGGGCAAATCCCGGCAAACTCAGGGGCCTTTACTCCATTTCCATGGCCACCTGTCCCTCGATCAAGCTCGGATGGTGATGGTGGACGTATCGAAAGTTCTGCAGCTGGATGAGCCAGTCTCGCTTCCGGCTGGCCGCGCCTTTCCCCCCGCCGGTCAGCGCCTTCTCCACGTTCGGGACCAGGACGAACGTCTCGCTGAAGTCCTTGAGCGGTCCCGTCTTCCGATCCTCGAGGCGCAGATGCCCGCTCGTCGTGACCAGCATGGAAAAGTTCTTGTCCGGCTTCATCTTGGGGTCTGTGCTGTACTTTGGATTCAGGATCTGGCAGTCGACGGCGTGAACGTCAAAAAACACATGGGCGGGCATTTCGTCTACGAAGAGCTTTTGGACGGCGTCGCCATCGGCAAAGCTGGTGCCGTTCCACAGGATGTCGGGGATGGTGGAACCGTCCGCGGTTGCCTGGGCGGGCGCGTAGTATGAGTTTATGCTGTCTCGCGCGCTGGACAGGGCCGTGTAGTAGGCGTCGACGAAGCTTGTTGTCGCTGGACGTGCGTGTGAGCAGACGTACGCTGCCAAGGGGCGTGACGGACTCGTGCGTAACATACCTTCTGTCGATGCCTTGGTGAAGTCGTGACTGGCATTCGCGCTTGCGGCCATGGCTAAGGACCGGTGGAGCTATTTTCTGGACGCCGAGAGACTCGCAAGAGGTTGGAATGATGAGAAACTGCGCTCACTCTCTTGGGACGCGGCGTGGCTCGAAAAGTGGAGACGGACGAGACCCGTCAAATGTCGTCTGGCAGTCAAATCGGAGGTCGCAAAGGCCAGGCAACGACACCGTCGTCCACTCCGGCCGGGCAGAAAAGAGAGCATCAGACTCGCTGTCGCCCTCGTCCACGTCCATGGAACAATGAGCAACCCCACAGCCCTTGTCGCAAGCCGCAAGCCCGGCCTGAGCAGCGGCTTGCGTGTTCGCCGTGTGATTGGCCGGCCGCTCGTTCGCCAGTCGTGCTTCACAGCTGCATGCGCTCGATGTCATAGGACGGCGCTTAGCACCAGGGAGAAACTCCATCGTCGTAACGCAAACCCCGTTCGATGCGGCCGCATAAGAGGCCGGTGGTCGCATGTCTTTGAACAGTTCAAGCTGTGTCTGAAGTCGCTCTGTGGAACCTGTCTCCCTTCTGCCTGCACACGCGCTCCCTGGCTGCTCTCGTGCCCCGCGCCTGATCTTCACGCCGCACCGTGGTGGAAACCTGATTTGACGAAGGCGCATAGCACCAATCCTCCTGAAGGCGCCTGTACGAGTTTCATCCCCCTACAGCACATATAAAGTGGGTATCCGATCATGTCGCAGCAAAAGCATGGCAAGCCAGAGGAAGAGCTGTTTATGAACCGGCCGGCGGCTACGCCGGACGAGTCAACAGTTGCTCCCCTCAGGATAAACAAGTCGGCCACGGCCTCATCATCTTCAACGCCCCCGCCACGAGTGCACTCTGCTGGTCTACAAGGAGGCCAGCAGCCCTTCCCAGCGCCGGCGTCCAACCCTCCGTCAGGCCCTCTCCCTTACCCCGATTCAAGATCAGGCTCTACCAATCCTCCCTACCCGACCTCGGATGCACCGCCAATAAGCACGACACCGGACTCGAGTTCGGACAGAAGAAGAGGATCCAGCGTGACCGCAGCGCATCTGGGAGGGTCGCCTCGCACAAAGTTCAGCGCCAACGACCCAAACCGTCCCACTGCAGCTGGCTATGCGAGTAACATGTCACACGGGTCTGCCTCAGTGGGTGAGAGGAGGGGGAATATGCCGGCCTCTATTTCGCCGCCCCCAGCTGGCGCGTCGAACGTGCCGGCCGGTCCAGATTCCAGTAAGGATGGCCTTTTTCAGAAGCCTCCGCCGGGACGGTCAGCTCAGGCAGCTACCGGCGTCAGTGCCGGCTCCAATGGACAGCGCAAACCTTCAGAGGGGGGGATTAATCCTTATCCAGACTATCACCAGCAATACTGGCCTCCGCCATCCGGTGGGGCAAACGCTGGACCCTCGAAATCTGGTGGACTCAGCATTCCTGATCCCGGCGGACCAGCCATAGGCAGGATGGACTCTACGGCATCTGTTATGACTACAAGGGCACAGCGCGGATCCCCTCCTCCTCCAGAGACACCTATCATTCCTCCTACAGGAGGTGGTATCGAAGCACGATATGCAGCGGCCGGAATCGGGGGACCGTCGACGACAGCGCCAGCTAGCTCAGCTGCGTCGGCGAGGGCCGCGCAGTACGCCATGCCGCGGCCTTCGGCTGGAATCGCACCAGCTTCAACAGCTGCAACAGTCAGTGCTCAGCCGCAACCAACGCAGCAGCCTCCAAGGCGCCCGTGGACCCCGACGGAAGCTCCGGGCTCTCAACCCCACGGTCCACCTACCGTCTACCAAGGAATGTCGGAGGTGACGGCGCCGACGACATCGCCCCCCAATTTCTCCCCTCCCCCAACAGTCGCATCCGGACTTCCCCAGAATCACTCAGGTGAGCAGGCTCTGGAGCAGGATTTCAGCCGCATGAATGTAGGCGAAGAGCCCCCACCAGCGTACCATACGGTAGCAAATGGTGCAACGACTGCGCAAGGATATCCAAATGAGAAGGCACGAGCAGCCAGTACTGCAGCAGCAGCAGCAGGTGGAGGAGGAGCAGCACCGACCAATATCGCTCAGCCAACCCCCACTTCTGCGGCAACTGGGGCGGCAATGACGGCAGCATCAGCAGCAGCAACGGCGGCGTCAGCAGCGGCAGCGGCAAATCAAGGGCACCCAGCTTTTGCCAATGACCCTCGATACCAGGCTGGTCCGGCTTCGTCGCCTGCTCAAGCAAGTGCTGCAACTCCCTCCTCGAGCATACAAGGCGTCTCCCCCCCTCCTCAGGGTGTCGGGCCAGCAGCAACGCCTCCACCACTACCAGAGGGTTGGATCGCGCATTTGGATGGCAAGTCTGGTCAATATTATTATATTCACCTGCCAACGCAATCGACGCAATGGGAATTTCCTAAGGGTCCAACCCCTCTTAACTTGAATGAGCCTTTGTCACCCACAGGCACTATTGGCAATCCATTCGCCAGCCCCACAGCAGCGAGTTTCTCCAAACCATTGGCATCGCCTGGTTTTCCAGTACCACAATCGGCCACATTCCGACCTGATGCATACCTCAGCATGAGCACCATTGCAAGTCCAACTGCGGCAGGCTTTACGGGCCCTCCACCAGTCGCTGGTGTTGAGACTTACAAAGTCGCACCCACGAACGGTGTTTATTTCGGCCCTTACCTAAGATACACAAACATGGATATCGAGCGTGGAATCTGGCTCGGTTCTATACTACTCGTCACGGATGCTCCTCAGCCACCAACGATCCATATCCATCAAAGCATTGATCTTTCGCCGAATCCGAGACAGCTAAAGCCAAACCCGATCTACAGTCATCAGAGATGGATGTTTTACAGATATGACGTGGACCTCAAAATGGAAGAGCAGAGCACGAAGTGGACCTATGCCGTGACATCACATCTCGGCTGTACGAGATACGAGTTTGTTGTCGCTGGTCACTATGAGACTAGCTGGCGCTTCATCGCGCATTCCGGAAACGACTTCGCTCTTAATGTCAATGTTAATGAGCGTAACAAACTTGGCGGGGTGGGCTATATGTGGAAAGACATTCTGCAGAAGCATATCGAATGCAATGGTTTCCACGTGCAGCTCGGTCTAGGTAACCAGATCTATGCTGATCGCATGTGGAAGGAGCTGCCACTTCTCAAGCAATGGACATCGATTAGTGGAAAGGACAATAGAAAGAACGCTGCGTGGACCCCACAGCACGAGGAGGAGATTACGCACGCCTATTTCCACTACTACACCAGTCATTTTGACCAGCCTCATGTACGAGAGGCCTTCGCACAAATCCCCCACATCTTGACTCTCGATGACCATGATATGTCAGTATTCGTATCTTTTTCCATGAGTTCATTCGGTAAACTGACCGTCTCGTAGCTTTGACGGTTTCGGCTCTTACCCAGAGTATATGCAGTTCTCACATGTGTTCACGAATATAGGTCGAATAGGGATCGAGATGTATCTTCTATTCCAGCATCACACCACACTCGAAATCCTGCGCAACGTCAACAATGATCTTGATCTATTCACCATAACCAGCACTGGTTGGCACTTCATCAAGTATCTGGGGCCAGCTGTTGTTGTAGTTGGCCCAGATACTCGTTCTGAGCGCAATCCGCATCAAGTTATGGCCGGGCGGACATACCAAGGTATCTTCCCTAAAGTTGCAATGCTGCCGCCAAGCGTGCAACACTGCATCTGGATGATTCCAGTACCAATAGTCTACCCGCGAATGGACTCGATGGAGCATCTGGTTAGCACAGTTGCAACTGGCAAGAAAGCAGCCACCGGTGCCTTCAACATGCTTGGCAAGGTCACTAGTTCGGTTGCAGGAGTCGTCGGTGCTAAGGAGGTTGTCGGTGAAGGGTTTGCCTCGGTGAAAAAGGCCGTTGGAAAGTCAGGTCTTATGAGCAGTATCATCAATCCGTTTGGTGAGATTGGTCCCATCGATGAACTCCGTGATCAATGGACACATGAGTCAAAGGTTCGATTTCACACAACTGTCTAAAATAATTCATACTAAATCCATATTAGGACCTCGAACGAACTTATCTCATCCGGACTCTGCAAGGTATAGCACACAACAAGTCCCTCCGCATGACATTTTTCTCTGGTCATGTCAATGCCTGTGGGGCCGGTCTCGTGCATGATCCGGCAAAGCCACAGGATCACAAGACGATGTATCAAATCATCTCATCAGCAGTGGTCAATGCCCCACCGTCAAACTACATGCTCAAGTTGTTGCACTCGAACAAACCACTTTACGTGCCGGCAAATGGTCACAGGAGCACGCATACACCGTCTGACACGAAAGAAGATATGATGGAAATCTTTGGCCAGGACGTAAACGGCCAGCACAGGGAATTGAAGCGTCTGATGGGTCGTAGAAACTACGTTGCGTGTGTAGCCTTTGATCCAGACGTTGTAAACCAAGGGTTTGGGGGCCCCGCAACGATTCAGGGACAGCCCAAATTGAGTCTAGCCATCGATTTCATGGTCCAAGGTGACGGTGGGTATGGCGGTGCGGTCAAGTACGGTCCCGTCATTATCCCTAACCTGGAGTTCGGGCGCTAAGGTGGTGCCCACCATGTGGGAGAAAGGATTTTTTGGTGGAAAGATACGATTATCTGCATGTTATAACTTTCTCATCATCAGTGGATTTAGCGAGTGTTGCTTGGTGGCGTGCACAGAAAGGTCGTGTTTTTTTTTTCTTGTCTCAATGCTAGCCAACAACAACCTGTTGTCCTGAGCAGATCACGCGATTTTGTGTTTATGTGCAAGCGCAGACTAGATAGCTGATTCACATCGTCTCCTCGCTTATTCCCCCAGTCTGCGAACAGTCGGCGTTCAATCGTCTACCTTGCATGCCATGACTCCAGTACGGCGTGGAGGGCTGGCCCAGACTCGCTGTCGCCGTGCACTGCGTGTTTTTAGCAGGATCGAAATGCCGAGATCGTGGTACGTGGTTCAAAAAAGATTTTCAAGTGGATCTCTCCTCGATTTACGAGTCTTCGATCCCCTGCCGTGCTCGAGGATCTGGCATGATCGTGCATGCCCAAGGTCAGTACGCCAGGCCTCGACCAACCATCTCTCATCAATAATGTCCTAAGGCGACTAGTTCGACGCTTTGCACGGCTCCGAAGAAATGTCCCGAATGGTCAGGAGATTTGGTCGGTACTGGGAATGGTCTGCGCTTTGCGAATTCGTAGATACGGTACGGCTGAGGGCGCTCGCGCTAAACACATCCATGATCTCTGCCCTCTTACCGTAGACATCTGGCGCGTTTGACTTTTCCACCCCCACACCTAAACACCCGACGTGCCCCCTTTTCTCAAGCCACAGATTTGCACCAATTTTTACAGTGCTTTGGCCGGTCGTGGGCAGCTTTGTCCTATGCTACAGCGAAGGCATCTTCCGGGCTGCTCGCTACGGCCCTTTCGACCTTTGTCTCATCACGGTACGCGAACATAGGTACATGCCGTTGTTTTGTCATTAAGCTTTTCTGCGGCCTCTCGGTCCTACGAATCGGCCCGTGGGTAGGTCGCGTCACCTTAAGCCACAAAAGAATGAACTTCCCCCCCCCCTTTGACGTTGCCCACATGCTGCCGCTAAGCTGGGCGAAGTTGACGAGACGGTGACTAGGCCCGAACAGGGTTGTGACGACGTTCCGTCCCTCGGCCACGGAACTGACAGGTCGACCAATACTTCAGCTGGCGTCCAATTCGATACTCTGGAATCGTCGAGCGGCTCGGGAACAAGCGCAATGGTTTGTCGATCGTGTTTTCGATTCGAAAGACTGCTTGCAAGATTTGCTGCCGCCCTTCCTCGGCGACGTGCAACTTTAGCTCCGCTTGGGCCTTCGCCTCAGCTGAGCCAAAAGTTACAATCGTACCATGGGCTTGCGTGGTCAAGGAATTTAGCGGTTCGCTACTGCAGATTCTAAATCGAACATAGTCAACGGCGTACCTGCATCTGCGATAGCGGACATGTCATTCGAGGCGGACTGTCAAACGTGGCGCAGGTGACATTTAGCTTCTGCAACTGCTACGCCACCCAATTGGCTTTCGAATGATGATATGCATGGGTATCGCTGGAAGGGAGCGCGAGCGGCATCCAAGGCAGCATTGAAGGCAGAAGTCGCACGTGTTTCTTGCTCCTGGGGCGGGTTAAGATTCGCCTGACGAACTCTGCATTGCCCACGGCTGTTGCGCCAGCACGTTTCAACAAGTACCCCAAATCGCCCTAAACAAATCTAAATGCGACTAGGACAGAGTAGACGTTCGTCTGTTAAGGCGCCAGATCGTATATCCGTAACCATTGGCCAGCGCGTTTGACTATCTCCACTTGCAATCATTCATCGCGTCGTTCACCTGATGAGTTCTCAACGGCGAAGTGGCTGAATGCAACTTCACCCCTTGGGATCTTTGATAAAGAAAGATCGTCATGGACAATAAAAACAATTCGGCCAGCTACCGTTGATCACGATCGCACCGTTGCCCTATGAATTGAGAGTTTCTATGCGCTATACATACTTGGGATAGCACCTCTCCCATCGCGTCCCCCAGGTCTGATGCGGTTCTTTTCGGCTTTTTCTTTCCCACTTATTTACAACACGCTCTTTTGTATCACTTAAACTTTGACTCTACTGTTCTCCAGCATGTCAATTCTATTTTATCGACGTCCTGACTACGTGTCACGTCCTGCGGGTAAGCAAAGCCTCATTCAACACGGTGCTGGACGGAAAGCTAATCGATCAGGCCCGCTCAACCTGAAGGACTGCCAGAAGTATGTCGAGCGGACAAAGAACAACAAGAGCGCCATTCCGCCAGAACTGTCGTTCGAAAGGGTCGTCAACAATGAAACCCTGCCAGTACGTATTTTTCCACCGAAGAATGCTCCTGAGTCCTCATTCTCCTCACGCAGCTGCTGGATATTTTTTAAGTTTGATATTCTCAACTGACGAATGCCAGCCTGCTAGTTTGACCGACTTCATGAACTACTTGATATACGTAGCCCACGACGCAGAGACTCTTCAATTCTACCTATGGCTTCAGGATTACACCAAGCGCTTCAATGCTCTCCGAAAGGAGGAACAAGCGTTGTCGCCAGAGTGGAAAGCGACCGCTGCCGTGAACGAAACTAAGGAGCGCAATGCTAGAGCCAAAGCGAGCGTGAGCTCTCTCAATGAACTCACGACATCTGATAAAGTTACTAGCAACCGCATGTCTGAGCTCATCCCGGGCGCAAATGAGCTCTTCGCAGATCCTCCCATATCGTCTGCTCCAGCTTCAGACTACGAGTCCTTTATCACAAAGTCTGTGCAGTCTCAAAAGACCATTGCTGAGATGACTGATGATGCCAACGCTATGGCCGGACTGAAATGGCAAGCTTGTACGTTTGACACTCCCCTTGCACAACATTACAGACAAGGCTGACCAAATAAGTCACCTGCCAGCCTTTTCGACAAGAGATCGCAAAAGTTATTGCAAACTATCTTGCTCCTAACGCACCGCGTGAACTCAACATCTCTTACAAAGACAGGACGGCCGTTCTGCACGCACTACAGCACACCACACATCCCAGCGCATTCCAGATCCTCGGTACGATCGTCGAGTCAACGCTGCGCGGCCAGCTGCATCCGAATTTCATTCGATGGAGCATCTGCAATGGGAACAAGCCTAAGATCTTCTTCGTTCGTACCATGGGCGTTATTCACATTGCTCTTGGGCTTTTGATTGCCTTGCTGTTGACTTTGTCACGCGCCTCTCGCTGGTACAGGATCCTCTCCGCACCCGTCACATTGATAGGTGCTATCACCATGGTCGCGGCATACAAGGGCCTATGCGTCATTCTCCACGCGAACGGTGGGGTGCGCAATGTCAAACCGTGGGAAGATTCGGACAGCTACTTCTCAGACAAGACGTGCCGAGCAGAGGATGAGGAGGCTACGCTCGCGCTTTCCGACGTTCAATCTATCGCAAAGTCTAATCGCAGCAAGAGCACCATCGCTCCAGAAGCCAAGCGTCCAAAGAGCTTTGACACGTTTGGCAGCGCCAACACCTTTGCAGATGAGCCTTGGGTGTCGCAATACGAAAAGCGCCCGTTGATGGAGAAGATCATGGAGAAGAACACGTGGGTCCAGGACGAAAGCATTCGCTCGATTCAGAACATGATCATTCGCCAATCTCAATTCTGGGGTGTCGTTTTCACGGTCGTTGTTACGGCAGCATTTGTAGCACTACCGCCAGGTAACTTTTATTAGGCCGATTCCTTAGTGGGGTCTCTTTTTTTTTTTTT